CTTTTCCAATTTTTAAGAAATTTTTTATTAATTTTTTTTTTAATTTTTGGGACAATATACTTTATAAACGAAGGGAAGCGAAAGGTTTAAGGGCACGCAAATTTTTTTACATCTTTCTGGCATCAAATGCAACTATGTTGTGCAATAAAATTTTTCCCCCGAGCCTTTTCCAATTTTTAAAAAACTTTTTATTAATTTTTTTTTAATTTTTGGGACAATTTACTTTATAAACGAAGGGAAGCGAAGGCTTTAAGGGCACTCAAATTTTTTCACAGCTTACTAATATTAAATGCAACTAAGTTTTGCAATAAAATTTTTCCCCCGAGCCTTTTCCAATTTTTAAAAAATTTTTTATTAATTTTTTTTTTAATTTTTGGGCCAATTTACTTTATAAACGAAGGGAAGCGAAGGGTTTAAGGGCACGCAAATTTTTTTACATCTTTCTGGCATCGAATGCAACTAAGTTGTGCAATAAAATTTTTCCCCCGAGCCTTTTTTAATTTTTAAAAAATTTTTTATTAATTTTTTTTTAATTTTTGGGACTATTTTACTCCACAAACGAAGGGAAGCGAAGGGTTTAAGGGCACGCAAATTTTTTTACATCTTCCTGGCATCGAATGCAACTAAGTTGTGCAATAAAATTTTTCCTCCGAGCCTTTTCCAATTTTTAAAAAATTTTTTATTAATTTTTTTTTTAATTTTTGGGCCAATTTACTTTATAAACGAAGGGAAGCGAACGGTTTAAGGGCACGCAAATTTTTTTACATCTTTCTGGCATCGAATGCAACTAAGTTGTGCAATAAAATTTTTCCCCCGAGCCTTTTCCAATTTTTAAAAAACTTTTTATTAATTTTTTTTTTAATTTTTGGGACTATTTTACTCCATAAACGAAAGGAAGCGAAGGGTTTAAGGGCACGCAAATTTTTTTACATCTTTCTGGCATCGAATGCAACTAAGTTGTGCAATAAAATTTTTCCCCTGAGCCTTTTCCAATTTTTAAAAAAATTTTTATTAATTTTTTTTTAATTTTTGGGACAATTTACTTTATAAACGAAGGGAAGCGAACGGTTTAAGGGCACGCAAATTTTTTTACATCTTCCTGGCATCGAATGCAACTAAGTTGTGCAATAAAATTTTTCCCCCGAGCCTTTTCCAATTTTTAAAAAACTTTTTATTAATTTTTTTTTTTAATTTTTGGGACAATTTACTTTATAAACGAAGGGAAGCGAACGGTTTAAGGGCACGCAAATTTTTTTACATCTTCCTGGCATCGAATGCAACTAAGTTGTGCAATAAAATTTTTCCCCCGAGCCTTTTTTAATTTTTAAAAAATTTTTTATTAATTTTTTTTTAATTTTTGGGACTATTTTACTCCCCAAACGAAGGGAAGCGAAGGGTTTAAGGGCACGCAAATTTTTTTACATCTTCCTGGCATCGAATGCAACTAAGTTGTGCAATAAAATTTTTCCTCCGAGCCTTTTCCAATTTTTAAAAAATTTTTTATTAATTTTTTTTTTAATTTTTGGGCCAATTTACTTTATAAACGAAGGGAAGCGAACGGTTTAAGGGCACGCAAATTTTTTTACATCTTTCTGGCATCGAATGCAACTAAGTTGTGCAATAAAATTTTTCCCCCGAGCCTTTTCCAATTTTTAAAAAACTTTTTATTAATTTTTTTTTTTAATTTTTGGGACTATTTTACTCCATAAACGAAAGGAAGCGAAGGGTTTAAGGGCACGCAAATTTTTTTACATCTTTCTGGCATCGAATGCAACTAAGTTGTGCAATAAAATTTTTCCCCTGAGCCTTTTCCAATTTTTAAAAAAATTTTTATTAATTTTTTTTTAATTTTTGGGACAATTTACTTTATAAACGAAGGGAAGCGAACGGTTTAAGGGCACGCAAATTTTTTTACATCTTCCTGGCATCGAATGCAACTAAGTTGTGCAATAAAATTTTTCCCCCGAGCCTTTTCCAATTTTTAAAAAACTTTTTATTAATTTTTTTTTTTAATTTTTGGGACAATTTACTTTATAAACGAAGGGAAGCGAAGGGTTTAAGGGCACGCAAATTTTTTTACATCTTTCTGGCATCAAATGCAACTAAGTTGTGCAATAAAATTTTTCCCCCGAGCCTTTTTCAATTTTTAAAAAATTTTTTATTAATTTTTTTTTTAATTTTTGGGACAATTTACTTTATAAACGAAGGGAAGCGAAGGCTTTAATGGCACTCAAATTTTTTCACAGCTTACTAATATTAAATGCAACTAAGTTGTGCAATAAAATTTTTCCCCCGAGCCTTTTCCAATTTTTAAAAAATTTTTTATTAATTTTTTTTTTAATTTTTGGGCCAATTTACTTTATAAACGAAGGGAAGCGAACGGTTTAAGGGCACGCAAATTTTTTTACATCTTCCTGGCATCGAATGCAACTAAGTTGTGCAATAAAATTTTTCCCCCCAGCCTTTTCCAATTTTTAAAAAACTTTTTATTAATTTTTTTTTTTAATTTTTGGGACAATTTACTTTATAAACGAAGGGAAGCGAAGGCTTTAAGGGCACGCAAATTTTTTTACATCTTCCTGACATCGAATGCAACTAAGTTGTGCAATAAAATTTTTCCCCCGAGCCTTTTCCAATTTTTAAAAAATTTTTTATTAATTTTTTTTTTAATTTTTGGGCCAATTTACTTTATAAACGAAGGGAAGCGAAGGGTTTAAGGGCACGCAAATTTTTTTACATCTTTCTGGCATCGAATGCAACTAAGTTGTGCAATAAAATTTTTCCCCCGAGCCTTTTTCTATTTTTAAGAAATTTTTTTTAATTTTTAGGACCATTTTACCCCATAAACGAGGGGAGCCGAAGGGTGTAGGGGGGCGCAAATTTTTTTACAGCTTTCTGGCTGTGAATGCAATCGATTTGTGCAATAAAATTTTTCCCCCGAGCCTTTTTCTATTTTTAAGAAATTTTTTTTAATTTTTTGGACCATTTTACCCCATAAACGAGGGGAGCCGAAGGGTGTAGGGGGGCGCATATTTTTTTACAGCTTCCTGGCTGTGAATGCAATTGATTTGTGCAATAAAATTTTTCCCCCGAGCTTTTTTCTATTTTTAAGAAATTTTTTTTAATTTTTGGGACCATTTTACCCCATAAACGAGGGGAGCCGAAGGGTGTAGGGGGGCGCAAATTTTTTTACATCTTTCTGGCATCGAATGCAACTAAGTTGTGCAATAAAATTTTTCCCCCGAGCTTTTTTCTATTTTTAAGAAATTTTTTTTAATTTTTTGGACCATTTTACCCCATAAACGAAGGGAACCGAAGAGGGTAGGGGGACAAAAATTTATTTTTAGGTGTTGGTTATCATTTGGGACAATCTCACGTTGAAAAAAATTTACTTTTTTTATTTTTAATTTTTCGTTTTCAAAAACGTTTCGAACTTCAGCCTCATGAAAAGTTGAACTAAACTTTTGAAAATGCACTAGAATTATCTAACTAATCAGTTGTAATATTAATTTAAAAAATTTGAGTTTGCATGAGACAAATACGTTATTGCATGCTGTTATGTATTTGAGAACTTGTATCGAAGTACTCGCTCGACGTGCAGTTAAAAGGGATAATACCAGTTCTGGTAGCAGTGAACAATCCACGGTCTGTCCACACTCCGGACTTTGTCCACAACATATAAATACTAATATTTATATCGTCCATATAAAATTCATTTTGTCCATCATCGTATGATCATCTTCCATTATCATATTGCCTGGCAATATTAAAAAATATTATAATATAATTATATATTATTATATAATTATAATATTTTCTCCTCTCAGCACCAAGAATTTCTCAAAACTCATTATTTTATTGAATGAATATTTTTTTAGTGATCGATTTGTTTTCTAGTATTTCCTATATCGTTGTTGAAATGTTTTAAGGATTGTTGACATCATAATTTGATAGAATTTTGCATAAATCTGGAAATTGTTCATTTCTACTGAATAGGAGTACAATATAAGATGCATCCGATATTAAAACATACAATTTAACTTATTGGCTATAACTGGAACATTTTTTCCAAAGCGATTTCTCATAAGACTTGCGGTTCAGAATGTCGCAAATCGTGAAATAATCTCTTATTGCTTAAAGTGTACAGTACTCCTCATTTAATGTGTAGTTTCTATTATCCTAAAAATCTTGGATTTTTCAAATAACTGCATTATTGTATACTCAATTCTTTTTTTGATAGTCAGATTAACTTTTCTTTTCGTACAATAGATATGATTTTTAATTTTTTGGTTAAATACTTAAATTTCTCTAGACTCTGTGTTAAATATTCATATTATACTTAAACAATTCAGTTGCTTTATCTCGGCGTTTTTAAATACTTTTATAATAAATTGATTTGTAGTTATAGACTAACGGGTGCAATTATTACGTTGATAGGTTTTATTTACGAAATACCAGGGATGATATTCCACCAAAAACCTTCGTTGATTATATATGATAGATTGTTTATAATGACGTAAAAACATCATCTTTGAGAATCTCCCTGATTAATTTTTGTAACCAGCGTTGGTAACTTAATTTTAATGCTCACAAATAGTAATTTATAAACTCTTTCTAAATTAAATATAGAAAATTTCCATTCCTTCTGCTTGCAACAAATAATTCCGTGGTGTTGTAGATTTATTGTGGTGTTTTCAATGCAGTTTTACAATTTCATCTAAAAATTCATTATTCTCTATAATGAAAAAGTTATGGAATATGGATAAAAAAAACAATTTTATTTAGTTTGATAGTATAGTTCGTTCAAAATAAGAGCGTATTCCAACTCTCAGTGTGTTGTTATAATTTCCCCTAATGGTTTTAATTCAAGCAAAGTATTAAAATGAAAATAAAAGATGAAACTTTTAAAAATCGTGTTTCTTTAAGATGTTGGAATTGTGTCACTCTATTAATCATCAAAACTTATCCTGCTCTCGTTAATCAGACCTTTACTTGTTTCAGTTGACAGTTTCCTGTCTGAAGGGATAAATAGTACGAGATTATCGTCCTACATGAAGAATTTGTCGTTTGATATTTGTATACAAGAAAATAATTCGTCCTGTGTGGTGTTTTTTATTATCTGTTGCTGTTGGTCTAAAGATCATGGTTCATCGGATTACCGAGCCTCCTCATTATTTAATGGATAAGAAGGGTGAGTTCTAATTTTTCCCATTTCGTTTAAGAATCATCAACTTATTATTTTTAGCAGATGTTCCATAAATAAATCCTTTAAGTACGTGTTTCCTTAACTCCGAATTCAGACAGGAAAGTTATCGCCACAGTCATTTTAACTCTCGACTATGCGATTTTTGTTATTTGGGGAAACTATTCATCATTATTGTTATACAAATAACGTCACATTATTATAATCAATGTTGATTCATCTTGCTAAACCTAATTTGACACTTTACATCTGTCAATGTAGTGGATTTTTCGATCGAGAAACACTTGACCAACTTGAAATTTGCAGTATTCCTCATTTAAAATTGCAATACATTATATTACTGTTCTTCACTTCTTGTCGTTTACTTTTTAAACATGTTTCTTGATACTGTCAAGTAAGTTCATTCTCAGTCAAAGAATTTCTGGATTTCTACAACCCTTTAAATATAGAATAGTTATTTTGATTAGATTATGGAATTTTAAAAAAAATTTATACACTATATGAATTATTTGTGACAGAGTTAACAATTTTCTGGAATGATTTTGGCAAAGATCGATAATACTGATACAGTGTAACAAATGACATTTAGTGTTATTTTAATAAAAAAAAAAAAAAGAGTATTCAAAGAAAGTATACTATTCATTATAGTACTGAACCAAGTATTCATATTTCATACTATCTATAGTTATTTTATTATTAATGTTTTAGAACAATGTTATCTGCATGGCGTAATATATGATCACGGTGAAAAAGTATCACCAAAGCAGTGTGTTGAGTGTGATTGCTACGACGGCAGCTTCACGTGTCAAAGATTTAATACGGAAACAAGATGTCCATCATTGTCATGCCCGATAAACGAACAGATCAGTGTAGCTGAAGAATGTTGTAAATTCTGTTCAGGTAATGTACAATATAAATTATTCTAAATTAATATGGTAATTTATCAACAGTACACAGTCTGCCTGTAAAATTTCATTTTTTTCTCATTTTGTATGATCAAATACTATTTATTATTTCAGGTGCCTAAAAAGAGATATTTCCTCCTTTCATGATGGATAATTTTCAAGTTTTTTAAAAATAATTCTAAGAAAAAAAAAAGTTGATAAAAAATCATATGAGATGAAAAGCAATAGACAATAAATTATAACCTTAATAATCTGGAAATTGATGCTAAAGACGCAAAAAAAGAAGAATTTAATGTATACAATATATACAATTAAACTCTTTTAATAGATTTTTAAAAATTGAGTACTACAACTATTTCTTGCATATTGCACATAATTATTGTACAATGCGTTTTATTTAATACCCAGGTTGTCCTTAAGTTTTAAAAATATATGAAAAATACTATACAAATCAAATACATAGACTTTTATTGTCTTTCAATTGTCTGCATTCATCATTTATTATTATGGAATCAACTAGTTTTAAATTTATAAATATCAAAATGTAATTGATTCAATGTCTCTTAAAACTAATTTTTTTATTCCGTTTTGTTATCCAACTTTTACAGTTATTAGATCTCATAGTCAACCTAATTAAACTCAATCTATTGTTTTACTTTAATCTAATAGTAAGTTTCAAAATAAGAATGACAATTTTCATTTATTATTAATTTATTACCTATATGGAAAGAAATATTTCATTTTAATTTATTTCTTCTTATAATATAATATAGGCTTATTGTACATATTTCAAAGGTAATAGTCTTCTAAGATCAGTACTGAGATAACTTTTGGAATCCCTAAGATCATTTACAGCTTTTTTCGCTAGGATTTTTGTATTGTCTCTGGTAAATTCACCTCGTTCAAGAGATTTTTCTAAAATTTTTTGTAGCTGCAATCCAATACCAGCTTTAGTAGAATTTGATAAAGTATTTATTACTTCATCTGAGAATCCTGAATATATGGAAAATCCTTGTCCCCTAGCATCTTTGTTTAAAGCATCGTAAAGAGTTGCCAATTGCTGTAAAGATGCACTTCTTTTTCCTAGCAGGTCAATTCTGTAAAGATATTTATTTTTATTTGAATTTTAGTTGGAATGGAAATTTTCAAAAACTTTTCACATAGAGTCATGGTTTTCAGTACTTATTTAAAGTTCTCCTTAAAAATAAAAATTAGAGGGCACCCTATTTGCACTTATTTACCCTTCTTTAACTCTAAAACTAGTCTGAATTTTAAAAAAAAACAAAATTATGATAATGTCATACCTTATTTCATCATTTTTTTGATTATTGAGATTTTCAAATTTGTCAGTCAATTTATTTATGTTTTTCTGAAAAGTTTTAATTGTATCGTGATTTTCTTTATTTATACTTTTTAAATTCGTTCGTTCATGAATTGATCTACTTTTTTGTCTGTAATCAAGAGGTATTCGAAACATATTATTTTTCATTTGTGTATTCGAGAGCTCGTCATATGAAGAAGTTGTCATTTCCATATCATTTCCAAATTTACTGACAATTTGCCATGTTGTCAATCCAGGAGGATGAGGACTCGAAGATATTAAGATATTAGTATTGTATACACTTCCATCAGAATGCAGCTGTTTTAATTGTTCAACGGCATATAGTATTACCTTAAAAAATTATCATAATTAAGTAATTATATATTCCCGCCAGTAAAAAAGGAAAATTATTTTCATCATTTTAATTCAATTATTATTTTCTAGAATTTTAAATTATTTTTTATGAAAACAATTGAATTCATGTGAAATTTTTATTATTTATGAAAATAATTAAATGTTTGCATACAATTTTATTAAAATTTTGTTCAAATAATTGTATTCTTTTTGAGAAATTTTATTAAAATAGTAGATATTGAAAATCATTGAATTGCACAAAGTTTTTAAAAATAATTAAATTTTGCAAAGAATTCTACTAAACTTTTTGAGAATAATTATTGAATGTTTGTGTGGCATTTTAATAAATTTTTTTTTAAAATAATTGAATTTCTAAAAAGCATTTTATTATTATTTATGAAAATAATTAAATTCTTGCTAATGACTTTACTAAAGTTTTCAAAAATAATTGAATTCCCAAGAAGAAATTTATTACTTTTGAAAATAATTGAATTCTTGCGATGAATATTGTTAATTTTTGAAAATAATTAAATTTTGCAAAGAATTTTATTAAAATAAATTGAATTTTTCGATTAATTAATTTAAAATAGTATTAAAAATAATTGAAATTCTTCAATGAGTTTTATTATTTATGAAAATAATTGAATTCTTGCTTAGAATTTTACCAACAATTTTTTTTAGAAAATTGAATTTCCATGGAAATTGTTATATTATTAGTGAAAGTAATTGAATTATTGTGAAGAATTGTATATTTTTAAATTTCAATTTTGGTGGGGTTGATATATACTTGCATTGTTGCTGGCAGATAAGAATTCGAAAGATTTGGCTTAGCGAATGCAGGAACGTTATAAGTCCTGACTAACGTTAGCTGAAAAAATTCATTTTCTTTTAATTTATAAATATTATTATTATTATTAAAATTATAAAAATATTATTTTATTATTTTTTTAGTTTAATAACATTTATATTATTTTGTGAATAAAATTGTTTACCAAAAACGGTTCACCGTGACCAAAATATATTATAAATTTGTTAATCATTTTAAGAATGTTCAAGTACACCATGAATTAAAAATTTTTACAAATAAAGTAAAATTGTCAACATACCTTAGTAATTACAAAAATTGTAAAGGAAATAACTATTTTCATTTTTATAATTTTCTACAATAAATGTACAATATATGAGACAAAATAATGTTATATTATATCCAGACTTTTCTTCTTAATTTTATTTATATAATTACAAAAATATAACACAAATAGTCTTGAAATAAACTGGTAAAGATTCTTATATGAGAATCTTTCTAGAACCGCAACCAAGTCAAGACTGGACTTGAAAGGTTTATAACGGTTTTGTACGTTGTTCCTATATAACACACTTTTAAATGGAACGTATACTTGTATATAATGTACACCATTCACAAAAAGTAAATTAATTTTCTCATTTCTGCAGAATAGAAAGAAAGACTTGATTATTCAGTATTATTATTATTATTATATTAATTGTTATTTCCATTGCTTAATTTTTAACGAAGGTATTATCTTAAAAATATTGCAATTAAGATTTTTTCTATTTGTAAAATTAATGATTCAAACATATTTTGAAGCAAATGTATCAAAAATTCACCAACTTTTAGTAAAATACCATTATTTTACTTAGTATATTGATAAATGAAAATATGTTAAATTCAAAAATTAAATTGGTTTAATATTGAAATATGAGGCTTATTTGCATTGATTTTTTTTTTCATTTGCATGATTTGGACCTTATTTCCTACTATTGGTCCAACACCATCACTACCTTTTTTCCACTGAAAATCATGAAAAGACATTTTATTTACATTAATACCTTAATAAGTTGAGTGTTTATTCTTATTTTGTTAATTGTTACAAATGTTTCAATAGTGCAAAATAAATTTTTTACACTGATGAAACATAAATAAATGCGAGTGCTCTGACATCTGTCAGGCAAAAGTCGCGGCATTATAGTTAACGATTATTTTGGCAATCAAGTTAAAGACAATATCAATTACATGGAAAATTTGCTTTTTTTTGCTTTGATTAATCATTGAACTGAAAATCATTTATAATATTTATTGATTACATTTTCTGGGTTAAAAATTGTTATATTATCTGTTTTAATATGAGTGAAAATAGACGCATGCGCTTATACACATTCACGAGTTCAAGTTCGACGTTTTTTTAGTCATCGCGTTTCAGTGCAACTATTATTTTATGCGTGTGACATTTTATTAAACAAAACCTTTTGTTTAAGCTTAATTTAGCTTTTGAAATTTCATTGCAAACATTTTTCATGTAGAAATTAGGTTTTCTTTTCAAAAAAGTGTCAATATCTTTAAAGATATAGGTAAAATAATAAAAGTGCAATTAAGAAGTTTGCAGTTATTATAAATGGATTAAACTTGAGCAAAATGTCTACAAATTGTAATTATAATAATTATCGTTACTGTTCTGCTACAAGAATGCACATAAATGGAATTAGCAGAGAACAAATTTCAGACAGTGATATGGCAGAGTTGAGTGAATTAGATGATGATGAGGGCAATGAAGATGATATTGATGAAGAACATGATGATGATGAAGATGAGGAAGGAAACTCTCTTCCTTATCCCGGCTTTGCTCCAATAGCTCTTCGTTATCTTCGACAAAACACAAAACCCCGTAATTGGTGTCTTGCATTAATTACTAATCCATATCCTTTTTATTTAACGTACAAATGTTATAATTTAACAAACTTTCAAATTTCTATTATTTGATTATGTTCTTCACTTAGAAACAATTGAATTGATAATAATGGGTTATGTTACATTGTATCAATAGGAGAAAATGTAGGTTAAAAGGGTTAAAAGCATTTTGAGCTAAAATGAACGTTATAAACCAGGATTAAAGTTATACTATCTAGAAAAGACACTGATACTCTTTTGTAATCATTTTTTGCAACATAAGATTAATTGTAAATTTCATATTATTAATAATAATAATATTTATTCGTTAATGCAAAAAAATTTATAAGGTAAATTAACCAATTCTCTACTGCAAACTCCCATGGTATCATATATGTGGATGAATATCTGGAATCTGGAAATTGGCACAATTTAAAAATCAATTTATGTGTGAATTGGCGTTCATACAGGTTTATATAGATGCTAATCCACATAGAATCTCATGCATGAATTTCTGGTGGAAGGATAATAATTAAACTTTATTTATTACGAATTTCTATTTTGAACAGAAATCTATCTTGAAAAAAATTAATTTCCAAATATTTCAATTGTTCATAAATGGTATTTATAAAAATATTTAGGTTATAAAAGTTAATAGGTATATAATATTATAATATATGTACAATGCAAATATTTTTCTTAATTTCATTTCACATGGTTTGAAAGAGTGAGCATAATGATAATACTTTTAAATTGTCTCACACTTGGAATGTACCAGCCATGCGTGGATGATCAATGTGAGACAAATCGGTGTAAAATTTTACAGGTAACTTCATTCCCATGTGGTACGTAATATTACTGTAAAACATTACTGTTACAATAATATTACAATAATGATACAGTCATAATCGTGTTATTGTAATATAAATATTGTGATTGCATTACAGTATAACATACTACCTATATTTGGGTTACGTTTAATAAATAATATATTGCGCTATTTCTGTGGGTAAACGGAGTCAACTTTTTGTAATATAATTATGTTTTAATTTTTTCAGATGTTTGATGATATTATCTTTGCTTTCTTTGCCTTGGAGATGACAATAAAAATGGTGGCAATGGGTTTATATGGTAAAGGGTCATATCTTGCAGATTCGTGGAATAGACTTGACTTTTTTATCGTAGCTGCTGGGTGTGTTTATTATATTACATTTTTTAATTATATCTATGGGGCATTCCATTTCAAACCGTTTCACCGACAAAAAACAATCGCAAATAAGTTTCTGCTACTAAAAATTAAAAGTGCCCTAGTAGTTTCAGTCTTATTGAAAAAGGCCTTTACTACTAATACTAAAATTTATAATTTTAGTGTAAGTATAGTAAAGGCCTAGATTTAGACGATAATTATAAAACAACAGATAGTTAGTCTGACTGTGACGTACTTTTACTACTGCTGATAAAAATTAGAAGCAGCCACGTAGTGTTAGTCTGACTATAAAGAATTTTTACCACTGCTACTAAAAAGTAGAAGAAGTAAAGCAGTTATAGTCTTACTGTAACGAACTTTTACTACTGCTAGTCAAAATTATAAGGAGACACGTAGTTTCAGTCTGACTAAAACAGAACTTTACTACCAGTACTATAACTACAAGAATTTGAACAAATTTTAAATTGACAGAGAATTATAAATACTACTGCGGCTAAAAAAATAATTGAAAACTGTGTCCGACTAAGATTGACATTTACTACTGATATTAAAATAACTGTTTCAAATTGCAGTCTGTCTAAAAATTACTTTTACTACTTACAAAAATTTACAGGTTACGAATGATTTTTATCATTAGACAGAACTTTCACAATTAGGCTTTTTTAAAAAACAGTTAAAAAATTAGTCTGACAAATAATTGCATTACCTACTGATACTCAAAATTTTAAAATTTATTTCTGAAGAAGATTAAATAATTTTTGTCTGACTAATAATACCACTCTTCTATTAATACTTGAAAATTTCGTAGTTTGACTAGAATTAATTTTTACTACTGATCTATAAAAATTTAAAAATTCAATTATTTTAGGTCTGACTGAAAATGACTTATGCTACTAGAACTTTCGATACTTAAATAAATATTCAAAAAATACTGTTTTTTAAAAAAATGAAAAACTTTACGGCTGACTACAACTAACATCTTCTACTGATACTGAATAAATTCTTAGTTTAAAACTGTAATTGACTTTTACAACTAAAGTAGTAAAATTAAAAAATACTATTCTTTGTCTGACTAAAAACTACTTGCACTACTGAGTCTAAAACGACTGTAATTTTAATGTTTGTCTGACTAAGTAGTATATTTAGTACTTTTAGTGAAAATTCCCAGAACCAACGATTAAATATTTAAAAATTTATTTTATAAATTTTAAAAATTATTGTTTTTTAAACAGTAAAAAATTTGTGTCTGTGATTTAACCAGTTCTGTCTGACTATACATTATAGTTACTATACTTTTACTAAAAATTACAAGAACAAACATTTTTGTCATATTAAAAATTACATTATTTGCAGAAAAAGATAAAAAAAAACTTTTTTAGTGTTTAATGATAAACGGTAAAAATACGTCTGACTAAAACTGACGATTACTACTGATCAGAATTTACAATATAAATTCTAGTTTTTACTGGTAAACATTTTTTACCAACTATATTTAAGTTGAAAGATCTTTTAAGGTCTTGTTTCGTAAGAAATAAGTTATTGATTCTCAAGATCCTTTACTAACAAAACTTTAATTTTTCCAGAATATTGGAATATTGTTTAAATGTGGAAAATATGAATTTATCTGCGATTCGTACTATAAGAGTCTTACGACCGCTTCGAGCGATTAATAGAATTCCAAGTAAGTGTAAAATTAGCAAATTTAATTAATTTTTTTTTAAAGTACTGTCTAAATCTGAATAATTAGAATTACTAATTGTTAATGAAATACTATACTATCTCTCATTAGGATTATAACTTTTTACTCATATTTAACTCTTCTTTCTTCAACTCTAAAAGCATGCGACTTTCATAGAATCCCGTTGGGTGTTGAATTTTAACTACTTTTTTTTATAAATATGTGTGAGTATGCGCCTTTTTACCCGCAATATTATTAAAAATGCACTCTCTAAATCCGAATAAGCGAAAAGTCTTCCACATAGAAAGATAAGTGCATATACACTTAGAATAAGTAAAATTCAAGAATTATATTCTTGAGGTAATTTAGACCACAAAGATGAAAAAATCAATTTTGTGATCGATAGAAACTATAATACTACCTTAATGTGCTTTTGATGTATTACCTCGAATATTACACAATTATATAAAAAATTGCAATAAAGTGGAAATCTAACGATGAAACAATGAAAACTTCTCTTCGTTAATCATTAGATTTGCACTTTATTGCAATTTTTCTTTACTTGTGGATCGAATTTAAAAATATTAACAAAATAATATCAAAAAATAATATTTGTTTAAGGTATGAGGATTCTAGTAATGCTGTTGTTGGACACACTGCCAATGCTTGGAAATGTTTTATTACTTTGCTTTTTTGTTTTCTTTATCTTTGGCATCGTTGGGGTTCAGCTTTGGGAAGGAATATTACGACAACGCTGTTTTCTAAAAGCTATACCGACTGTGAGATACCCAGAGTATGTAAATGATATTATTTATTACTGATTTCACCCAAAAAAATCAATAAACATCTAATACCTATGCACTTGAAGTCCATTGTAGTAGTGCACTTGTTTTTTCAGTGGTTATATGTACATCTGATTAAAAATTTTCTTTTCAATTTATTTTAGCTGGTTAAGAAAGTACTTTGAATATCAAGGACAAGATTATATTTGCTCTAAACCTGAGGACAATGGAATGCATAGTTGTCATGATTTGCCTTCTTTAAAATTCGGTAAATTCAAATTAAGTTCAAACAAATAATAAGGACAAAAGAGATAGAAATTTCAAGTTAATACTAGGATATTTAATATGTATTTTAAATTTTCTATGAAGATATTAATGAAATAATCTTTTACAGATAATATCGAATGTAACCATACAGCTTTAGTAAATAGTAATATAACTTTCATCAATGATAATAATTGTGTTAATTGGAATTATTATTATACTGAATGTAAGGGACAAGGAAACAATCCTTTTCAAGGCACAATATCATTTGATAATATTGGACTGGCCTGGGTTGCAATATTTCTCGTAAGTTGTTCAATGTCTTAACGCATTGTTACATACGTTCAACATTAAAGAAAAAAATTATTAATTATTTTTCCCAAACTATTCTGTTAACAGGTCATCAGTTTAGAGGGATGGACAGATATAATGTATTATGTGCAAGATGCTCATTCTTTCTGGGACTGGATTTATTTTGTCCTTCTTATAGTGGTTCGTATTATTATTTTAATTTATTATCTTGTATAGATAAAGTAGTTAAATTATTTAATAATAATTAAATTTTAAAATTATTAATAACTAGAAAGTTTCAAAAATCATTCTGTATACCGCGAACCAATAAAGTAACATTTAAATTTCAAACTTAATGATAGAAGTATTTATTAATTAAAGATTAGAAATTGTACTCCCACTAAGAATATATTTAATGCTTTTTTATAGATTGGTTCTTTCTTTATGATTAACTTGTGTTTAGTCGTTATTGCTACACAATTCTCTGAAACTAAGAAGCGAGAAATGGAAAGAATGAGATTAGAAAGAGCACGCTTTCAATCAACCAGCACTCTTGCATCATCTACGAATGTATCTGAGCCAACTACATGTTATGCAGAAATTGTAAAGTAAGATATTATGAATTTGAATTTTTACAATATATTTATTTTCGTAAATTGTAAAAAATATATATTAATTCAATAAATTGACAGGTATATTGCACATCTTTGGAGACGGGGTAAGAGAAGATTAATGAAACGATATCGATTGTATTTGTACAGTAAGCAACAAAAGCAAGATGAAATTTTGTTAAAGGATAAACTTGAACAATGTCAAGCAACTGAAAGTGGAATAAAGAAATTACACAGTATGTATAAATTAAAAAATTATAATTCTACACTTTATTGTTTTAAATTTAGTTCCGGCTAGAGTTATCTAATAAACGTATATTTCTACTTGAAGGTAGCAATATTTTTTGTGGAGCAACATCAAAACTTATTACTGTTTTGGGAAGTAAGGAACAAAATGGAAAACCATTTATAGCACCTCATGCGAGCCCAGAAATATCTGAAATTGAGCACTCCGCTATAATGTATCAACGTACTGGTATTTATCGACTACATTCAATTTCAAATTGCAGTGAGTCTGTCAACAGTACAACTCAGGTATTGCTTTTAAGGAATCAATAATAAGTGTTTATTAAATTAATCATCTAAATATTTATAATAAAAAGTCTGCCATCTTGTTTACTTTATATTATTAAATGTTAAATTGCAATTGTTCTAAAAACGAATTTAATTTTAATAGTTTAAATTATATTGCAGATAAATAATAGTTTGCTAAGTCCTCCTAGTGCCAATTTTCGAAGAAGAAGCAGTGTAATGTTCAGTGATGTGATTTTACTTCATGGAGGAAGTGTTCATACATTACCAGGCTCAGTTGCTTTAGCAGACAGCAATGTTTGTTGCAATGAAAAGATGACACAAACAAGTGATGGACATGTGTGGTTAATCCCACTTTCTAAAAATTTGCAGGTATATTTTGAATAAGCACATTTACAATATTTTTACAAATGTAAAAAAACTAAATTCATTTCTTATACATTTCAAAGACCGTAATAAAACGAAGAGAGGCGATGTCTTGTCAAGAGTTACTTGCACTAAGTGGAGCTTTCAGTGCTGCTTTACCTACTGGACAGTTGGCACTTGATTCGTTTTTAAATACATTTAAAAATGGTAAGCCAAGCTGGTAACAAGTTAACATTTCCTTTATATTAAAATAATGTGTTGAACCTTATAGCCTTACAAATTAGTATTTTCACACATCGCATAGCAGATACATTTTTGTTAACTTATTGCTTATTTTTAGGTATAAAAAAGAGTCAAATAGTTAATGATTCACAATGGTTTAATGAAGTGAATAACTGCTCGTGCTGTTATGCTTCACGAGAACAACAATGGCCCAATCGAAATTTAAAGTGTCAAATATTACCTGCTGGACACATACTTAAAGTTGTGGCTAACGGATGTATTTACATTTTGTGTTATTTGCGTCAGTGGGTTAAAAGATTTGTCGATAGTAAAATATTTCAACAAGGAATTCTTTTAGCGATTCTCATCAATACACTCAGTATGGGTATTGAATACCACAATCAAGTAAGATTAAGATTTAAAAAATAAAATGTACGTTGCACTATTTTAATGACATTTCATTTTTATTGCAGCCTGAAGAATTAACTGTTCTTGTTGAAATAAGTAATATTGCTTTTTCTGCAGTATTTGCTGCAGAAATGTTACTAAAAATCATAGCAGAAGGACCATTTGGATATATAAGTAATGGATTTAACGTTTTTGATGGTATTGTTGTTATCTTAAGGTAAATTATTTACATACTTAATATGAACTGGCGCATATAATATAAATTGTGATATTGACAATACAGTTTGGATTCACTAATAATAAGTAAAAGAATATTCAGTTTAATATATACTTTACAGCGTTGTGGAATTATGTCAAGCTTTTGTCGAAGAACGAGGGGGTAGCTCAGGGCTCAGTGTTCTCAGGACTTTTCGACTATTAAGAATTTTGAAACTTGTTCGTTTTATGCCTAACTTACGTCGTCAACTGTTTGTAATGTTACGAACAATGGATAATGTTGCAGTTTTCTTCTCATTATTGGTGCTTTTCATTTTTATATTCAGGTAAGAACTTAAATTATATCTTTCAAATTACCCTATAAAACTTTTATAATTCTGACTTGAAAAATAATGTGAATGCTCACTTATAGAGACAAAAAATTTAAGCATTTTAGGTATGTATCTTTTTGGAGGAAAATTCTGCATGTGGATAGATCGTACTAGACCTTGTACTTGTGCTGAAGTCGTGGCCCGTCATCCAATGTGCCAATGTGACCGAAAGCATTTCAACGATATTGTTTGGGCTCTCGTAACAGTTTTTCAAGTAAGAAGAATAACAATAATTATTCGCACTAAGGAAAATTACTATATAATTATACAATATTTCCATTACAGATTCTCACTCAAGAAGATTGGAATGTTGTTCTTTTTAATGGAATGCAAAAAACTTCTCATTGGGCTGCTCTGTACTTTGTCGCTTTAATGACATTTGGAAATTATGTTTTATTCAATTTGTTAGTAGCCATTCTGGTAGAAGGATTTTCTTCTGAGGTAAAATAACAATTATACATTTCGCACTATTAATTACTCATACATAATTCTTCATAGTCATTATTATATTTTTTAGAGAAATGAAAGACGGGAGAGGGAACAACGGGAGTTAGCAAGACTTGCTGCACAGGAATGTACATTCGGTAGTGATGAAGGGTTATCTAGGATATCTGCTTTCCACTCCTTTACAGATAGTGACACTTATACTCAGGTAAAGAAAATTGTTTTCAGTGTATTATAATTACTTTATGTTTAATGTTTAACTATAGAATTTAAGTTATTTCAACGTCGATCTATTCTCACATTAGGATAGTAAGCAGGATTTCAGGAAAATGAGAGAAAATTGCGAACAGGACAATTATATTAATGTACGGAAACAATTATCCAGTGTAAAGTATAATAAAAATGGCAGTAGTATTTTGACATCTAGACCGTCGCCACCTATAATTACTCATACTGCGCCTACACCACAAGATTCTCCAAATACAACTTTCGATACTTCATACAAAGATTTAATCTCCAGAGACATCTATAACAAAAGATTATCATTTTCTTCAATTGACAAATATATTGTAAGTACGAAATCAACATTTCTTGTTGAATATACTACTCTTACTGAACATATTTCTAGAGTTTAGATTGACATTCCTGTCTGTGCTAAAAAGTAATATTTTGATTTATATACTAATTTCAGAAGCAAGGAATAAATCAAACAAATGATGTTGAAAGTAAAGCGTGCAATACTACCGACTGGACATTAAAACATAATTTGATATCCAATGTTATGAAATCTTCCAAGAAAGATACGGATTCAACCAAGTAAGTAGCTATATATATTTTAGGAAACCTTCATTACTTTAAGCGCTCCTATTTTTGAGCAATAATATTATTTATTTCATTTAACAGAATATATCCAACATCTATTCCATCAACTAAAGGATGTGTAGCCGATTCCGTAGGAAACGACACTTTTATTTATGTTCCAAATAATCGAGCAGTAAAATTAATATCCAAAAATGAAAGCCCCAGTTTGCATATCAATGAAAACAGTAGCCACTGCTCATCAAACTCTCAGTGTTTTGCCTTTACGAAACAGGTAATATTCACATTCTGAGTATAAATTTCTTCGCCGTTATTATTAATACACCGCGGTGTAGTAGGTTTTCTGTAGTATTCCTCAATTATACATACATAAATAATAATAGTACTGTATTAATAATTTTAATATCATACAGTTGAACTACATTGCAGGATAGATTTTATATTTTTTTTTTTTTTTGTGCTTTTAGTGTCATTGGGCTATAAAAGATACACAAAAATCATATGAGACTATGAAAGTAAAAAGAACGTTTACTCATCAAGACCATGGGACAGCATGTATTCCTAACGATGTGCCTGTAAATGCTTCATCACCAAAAAAAAATTCTCCATCAACAATTAAAAACCATCGTAATTCACAAACAGAAGATCTATTTTTCGCAACTTCTCCAAAGAATATTTCAAATATGAAGAAACTTCGGAAAATGTTTATCTCCCTAAACTCACGAAATTGTCTAAAAGGAAGAGATGAGTTGTCTCTATATATTTTTTCGAATGAACACAAGTAATTAACCTATCTCTAATTAATGGAAATTATACAATTTATAACTATTTTTTTACATTTTAAATATGTTTTTATTTGAAACTATTTTTAAGTGAGTTTTTTAAAAAGATTTAAAACACTCACATAGAAAAAAGTTTACTCATTTTTGTTTTATCTCATATCAAAATGAAAAAATCTCAAAATGAGTGCATGTTGAGTGACAGAAAACTTTGTGCTGATTCCATTTTTGATGTGTATCAAATTGAGTAAGATTCTTACTCAATTTGTGAACAGAATTCGTTTTGTTTCTTATCAACAGTGTTCAAGTTGATTTGCAAATTTACAGTAATTAAAATTTCAGAATCAGAATATTATGTAAGTGGTTTGTTGATCAAAAGTGGTTTGATAACGTAGTTTTACTCTTTATTGGATTAAACTGCATAACTTTGGCAATGGAAAGACCAAATATACCACCTGATAGCTTTGAAAGAATTTTTCTCTCTAGTGCTAATTACATATTTACAGCAGTTTTTGCAATGGAAATGTTAATCAAGGTACACCAATTTATAAAACAGTATAAGCTAAAACTTTGTTATACATTTGCAATTAATTAATTATTTATTTTGAGCAGCAACATTTGGTTCTTTTCGTAGGTCATTGCAACAGGTATGCTTTACGGGCCATCTGCTTATTTTACTTCTGGATGGAATATAATGGATGGATCACTTGTTATAATTTCAATAACCGACTTATTGATGTCACTTATATCTGCAAACAGTCCGAAAATTTTTGGCATTCTAAGAGTAAGTTGAGCATAAGATAGATCCTTTATCTAAATTAAATCACAATATTGTTACAGGTATTCAGACTTTTGCGCTCACTGAGGCCGTTAAGAGTTATAAATAGAGCACCAGGTTTAAAACTCGTCGTTCAAACTCTTCTCTCATCCTTAAGACCCATTGGAAACATTGTACTAATTTGCTGTACATTTTTTGTTATTTTTGGTATTTTGGGGGTTCAGTTGTTTAAGGGTGCATTTTTTTACTGTGAAGGACCTGATGTTAATAATATACGCAACAAAACCGATTGTCTATCAGACAAACGAAATATTTGGTTGAACAGAAAATATAACTTTGACGATCTTGGGAAAGCCTTGATGTCTTTATTTGTACTGTCATCACGAGATGGATGGGTGAATATTATGTACACGGGTTTGGATGCCGTAGGTGTCGACCAACAGGTATGATATATGTATTTATTTAATACTCAATTGTTGAAAATTATGTATAGGTCCGATTAAAAGTTTCTTGTTTTTTTAAAATTTTTTCTAACACCGTGTTATTGTATTAATTTATTTCAGCCAATTGAAAACTACTCGGAATGGAGATTGCTTTATTTCATTTCATTCATCTTATTAGTTGGATTCTTCGTACTAAATATGTTTGTGGGAGTGGTCGTTGAAAATTTTCACAGATGTCGCGAAGAACAAGAGAAAGAAGAAAGAGTTCGAAGAGCTGCTAAACGCGCTTTACAAATGGAGAAAAAGAGAAGAAGTATATTTTTCTTTTAAAAATATTTAATTTATTTATCAAAAACTATTTTTTGTTGAATGTTTGAAAGTGTCACACAAATATGTATGACATATAAGGATCATTAATTTTATTTGATCAAAAAATCGAAAGTTTAAAGTTTAAACACAAAACATTCAAACTTTTGATTTTTCAATGAAATTCGATAAAGTGGTTTATTGCCTTTTTTCATTTTTAGGATTACACGAGCCCCCTTACTATAACAATTATTCAAAAGTACGATTATTCATCCATAATGTTGTGACATCAAAATATTTCGATTTGGCAATTGCGGCGGTAATTGGACTAAACGTAGTTACAATGGCATTAGAATTTTACATGATGCCAAAAGCACTAACATATGCTTTAAAAATTTTCAACTATTTTTTCACAGCTGTTTTTATATTAGAATCAATAATGAAGCTTATAGCTCTTGGAATACAGTTATATTTAAAAGATAAGTAAGTAACAGGTTTATAACAGATTTTACTACATTTTAAATACAGATCTTTTAATAACACATATGTGTACCAAGCGATTTAGACTTTAAATGAATATTATTTCAGATGGAACCAACTTGATGTGGGCATTGTGATATTGTCAGTGGTGGGAATTGTTTTAGAAGAAGTTGAATCGAAAGTAATTCCTATCAACCCTACGATCATTCGAGTCATGCGTGTTTTGCGTATTGCAAGAGGTAATACATATTTTTTATAATATAATGTAAGCGACATATTTCTAATTTGTGTAAATAATTATTGTTAGTCTTGAAGCTACTTAAAATGGCAAAGGGTATTCGAGCACTACTGGATACTGTTATGCAAGCATTGCCTCAAGTTGGTAATTTGGGATTACTCTTTTTCTTACTGTTCTTCATATTCGCAGCACTTGGTGTTGAACTGTTTGGACGATTAGGTATATTTTGTGTCTTAATATACATGGAAATTTTCAGTTTACATAATGTAAAATGTTTAATACATTAGGTTATTTAATTTCCAGAATGTAGTGATGAAATGCCTTGTCAAGGTTTAGGAGAACATGCACATTTCAGTAACTTTGGAATGGCGTTTTTAACTTTATTTCGAGTAGCAACTGGCGACAATTGGAATGGTATTATGAAAGACACTTTACGGGATAATTGTGATGATTCAGAAGATTGTGTGAAAAATTGTTGTGTCAGCAATATTATTGCCCCGATATTTTTTGTAATATTTGTACTGATGGCACAGTTTGTTCTTGTAAATGTGGTTGTCGCAGTTCTAATGAAACATTTAGAAGAAAGTCATAAACAGGTAATATATGATTAAAAAAGTATCAAAGAATTATTATTTTATTTATTATTTTATTACAGATGGAGGACGAGCTTGACATGGAGTCACAACTCGAAAGGGAATTATTGGCTGAACAAGAAGAACTTTTAGTTGGTGAAAATGAAAATGTTGAAGAAACTAGCGTTCAAAATGTAATAGATGATAATGAAATAATGACATCACAATGGAAAAATAATAGTCCTCCTGAATCTTCTCATGGACTCTCTAAAGTTCGGTCTCTACCCTCTAATTTTATTTATAATCATGGGTCAACCAAGAACCAAGGTAATAAATATTGATACACACTGAAAAAAAATTGAGTTTCAAAAAAATATTCCATTTCATTGTATATATTATTTTTTGTTTATTCTAAATAAAGTTTGTTTAAGCTAAATATATATCTATTTGATTTAATTAAACATTTGGTTATTTGAAGAATATTTTTTGTTAAGCAAAACAAACGTTTTGTCAACTATATAGTAATTGTTTTAATATTTCTGATTCAACTAAAATTTGGTTGTTTCAAAACAATTTCTTTCTAAGTTTAATAAAGCAAAGTATAATGTTCTACAGATTTAAATAGATATTGTGAATTTAAGTATAAGAATAACATATAGAAAAAATGGTTGTCAGTTTTAGATGCTTCCTTACATGTATCAACGAGGAGAAGAAGAAGAAGAAGAAAGAGCACCATACTTCAGCTCTCTTCAAAATCGGCAAAATTAAAATCTGGTCATAAATATAGTAATATGCAACAACAGAGCACCATTAATTCACCTAAATTCGAATGTAATAAAGTAGTTTCGAATTCATCGAATTACCTTATTCCTCCCACTATTTCGTATTCAGCAAGAAGTAGAGATACTTCAGCTGATTATTTAAAATCAGAAAAAGAGATTAAATTAAAAACGCCACCTATTGATGAAAATTTTTGTATCAGTTCGAAAAAAATCGTACATGGTAACAATGTGAATAATAAGCCTAACAATTTTCACGAAGATTATGATGTGCAATCAATAATCAATGAACGAAGACCACTTAAATTAAAAGTGAATGTTTCAGGACTTTCAAACTCTAACAGAAATGATAATATTCCTGTTGCAGAAAGCAGATGTAATAATATATCAAACGATGACAATTTAAAAAATTATTCTGTAAGTTTCAGTAATGACTTTAGTTCGAGTGGATTATACTAATAGCGGTAAAATCACTGTTTAACAAATATTTGTTATGTTGAACATTTTTAAAACCAGTATAGCTAAATGTTAAGTGAATAGAATGAAAATGATGTAGTTTCTATTGATCCTTAAAAGGATCGTATAATTTTGAGATATATTTTTTTTATTTATTTCTTGTAAACTTAAATGTATATATGTATAGACACGTAAAACATGTCTAAATAAAAGGTATTCTCTAAACAAAGATTATTTTTCAATTAAAACAAAATATAAATACCTATTTTTACTGTTTTCAGATCAAATACCTAATTAATAAAAACAATCATTTTATAACTTACCTATCTCATCTTCTGATGAATTGGTCAAAACCTTATTGCATTTGTTTAGTCGCTTTTTCATTTTTTAGACTTAATTGGCGAAAAATATAAATATTGAGAGGCACTTCATCTCGATTCATTTTCAAAAGAATAAATATAATAACAGGTAGGTACGAAAGTGAAGTCACAATAAAATCATGTGATAACCACAACATAAAAGATACCGGCTACGAGAAAAAGCACAAATAATTAGATGCGTGAAGGCCAATGCAGAATGAACATCATTAACGAGCATGAAAAAGAAAAGGACACAGACAGGCTCTCCTGTCAGGCCGGTCAGGCTTCAGGTAAAGCAGTTTTCTCTTTTTTCTTTCCTGTATCCTGCGCTGGCCTCAACATAATTACCATCAAGCAGGGAAATTATGGAACAAAGAGCGCAATTTTTTCAGTCTTTTCTTCACTGAAAATCTAAATTTGTATAAAAAAAATTTCCTAACTATTCAAATATATTATGAACATATTTCACTTCCTCCAAGTATCATTAACAAAAACATTTTTTTCCGCAGCTATTTAAATTTAAATATTGTTTCATAATTGATTGGCACTTGGGGCAATTATAGAACAATAGATTTATTTGAATTATAAAAACTATTACATATTAAAATATATTAAGGATACATACAATCAAATGAAATATGTAAATTTGAGAACCTTAACTTTTACTTGTGCAATTATGTTTTCTATTTTATTGTTTATATGTATAAATAACGCCATTTAGAGTGAATTCCAAGTGCAAGTTCAATACTATTTCCTGCAAATAAAAATCAATGTTTTACGTAGAATATAACTATACATTAAAAAACAACACAATATAAATTATATATAACAAAAGAAAATTTATTCTAAAGTTATGAATTTATATAATATACCTATTGATTCTGAAGAGTAGGTCTTGTTGGACAGTGTAAAAGGTTGTTCCACTTGATTAAACATCCTCAAATTACAATCAGTTTGATTAAAATTGATTCCTTCATTTAAGGAAGTATAAAGTGTTTCAAGAAACAATTTCCATCTAGGTTTAAAGTAGTCTTCAATAATTCCAGACCATTGTTTGTTTGCATAATCAATAATTTCCCCATTTGGTCCCCAAAGTGTTATTTGATTTTTAGCATTGTATTCGTAATTAAGAATTTCCATTTCATTTGTTCCAAGGGATTTTGCATCTTTTAGCCAAACACCAAGCAAGAAATTTTCATGTGATGCTAATATACGTTCCAAGTCATCAAATAATTCAAGTAACATCGAGGAATGAAATCTGTCAAAGTGTCAAATGATGTCATAATAATAATAAACAGCTTAAAAGACCAAGAAAACAATTTTTTTTTTAAATTCTCAAAACTCAAAAATACTCAAAACTTACTTCAAATCTAATTTATTACTTTTCGTATAAGCCTCCAAAATTTTTAAGTAAATCGTATCAGCTTTTACTTGCAGAACCTGCCTTGTTACATCAACTAAATCATGTTTATATAGACTGCTACTACCTCTGTTATGCCTGCCCATTAAAAGCATATCCCAAGCAGACAAAATTACATTATAATCATACCAAGTCTACAAAAATAATAAAAATAAAATTATTTAGGAGGGGAGAATTTTGAGATTTTAAAGGGATAACTGTGGGTTTTTTATAAAAAAATGAGAAGAAAATCAATGAGAAGTGCGTCACTTACCCACACTTTAATTTTGAGACTCGGTTTTCTTGTTATAACATAATGACCTCGAATTCTTTGAGAGCCACTAAAATTATAAACAGATTTTCCAAGTTTTTTCCAAGCATCAGTTGTATATTCATTCCAAGCACCATATCTTCTCGAAGCATAATTCTCAAACCTTTTAAAATTTAAAAGTGCTTAAGAAACAAAGCTACCATCAGTTACTTCTCTTTAAATACAAAATATCATACCATGCTTCTAAATTTACTGGTTTTTTGTGATATCCCATTTCCATCATAAGTTCATATATGACGTAATTTTGGTTTATCCCTTCGGGTGTCAAACCCACTCCTATCATAGTACTTCCGTTAAACTTTCTGCTTTCAAAAACTCGCTAAAACAAGAAGATAAATGCGCAAGACTCATAAACATTTTCAAAGAGATGAGTGATCATATTTCTATAATAACAAAGAGGCAAGTACCTCATTTATTATTTCCGAGGAACCAAACATTCCAAGAGTACCTCCAAAATTGTGAAGCATACACCAAATAAATGGCTGTCCAAAGTAAGATTTAAGTCTTTTGTACTGAGGGAACTGTTCAGATTGTAAATCAAGTATTATCATTTTTCCCTAAAACATAAATATTCGTACATGTAAAAGTGGAATATTCTCTGTAACATTTAAATAATGTGAGTGAGGGTCAGACAAGGCTCCTTGACTTTATTCAGGTCACAAATTATTATTTCTTACTTTAACAGATAATTACCGTCGGTACAGACGTTACAAAAGCTCTAACCCTGGATTCCGTCCAGAATTGAAAATCATTCACAAACATCCATCCTTGTAATAACCTAAGAATGAAAATAAATATTGTGATAGAATAATTTTGCTACTACAAACGTATCTATAAATATTTATTTAAAATATCCACTTACCAAATTGCTTCACTGTCAACAGTAGTCAGAGCTTTAAATATTGCCTTGCCAATGTTACTCAGATAAGTCAAATTACCACTACTTGGTTTATTCTCATTGAATGCATCGCAATTGTAAATATGATCTGAACCAAATTCTTCTATATACTGAAATAAAATAACTATTGAAAATTTTTACGAAAAGTTGATGAAGTTGAACAAACCAATGAGACTTAAAAATATTCCAGCAAGAACTGAAAATTCTAATCGACGTAATAATTAAAATATGTGAATCATAATCATAAAAAATGTAACAAGACTTAAATTTTTATACAACTACCTTTCTTAAAAAGTCTGTCCCAAGTATTTGAAACAATGGATCTGCAGGCTCAAGCATAAGAGGGCTGAAAAATTAGTTATCATACAAAACATTTATTATGTTCTACAAGGAAAAGTTTCTAGTACTTACCAACAATATCGATCTTGAAATGTATTCCATTCACTCATTTTTGTCATAGTTGCGTTTGGAAAATGTTTAGCGAGTGCTCTTGGTACTTGTCCAGAAAATGCAGGCAAAACTGACCTCATACCAAGATTTCTCATTCTGTTCAAAATTTTATGTTGCAATTTAATTGTGAAAGTATGCCACGATGAAGTTAATGGTCCTCCCCATCCTCTGATATTTCCCATTCTTGACCTATAAACTTTTCTACCTCTCATTACATAGATCAAAGTTTCAATAAAAAAGTAAATCTAAAAAAGACTGCCTCGCTGGCTTAAAATAAGACTTTTCTTTGCTGTGTATAATTAAGCTGTAGTTAAAAATTGAAGAGCTAAGAAAAAGAGCATTAAAAATTATAATAATTAACCATGGTAAAAATGCTGGCCCTCCAAAGTGTTCATTTATCTCCTCAAGAGTTAAATTCATTTCCATATAAACTCTTTGCCAAATGGCCTCTTGACCAGCAAATGCAAGTGATAAATTAATACCATTTAAAGCCATCCAATCAATATGTCTTTCCCACTGTTCCCATTGCCACCAAACCGTACTGTAACCTCCTAAACAAACGTTTTGGTAATATCTGAACCTGAAATATACGTAATATATTGCCTTAATATTTTATTTTTCATAAAAACATTAGTCTGATAGTAATCAGTGCTGATGAGGAAAAGTACTCAGTACTTCGAGATTAGCACTGCTCTCTGGACAAAAGTAAATAAATTTACTTGTCATTCGCTGTTATAGTCAAGTTTACATCCGGAAAAGTATTTGGCAATTCAAGTTGCGATCCTTCCCAAGAAATATGAACATTACAGAAATTTTTTAAATAATAATGCAGTCCCCAAGCTGCTGCAACTCCAGAACTTCCAAGAATCGTTAAAATTTGTTCAGAGTTTTTAACAATCTTAAAAGACAAAAGAGAATAATTATGGCATATTTAAAGTATATATGAGTTGAACAAAAATTTAACTTTAATCATAAATTTCCGACAAGACGATAATACACATAGTTCTTCTTAAACTAAACGTTATCCCAACTCCATATTTTCGTTCTTTTTAAATATTTTTTTTTTACTTTTTCAACTGTATTAACTGTATATAATGTTGATAGTGTTATACACATATTTTTATTGTAAAGTATACTTAAATAATTACCCACCTTAAATGTGTCCTTACCCTCACTTATTAGGCTAAAATCAACAGCTATAGACACACGTTTTGAGAATTTACCCAAGAGCCTCGATGATAATTTTCTGACTTCATTTGTTTGAATTTCCGATGCAGTTTCAATATCTATTTTAATATTTATTTAAAAAAAAATATATTCGAATGTTAATATTTATACTAACAATTTTCTATTTTTGTTTAATAAGTAAAGAACAAAAATCTGCATAATTTCAATTTGACAAAACATAATATTTAACAAAATTTTAATCTTTTAATGAAAAGAAGTGATAAAAAATTCTGATAATTTCTATTTGTCATTACAATTTTGATATAATTATAAAATAAAAATGTATTAAACTCGCCATCATTTTTAACAGTGTAAACAAGATCTTAATCTGCAAGCTTTTATAAAGTCAAGGTTTATTATGTAAAATATATTTTTTAAAACTTACTGAATTTTGTTAATGCACTGCTGGGAAGAGAAAACAGTGTAATATTGCTTATTAATATTAGAAATAAGATATATTTCAGTGTAATCATTTTCACGTTCGACAGATAAATCTGTATTAAGACTGATACATTGCCTTTACTTAAAGTTAGTAAATATCGTTTAACGTATCTCACAGATTGAAGATTACTAGGTATCTTTCAATGCATATACGCATGTATAGGAGCGATTTAGGCAATATTGTACTATAGTGTATCATTATGACTTCTCTGTGATTGATATATAAAGAAGTAACAGTGGTGAGATATGAATACCTGACAATAACATCGAACATTTTTCTCACATTCATAATTTAATGTAACGAACAAAATTTTTTACTTCCATTTAGCAATTAAAAAAATCTTATTTATAAATTTTAATTTTTATTCCAATTTTATGATAAACTATTGAAATGTAAATTTATATATAAATAAATTTACGGAACTCATCGATTTTCACTTATAAGGTTGAAAATTTTTAAATTGTAAGCACACCTTTTATTTATGGCTCATTTTCTTGGAAATTTATTTCAAAACAATTATTTTCTTGAGTGATTCATATTATTTTAATGCCATGCTGGTTAAATGCCTAAGACGAAAATATTATCTTTTTTCAGAAAATATAATCAAAAATGTGTATTTCTTTCTTCACGTTAAAGCACTAAAAGATTTTTAAATAAATGAAAATATAATAGTCGGGTACCAGCAACCAGAATTTTCTTGTATTCTTAATTTATATTCTAAAAATTTGATAAATATCCATAAGGAATAAATAATGTGAAAAAGTAAATAGTAAAAGAAAAGTAAATATAGAATTAAAATTTCATGTATTTTAAGAGATGTCAATAATAAAAATTTGATTGGGAAAAATGGAGAATTCACACCAAGTCATCGCACTTCCCTCCGCTTATATAACACGAAAATAAAACATTTATAATATTTGTAAAATTAATTTTAATAAAAATTAATGAGTCACATTTAACAAATAAAAGAAAACATATGTTTACAAAAAGAATTTTCTTCTACTTGTTTCCATCTCATGACGACGACCCTCAATAATCCACTCAAAATCTCCATACTTACTGTCAAATGTTCCATATTGTAAAGACTTAACTTTTAAGGTGAATCTCGGCCCGAGTTCCCGCAACCTGGGTTTTCCAGTATCCGGATTAAATTCGTATCTAAAAAGGAGAGTTAAAATTAATATACTGTAAATTATTCAAGAGTGCATCGACAAAGATACAGTTGACAAATTTTTCGATAAATAATGAAAAAAATTTTCTAATACCTGTGATGTCTAAAGAATATGTAATCACGTTGATTGTGGAATGTAACAACTCTTCGTCCTTTGAATTCAGGTTCATAATGAAATAAGGCGCCCAACATTCTGCCCACTGAATGCCCCAAACGGGTCGTAAAATTATTTAAAATAACTTCTGGACGATGATTAGTAATTTCTTTATGACTGCGCTTCAATTCTGGAGTAATTTTCACATTGCTCAGTTTGCAATGTAATGTCGGACCATCCGGTAAATGGATAATCAGCAAGCCATCTTAATAATTCAGGAAAATAATTTTTTATTAAATGATTACTATCTAATTAGTTACACAAAATTCGAAAGAATCTATCCCAATAAAAAATCATTTTGGCTGCATCTAGTCAAAGTTTATTAAAAACTAGCAAATGTTACGATCAATTTATTATTGTTATGCAAATTACAAAATTTTTTATATTCAAATATAAATTTTAAAATATAATCAAAATTTTTTAAATTATTATTTATTTTGTACTTATTAAGTACAAAATTAATTATCATTGTTTATATTTTCAAAAATTTTAATATAATTCTTAGGAACAATTCAATTATTTTTATAAATAGATTATTTGTCCGTCATTGGCAAATATGAAACAAATTAAATACAATTCCCATAAAATTTGTTCAAGACTGAAATTTTAGCAAATGAATGGTTTGAATTGGAAGGTTTTTTAGAGAACGTTCATATATACAACGCATTTTTAAGTATACAGTTATATTGAAAATAAATAGTTTTATTTGAATTGTCATGTAAAGCATAAATTTCTTTAAAAAGGATACTCGGTTCTGATCTATTTTCATTTACAACAACAATATCAGTAAAACTCTTAGCTGTAGCACTTTTCACAATCTTTTTAACACCAGATCGATTTCTATACAATGATATTGAGTTTGGAATTATTCTTGTTAATTCACGTCCAAAAATTCTCGTTTTTGTAGAAGGATTATCAGCAAAAGTTATCAAAACTTTAGGTTCATAATCATGTCGATAATATGATGCAAACTCATCAAGTTCTATATCTTCCTTAATCTCTGCATTTATTGAATCATCTAAACTTCCAACGATGATTGTTTCATCTTTCTCACGCAAACTTTCTATAGTATGAGGTACTTGCTTAGGTGCGCCTGTTTGCAATTTCAGTTTTCTAGCTTCTCGTTTGGCTTTTGCTTTTTCCCTTTTAAATTTTTCTCTTTTTTGACGTCGAACTATTTTACATTTTATTTCACTAAAATTACCATCACAAGGAAACTTAGCTTCTTTGTTATTTACCTCATTGCTATTCGACACACTTTTAATCTGGGAATCATTATCTCCATTCTGCGATACTCGATGCAGTGGATTAACTCGTAATCCTTTTAATTTCATATTAAATTAATGATTTAAATATAACGAGAATGGTTTATTCTACCTCAACTATAACATGCAAGTTGTAATTTAGGGCGAAACATGTGCGAAGCAAGAGACAGGTTAGGTTGGCTCTATAAACACAGTCAAGGTTAGTCTTCAATGTAGTCGTAACGGTGAGTCCACAATAGACAACTTTTCCTCAAGATAGTTTGTCTATTGTGGACTCGACCTAAAGGCGCTCCCTGTTTAAGGTGCAATCCCATAGAACCTTTTTGCGTTGACGCGTGGTCATGAGTGCAAATATAGCGAACATATATCTCCATCTCTCTCAAGCTGTATCTACATAGCGAAAAAAAAGTGAGAAACGCGCGACGCAGACGCGAAACGCGAGAAAAATACATGGCAATTTCTCGCGTTTCGCGTCTGCGTCGCGCGTTTCTCAACTTTTTTCTGTATTGTATGCTGCATGCTGCATCTACATGGCAAAGGTAACGCAAGACGCAACGCGAAACGCACAAAAATACCATGCATTTCTAGCGCGTTTTGCGTTGCGTCTCGCGTTATCTTTACCATGCAGATACAACAGTAGAGGCAGCATCATGTTGTATCTACATGGCAAAGGTAACGCGAGACGCAACGCAAAACGCTGCCGTGGCCCCACCCTAATGCTGTATCTACATGGCAATTTACAGCATCTTGGATCAAAGTGTGAATTCCCCATTACTCATTCTTCCGTTAGGGTGGAGTCCCATGACAGCGTTTTGCGTTGCGTCGTAATGGGAGAGAAAAAGACGCAAATAGACGTTTGCTGCATTCTCTCTTATTACAACGCAACGCAAAACGCTGCCATGGGACTGCGGCCTTAACGTCAGCAATTGCAATTGCAATTACGTTCTATTCTGCTCAGGCCTTCTTCACATACCCGACTCTATTGTGATTAAAGCTTAAAGGAGACAAACATATTTTCTTTCTCGTTTTAAGACCAACGAACGCATGAGACAGAAAAGGACACAATTACTGCCTTGAGCAGATAGCAGAGCTCTGAATGCACCTTAAGGTCATACATATATTAATTATAGAAGTGGCTTAATCATAAGTTTTGTCCTATCAATGCATTCTGATCCCTGGATGCGTCACTTCCCATTACTTTGCTGTTGCTCGTTCGTTAACTGCTTTTGGTTCTTTTGCACATGTTGAGTGAAAAGTAAATTTAAAAACAAGAAGATTTGTTGTTTCTTGTAATTATTAATATTGAATAATCAATAATGGGTGGTGATGATATTCTTGGTGTTACAACTGGACAGCCTAATTTATTGAAACAAGACTTATCAAAGCTCGTATGTATAGCATTTGTACAATTTTTACAATAACTTTAATCACGTTTTCATAATTTCTGATTTTTTTATCGGCATACCGTTTTTTTTCTCTTTTAAAATTTGTTTTTCAGTAAAATCATTTCTTTTATTATTGCCATTGTTACTGTTTTTGTTATTGTGGTGAAGCTTAAAATCTCAGTGATAAAAAATGTAATTTGTACATTTAATATTTTGGCGCGACATATGCTTTTGTATACCTTCTACTTGTGCAAATGTGTTAAGCTACTGTAAGTTTGATTAGCTAATTTTTTTAAAGCGTTGTTTCTCTCATTACTTATTAATTAAGAAAGTAATTATTTTTAAATCATGTGAGTAAATATCCATAAAAATGGAGTTATTTCAGAATTTTTATAGAGATGTTTTTTAAAGTTTATATTAAATATATATTAAATAAAAAAAAAACTTGAGTGAATTTATTAATTCTTATACAGCTGTTTTTTATAGGATGTGCATCAACTTTCTCCTTTATCACCGGAAGTCATTAGCCGTCAAGCAACAATCAATATTGGTATTTTCAGATTTACATTCTTAGTTTATTGTTGTTGTTTAATTAATTCACATAATTAAAATAAACACTTGTTTTTAGGTACAATCGGTCATGTAGCACATGGTAAATCAACAATTGTCAAAGCTATTTCTGGTGTGCAAACTGTTCGTTTCAAAAATGAACTTGAACGAAACATAACCATCAAATTAGGTGAGTAAATTTATTTTATTTTACAATTATGACAGCAATCTTGAAACCTTAGTTACTTATATCTGCTGTGTCTTTGATTTAATTTGAATTTGGGATTACTGCGAGTGTTAGGATTGCAAGTTTTTAGACTTTTTCATTTTCAGTAAAAAGTGCGTTTTGCATTTTAAAGTCACTTGATATTGAATTAGTTGTTTATTTTTTTCATTTAAGGTCATGTCCAACTCGAGTCAGTTGTTCACTAGAAGATTTGGACACTACCTTAAAGAACTATCTCGACATCTCTGACATCCTCTTAAGGAAAGAAACTATATTAATATAATGAACTCACAAAATCCTCTAATGTCGATATTGTTGTTTTTTTAAGATCTTGTCAAGACGAATAATTATCAGTTTAATCCAAACCTTTTAAAGTTTTTATTTAGTTTTGAATTGTAGTTCACATAGATATATATTTCTGAAGTTTATCAAACAGTAGTAAAAAAAAATTAAATAGAATGTAGAAAATTTGAATTAAATTCCATTCGGAATAATACTTTTAAAATCAAATTCAATATTGTTTGCTAGATTTTTTTAAGTAATCTTCGCTAGAAATTGTGTACACATGTTTCAAATTGCATCCTTTACCTGGTTCCAAATTGTCTTTTAGATTTTCCAAATTTTTTAAACCTTCTTAGAAGAAGCTATTCAAATATAATTTAACCAAGTTTACGATTAAATTAAATCGAGTAATCTGCACATAAAATGCATGTGCACCAAGGAATTATAACCTCAATGAAACCTATAGACTTTCGTACACAAAAGGAGCTTATGTTTTTTATACATATATGCTTGAATATTAAATTGAAATATGAAATTGAATATTAAATTAAAAACTATAGAGCATGTATTTTATTTTAGACTGGAATCAGTTCTCATAAATTTTTCCACAAATTAAAAAAAATCATTCTATTTTTATCTCTATAGCACAATATTTGTTTGCAGTAAGTTTATAAGACAAGTTTGCAACAAATCTACGTGGATCAAGTTCACAAAGTTTATGATTAACGAATCGAAGAAAAAATATTTTTTTGGCGTAAAAGAATTTTTTTTTTTTTCTTTTCTTTTTTTCTCTCTAAATTTTTGGACAATTTTTAGACAAAAAAAACAAATAGAAAAATATTTTTCCTTACAGATTCTTCATTATAAACATTTTCAAGTTCACTAATCTCCAGATCTTATCTGCATAAAAATGTTCCACTTTGTAAGTTTGCTTTACAAACATACAAAGAGTGATATTTTTATAAAGATACAAAGAATGCTGCAAATTTTCCGTGCAAACTTTCTGGAAAATATTGTATGTAGAAAAAATTGTGCTTAAATGTTTGAATGAATAAACAGTTTTTAAAAACCACAACTGTAGGACTTAGTTTTGATTTCATATGCAGACAATAATTTGCATTCTCATTGCATTGAATCCCTATTTTATATTTATCAAATTGTCTTGGGTATAAAGTTGAATGAATTTTTAGATATAGATTGTGGTTTCAAAAATCAAATCCCGCAGACTTGTTATTTTAATTCATCCTCTAGAACTTCTACATTTAATTGTAGTCATTGTAAATTGGCGTTTAGTTAATGTCGTTAAGTAACCATCAAACATTTTTTGCAGTTTACTTTTTCAAGCTAAAATTTGAGAAATTTAATTGAATTTAATTCAAGTTTTAAACGAATATAAATCAGTGAGTGAATATTGTGAAATTGTAATATCTTTCATTTTTTCTGTGTGAAAAATTAATTTCGATTATAAAACTACATTATTTTGTAAAATCTAATATCATTTCGCAAGTGGTATTTTCATTGTAGTCTTAGTTTTTAATCTTTTAGTCAGTACACGTGTTAATTTGTATGAATTTCGTATCTTTATGTTCAAGAAGGGAAAGAATTTTATTTTAATGTTCATAATTATTTCAAGTTAAAAGCCTTATTTCGGGGGTTAAACTGTTTTTGGAAATACAAACAAAGTGAAATGCGTATGTTATTATCAATCAGAGAAATACTTTTTTAAAATAAATCAATCATAAATAATTACCTTTTTTCTCCGTTCATTATTGTTTAAAAAATGTCGATTTGGAAGCCTATTGGGGTCACGGAATTAAATTCTAAAGCGCTTGAGTGGGGATAAGTTAGTGTAGGCAAGGGGTTAATAGATAACTTGAGTTGAAAACATTAAATGAATTTCCCTTCTTTTTGTCAGACCAATTTTTTTTGGTAAATGATGTTATTAGTTGCTTCAAAGTAAATAATAATCTTTAATCTTTCATATAATAAATGACTTAGGATGACGCAATATTTCTCTTGATCGCTTATAGACAGCGAAACGAGAACTGTATTTAGATATGCTTAAAATATTATATTTATATGTACAACACATTATGACCATTTTTTATTATTATTATTATTATTATTACCAACACTATCAGGGTGGCCACATGTCAGTAAAGTCAGGGAAATGTCAGGAAAAAAATTTTTTGTCAGTTAAGTAAGGGAAATGTCAGGAAAAATTTTTTTGTCAGGGCAATTAAAGAAGAAGGGAAATGTCAGGAAAAACAATTTTTTGTCAGTAAAGTCAGGGAAATGTCAGGAAAAATTTTTTTGTCAGGGCAATTAAAGAAATTAAGACGGTCATGCAATACATTTTTTGCTGTATAAACAAAAAAATTTTTGTCAGGGAAATTCGTTGTTATGTCAGTAAAATGTCAGGGAAATGTCAGGGAAATTGATAAAGTCAATCTTGCGGCCACCCTGACTATCTAAATTTGAATTTAGTAAGAGTGTTTACTAATTTAAATTACTGATTGTGTTTTTGCTTTTAAATTAGTAAATTTTAATAAATAGTAATTTCTACTAATTTATTAGTATAATTTACTAATTCAAAAGCGAAAAGTCAATCACTAATTGAAATTAGTAAACATTTTTACTCATTTAAATTTAGAGAGCACAGATTAAGTATTTACAAAACACATTTTTATTGTATATTATCTCTTTAATTTGCATCTAATTTAATCTAGATGTAATTGTTGACAAAAACATTATACACTTGTGTAGAAACCTATGTAAATTGACTCGAGTATTTTACTTGTCCAACTCTGAATCGAAGTACAATGTTGATTTGCCGCTTTCGTCCCGCGCATCTTTTTTCCCGTCTCAGTAACGCGACAAACCTAGCCAAAAAAAAAAGGATCTGAAGAAGTAAGAATTTGGACTTGAAAATGCACATAAAGCATTAAATTTAGATAGAAGCAATAATAAGCTTATTATAAAGGAGTAATAGTGAAACCGCTCAGTGAAACAGTAAGATATTTAAACATCTGCAGAAAGATAAGTACGAATCAACAATATTATGGCTGAAAGAAACTTCAAATAGGAAGACTTTAAATGTATAGAATGGAAAACCTAAATTTTGCTAAATATTTGCTAAATATTTACCACTCTTGTGCAGCTTAGACCGTATTGCTCGCCTGATTAATGAAATAGTAGGAATGAATCATCTAATTCTATATAAAATTGGACTATAATACTGTTTTCTCGATAAAAAATAAGTCAATTCCAGTATCTAGAGATGAATAATCTGATATTGCGTGTGAAAGAGTATCAATTTTCGGACGAATATTGTTCCCGTATGATTGTAAGATTTTCCGATGCGTTCAGTTGTTAATTATAATTATGAAAATGTGAGAAGAATAAAACTTGTGAATTAGTGAATACATTAAGATTACACTTGACATATTTTTTTGAGCCGATTAATTATTGTTTATATAAGATTGGTGAAGTGAATAAAAGAAAACAGTCGCGTCTGCCAGGTCACGTGCTCGTTAAAAGTTAGTACTACCGATATTGTGAAAGGTTTAAAGTTTGTCACTGAGTCCTCTACTGTACTAAAACTAAACTGAGGCCCTATACCACTATACGCATAGCTGGCGCGCATAACATTAGTTTTTCTTTAAAATTTGAACAGCAACTAATACCAGGTGATACTTGATGGAAATGAATTAATGTACTTTCTCTGGACTGAGTCCTATTTATTTAATACACACTCCCATTTTTTTTGCAAAGAAGCAAAAAATTTTAAGTTATGTTTATAATTTTGGGAGTATAAATGCAGAAAGAGAATCAATCACTATTACAAATTTGTATTGATGTTCAAGTCTTCAATACATGAAAAGGTGCAACAAAAACTGATTTCAAATTTACAGAATTAAAAAGGAACATTTAATCAAGATAAATCTATCAGAAACATAACTTTGGGAGTGCGTCAAATATGTAATATTAAAATATACAATTTCTTTAATTCTACTTTACTCATGTACTTTTATAAGTATAAAATATCTTTTTAAATTAAGTTTCAAGTTTCTAATTGTAAGGCAATTAGTGGGGTTCTAAAATGAACTTTTCTTGTCAAAATATGAGTCAGTGCTTTACGAGATCCACATAGCAGGCCTGATTTCGTAAACGCTATAAAATGAATCAGACCATGCACTACTTTTTCCCAACTGTGTCCACATTCAGGCCTAAGCACAACTAAGTCGGGATATGGGCTCCTAACCTCAAAATGTATGTAAATGTTACATATCCTGTACCCGACTTAGTTGTGCTTAGGCCTTTATACCATATTTTTGCATTAAGTTATCTCTTATAAAGGAAAAAGGACGCCGCCATAAGAATTTAATATGTCCTGCCGGCAGGACGGAACAGTTTTATGGCGACGTTCTGATAAAAGGACGGACGTTTCATCTATTCCTTCGTCAAGATAAGAGGTACAAATAAGTAATTGGGAATATTTAATCATTTTTTATAAATTATTGATTAATGCTTGAAAAAAAGTCAGATGTTATTACACGAAAAATTGAGAGGTAAATGAAAAAAAACTCATTATGGTTCCCTTTTAATCCTGAAGGTCACATATATACACAATTAAGAACTTACTGTACATAACATATTTCATTTAAACATATACAATTAAATATAAATAGAATTTTTATTAAAAACTGGAAACTGAGAAAGTATATAAGATGAAATTTAAGGTGTCCTGAATCCAAATTCAGTGCATCCAAAAAGAAAAGTCGAGTGTATTTTCTCAGATCTATGTTATTACTTAAAAGAAATTTCTAAGCAAACAGTATTTGAAGAAATATAGTATTGGTCGTGATTGGTAACTTAACTGTTCAGTTTAGCACTGAGAATGATAACTTATCAAACAAGAAGAAGTGAAGAATATTATCATTTGGCATTTTCTAATCAATTCGTTACTTAGAGAAAGGCAAATTCGAAAATTTCGTTTAATTTTTTTCGCTCTTGGTTGAAAAAGACATCTTTCTTACTGCTTAGCTGAATTAATAAGTAATAAGTTATTCCTCTCAAGCGTCGACATAATCGCCTGTCATAGAACCACCAATGTAACCCAGAATGGTTGACAATTGTTGACAATTGTTGACAATTTAAATTGATAATTTATACAACTTTATAAGCTTGCGTAATATGAAGAGTTTGAAGAAATTGATAGACTTTGAGGGTTATAGAGGGAAAGTTAGAATTTAAGCTAGAAAAGTGTTTTGCATTTTGAATTTTGTATCAAAGGCTTCTGAATAAAGAAAATGACGACGTTTAAATGTTTGGCATTGCAGAGGCTCGTGCTTGTGCAGCAGATACTAGCAGTGGAGAAAAGGCTGGACTACCAGATGAAGCAGGCAAAACGATCAACGGCTGTCAAAAACGGCCCATAACTCTTGGATGCTTTCAACCGACAGCGAAGCAGCCAAAAATTGATGATCCATTGTGTGATTCTCAAACATTGACGTACTTAGAAGAAAAGAGAAAAACAGATGTAGTTGTACATGATAGTGATAATTGTTTTATAAAAGAATGTGAGACTATTGAAAATTATGATAAATTTTCTCCGATACTTCAGAGCGATACTTCAGATAAGTATTTTGTTCCAATATCAAACATGATAAAACTTGAGAAATTGAAAGAAGTAAGAATAGTTTTAGAAGATATTAGTAAAACAATGATGAACTTGAAAAATAATAAAAAGAAAGTCAAATCTGGAAATATATATGAAGTTGAAAGGATATTAGACAAAAGAATTACAAATGGCGTAATTTTTTATTTAGTAAAATGGAAGAGTTGGAATATGGACAATACCACATGGGAACCAATTAAACATTTGAATGATTGTCCAAAGGCTCTAAATGATTTTGAGGAAAGTAGAATTAAATCATTAGAAGATTTTCAAATGAAAATTCAATTTTATCCGAAAAGACGGGAAGTAGAGAGATTCATGAAGAAATTAGTTAATGATGGTGCAGAATTTGATGAATCTGAATTGGAAGCAGAAGATTATTTATTCAAGAAGATAAAGCAATATACTAGAACGACTCAAATGAAACGTGATAGTATTATAGAAAAAGTGAAAGAAGGTATTTTACGACTGCAGCTCACGAAGGAGAGAAAGAAAACGAATATCTCGTTGAAAGATTGGGAACATGAAATTAACAGTATAACGCAAGGCAAACCTATGATACGCGTTGAAAATATGGTAGACTTGGAATGTGCGCCACAAGATTTCTTATATATTGAGGATTACTTACCAGGTTTAAATGTAACGATTCCAGAAGATCCGCCAATTGGCTGTGAGTGTACGACTTGCGATTCAAAGACTAGATGCTGTTTTGCTCAATGCGAGAGTTCATTTCCTTACACGTCAACAGGTAAAATTCGTTTACCTCCCGGCACACCAATTTACGAGTGTAATAAACGTTGCCGCTGCCCTCCAGACTGTCAAAACAGAATCGTTCAGCGAGGCTCTCAAGTGAAACTTTGCGTCTTTAGAACCGCGAACGGTAGAGGTTGGGGAGTTAAAACATTGAGGAAAATCAAGAAAGGGACATTTGTTACACAGTACGTTGGCGAAGTCATCACTAACGAGGAAGCTGAGAAACGCGGTAAAGAATACGATGCTGCGGGACGAACTTATTTATTCGATTTAGATTATAACGATACGGAAGATCAGTGTCCCTACACTGTAGACGCGGCTGTTTACGGAAATGTTTCGCACTTTATCAATCATTCTTGTGATCCTAATTTGTCAGTCTACGGCGTTTGGATTGATTGCTTAGATCCCAATCTTCCGAAATTGGCTCTATTCGCTACAAAGAACATTGAACAGAACGAAGAACTTACATTCGATTATATGTGTCAGTCAATTAGAATGCATGAAAAAAATAAAACTTGTACCGCTCAAACTCTGAATGGATCTTTAAATGTTCCTTCGGAATCGCGAAAAAGATTGGAACTACCATTAACCTTGTCTGAAGAAGATGTAACTTTTGAAAATCGGACTAGATGTCGTTGTGGATCAAAGGTCTGCAGGCAGTATTTATTTTAAATAGTCTTTCGAGTCTTTCAAAGAATTAATCAGATCATGCTTTAGTGGAAATCTCGACAAAAGAAAATAGCAAAATATTTGACACATTCATCATTATTATGCTCTGTAGCTCATGTATAGTATCTTAAATGAGTTTCTTACTCATCATGTGCAAACAAAAAATCGAACGCGAATTTACATACAAAGCAGAATAATCACGCATATATATTTATATATACTTTCAAAAAAAGCAATCTATACATGTAGTTTTTGATATAACATATTTCACTTCTTATTCATTGTTAACAATTATTATTATTATTATTATTATTCAATTTTTTACTTTTTTATATTCAAGTAATCATATTTAAATCAACTTTTATAAACTTATTGACGTCAATAAAAATCCTATATATTTTTATCAAAGAAGGACTTTTTTGTGTACCTCTTTTTAAAAAGAAGATGAAATGTTTGCACGTTGTACCTCGCAAAACCCACAGAATTAAGGGTCTTGAACATCTCTTGATTCTTCTAATTATTTCCGCATATAATAAATAATTACATTTAGACTAATTATACTATATTTAATACTTGAAAAATATGTAATTATGTTATAAATTGTTTTTTTAATAAATTGTGATATTGTACTGTACTTTCTAAAAAATAAGCAATAATGCTTAACTTTCGAGATGAAAATTTAAAGGTGCACTGAGGGAAATAATTCTTTGGTATGTAGATTTTAATAATTACGGGTTAGTTCAAAAAGAAATTTAGATAACAGTATCTGGAATACAGCGTTGTTGCTTCGGTGAGACAATATTTGAAATTAGCATCAGAACTTCAATTATTTTTAAATCTTTTATAAAATTCCTTCTTCCCAGAAATTCAATTATTTTCAAAAAATAACAACATTTTTTCGCAAGAATTAAATTATTTTCAACTATTTTATAAAAATTCTTAGCAGAAATTCAATTATTTTCAAAAATAACAACCTTTTTTGCAAGAATTCAATTACTTTCAAGAGTACAAAAATTTGTGTCAGAAATTTAATTATTTTCCATAAACTTTAATAAAATTTCTCTAAAGAATTCAATTATTCTCAAAAGCAAACAAAATTTTTGTCAAAAATTCAATTACATTAAAAAATTTAAAGAAATTCTCGTCAAAATTTCAATTATCTTTATAAATAATCAAACTGTTCTTCGAAATTCAATTATTTTCAAAAAATTTGAATAAAATTCTTGGAAAAATTTCAATTATTTGCAAAATTTTTCCTAAATTCAATGATATTCAAATATCTACTATTTTAATAAAATTTTCCAAAAGAATTCAATTATTTAAAAAAAAAATGTTTATTAAAATCCTTCGCAAACGTTCAATTATTTTCATAAATAATAAAATAATTTCACAAGAATTCTGTTATTTATAAATTTTTTTATAAATTTCTTCGCAATTATTCAATTATTTTCGATAATTAATCAAATTTTTTAAAGAGATTCAATTATTTTCATAAATAATAAAACTCATCGCAGAATTTCAATTATTTTTAATACAATTTTAAAGAAATTTTTCGAAAAATGTAATTATTCTTAAAAATTTTATTATAAAACTTCAACAAAGAATTTTAATGAAATTCTTTTTAACAATTCAATTTTGTTTCAAAATAATTTTAATAAAATTCTACGTAGAAATTTAATTAATTTCAATAATTTATCAAACTTCAATTATTTTCAATCTCTACTACTTCAATAAAATTTCACAAAAAAATTCAATTGTTTAAAAAGAAATTTTAATAAAATTCGTCTCAAGAAATTCAATTATTTTCAAAAGTAATATAATTCTTCGCAGAAATTCAATTATGGTGAAAAGTTTGAAAAAATTCTCTTCAAAATTTCAATTATCTTTATATAAATAATAAAATTTTTCTTTAAAAATTTTAATAAAAAATTCTTGGCAAAATTTCAATTATTTTCAAAAACTTTTCTCAATTCAATCAAAATTTTTACAGAGATTCAATTATTTTTAATATAATTTCTCGAAAATTGAAATTATTCGTCAAAAGATTTTTAATTACCTATTTAAAAATTTGTTGATAAAATTCTTTATTACTAATTTAAATTTAGAGAGAAAGTATTATAGCTGAATTTTTATAAATAATTGAATTTTGAAAAGGTTTAAAATTATAATCTTTGAACATTTGAATTTTTCATACTTTAAACTAAAAATTGGGTAGATTTTATTTTTAAAAAAATTAATTGAATTTTTTTGAAGTTATTTGATGCTTTTATTGTCTAATATATATTTGATTGAAGAATTTTCTGAATAATCGATGAAATTTCTTAAAATTAAATTGTAAACAAATGGATTTGAAAATTTTCAAAGAAATTTGTCAAAAATTATTAAAAACTAGCAAAATAATTAATTTAAAGAAGAATTTTAGTTAAAAATTCTGGAAAACAATAATTTTTTTATTTTATTTTAATTTTGAATTATTTTTTATTTAATTTAATTAATAAATTTATTTTATTTATAAAACATGAAGACATCGATTGCTCCGAGTCGAAGACTCGGAGTGATCGATTTCTTCATGTTTTATAATAATTTTTTATAAGTTGTTTAATTTCAAAAAAAAGGTTTTAACACAGTTCAATGACGCGATCTGAAGAAAGGGATCTTAGAAGCAAAAAATTATAGGTTATGTTTGCAATTTTTTTAAATGAAAATACAAAAAAGGATCAATTGTCAATGTGAATTATTAATGTTTAAGTCTTTATTACAACTAAAATATTTAAGAAACATTGATTTTAATTTGTAATAAGTAAAAAGAAACTTTTAAACAAGAAAAAAGTAACGATAACATAACCTTAAAGTGGTCCCTTTCTTTAGATCGCGTCACATTTAGGACCTTGTGTAAATTTTAATTTAGATATTAAATTCAAGTCATTAGTTTAATCTCTTAATTACTCGAAGTAATAAAAATTTTTCTTTTTCATGATGTCAGTTTTGTCATATTTGATTTCTGTTTACATAATTTGAAAATAAAATTTTCAACTATTTTCAGGATATGCAAATGCAAAAATATACAAGTGCGATAATGAAAAATGTCCTAGACCTGGATGTTACATCTCAGGAGGTTCCAGTAAAGACGACTCATTTCCATGCCTTCGTTCCGCTTGTCCTGGACGATTTCAATTAATTCGTCATGTATCTTTTGTGGATTGTCCCGGTCACGATATTCTTATGGCAACAATGCTTAACGGAGCAGCTGTTATGGATGCAGCATTATTGTTAATAGGTATACAAATATTTATTAATTACACTATTTATTAATTGATTACCATTATACAATTGCTTTTTAGCTGGAAATGAGTCCTGTCCTCAACCCCAAACGTCAGAGCATTTGGCAGCTATTGAAATCATGAAGTTGAAACATATTGTTATCTTGCAGAATAAAATTGATTTGGTAAAGGAGGGCCAGGCAAAAGAGCAATATGATCAGATACAGAAGTTTGTTCAAGGTAATAATATTATTATTTGTTAGATAACTAAAACTAATGATATGCATCTGTTTAATAGGAACTGTAGCTGAGGCAGCACCGGTAATTCCTATTTCGGCGCAGCTGAAGTATAATATTGAAGTATTGTGCGAATATATTACAAAAAAAATTCCTGTACCATTACGAGATTTCACTTCAGAGCCAAGATTAATTGTTATTCGATCATTTGACGTTAATAAACCTGGTTGTGAAGTCGACGATCTTAAAGGTGGAGTTGCGGGTGGCAGTATTTTAAAGGGAGTATTAAAGGTGATTTTTCAAAAAATATCAAACTCTTTCTTTATAATATATTAATCTTCCGTTAACAACATATTGTATTTGTAGGTTGGAATGGAAATTGAAGTAAGACCCGGTTTAGTATCGAAAGATAGTGAAGGAAAATTAACTTGTCGACCAATTTTCTCTCGGATTGTTTCTTTGTTCGCTGAACAAAATGAGTTGCAGTTCGCTGTTCCAGGCGGACTAATTGGTAATGCATAATATAATATATATAAAGAAAGAGAGAATTTCATTTCATAAAATGAATTTTATAGGTGTTGGAACTAAAATTGAGCCTACCCTTTGCCGTGCGGATCGTTTGGTTGGCCAAATACTGGGAGCAGTCGGAGCTTTGCCTAAAATTTTCATTGAACTAGAAATTTCCTACTATCTCTTGAAACGATTGTTGGGTGTAAGAACTGAAGGTGACAAGAAAGGAGCTAAGGTATATGATTAAAAGACTAATTTCTAAATTAGTTAACATAGAATTATTATTATTATTATTATTAGAATTTCTTTTACTTAAATTATTTTATAGGTACCAAAATTGTCAAAGAACGAAGTACTTTTAGTTAATATTGGATCATTAAGTACGGGCGGACGAGTCTTGGCAACTAGGGCTGATCTTGCGAAAATAAGTTTGACTAATCCAGTATGCACTGAAGTTGATGAAAAAATAGCTCTTTCAAGACGTGTGGAAAAGCATTGGCGTCTAATAGGATGGGGACAAATTCGTGGAGGAGAAACAATTGAACCTGTGTTAGATCATAAATAGTTATCAATATCATTAAACACATTTATATAACAAAAAAATATTATTTGTAAGCATTTCATAGAATGCGTCAAAATTACATTTCATACTATACTTTACAATCATAATTTACAATAGTAAATATTATTGACGAAATAAATTTTTTAAATGATACACAGGTTTTAAAATTAAGGAGCGGTCACAAGCTCTTTATGCAGTAGAGTTGTGATCGTACCCTTATACAAAGTTTCATAAAATACTAAAGTCTAACGCACAATGGCTTCGCGAACGAGTCGCATGAGATAGAAAAGGACAGAAAGCAAAGTTAGAGAAGGATGATAGGTATATTTTTCTTTAACTCATTCTTGCGTTTACGACGACGTTATTCATAATTCGAAGCCATATTTACTCCAAACTTTATTATTGGAGTCTAAGAAGAAGAAGAAGAAGAAGACGACGTTATTCTGCTTCTTTTGGCGTAGATGGACGTTTTCGGCGTTGCGTTTTGATTCATTCTGGAACGAGACTAATGGAGCGTTTACACCTTCGGTAAAAATTTCCAGAACGGGAAATTTACATTAGAGTAAGAGAAATAGACTGTATATCTGTCTCTCTTACTCCAATGTAAATTTCCCCTTCTGGAAATTTTTACCGAAGGTGTAAACGTACCTTAAGGTGCAATCTTAAAAATCGATCTTTCAGATCGAAAATATCGATACTTGCCAAGTAAAAAAAAAACTATATGTAATAAACAGGATAAACAGCAAATAATAGAATTCTGTCAAGGTAAATAAATTGAAAGATTTTATTAATTAATATTAATTACTTTTATAATATTTTTTAAATGAAACAAGTTTATAATTTCATTATTTTCTATAGTATTTCTATATTATACAATTATACATATTATATATTAATTAATTATATATAATATTTAGTACAAATCTTAATCGTATGATCATTGATAGTGATATAATATTAAATTAACCCTTATAATTAAAGATGCAATTATAATTTCCTTAACATTAAAATAAATTGTCATTGTAAAATCAGGATATAAATAGGAAACAAAGAAAAATGAATGATGTGAAGTTAATTGTTAATAATTCTTTAAAAAAATTTAATAAATGTCTTAAATAAAATATTTCTAAAAATGCCGTTTTGCACGACAGATTACAACTGGTTCTGGTATTTGTTTAAATTTTTTCTTGGCTCAACTGGAATACTCTTTCTTTACAGTGGTTTTCTTAACGAAAAGTAAGAATTTTGAAAAGTTTAAAAATGAATAATTGCTCTTTATTGATAAATAAGAATTGAGCCAATACAATTTTTTGAAAATAAATTAAAAATTACTTACGAAAAACTAAACAAAAAAGACAAATTTCAAATTTTTATTCTGTGTGTAATATGGTATATAATATGACAGTAATACTTTTTCAGAGAAATTTCTTGTACATGTGATTCACAAGAGGGGAAACGGAGTCAAGATAATGGCGAAATGTAAGTAATTTTCTAACCATACATGTATAAAAAATTAAAAATATAAAAGAGAAAATGGAAAGTGATTTAGAATCTCAATAAGTAATTAGAAAATTAGGGTTTTTAAGTTTTTTTTAAATTATCCAGTTGAATAATTAAATTTTTAGAATTCATAAGAAAATTCTAAATTTTGGTGTTTTTTTTTGTTTGCCTCATAAACTATAAATTTACCAAGAAACCTTCAATTTTTTCTATTTCTAATTAGTTAATATGGATTTATACAAGAATTTTAGTTAAAAACACTAAAAAGAATTTGCATTTTAGAGAAGTTACATATGATTGCAAAAATTCAATTATGTTCAAAAGTTTAAAAAAATTCTCGTCAAAATTTCAATTATCTTTATAAATAATAAACTTCTTTTCTGAAATTAAATTATTTCCAGAAAATTTAATAGGTACATTTTTTGGTAAAATTTCAATTATTTTCAAAAACTTTCTTCAATTCAATCATTTTCAATATCTACTATTTTAATAAAATTTTCCAAAAGAATTTAATTATTTAAAACAAATTTTGATAAAATTCTACGAAAACATTTAATTATTTCGATAAATAATAAAAATATCACAGGAATTCAATTATTTACAAAGAATGCAATTTCAAATTTGTTATAAATTTCTTCGTAATAATTCCATTATTTTCATAAACTATACAATTTTTTTACAGAGATTCAATTATTTTCGTAAATAATATTTTTTTCTAGAAATTCAATTATTTTCATAAATAATAAAACTACTAGCAGAATTTTAATTATTTTTAATTAAATTTTAATCGAATTCCTCGAAAAAATGTGTAATTAATCTTAAAAACTTTATTTTCAAATTCGACGAAAGAATTTAATGATTTAAAAATTTATTGCTAATATTCTTTATGAGAATTTAATTTTGAGAAATATTCAATTATTCAATAAATTATTTATTTTTCTATTTAATTAATTGTAGAATAAAGAAATAAATAAATAATTGAATTCTCGTAGAATTTTGTAATAAATATTGATTTAAAAAGGAATTTCAGTTAAAATTTTATAATTCAGTATTCAAAGCATTATAGTGCGAATTTTTATAAATAATAGAATTTTAAAAAGGGTTTGAATTAAAATCTTTGAAAATCTGAATTTTTCATACTTTTAACTTAACAATTCTGCAGATTTAATTTTTTTCAAAAAGTTTAACTGAATTTTTTAAAAATTATTTCATGTTTTTATTTTATTGAATTGTAAACAAATGGATTTGAAAATTATTTAAAAACTTAAAAAATTATTAAAAACAACTCATTTAAATAAAAATTTTAGTTAAAAATTCTATTTTTTTCCAAAAAATAATAATTAAATTGAATTGATGGAAATAATTTTGATGTAGTTACAGTAAAAATATTCTTTTATAATAGGTATAAAAGAATAATTTTATCACTCGGTCATGTTTAATTATTTATTTAATTAATTATTTATTTTAAAATATGAAGATATCGAGTGATCGATTTCTTCATATTTTATATAATAAATTTAAAAGTTATTGAATTTGAATGTTTTGAAAAATTTTAATTCCTTCGGGAAAATAATAATTAAATTATTTATTTAAAAAAGAAGTTATTGGTGTTTTTGAATAATATTACAATTAAGGAAATTCGTAATAAAATATTTGGATCTAATAAATATTTACTTGATTTAAATAACTTGAATCATATTTGAATCAAAAAATCTTAATTGGGTCAATTAAATAATTAGTTAAATGTAATAAATGAATTTATTTAACATAAATAATAAGTTATTTGAGACAATCAATTTATTTATTTCACAATATAAAAGTGTAGGTATATTGTTTAATCTAAAATTTTTATATTTTAATTTTTATTTATTTTTTTAAATTATTTTTTTCCGTGTATTTATAATTGTATAATATATTGATATATTATGAAAGGAAGACAAGCATGCAGTGAATGTGTCTCTGTTCCGTTCACTGCTATAAGATGTGTACGAGCGTATATATAGAGTCATTAAGTGAGTCGTAAGGCGCCATTCTGAATCTCAACGTATTACATTTAACACGTTATTATTGTTTCTAAAGCAGTTGCTACAAAAGGTGCAAATTTCGAAGAAAATGGCTGTAAATACGCCAATTCTTTTCAGCTTTAGCACCTAATGCAAAAACTTATCAAATAAATAAATAATTTATTTTTATTGTTTTTAAATCTTTTATTAAAATATATAGGTAATTTAATATAAATCTATTGTAGTAGTTTGTTTGAGTAAAAGAATTGAGGGACTCCAGAGAATAAAGGGACGAGCGTGTGGTTGGAAGGTATAATTCGTACCAGTCAGGTAGCAGTGAGCGGCCCAAGGCTTGTCACTGGTACCCGACTGGTAATATCCCTTCCAAACCTCGCTCAGTATCCACTTAGTGCTCTTTATTAAAACTCAACATTAATTATTAGATTCCAAAATAAAAATATTCTTTTTTTGAAATTATATTCAATTAACTGTTGTATTTTTGAACAGGCAGTTTAATCCAAAGAGCTCTACAAGAGAAGATTGTTGCTGTTCCACATTATTAGACTAAAATTTCTCAGAAACATTGCTTTCAATCACCCTTTCAAAATTTTATATCATTTTATTTCTAATTTATTCAAGATTCTATGAGAATACCTCTTTATATGTAAAATTCTACGTGATGAAATATATAGTTATTATTTAATCAAAGCAGGTTATCTTTTAATCGAAATATTCTGAAATAAAGAAAAAAAATGTCTTTCTTCGTAAATGAATGTTCATGAAAAAAAAATGTTAAAGTATTATTGTTGAGCGGAATTTTTTTTTTCACTTTGAGATTTTATTTTTTTCCGGTTCTAGAAAGCGAGAAAAGTATTTTTAAATAAACTCGAGTTTAGAATAATAGTGATTTGAGGAAAATTTGTCTTGTATTAAAAATATTAAAACTAAATAGGAATGTAAAATAAAGTAAAGTTGAGAACCATGGGACCCCTCGAGTGAAGGGGGACTCATCTGGAGGCTGGTCAAAGAAAGAAGGTAGTATCTCAATCAGGCATGGACTGAGCACAGGTTGGGGTGTTCTGGACCCCTGGATGGCGGTTAGTGTTTGTAGCTCTCTATACAAGCTAAACTTGTGACTGCAGTGGTAGACCATTACATATACATATTTTTATAAAAATCGCGCTTTTATTTATATTTTTTCTTCCAAATAATTTAAGCACCTTTTTTTAAATAATAATTTTTTCTATACTTGCATTATAAAATAACGTAAACTTCATTTTATGAATATACATATTTATATTCTTTCTTAAAAGTAGACTTTGTGCATTTGTGTGCGCTTGTGCGTGAAAAAATATATTTCACACCATATTATGACATACGATTATTGCTACTGAACAATATGACAAAAAAGGATTTAATAGAATAAATTAAGGTATGTGCTGATTTTTAAATTTATTTAATTTTGTTTACAAATAATAATCAACTACACACATACAGAAAAATATTTTTTTCTCAAATTTAATAAATTTATAATAAATATATGAATATTATATATTTATTCGTATCTATTTTTATATTTAACAACAATTTCATTATATGCATATAATTATTTAATTTTAAAAATACATGACAGTGTATGCTATAAGACTTAACAAGAAAGTATCAAGGTCGTGCCTATTTGTGGAGACAACTCAATTTGTAGAATGGTTCTCTAAACGTATAAAATGTGTCCCGTTAAAATGCTATCTTCGGTATAAGTTGTAAGAAAAATAGTTACCCCAATTTTTACAACTTTATTGTTGAATTACCTTTAGTAATAATTTGAAATATTCTTTATAAATAGTCAATTTCTTTAAGGGTATAAAATTATTTTTAATATTCGCAACATATAATTATTATCACTGATTTATGTGTACTTATTTATTATATAGTAGAAAATAACATTTGTATTTTAACAAATGATAATTTCTCTACAATATGAGATAGACAAAAAAATGTTCTTTAATATATTACAAAACTGTATTCTTGGATATCAACAAAATTCAGATTCATGCGATATGCAGAGTAGTTTTTAAAAGATTCCTAATTTTCAGTAGTCATACTGAAAATTACTTGGAAATATAGTTACACAATTTTTATGAATTATACTTTTCCAGGATAATGACTTTGAATATTGCGTGGCTGGACATTGTCCTAATTGCACTTGTTATCTCGATGTCTACTTTAACAAAATGTTCAAATTCGTTAGCAACAAATAATTCAATGAGGTGTGAAGATGCAAGAATGCGATGCGCCTATAGAACAGGATGTGGAATGGCTTTACAACAGTACCTTACACGTTGCACATCAGTCCTCCATGGAGATATCAACAAATGTCCCGAGTCCTGTCAACATGCTCTTATTGCCCTTACAAGTACGGACGAGGGAAAAGAACTGATGAGGGTAAAAGAATAAATATTTCATTTATTTATCATCGATCAATTATTCAGCCGTTCGGTTTATTAACGTACTTTTATGACATTGCAGTGTGATTGCACTCAAGAAGATCATCTTTGCTTGCAATCAAAACAAAAAGTAGAAGTCTGTCGATCGTCAGTCATAGCGGCAATGAACAGAACAAGAGTGTCCTGCAGAATAGCAACATGGATATGTAATGCCGATGCTATATGCTACACAGCATTGGCATATTATAACGGATATTGTAAAAGTATGTTTCACGGTAAAAAGTGCACTCACCGGTAAGAAAGATTTCTTCTTCTTCTTCTTCTTCTTCTTCTTCTTTTTAATTTTAATCGCAGATGAAAAATATATTTGGAATTATTTTATTTACATATTTAGATGCCGAAATTCCATAAATATTTTGAGACGGCAAGAAAAAGCTGACAAATTGAATACATGTTTTTGTGATGGCGCTGAAGATTATGACTGTAAATCTATCCATCGTAACATGAATTCATTGTGTTATAAAAAAAACCATCATATTTATCAGGATGAAAAAAAATCAAACGAGGACACTAGTATGAATATTCTTAATAAAAGTTCAAATGCTGTTAGTATTAAAAACGCATTTGTGATAAATAGGATAACACTATTCACATCCATGATTCTACTTTTTTCAAAAATATAAGGTAATTTCTTCATTACTTATTTCGTAAATAAAAGAACTAATTTGATGAGTTTTTAATTTGTTGTAATACACTATATTTAAAAAAAATACATTAGCCTTAGAGCTACATCATCAGATTCTCTTTAACCGCACATTTAAATAAAAATAATTTTTTATTTCTAGACTGACTTGGTAATATATGGAAATCATAAAAGAAAAGAGGAACAGTATTCCGCGAGTGAACGACCAAAGAATCAAAATATCTACAAATAATCACACTCAAAAGCAATAATAATAAAAATATTCCTAGGTAATCTATGAAAAAATTTCAAATGTCAGAAAATGATTCAAGTTTTTTGAAAAGCTTGAAATTTAGAAAAATAACAATATTTTTCCAGTTCAGCTCTTTGTTATTAAGAACAAAAAGAATTATATGTACATTTTGACACTCAAGGTCACGTTATTCAGTTGTCGTGTGTTCCAGTATTGAAGTACATATGATCACTGAATAACATGACATTAAAGAGGTTCTTCGGTAAATTCATGTTCCATACAATTTTTTCAAACTTTAAGAAAAAAGTGTTCCTTTTTGTATGCGTTATGTGTAGTGAAAAACACAGTACCTTTGCGATGCTAAGACTTGAAATATTCAACATTTTAATATTTAACGTAGTAATATTAATTCTGGAAAATAACTCGATATTTATTTTTCAAAAACCGGGATATTGTAAAAAAGAATAAACAAAGTAATTATAAAAAAAACATTCAATGTGGGTAGTGATGCTCAATTTTTAATTCGAGAAATATAAAACTGTATCCGTATTGGTATGAAAGAAGACAGGTGCGATCTTAAAAGAAAAGCATCTTTCTCAACTGCTTCTCGAAAGGAATGGGTGTGATTGCATCGCCCGGAACTGAGATCCACTGAAGCCGGATATTCACACTTTTAATATTCATTGTAAACTTTACTGTTAAAAGGTTAATTTCAACACTATAAAACAGAGGACAATGGAAAAGAAACTTACATTTTTTTTTAACTAGATAAAGTAATAACAAATTGTGTCTTAAATAATAAGAATAGTCATAGAAATAATTTTAAAAACTGTCTTCATTATAGCTACAGAAAGTCTATAAATTTCGTACCATTTTTATATTACTTTCAAAATGAGTTTAAAGAATAGAAAATTAATAAAATCAGACGATATTTTAAAGATTATAAGTTAAAGTGATTTAAAAAGCATAATAAAAATTGTTACTTTCTATATATTCATGTATGTATTTCGGCTTGCCCCCAAAGAAGAATATTTTCCACAATTTTTGATTGGTACCAATAATACCAATAATTTCGTAATATCTGATCGAATTAGGTGCAACGTAAGGACATAAAAAAATACTTAAATCAGATGTAAATTTCGATTAGGTTTGATTCACGTTTACGTTCACGTTCTTCCTTGAAAAAAGTAATAGAAATATTTCCAAAAGTAAAGAGAAGAATTATTTTATTATTACATTTGTTGACAGAAGCATATTTTCAAATTGCTTTGCATCAAGTTTAGACACAGGATTATCTCGAATGTCCAATTCTGACAAGTTGTTTTGTTTCAATAAATGGAAAACATCTTCTACACTAGATATATCGTTACTCCTGAGCGTTAACACTTCAAGTTTAGGCAAAATAGGAAAATGTTCTGTGGAACTTACACCATTATTTGATAGGGATAATTTTTTACATTCTATTAATGAAGACAATCGTTGTAAACAATTTCCCAAATTATTAGAATCTAAATTGATTTCTTGAAGAAAGGATAAGTAGTTCTCTTTATATAAAATTGTCAATCCCAGGCCAGAAAGATTTGCTTGACAGTTGCGACAGTTTTCATTTTCGTCTTGCGAAAAATTAAATAAATAATTGTCTATCAAACATTTACTCCCTGCAAAGAGAAGTATTTACAAAAATTAAAATTTGAGAAGAAATCGACATTGGCTCAAAGAGCCGACGCTACACTCGAACGGGAGAGCAATGAGCGCCTCTGGGTCACAACTGGTATTTGCGCTTACGTCGAGCGTAGCCTCGCTTCTTCGAGCCAGCCCCTCAATTAACTGAATGATAATCTGCGGACTGCCAGTCTGCAGACTTTAAATTTTCTGTTTGCCCACATACAATGCAGCATCCGTATTGCTTGCATGCCAAAGTTTAGAAATTTATAAACAACAAATTTAATTCATTCCAATGAATTGATACTCAGTTTTTTAATCAACTTGAAAACAGAATTTTACTAAGTTGAAATTTCAAATCGAAATTAACCAATAATTGATAAGGGATATTTTGTTGAAACTTTATAAAGTTTTATACTTACTTAAATCTTTGTAATAGTTGCATCGCATTTTATCCACAGTCAATAATAGATCTATATCACAAAGAATACTTGAACGAAATTCAACTACGTCAATACTTTGCATAAGAAATATTCCAGTTAATAATGCCCATTTATTTTGAGGTTCCATTTCCGATAACTGTTTATAATTAACTAATTGTTCTCGAAGTTGGATTTCATTAGATTTCTCGTTCAGTGGCAATTCAGTTTTACAAATCCATGAAGAATTTAAAAGTTCAAATGGATAAATATCAGTTCCATAGTTTAAAAGAATGACACTATTGTCAGTAATATTTAATGGATGATGAAATTTAGTGATCCATAGTTTTGAAAACTTTTCATTATTCACTGATTTCCACTGGCAGTCCAAAATATTGCCATCAATGGATAAACTGATATTCGGTGATTCGATTGAAACGTTATCGTGAAAGACAACCAGCGCGTCAGTTGTGGTCAGTTTGGCTCTCCAAAGTTTCTTCGTTAAAGATTTACCACATTCCAGTAACCATCTTTGATAGAACCAAGCACTGGTATCGTTGGGATCAGTGAAAGTTGCTTGCATTACTAAATCCAATTCTACAAAAATACAAGTTAAATGCATTTTAATAATTCTATACAGTTTTAAAATATGTAAAAAAGAAGAAATTATTTGTAATATTACCTTCTTTGTGCTTATTAATTTCGATCGGTAACGTATGGGTGACGTCAGGAAACATTTTTGATAATATTTTACTCCTATAATGCCATGAAGAATAATTAGAAAAATTGTTTAATATTTTCGCCGTAGAAAATTCAAATTCTTCGTTGTCAGCCACTCCTGCCTTTTGAACAATAAAGTTTCTGTAATCCCAACAGTGAACTGAAATTTAGATAAGTTACAGTAATTATTTAAATAAAAATTCATTTTAAAAATGAAGAATATCTTAAAAATAAAAATATGTCTTTAATATGTAAAAGGTACTCACAATTTCTCTCGTCAATATTTAGGCACTTTGTACATAAAAGTAATTCTTTTCTATAATTTGGCTCTATTATGTGATCAATAACCCAACATCGATGATGCCAAACACTGTAAGACTTGGGATTTTCTCGTAAACAGTTTTCAGTTAGCATTAACTCTTTCTCTAATTGTTCTTCATTTTCTATTTTAGACCTGAATTTTATTAAACATAAATCCTGAATTTAATTTTAAATTAATTAAATACACCTTTGTGATGGCAACTTACCAATTATTATTTATAAGTACTTCTCTTCGAATATTCCAAAGAGTGTAAATATCTGCATTACGAACAAGTACTTTCTCAGTTGCTCCCAATAATTCATGATTCCAAGATTTTTCTTTTCTCTATAAAATTTTAGATATACTTGAAAATATATTGTAATTAAATTTATTTTTTAAACAATCTAGAGACGTACCTTTTGGAAAATAAAGTTAATTCCACTTCTGTACTCTATAACTTTCTTTGCTTGTTCTTTTTTCTTTATTTCTTCTTGTTCTGCAGATGTATAAACTTTTATTCGTCCGTGCTGAAATACAAAATTATTTTTGTTAGCTAACTAGAAAGTACAAACATAAAATTAATAACTAAAGGTTTCTTTAAAATTTTTTTTTTTAATATAAGTAACTGTTTTCAAGCAACTTAGGTCCTGTTTTATTTCAATTTTAATTGATAGTCATTTTTTACAAGAGACCATCTAAACAAATGAAGAATTTTCTTTCTGATAGTTGCCATAATAATTTACCAATTACCACATTTTTTACTAATTACACATTGTTCAATAAATTATTTTATTCTGTTGTAGACGCAGCATACATAAATAAAAATTATTATCATTCAAATTGTACTAATTTAACTCATTTTTTCTTTGTATAATTAATTATTAATATCGAACCCTTTATTTTAATGTATTTAATGTAATAAACAAAATTCACATGAATGAAATGTTTAATGCAAAACCTAAAACTGTTTAACCTCACTTTGCTTTAAAAAAAGATATTCTGAAGCATTTTCATTTGCAGACTACATACAGAATGTGACGTTTTATAATTTCTACAAATGAACAAAAATAATAAAGATTAAATTTTTTTTACCATTTTATTTGACACCTTACACTACTTAGAAATAACAGCGTAAAAAATATTTGCTTTTTGCAGATTGTCAAAATGTTGTCAATTTAAATACTCCATAAAGATGCTTGCACAGCTGAGCAAGTACCTTTATGGTACGTTCAAGACTTAGGCTATGTTTTCATGCCTGCGTTTTGCGTTGAATAATGAGAACGGACTAGGACGCAGACAGCTTCTGTCATTTTCTTTTTCATGTCCTTTCGCCCGAAGCCGAATACTCATTCCTCCGTCTACGATTTCATTTACGTCATTACGTTTACGACGCTATTCTGCTATGGTTTATAGTCAAAACTATTTAGCTTAAAAGTTATGCATGTATTTTTAGTTATAAATATTTGTGTTTTTAAAGGTAATATTTAAATTAATTGTATTTTTCCAAAAAAAAAAAACATTGCACATTTTTATTGTGACAAGGTTATAATTAACCTCTTCTTAAGTACTTCTTAATAGATATCCATTTAATATTTCTACAAAATATTTATTAATTACATATTTAAGTAAAATATATGTAAGATTTTTATTAATTAATGAACCCTGTCAGTAAGATGAATCAACGGTAAGAAACTTTGTAAAACGAATTATACCAAATATTTATCTTAGAAATATAAACTTTTCGTAAATTCATATTAGGTGAGCTGTCAAAAATATTATAATTAAGAACGGCTTTAAAATATTAAAAAAAGAAGTAATTTGAAAATTGTTTATGATTTTAATTGAATTTTGTTTAGGTGATTTTAATAGTAACAGATTATGCAAACATTTTGTTGACATTAAGAAGCATTTGTTTATAAAATCATTTATTAATAATATATTTGAATTTCTATGTAATAAATGAATTGTTTCAGATGTCTCAACAATTGCCTGTGACACAAGCAAGTTCTGACTCTACCTCTGCCCATGGAAATTTGCAGTCTATTGGTTCTAATAATCAGAATCCTCTTCCTATATCAACCACAGCATCGGTAATGCAAAACCAAATTCTATCTCAACCATCTCAATATTCTAACCAATCAGTAAAAACTTCACAAATGCAATCTTCTGTTTCTGGGACATGCAATGAATTCCCACAGGTTATTTCCTTTATATTGTTTTCACTTTGCATGTACACTGAAAACATTTTATTATCCAATTATAACAATTGATATTAAAATTTATATTGCTGAAGCATTGCAGAGAGTATTAAACAATAAACTTTTCAATTTACCAAAGAGTAAATTGAACATGTCCTGTTTTTTTATTTTTAAAGAAAGAAATATTAATGTATATTCTATTGTAAACAACTTTTTTCAGTTTTTAACGAAAACTCGACTACAAGATTTAGTGAGAGAAGTAGATCCATCTGAACAACTAGACGAAGATGTTGAAGAAATGCTCCTACAATTAGCAGACGATTTCGTGGAAACCACAGTTAATGCAGCATGTTTACTGGCCAAACATAGGCATGCTAATACTGTTGAAGTCAAAGATGTTCAACTACATTTAGGTATGTTTATTAAATCTTATGCTTATGCGTATTTTCTTTATTTTATTGATAAATTGTAGAAACAAACAAACTGTTTAACCAATTTAAAAAAAATTATTTTAATGTATATATTTTTAAAAAAATATTCCTTTCCAGAAAGAAACTGGAATATGTGGATTCCTGGCTTTGGAACTGATGAAGTGCGACCCTATAAAAGGGCTACAGTCACTGAAGCACACAAACAGCGATTGGCTCTTATTCGTAAATCAATAAAAAAATATTAACCCTTATTTTTATAACTGCCGATGAATATTGTAATACAAATTATTGTAAATTTTTAAGTTTAACAATTGTAAATGAAATATTTGTATTATATTCTTCATATTTCATATTTGACATTTTACAAATTTTTCCTTCCTTCTTCGTTAAATTTAAACCTTTTACAAGACATATACTAATAAACTTAAAAAAAATGTCTAATGTATATAATTATAATCCCTTTTTAAATGAAAATAAATAAAAGAAATCCAACACGATTATTTGTTTTTATTTTTGTCTTATTTCATGAATTTGCATTACACAATCTCTTTTTGTATGAATAGAGAAATTATATCGCAGTATGCGATACTTTGCTTAGTATTATTTCATTAATATAATATACTTTTATTGTGTATCTTAAAAATAAGAAAATCCACATATTTAAACATGTATAATTATAAAAATGGTTTCAAGACATCTGTAAAACAAGTGCAGTACAGATTCTTTTATACAATACTTTGTAAAAAAAAAGAAAGATACAGATACATTTTAGAATTAATGACACATGTAGTAACACTTTTCGAACTACTGTTCTGTAAAACACTTTAGACGGTTAATATATCTTGTCGGACCATCTATTTCTGAGCGAAAAGAATACATTCACCTATATTACATCTGCCACAATGTTATTTTGACCTATAACAAAGGTTTGTTTCAAAATATTACAAAGGTTAAATTGTATATTAAGATCGCAATCAAATAATTAATTAATATAGCATTATTGAGAGTTGACATTCTTTTTCTTCTTGTTTTTTTTAAAGAGAAATATTAAGTACATCATTTTATCTGAAAATTTTCTGTATTAACTTTTACAAATAGTTGTCGCTTAATTTAAAATGAAACTGTATTTTTAGATTATAGTAGTGGTGTGTTCATAGTAATGACTACTATTGAGTATGTTAAAAGCAATTCTTATTGTATTGTATTTATCCTTGGTTTAATATACTGATTTTCACAGGGTCTGCCATCCTAGACTTTACGCAATCAGTTCTTTTATGAAAGTAAAACAAAATTTAATCTTTCAATTAATTAATTAATTACCTTGGCATCAGACGGCAGAATCGTCTAAAATGGTCAGTAGGGCATATAATATCCACGTCTGTAACTTCTGCAACAATAAAATTGCTGATTAATTATTTATTCAGGTGATATTTCAAACGAATATTATATTGCATTTATAAAAAGAATCAATTACCTAGGTCGTCTTGTGGGCCTGTATCCTACAAAATATGCACTTCCACGGCTAAGCGCACGAGTTATTCCTCGATAACCACGCACTCCTCTAGGACCCCTTTGGAAAAATAAAAATCCATTACTACTATATTACTACTTTTCATAAATTATAAAAAAGTATCAACTTTATAAGTTAGATTAATCTTATACATTAACATGCAAATTTGGGTCATAAGGAAATGAGGCTATAAACTTCCAGTTGAATGTTAAATTAGCCTTTGTTACTGTTTATAAAAATGATTTAAACTCAGAGATGAAACATATATAAAAGGTATTAAAATCATGAAATAAGAGAAAACAGCAATTGGGCGGAAATGAGGAAAATAAAAAATCCCTTCCATCCTCTAATTAAATATTAAACACACACCTATTAGTCATTGACATGCCAGGCCTATTTGTTCGTTTGGGCATTACTTTTATTTGACGTCCTCTAAACATGGAGTCATCCATGGCCATTGCTGTTTGTACAGAATCTCGATCAGCGAATTCAATATAGGCAAAACCTTTAGGATGACCATCAAATTTATTACACAAAATCGTTACTCTATTAACACTGCCACATCCATGAAAGTGTTGTTCTAGCTCTTCGGCAGTTGCACCATAATCCACCTTTGTATAAAGTAGTAACTCGTTAGTTTACAGTTCACGAAATTTATTCTATTTTCTAAACAAAAATTCATTTTTCTAAAAATGAATTTTGTAAAAGTCAAATATCAACTGAAATGTACTCACATTTCCTACGTAGATAGATCTGTTATCTACTTCCATTTTGTCCTCTACCGACATATTCAGTGGACTGGCTAAAATAATTACAATATTTATTGAATTTTCACATAATCAATATGATATAATTTACAGAAAAATATATACTGGAATAAAAACTTACTTATTCCAGGAGGGCTACCCATGTTCATTTGTTTATCAACTTCCGATTGTAGTTGTTTTAATTTCTCAGCTTCTTCTTCCATTTCCCTTACTCTTGCTTTAATAGCTTCTAATTCCTAATTAAGAAGAATGTTTTTTTTAAGTATATTTCAAGTTGTAAAATATATTATTCGTAACCAAGTAAAAGTAAATGTCACTGCTTACTGGATCATCAATGTTGGCTTCAGTGAAGTCACGTCTTATGTTATCATTATGCATCAACGCATCACCATCTTGTCCATTTTCAAGACCATCAAGGCCATCAATTTGTTCATGAGATAGCAAATCAGATTCAGACATTTCTGAAACAAAATTAATAGAAAGTTTCAATCCGTTAATTTTATTTACATATGGAAAATATTGAATACAAATTGGTTTACAAGAAACAAAATTGATATAAATTTCTTAAGACTTGAATGTTTATGATCATTAAAAAGATTAGAACTAAATGATAAAATATAAGTTTCATACATTACATCTATAATAAATTTAAACAAAAATTTATGCTATTTAGTAGAGGGACACTGAGTTTATAAAATATTTCTCTTTTTCCAATAAATTAAATAATTTCTATAAAATAACAAATTCAAAGTTTAAAAAAAAGCAAAAAATGTTTATTGAATCGAAGACTATTTCAACGAATATATAACATAATAAATTAATTTTATTTCAAATTTCCATCAAAAATTTTGACGGGGCAGTATATATTATTTTTTTTATTAAAAAATTATTTAATGCAAATATAAAAGTAATTAAAACAAAGTAACAAAACATTTTAAAAAAATTGACGCGCATGATTTTCGTCTAAAATGTTTTTATTACTTCCTATCTTATTAATTTTGATATTTAAGTTTTAAAAATTGTGCTTCAAAAGCTTGAACACAGAGCGTCTATAGTAGTTGAATAACCTATAGGCATTATATTGTAGGTATGTTCTTTCAATTTTAGGTACGTATCTCTGAAAATAAAAGCAAGAAATGCAAAGCTACGGAATTAAAATTAACAACAATAAATTATATCTAAATTCAAAAAATAAACATGACCAATTACTATTTATTATATTGAACTTAATTATTAATTAATATCTTATTGAATTTAAAGTATTTCGGTCAGTGTTTGATTCATCATAAGAAACTTTTTCGAAATGAAATTGTTGTTTAATCAAAAATTTTAATGCGCTTTAAAACTTTAATTTATAATAATTAATCTCATTAGACTAAAATGCAATAATTATTACTAAAAAAAAGATATAAACAGTCGTTAGCTTTATCTGACCGGTATTACATTCCGGTATGTTTTTGTACACAATTAAAGTTTTTTTTAACAAACCTGAGAAAAAAAGAGGTTTGTAATTGAAGCAAACTTAAAACGAGATAAAAATATATTTTTTAAATCCTCTTTCTAAATGGTATTATAAACTTTTCAGTAAGAATTATGAGTATCCACTTTTCACTACCTGAACGAATTGATAACGATGCAGAAACACAGAGGATGAAGCGAAAAATTTTCGAGGTTAGTGCATTACAAATGCTAAAGGTATACTTTAATGCTATGCAATTCTGATGTCGAATACATTGGGTCTACGCATACTCAAAAGTGTACGACGTAAATCGTAAACTTTACATTAGATAGAAAAGGACAAGAGATATATCTATTCTTTTCTCTCGCATGTAAATATTAAGTTTTTCATGTGCGTGAGCCCATTGAACCGCTGACGTGGAATGTGTTTAATGCTGTCTCTACATGTCAAAAGAAATACGTGAAACGCATGACGCAGACGCGAAACTATTTTACGTTGTGTCCACAATGAGCACGTATGTCACGTCATGTGTTATTAAGATGCTTATATAAAAAACCGAAGGTGAAGCACCTTTATTCTCTTTAAAGAAATGTTTATCTATTGTGGACTCAACCTTAATTATCATCGCAGAAAATTGTGGATGTTTAAATAGCTGGATTATATAGTTTTAACAAGAATTTCTTGTAAAATAAAATTTCTACTTAAAAGAAATCACTTGAGAGAAAAAAGATCAAATAAATATTGAAAATGGCATTAGCTACAATTTTACGTACAGTAAGTTAAATTGAACTTGAACACGTGTTTTTTTTCTGCTAGTACAGCATATAGAACTCTTTAGTTTGAGACTGTTTAGAAACAATCTTTCTTTTAAAAAGTGTATAAATTGTTTACAGACACCTCAGAAGACATGTGTTGCTTTCTTTCAAACATCAGCCGTCACTAATAAAGCACGAGCAGGTCGCTATAGAGTAACAGCTAAAAAAAATAAACCACTCACATATGAAATGTCATTAAAACCTCATGAAATTGCTCATAAGAAAGGATGGAATTCTTGGAATACATGTGAGTATTGTCTTTATTTGACTGATAGCACTAGGTACATTTTTTGTCAAATTTCATCAAAATGAAACATGTTTCATGTTGATTCATGTTTTTAAGTTGAAAATTATATTTTCAGCTAATTTAATTGATGGAAACAGATCTTCTGAAACAGCGGTGGAAGATATGTTTATACGGCGTTTCATGAATGGTACATGGCCTTTACTTTTGTTGAGTGAAATAATCATAAAGCGTCAAATTAATATTATAAGAGTAGCTGGAATTTTAAAGTTAACAGCAAATCCTCGACAAATATACTTCTTGACAGGTTACAGCGAAGAATTTTTGAGTTATTGGTTACAATGTCCTGTTAAATTAGAAATACAGCTTGCAAAGCGTAATGATGTTATTTTTAAATATATTTAGCGAGCTTTTCATATTTCTTGTGCGGAGAATTTATTAAAATTTTATTACTGATTATCATTTATGTTGGAGGTAAATTTTAAATAATTTATTTTTCATGAAATGTGTAATTGTCAGTAATGATAGAATCATAAGCTGTAAAAATTACAAGGAACATTGTTAGGTTTAAGTAAATAATGTACATATAATAAAACATGTAAAAATTTATTAACAAATTTATATAATTTTATACAAATTCAAATCCTTCAAATTTCTCTAATGCTATCTTCTGTTCAGGCATAATAATATCTCCATCAACTGTAAAGCCCATCATATAAGTAGCCATCTGATTCTGATACTCTTCAGTTTTTAAAGATATAATTATATTTTCATTAGATCCAGGCAGGAATTTAAAACTCGAAAATCCTTTTGTTGGTGTCACAGTTCCAATTTGGATTACCTGGAAATGTAAAAATGTAGTTACTTTTAAGAAATTTCTTTTATACAGTTCAATTAAATAGGTTTTACAAAAATTTCCAGTGTAGTTTATTTTATTCCTTTATAGATACTCACTCTAATATTAGAAAAGTTTTCATCAGCTCTAAACAGTAGATTGCAACTTCTTATTTCATCCAAGGTCTCGTTATACCTGTGAGTTGAACATTTACGCGGCAGAAAAAACCAACATTTATGTACAGCACTCCATATACCTGATTCATGAATCATGTAGCCTGTAAAAAACATTTTAAATAAAAATCAAATAAAAAAGTCATTCAAATAAACATACACCGAAAAAGAATTTCCGTCATAATTCGTACAAATGATATTCCGCAAAAGTGTCAAATAACATTTGGGAAATATTTACTCGTCTCGTTAAGTACAAATTGAAAGACTACTTCTAATAAGAAGCTGTGCATGAATTTAAGAGGAAAAATATTGTTAAATTTATTGAAACATTAAGCAATTGAATTCTTTGACAATACCAGTTTACATTAAACTCAAATTCAGGCGTACCTCCTTATTGTACGTAGCTCCTCAATGAAATTACCTGGAAAATCAATGTTGATTGCTTGTCTCAATATTTTATAATTGTCCATCCAATTAACAGATTGAACTTCTCCTCGGGGTGAAATTATTTTTATCCATAAAGGATTATTGTGTTCCCATTCACCTGAACTTGATGTCCACTCTTTTCCTATACTTCCAATGTAAAGTTGATCATCTTTGACAGTTGCCCACTCACTTTTGAAACCTTTTTAATTCAAACAACATTTATTAATGATTCAATTAATTTTACTGTGCATGCAACTATCACTCTTAATTATTTTGAAACTAAATTCAGTGGAAAATTTACCTTTCGTGTTTTTACCGTTGCCATCCATAAGAATAACCCAAGGATATATTTCATCTTTTTCAATTGAGTAAACTATTCCAGTTCGATCATCAAATGTTAAAAGACGTCCATCAAAGGTAACCAATTCCGAGAATTCCATTCCACGTCCTTTCATTGATATGGATGAAGAGAGAATAATTTCCTCTTCATTCCATGTAACAATTATCGTATTTGACACAGGTGCCCACAAAAGGTGCCCTGTCTTCATAATACTATACCATAAATTAGATTTCTGCGAATGTTTCGATCGCTGATCAAGATCACTAATAATTGCTATTTTGTAAGATATACCATTCGACAATTTGACGGGTTTTGTTATAGGATAAGTACTATTGTATACATAGTAACGACACGTTTTAGAAGTATTTAAAGGATAGAAACATAATGACTTATATATTGAGGGACACGTGTACACAAAAATAATCACAAAAGTTATTATAATAAATATTAAAAAATGTTTATGAATCGGAAATATTCCCGTTTTGTAAAAACGGAATTTTGAAGTTTTTGTGTAATTGTATTTTAACATTTTGATTGATCACTATAATCTACATTATTCTATTTTCATTACCCACTAATATAAAAACAATGCACACGTGCACACTTTTAAAAGATTTTTTCCTTTAAAGGTACGTTTCCACTAGGATCTTAAATAAAATCATAAAGGTGCGATCCCATGTGACCAAAAGCAGAAAATCATGAGTGCAAAAGAGATAGGTAGATATTGTTCTTCTTTTCACTCTCATGCTTTTCTGCTTTCGGTTTTACGCTTCTACTCACATGGGACAGCATTCATTGTGATTAATTTATATAAAATAATAATAGTTAATTGACTATATATCAATTAATTATTAATAATTAACTAATGTTATAGGCAACAATTGCCTTTAGATCAACTGTTTTGCGTTTTGCAACTAGGCTCATGGTCTAGTTACAAAACGCAGGAAGGAAGAAAAATCTCTAAACGCAAAAAATGATATATATTTTTTATACGTGACTGCGTCATACGTTTGTCTTTTTTTTGCAATCTAGGGACAACTTAAGAGATGAATTTTCTTTTAAATTCTACTTATACTTCTCATTAAGAGACATGAAATCATTAGACATTAACATTAGTACATTAAGTTTGCAACGTTTTATTAGTTACATATTGAAAAAGTATGTACTTAATTAGTCGTCCCGTAAAATAATTATTAATGTTTAAAGTAACTTAAAACAACCCTTCGCGCATGCAATCTTTTATTTAAATTTTCTTTTACAATTAAAGGATATACTCTTCTGTATTATTCCTGAAAACATAAATGTCGTATAATAATTCAACCTTCTCATAAGCTATAAAGAATAGAATAAAATAATTTTTTCTGAATTATTCTTTTACTCTGTACATATATTTTATTCAAAAAAAGTTGCATTAATTTTTTGAATTCATTAAAAAATTGTTGTTTATACTGGACTTTGAAAGCGAACAGTAATATGAATTTTTAAAAAATAATTTACACACACGACGTAAATGGTCGAAGATGCAAAGGAATTTTCAAATCAGTCGCAGTCATATAGCATTAACTAGAATAGATATTTTGAATCATTACGGTATTGTTGTCGCAAACATACTTTCGCAATGCTTTATACTTTTAATTTGAAAGCACCCTCATTTCTCTTTACAAAACATAAGAGTAATCGCAGCTATTATTGTTAATATACTCTCGCATACTGTACACAATCAGCTTATAATGTTCATTTTTTTTGTAAGACTTAAAAAAATTCATTAGAAAGTAACAAGTCATTTTAGTTGATAAACGCTTGAAAGAAAACCTTTCTGCAATCTTAACAGTTATTTTTTATTTTGGTTTATTATAACGCACCACTTTATACATACCTCTCTTTATATTATTAATTTTATTAAAAGTCAATAAGTGTCTGTTAGTTGTGCGTTTTATAACGACTGTTTCTATGAAAGTAAAATAATTATTAGCCTGTGAAAATATGTGTATATAATATATAAATTTTGAAGAAAACTCAAAGAATCACTTTCAACTGATAAGTTTTACATCAAATAAAAAAAAACTTAATATTATAGGAGGCAACATTTGCGTTTCGATTTAACTTGTAGAACGGGACAAAGAACTGCTCGAATTGCCTCGTCGAAAACAGTTTTTAGTCCTTTCTGTGTTAGAGCTGAGCATTCTAAATATTTGACCGCACTAATTTCTTTTGCCATTGCCAAGCCCTGCAAATAAATTATTAATTTTAATTTTATAAATTCTCAATGTACAGTCAACTCTAAAAGTTCTAATCATGTTACCTGAGGATATGTTATAGGTGCAAGCTTTTTATCCTTTAATCGTTCAATAGTTTCTTTATCTTCGCGCAAATCCAATTTAGTTCCAACCAAAATTATAGGAGTAGCTGGGCAATGATGACGAACCTCCGGATACCATTTAGCTCGAACGTTTTCAAAACTTGCTGGATTCACCAATGAAAAACAAATTAAGAAAACATCAGTTTGAGGATACGACAATGGTCGTAGTCTGTCGTAATCTTCTTGACCAGCCGTGTCCCAAAGTCCAAGATTTATTGGCTTGCCATCTACCATTACATTAGCAGAATAATTGTCAAATACTGTTGGTATATATTCGCCTGGAAAAGCATTTGTTGTGTAGCTGATCAATAAACACGTTTTACCCACAGCTCTGTACAAAAAGACACAATTTTACTATAAACACAGCACATACTGTAAACAAATCAGTGTTGTACTACAATGCTTACAAAAGACAAAATTATAATCTAATCAACTTTTCCAAACTATGTAAGTTTAAATTTATATATAAATATATTTTTTTTGCAATTACTTATTTTTTAACGAGACTTTATAAATGTGTTCGGACAATGTAGAATTATTTACTATATACATTTATCTTTCTAAAAAGGAAAAATTAGATCATCATTAATTAAAGAATTCAATTATTAACAACTAGCAAATATAATAATATTCAACTATAATTCAAATGAAAGTGGAAAATATATGAATAATCATTGATTAGAAAACTAAGGACAGTGAATACAATTGATCTCACTGTGTGTGTTAATCTGAATAAAAATTTGTCAACTTACCCATCACCTACAACCACGCACTTAATCGCCTGCATGGTCCAGGTCTTCTAATTAGAACAACTGCACAAGATCAATAAAATTGTTAAACATTCAGTTTCACTTTGTACTTGCAAAAAATTGACTATAAAAGCAAAGGAGACAGAGAATTAGGTGGAGTATATGCAACAAATATAATAACTTTTATATTACATTTATTTTATAATTTAAATGAAATTTAGATAATATGATATAATCACGAACAAACTTACAGTAAAAAAATGATTTAAGATTTAACCAATTGAATTGTAATAACAGGAGTGGCGTTGAAAAACTCAAAAATAATACCTATTATTATACCACTGCTATAATCTTTTTTAGCCTTCGCCTTTCTGCGACTAGCTAGTAGGTAGTCCGGTCGTGGTCAATTACTCAATTTCAACAAAAATCACAACCAAAGGAAAGTGACATGGCGCATTCCAACCCCATAATAGTGAGGGCGCAGTCAGCCAAATGAAGCATTTCTACAATCAACTGATTTAAAGCAGTAGAATATCCCAAATGAGAACTCAAAAAGATTAGGTGGCAGATATATTTCACTATTGTGGACTCAACCTAAAGGTAAGTTCAGATATCACTGTCCTTTCCACTCTCATTAAATTTTGCTTTGCTTTATGTTTTCTGCTCAACATGTGACTGCACCCTAAGGGTGCGATCCCATCATGTGAGCAGAACATGAGATAGGTAGATATTGTTCTTTTCGCTCTCATGATTTTCTGCTTTCGGTCGACGTATTCTGTTTACATGGGATCGCACCCTAAGAATTATGCGACTCGCGCTCTATAATCACTGTTATTCATTTCGTGGTTGTGCGGTTGTTATTATTTTTCTGTTTATAAAATAAAATTTAATAGAAATTATAAAAAATGAAGCATTCTCTTGTTGTTGACGAAATGTTTCCTGATGGTCCTGGACCATTCATGGATCTTGAAATGGTAAAAAATATTTTACAATTCATTTTGTGTAAAACTCAGTATATTGATTAACGTTTTTTTAGCAAAATTATCAAGTTATTTTTTTTAAAGTAAATGAAATATTAAATATCTTGATTTACTTGTGGTAAATTAGTATAATAATACACTAACAATTTGATCATTTTTTTAATTCCCTTAAAAATATTTCACGATCTTTATCTTTCAAGTTTTTTTTCTCAACCTTAAATAAGCAAAGTTATGTTTTGTTTTGAAAAAGTCGAAGCAGCCAATTGAACCCTAAAAGTACTGTATTCGTTCCTCAAAATAGTATATTATTGTGTTTGATAAAATGTTGACTATTTGATTAATTACCTAACATATAATTCTATTTAAATTAAAATTTTTTTGTGATTAGCCTGGCGGTTCCAATAGATTATTTGTTGATGTCAGTTTTGACGATAAAGCTGTTCATGCTGATTTTTTCAATGGTAAGTTATAAGTTTCCATGCTTTTATTATTTTCATATTAAAAAAAATGATATTTATTTGGTCGTTTTATTTTCAAGAAATATTAGTTTTATGCTTTCTTTAAATACGATTAGTGAACTTCAGCCATATTTTTCATTGATAAAATTATAATCAATCTCATTAAAAATTTAAAGCAAACTAAAATTTCTTTGATGACATGATTTTCTTCTAATTACCGTGTTTTTTGACGTTTAAAATTAATTTTATTCTTATGTTAAGCATAACATAAACATCCAATAGAATTCTTTGTTATGTTCAACATAAAGACAAAAAGAGCCTATTGAGATAATAGTCTGAAAATGTGTTTTTATATAAATCCTATAAATCGTATGTTACAGATTTTTACGATCTCTACGATGATGATGATTTAGAATAACTTGGATGAGAAGTTTACTAAAATTATTAACCTCAAATGTAATATAAGCGAATAATAATAAAAGAAACTTATACCAAAATTTAAATACATTTAAGTTAAACAAAAGAAATTATATTTATTCTATTAAGTAAACCTTACCTGAAAGATAAAGATTTTATTGCAAATTATTTTACTTATTATTACTAGAATTCAAATTACCATTATAAGTAATGAGATTTGTGTTTTTGATTTTATAATTTATTCGTTTACAGAATAAGTCAGATGTAATTATTATCTGATACATTGCGTTATGCTGTTTTTTTTTATTTATATGTATAATTAAGGTTTAACATAGGAAAATCATAAGTAAATATATGTGTTTTTTTACGCTATCATAAGATTACATTTTATCATACAACTAATCACACAAGTTTTGTGATGTGATGTAAAATTTAAACGGTTCAAAGTTTATAAATTCGTCACTTTGACGTCACTAATTACCTTACACTCAGTAAGGTACATTGGGTCGTTCTGTACTTTTTCCATTTTCAAATAATTATTTGAAGAAAGTGAAACCTTTAATCTTGATGTGAATTTATGAATTCTGATCTTTGTAGATTTTTGTTGGCCCCAATCGACTTTTGATAATTCTTATACTCTTATTTTATAGTAGATAGTATATTTAAATATTAAATAAATTTCAAATCGGATTTGTATACCTACAATCATATTTTGTTTCTTATAAGTTAAAAAAAACTGATGTGAAACCTTTAATAAACGTCTTACCTTTATAAATACTTGCTTCCCGTTAAGACTAAAATATATATTTTATACATTAAATAGTTTTGCCTTGGTTTACACATAAGTAACTTTTGCCATAATCTTCAAGAACAATAATAGTAATAATAATAATAATAATAATAATAATAATAATAATAATAATAATAATAATAATAATAGTTTTAAAATAAGAGTTTTTGTTCTCATTTATTTGTGTATTTTAAACAAATCCGATTCACTAACAACGTAAAATATTAAGATGTTCAATTTAATATTTCTTAAAATAAAAGTTTGGAATACGAAGTAAGAAGAATCATAATTAATTGTTACAAAGATCGATTGAGGTGCTAGTTAATTTCAAGATCACTGTCAGCTTGTTCATCTTGTTCACTCTCATCTTCTTCATCTTCTTCTTCTGAATAATAATGAGATGGAGGTGATAAAGGATCTTCAGATATTGATGTTTGAGAGGATGAAGGTGGCCGAGAAGCGCCTTCTAATTTAATTTCGAGATCATCAATTGATGTGCTTGGTCCGGGGATTGTCACAGGAATAAATTGATCTAGATCTCCACATGCCATTTCTGTTAATAAGAAAACATTTATTTCAAATATTAAATAAAATTGATGCATTATCTATAATATTAAATATAAAAATTGATACATACGTTCGACATATTTTTCTAAAGATTTAGGAACCATTGATTTAGCATTTTGAATATTTTCAGGTGAACACTCTCCTTTATCTAAACCTAGAAGATAAATTATTCTCTTATGTAAATGACGAATGAAAAATTAAAATAAAAATATGTTCTTGTCAGATTTTCTCTCTTAACATTTTTGACAGTTTTACTTACCAAAAGCTAAGCCCATTCGTTTGAGAACTTCAATGTCATCATGAATTTCAAACTTATCGTTAAAGTTAAACAGGTACTCAGTTCTGTAATTCATAATATTTAAATTTTAGATAACGTAACATTTGTTTTCAATTTAAAATGATACTCTTGCACTCAATCAATATTGAGAGACAGTAAGTATATTTAATGTTCTAACTAAATAATAAATTTATCGTAACAAAAAATACACTGCAAAACATTGGTCGTGAAGTTGAGTTTTAATGTAATTAAATTAAAAACAGGCAAATCTCAGGGTGAAATTATCTCTCTTTTTGTCGAGTATTTGACTTTAATATCGACCAAAATTTTCTCAGTGTATAATTGAAAAAAAGTACCTAATTAACTCACTTTTCATCATTGATGCAGCAATCTATCACTGTTTTTTTACTTGTGTTTACTATAATAAATGGCAACTGAATAGCAGAATTGGGTTTAGGAGGTCCATTAAGATCCTGTTGTAAACGATTTCTTTTAACAAGATTTTTAAAAGAAATATGTTGCAGAATAAGTTGATGCAACTGTTGAGTTTTAGCCTTAATTCGTTCAATTTTCTTCTTTTTATCTTTTTCTAAGGACACACATTCCTGCAGTGAATTTGTGGGTAATCCCAACCACCTTATTTCTTTCTTTTCTTTAGAAATAATATTCATAGCCATTAATACATTTAAAGCATCATAGACCCTCCTTCTGATATTTTTTTGATCATATTGCTGTACATAAGAAATATACAATAAATATAATATTCATCAACTTTTTAAAAACTTACACTTGATTTATTTGATGAAATAAAATGAATATAAAAACACGAACCTGATCGGTTAAGGAATTTACGTGAGCAGGATTAGTGAATTCTCCTACCAATTCATCTGCCACCTCATTGTAAGACGTAGTTCCCTTTTTCTTTACTTTTTCACACACTTTCATCGAAAAGTGCCTTAAACCTTTTCCAACTTTTTCTGTTTTTCGCCTTTTACTGGAATATCATAAATAAATTGTTTAATTAATTAGAAAATAAATTAAATTTAATAGTAGACAAAAAATGTTACTCTGGTATGTAGTCTGCACTATCTATGTCGTGTCGTTTTCTTGTTCCACTGTGGTCCAAAATAGGGCTTATAAACGTTTTTCCTGATGAATCCTTAACAACCTGTTGTTGGTTACTTTGTTGCTGCTGTTGAGATGCAATTGCATGCTTAATGTCACTCTGTTAAAAAATGTATTTCAATTTCAAATCAAGAAAAATCAATCAATAAAAATCAATTCTCAAATGAGTGTAAATATAGGAGATATAGTCAAAAAATATTGTACGTCACATTTACAAGTTTCCATGAGTGCAACACGTTCTAACTGGGATGGAATAATTGCAATCTACTGTACCTTAAAGTAAAATGTATGTTTACCATTTGAGCTGAAGTGAGCTGTATAGTTTTTGTCATCACTGAATCGCCTGGCTTAACAGATGAGACTTTTGCATTCTGCAATGGTATGGTGACAAGACCTAAATGAAAATAATTAAGCGTATAAATACAATGAAATATAGAAAACATTCAATAACAAGTATATCTAAATCACTGCAGTTTTTTCATACTTACGTTGACCTGCTGTTTGTGGACTCTGTAAACTAATAGTTCGTAAAACTTGAGTTCCTGAAGACAATACCTATAAAAAATTTTCAGAATTTTATCTCTCATAAAAGCTGATATTGGAAATATTTTACGGGATTATAATCATTGAAATTGAGAAAAGTAATAAAAGTTCGTTTTCATACACGTGATTCTTGTCCAGGTGTCTTGAACACTTTGAGACCTCCGGTATTTGCCGTCCCAACAAAATTACTCAGTGGCTTATTCGGAGTACTCTGCACAACTTTAATTACTTGGGGATGACCTGTAACAAAAAATATAAATAAAATTTGAAATTGGAAAATTGTGTGAAACTTTACAAAATTCTGCTCCAAATATAATTAATTATAAATGCATTGAATTTTTTTAATTTACATAAAATCATATTGAAAATGAACAAGTTTTTGATATATAAGGTTATGTTACAAGTTTTTAATTGGTTAACGAAATAATTGTTATCAGTTATAAAGTTCAAATTCTCCGTAAAGTAATATTCTCTGACTAGACGAATTAATGTAATTATTTTTATTTAATACCCATGTAGCTTATATTCTTCATAGAAGGCAAAATTTATATGCAAAGCACAGTGTTAACAGATTCTGTCTTTTGACAGATAACAATACATTTTTTTTTGTAAATTTTCCTTATCTACTTCAAGTTGATAGACGGAATAAACATTTTTTTTATTTTACTCTTCAATGATAATATAAAGACAAACTAAATAATAAATACTAACTAAAGTAATATTAAGATAAAAGAGAGAATTTAAGAACTATAATTTTATCCCACAAGAACATTTAAATTTCATATTAGAAATATTACATACATATATATCTCTCACTACATTTTATTATTGAAAAATACTTGGAAATAAAATTTCGAACGCATGGAAAGAAATAATCTTAATATATTAATAATTCGATAACATTGAAAGAATTTGTCAAATGTTGGCGCGCAGTTTATTACTTACCATTTGCATCATGAATTAAAAAATTCATTGTTTTATTTTGCTGAGTCATCGTCGATGTTAAAAAGTAAATAAAATCCTAAAAGCTATCCTTGTATTTCAGTAGTACTTGCAAATAAACAACGTAAAAGCAGAAGTTATTGCAATCTGAATGTATTACTAAAATGGCGACTTCGGCACGTTAGCAATAAAACAAACTTTTAGTAATCTGAAATAATAGTAATAAACATAATATTAGAACTGAAAAGCTTACACTCTTAATATAACTTTTTAAATGTTCAGTACGGATTAAGATGAATAATTTTTCACGAAAAAATGTTTATATATTATTTAGTATTCGTAGCCTCCAGGTAAACTTCAGCTTACAGCTTTTGGCGGCAGTAGTTACAAACTCACACATATATAAACAAATACATATGCATACATTCAACATATATTTAAAGGTGCATCCAAAATGCAAAAGTCAATGTCGAGCAGAGATGGGTAAGTAAAAGACACAATTAGGGTGCGGTCCCATGTTCCTGTTTAAAGCCTAAGCACAACTACTGAAGGCCAACGCAGAATAGATCTGTAACCGGAACCGCAATCGTAAGCGTAACCGTAAGAATAAGTTAAAGAAGGATAGGTATATTGTTTATCCTTCTCTAACTCATTCTTACGCTTACGGTTGCGGTTCTGGTTACAGATCTATTCTGCGTTGGCCTTGAGTTGGGTTCGGGAGACGGTTACGGGATATGTAAGATTTACATACATTTTGAGGTTAGGAAGCCCATATCCCGAAGTCGTCTCCCGCACCCGACTCAGTTGTACTTAGGGCTTTACACGGGAGATGTGATTATAACATATTTTTTTACAATAATTTGCAATTAATTATAAAGACCTAAGAATAGAAACGTAACCGCAATCGCAAACTTTAACCGAAGAATAATGAGTTAGATAAGAATAAAGAATATACCTATCCTTTTTTAACTCCTTTCATTTGGTTGTCGATTGTGATTTCGATTAAGTTTCTTTAAGGCCGCAGTGCCATGGCAGCGTTTTGCGTTGCGTTGTAATGAGAGAGAATGCAGCAAACGTATATTTGCGTCTTTTTCTCTCCCATTACGACGCAACGCAAAACGCTGTCATGGGACTCCACCCTTGGGCCGTTCCAGAATGGACTCAAATGGTCGCGTCTGCGTTTGCGTCGAGACCATTTGAGTCCATTCTGGAACGGCCCCTTAGGGTGAAATCACACGTAAGCGGAAAGTGTGAAAATATTGAGCAATGAGTGTGACAAAGATAAAAGTATGTATATGTTAAGTTCCCAACCCTGCTTTAGACTTGCTTTTTGCACTCATTGTATAATCTCCTTTAAATTAAAGTGTGGAATCCGCCTTAAGTTCCTATTGGAAAACTACTTTTCTGGAATCACCTTTATAAATATGATGAATAGGTTAGGTTTGTTTTTGTTTTATTTGACATCTTTGACATGAAACATGATATTAAGAAATCATTCAGTACAATGGATTTTCATTACTATAGTTTTCTTTACATTACTTCATTTAAAATTGAAAGTAATAAATTTAGAAGAAAATAATAAATTATTAAGTAAGTTATTTTATCATTTATATATTGTATACTATGTGTTTAGTTACAATGTATTTAACCGTTTGAGAAACATATTTTTTAACAAGAAACTGGATACATTTTTATAAAAGAAAAAATTTCTCTTACTTATTGGATTCTGTTTAATTTAAATTATTTTTTGTGACAAAACATTTTTTAAATTTCATTTACATTTATAGTAATTTTTTGTTCTTTTCAGATGAAGCTGTAATGCAAATTAATTCTGAAAATAAGAAAGAAGTAATTTCTTATACACAAATGTATAGTAAGCTATCTCAAATAGATGACACAATTGTAATATATAATAGAGTACCAAAAACAGGTTCAACGAGTTTTGTTGGTGTAGTTTATGACTTGTGTAAAAGCAACAAATTTCATACATTACATTTAAATGTTACTAATAACATGCATACTTTGACACTTGCTAATCAGGTACGTTTGATATTTCCATTTTATTTCTTCTGTACCTTCATCAGTTATTTTTAATTGCTTAAACTAGAAAATCTCATAAACAAAATTTCAATTTTTTTATCGCTAACATTTTTTCTTCAGAGACAGAGCTTTATCTTATGACTGAAACAGTTAAAGTGAAAAATGTCATTCTGTCAATTGATAATTACATTATATAAAAAATGTTAACATTTATAAAATGCATGTGAATTTGGTTACAGATTAAATTTATACATAACATAACAGAATGGAATGTTTTAAAGCCTTCGTTTTATCATGGACATATAGCCTTCTTAAACTTTGAAAAGTAAATATAAAAATTATACTTATTGTTAGCAATTTGTTATAAATTAATTGTAATTTTAAATGTAAACTCTTTAACGCTTAAAGGATGAAAAATTTGAACAGTTTTCCCAGGAATTTAACAAAAAAAAGCTTGATAATATTCCACAAATTCATCAGACTTGAACGTTTAAGAGTTGAATTGTCTTCTTTAATGTAACGAGGAGAAAATTGACAAAATTACTGTTTCAGATTTGGCGCACAACACGTTCCAATTTATGTAAATTTATTAAGAAAACCTTTAGATAGATTTATTTCCTATTATTATTTCTTAAGATATGGTGACAATTTTAGACCTCATCTTATAAGAAAAAAACATGGCGATAGAAAGGTAAATGATGTTACATTTTTAGAATTTCTATAAAAGAAGCGAATCCAGAATTTAAGAATCAATAATTATTTTAGAGTTTCGACGAATGCGTGCTACTTCAACAAGCAGACTGTGATCCTAATAATATGTGGATCCAAATTCCTTTCTTGTGCGGACATGATCCAGCTTGTTGGTAAAAATAATGATATTTATTTCGCAATTTTTTTGCTTAAATTATGTTTTTGAGTTTTTAAACAGCAATGTAAAATAATATTAAATAAAATTATTTCAGGGAGGTTGGTAATAAATGGGCTTTGGATGAAGCGAAACGTAATCTACAAAGACATTATTTATTAGTTGGAGTGACGGAAGAATTAGAGGATTTCATACAAATACTTGAATTTATATTGCCACGTTTTTTTAAAGGAGGACACGATATATTTTTACACAGTATGTAAAACATATATTAAATTTAATATAAGAAAATAAAATGACATTTTTATATGTGTGATTTTATTTTTAGATAATAAATCACATTTGAGACAAACTACACAAAAAATTGAGCCACAACCAGAAACTGTAGAGAAAATAAAAAAATCTATAGTATGGAAAATGGAAAATGATTTATATAATTTTGCTCTGGCTTACTTCCATAATATTAAAAAGAGACTCCTTAATGCTTCCATCCAAGATGCAAACCAACAATTTATGTATGAAAAAATTCGACCGAAATAAATTACATTTAAGTTATTTTAAAAAATTTGTTTCATTTATTGTAAAGTAATAAAATAATTCTATACAAATTACATGCTACGTACAACTAGTCTTTTCATTATTTTTGTGAGGTCTTAACGCGAACATATAAATAGGATACAGACCGCGTGGCATACCATTCTGCTTTACTTCTTTAATACAAATTAAACCGGCTTTCTTAAATATGTTCGTCAACTCCGCATATGGCCGTGTAACTGAAGAATCTTCAGTATCAATATCTATTTTATCCAAGCTGCATACATTTTCTTTGACTACAATAACTCCATTTTCGTTTAATCCATTCCTGCAATAATAAAAAAGTATGTATCAATTACAAAGAGATTCTGTTTTCACGAAACTTTAAAAAAACATTAGTTTAATATTTAAAACCAACTTACACACAATTCTTTAAAAATTTAATCAAATCTTCGTCACTAAGATGACTTAAAACCCACTGCGACCATATTACGTCGTACAAGTTTGATGTAGGGCAAAATACTTGTAGTCCTAAATTGAAAAAAGTACAATGATAATAATTAGATCTACTTATCATATATGCGGATAAATTCGTTCAATTATTTAAGTATATTTAATTCAATTCAGTATTATTCAGTGATTACCTGAAGGATAAAATTCACCAATTTTTTCAGGATAATCTTCGAGATCCTTTTTCGCTACATCTAGAAATTTCGGATTTTGCTCAACGAGATCAACTTTTTTAAAATAATTTACAAGCAAATTCTTTGTAACTCTTCCAATTCCAGCTCCACAATCTAAACAATACGTATTCTGGGGGGGAATCGTCAACTGAAATTGTTACAAAAAAATTCGGTATTACAAAACAATACAGTTTATCAATATGAAAATTATTTTCTCCAACAAACCTTAAAAAGACAATTTAAAAAAGCTTTTGATCCTTGTATATCAGTTTGTGAAGTAAAACCAAAACCTCCAAGCATACCATCTACCGTGGGAGGAATTTTATCCCAATATTTCACTGCATCCGTATAAAATTTTTCGTTTTCTATTTCATAATTTTCCTCCATTTTCCTATTTTTTGAAAATTAACAATTAAATTTATGACAAATGATTTCAAACAATTAACCTTTTCATCTTATTTCGGAAGTACCTTGTGTGCGTATGATAATTTTTCAAATATTTTGACATAATTGCTTAGGCTGAATCCACAATAAAGGCGGTTGTACTTTAAAGTAACTAGACGAGTGTAAATATAGCAAATATATGTCTCCATCTCTCTCACACTAATGGCCTAGTTACAATAAAGCAAAGAAGAATTTCACGAGTGCAAGAGAGGCAGTCAGATATCACTATCCTTTCCACTCTCATTAAATTCTGCTTTGCTTTGCGTTTTCTGCTCAAGATGATGAATAGACATGCAGAAGAAAATGACAGAAGCTGTCTGCGTCCTTTTCTTTCCAAGGCTTTGTTCCCGTATCCGGGAAATTTTTACCGAAGGTGTAAACGTACCCTAACGTCTTATATATTTCTGTGAACTGTTGTGAACGGATATTAAAGCAGAAGTTTTATCATCAACATCATCAATAATATGATATTTTTGATGATTATATTAATTAATTAAATATATCATTAAATTATATATTGAACAAAATATTTAAACAATATTTCATAACGAAAGTGTGTTTACTATAGAATGTAATATCTGTCACACGGTTAAACACGTGAAACAGGAGTAAATTAAGTTTTGTCAGTTTTGTTTACTTCCAATTGTTTAAAGATGTCAAGAGGAGGAACAAGATTAGACACTAAAAAAGTGGTATGCACTGTATGATATACTTATTCTGATGAAAACATTTTGTTTCTGTGTGAGATTAACAATTTTTTTTCCAAGTCTTATTTTAATATTATACTTTCCTTTTATTTTTCAGAATTCAGAATTATTTACACTAACGTATGGTGCTCTTGTTGCTCAATTATTAAAGGATTATGAAAACGTTGAAGATGTTAATAAGCAGCTGGAGAGAATGGGATACAATATGGGAATAAGATTAATAGAAGACTTTTTAGCACGTACAGGTTCTGGTCGGTGTTATGACTTTAGGGACACAGCGGAAAAAATCCAAAGCGCCTTTAAAATATATCTTGGTGTAACACCTACTATTACGAATTGGAATGCTGCTGGAGATGAATTTTCCCTATGTTTTGAATCTAATCCTCTCACGGAATTCGTTGAACTTCCAGACAATTGTTTGCACTTAAAATACTGTAATTTATTAACTGGAGTGTTACGCGGTGCTTGTGAAATGGTTCAGATGGAAATTGCTGCGTGGTTCGTTCAAGATCAGTTGAAAAACGATAACATTACTGAGGTACGAATCAAATTTGTAAAAAGACTAGAAGATGCTATTCCTGCTGGCGAAGATTGAATCTGTGAATTCGTAGTTGAAGGGGGACAAATTTAATACAATGTGTCGTGCTTATTCCATTATGTTTAGTAAAATAATGTTTAATATGTTCTACAGTGTTGCCTTTCTGTAATCAGTAGTTGCAATAAATATTTATTACCGAATAAAGTAATATAAAAATTGTACTAATATGGGGGTGCAATATTTGTTAATCGATCCACTTTAAAGGTGTCTAAAAATATACCCTTCTTAACAATACTTTCAATATTGTAAATTTTTTTAAAAATTATAATGAATAAATAAAAATACTATTATGTCGTAATCTTCTCCTATTTACTTTAATATCTTAAAAAAAATTAACTATAAATATAACGTTGACAATTTTTACTAACTAATCACACTCACTAAGTTGAAATTAAAAAATTTAATGTTAATTTGACAATTTGCTGTAACGATCTTGCATTTTTTGTAATAATTTTTGTTTCTTTTTTGTCGATACATTCTCATCTAAAGGAATAGGGTTACAGTCTTTATATCCAAGGCCAGATTTACTAGAGTTTTGCATGATTGGTACCTGAAACAGCAGCAACTATTAAAGACATATCTAGAAATTATTCATACTTTCGATTAATAAATAAAATTTATTAAAGAAACACACTGTCAATTGAAAGTGTTTTTTTTAAAAGTCCGTTTTTTGAAAAAAGGTCCGTAAAGTCCGTAATTCAATTCAAAAATGATGAAAAGTTGGTAAATTGTACGATATAATTTGGATAATTTTAGAGAAATAACAAATGATCGCAGAAAGAGAAAAGGAAGAAAATGAAAGTCTTACAGGTTCCAGTATACCGCTGCCTTCTTTGCCAAGGGATTGTCCTTCTGACCAACCCATTCTGGATAATAGTTTGAAACCTTTATTGTCCTTTGCAATGGAACTGAAAATATCCAACTTATTTGAATTCGAAACTTAGGTTGATGTTTAAATTTCTATCGATCGAAAATATTTCTCATGTACTTACGATTCTAGAGAAGTTTGTTCTGTTTTAGCATATTGATCCGAAGAACCATTGCACTGCCTTCTTGCCTGCGCCCTGTCTTGATAGCCAACGGCTACATTGCTGGCAGCAACGTCATTGCTGCTTTCAACGCCGAATTTTGATTTCAACCGTCGTAATTCCGATTTGTATTGTTGTATTTTTGAAATACACGTTTCATTAATAGTGGAATTCGCGAGTAGAAGACCAGGTTCGCAATTTTCACACGTCTCATATCCTTCGTGAACATGACACAATAGTTTTGTACAGCCTACTTGTAAAATAGATCCATGTATTACTTCGAAGGGATCTGATTCTTGTTTCGCTACAGACATTCTTACATTGTTTAGAATTGTTCCATTCCGAGAGCCCAAATCTATGATTTCATATAACTTCTTCTCTTCATTATATTGAAATCTAGCATGATGCTGTAAGAGAAAAAATAATAAAATTTCCAGTATGATAATATTATCACGTTTCACCTTTTAATTAGACAAATCAGTTTACCTTACTAATATTTATGTCTTGAATTAGGACATTGTGATTCCCTTCTCGGCCAATCGATCCTCCAGTATAAGGAATAAGAAAAAGAGTTCCCAGTTTGAGTTTTGATAGATTGGTCTCTTTAACAACTATTCGCATACACGGTGGATAAGTTTTCGCTAAATCTATAAAAACAATTTCCATTAAATAAGTGCTGACAAATGACAGTTAGAATTCTGATTCTTGTGTTATTAAAATAACTCATTATTTCCTAACAATAGTAATTAAAATTATTAAATGCCTCTATCATCATCGTCATCGTTTTCGTCACTAGTGAATTGAGTAGATTCAGCTTCTTGACTACTGCAGCTGCTATCACTCTCTGAACATTCTCCTTCTTCATGTTCATTAGATTGATAATCTTCACTAATCATTCTATGTTTATTGCTTCTATTCTGTAAGAGATCAAGAAAAATTAGAAGATTGATAGCAAATTTTACATAAAAATTTTATGTATTATCGGAAAAAAACAACTCTTTCCAAGAGCTTTAGAAATATAAACAATTTACACATTAAAAACATAAGTTTTATACCCTCTTTAATTTTCTCAATTTTCGTTTTGTACTTTCTTTCAATTCCTTATTCTGTTCATCTGCTTTTTCAATATATGCTTGACTGTGAAATTTATAAGAATTACTTTGTTCATCGTAGTAATAATATATCCCAGAATTTCCATCGTAATATAAGCCCATTTTCTAAAATTTTAATGAATACATTAAAAAAATGAAACTTAGCGTGCAACCATCTGATATTAATTCACCAGAAAAATAAAAAATATTTACTGCATCATAATAATATCCAGTATTATAATCATAGTACAATCCTGTGGTTTCCTCGTAAACAAATCCAGTTTGCTGAACTGCAAGTTCTGCCACTTTCTTAATTTCATCAACAAAATTGGTAGGATTATCTTCTGCAGTTGAATTCCATATTTTCGTAATTTCATTCCTAGAACCATCTCCATCAGAAAAACTTGTTTGCGTTTCAGAATTAGTAAAACTTTTCTTTAATATCAACTGCTGACCTTGCTAACAAATATGTAAAAAATCAATATAATTAAACTTTCAAAAATTAGTTTCTATTATAAATAAAATTTACCAGTTTTATTATCTCTTTCTGTAATTTTGCAATTAGTGACTTTTGTTCTTTTATACGAAGTTGACATTTTTGCATGAATTTTAAAACATGTGGAAATTGATTTAATTCCAGAATAATATCTTCCTTTAATTCTAAATCTTCTTCGTAACTTTCATTTATATCTGCTGTATCACTGACAATCTGAAAATAGTAAAAAATATTGAAAAAAATCTCTCTCTTTCACAAAAATAATAATCTAATTTATTTAATTATTTTTATATTATTTAGTTTTATAGTATTGATATAATATTTAACCTTGTTTACTGTTGTCATTTCTTGTTTATAATTATTTCTATTTTTTATTTCACTTTTTTGTTATTCCTGTGAATACTTTTATCTTAGCATTCTTATTGTCATTATTATTTCACTTTGAAACTGTGCTCACTGTAAGAATTATAATATTTGTAATTTATTAAACTACATACAAGTGAAACTACTATTTTCATTTCCATGTGAATGTGTGGGATGTATACTGATGTAGTAGTAGTAGTAGTAGTACCTTGAGTACTACCTTTCCTTTCTTTTTCTTGTCTTCGTAACTACTTTAGGGTGTAGTCACATCTGGCTGATTAGATTTAAACCAAAGAGTGAAGGACGTTCTACAATGAGTTCAAATTTCAAAAAAGGCAAGTCTAACTCTAAAGGTGCTTCACACCTACTAATATTTGGGCTCTAGCAGTGTTGAACGGATAAATTTTTTCACAACCGTAAACTGTGTTTTCCGTTGAGCAGTGAGGGTGAAGTCCCATGGCACCGTTTTGCGTTGCGTTTTGTAACTAGGCCATGAGTGTGAGAGAGATGAAGATATAGGTTCGCTATATTTGCACTCATGGCCTAGTTACAAAACGCAACGCAAAACGCTGCCATGGGACTCCACCCTGAGGCTGAAGTCCCATGGCAGCGTTTTGCGTTGCGTTTTGTAACTAGGCAATGAGTGTGAGAGAGTTGGAGATATATGTTTGCTATATTTGCACTCATGGCCTAGTTACAAAACGCAACGCAAAACGCTGCCATGGGACTGCGGCCTGAGTGTAACAAAGATAGAAGTATATATCTTTCTCGCTGGCAGCTGAGTTGTGACCATGCCTTTATGTTTACAAACTAGTTGTGCTTAGACCTTAATTGAGAACATTAGCGCCATCCGTCCTCAACGGTATTGGATAGAAGATAAAAAATTCTTTTTTTCTCTCTTTTACCGTCTAGAGAGACAAGATGGTAAGCTTTTCTTTCATTTTCGTTTTTAAATCTATAAACATCTTAAGAAAAGAAATAGTTTTTAAATTTTAATATATTGAGAATAAAAGTGTAATAATTAATATATCTAGTACAATATTTATTTTTTATACCAGTTAAATTCTACTTGTGTTGTTTCAAGTGAAAAATCGTGCGTGATCAATTTCGATTTTTGTTATAGTTATACCCTTTCAAATATTAGTTTATCACAATTTAGAATTTGTATAATCACAATTTGTTATGTATAATAATTTTATCAACGAATCTCTAATGGAATCTAAAGGTTGAAATATATTAACAGGCGAAAAATATTAATTTACTTTTCTAACCTAACCTCATTTGTCTTTAGTTTTTTGACAAATGCTTGTGTGAAATTTTCACGTGTTTAATACATTTGATTTAATGTAATTGCATCTCATTGTTTTTCATTTCTGTTTTTTTAATATTATTTTTTATAATTTCAATACCAAGCTTGTGTCTAAATCTAAAAATTATTATTTACCATTTGGATTAAAATTTGTTGGTGGAATTTGTTTGTAATTGAATAAATATTTAATGGTTTTATTTTAGGCTCGTGGACCAAAGAAACATTTGAAGCGTCTGAATGCCCCGAAGGCATGGATGTTGGATAAATTGGGTGGTGTTTATGCTCCACGACCATCCACTGGCCCTCACAAACTACGAGAATCTTTACCTTTGGTAATTTTTCTTCGAAATAGGCTAAAGTATGCCTTAACAAACTGCGAAGTGAAAAAAATCTGCATTCAAAGGCTCATTAAGGTCGACGGCAAAGTTCGTACCGATGCCAACTACCCAACTGGTTTCATGGGTAAGATGAACAAAATTCGTAAATATCAATCGAAACATTAAATTTTAATTTATTCACAAAGATGAGAAACTGGGATAGTTATAATTTTATACTAAAATAGTTTTAATCATATGTATGATATTTAAAGTAGGCCAGAATCGAAGCCAAGAGACTTTAATTTTCAAGTTTTTTGGTCAATCATAGGCCTATAGTAATAAGATTGCATTTTCTTATGGTCACGGACTGAGTAATTATATTCTTTTCGTATTACCCAGAAAAAGTACATTGATTTTTAAAAAGTTAGTCAATTCTTTTCCGTTTTATCCAATTTGACCTTAAAGTACTATGAAAGTATTCAGAAAAAGATAATATTGAACAATTTAAGTATATTCTTAAAATTTCTGAAAATTGAAAATAATCTTTCATTTCCTTTATAGATGTTGTGACTATTGAAAAGACCGGTGAATTTTTCCGATTGATCTATGATGTGAAAGGACGATTCACAATTCATCGCATTACTGCTGAAGAAGCAAAAGTAAGTCAATCGAACTATTTATTCGATTAAGATTTTATTAATCTTTTTAATTCAGGAGGAAAAATTAATCTTATTTTTATTTTTCAGTACAAATTGTGCAAAGTGAAACGTGTTCAGACTGGACCAAAGGGAATTCCTTTCTTGGTAACACACGATGGAAGAACTATCCGTTATCCAGATCCTTTGATTAAAGTAAATGACACCGTTCAACTGGATATCGCCACTTCTAAAATTCTTGATTCTATTCGATTTGACTCTGGTACGAATTTAATTTTTTTAAAACATAAATTTTTAAATAATTAAACAAAATCAATCAATGTTTTTTAATATTCTCTTTTCTTATAGGTAATTTATGTATGATTACGGGAGGAAGGAATTTGGGTCGTGTTGGAAGTGTCGTTAGCCGAGAACGTCATCCTGGTTCATTTGACATTTGTCACATTAAAGATTCCCAAGGTCACACATTTGCCACAAGGTAAACATTTTTTTTTAAATAAATATAAAAAATAAGGTCTTATCGAAGCTTCAATGTCGGTTTTTAAAGATATTGTGAGTCATGAAAGACCAAAAGTAAAAAATTCCTTATAATTGGTCGCTGATTGATTTATTTGATAATCTTTCCGTATTACCCAAAGAGGTGACAAATATTTATCATTTAAATTTATGGGTTATTGTGAATTGATTTAATTATATAAATCTGTTTTTTTATAGGTTAAATAATGTATTTATCATTGGCAAAGGGTCGAAACCATATGTGAGTCTTCCAAGAGGAAAGGGAGTGAAGCTCACGATTGCCGAAGAAAGAGACAAAAGGTTGGCATCCAAGCGAGAGTAATGTATGTTTCAGGAGAAAATTTTCTAAATAAACGAGAGTTTTCGATGAAAGGTTTAGATTTTTCTTTAAACATCATTTTTTTTGTTAAACAATTTTAATTCAGTCATTCCAAAAGTAATTGTCAAGTTTATATTACAAACTAGTAAGTCGGTAATTTTAATTTACAAAATTACATATCTACATTTAATTAGCCTACTAAATAGGTTTTTAATTAGCCTATTAAATTAAATAAACAGAATTGCGATTAGAATATTTAAGTGAGGAATTTTCACTCAAGTATTTAATTAATTGATACATTTTTGTGCTTACATTTATTTTAATATTGAAAATAAAAAATATACGTAATTGTATTAAAAAATGAATACAAGAGTTTAGACTAATTTCTTTGGAATTAGATGAATATAAATAGATATTTTTTAAATTATAAGCGCTTTGGATGCGTATAAAGAATTTATTTCACATTTATAAAAAAGCCACTGAATTTTTTCAAACTCCAATTTGTTGGAATTGAATGGATTTGCAAAATTAATGGTTTTAAAACTCATTAACACTTTCCTTGGACAATGGTGAATTTGTATAAGAACGTGAAGAGACGCTCAAGGGTTTTTTGGTGTTACTCGCTTGTTTACAATCGCAAGCTGTTGAAAGCAAGTCCGTGTGGTTGCATTCCTTTTGAAGAACGCTATTGTCACCTGTAGGGAAAATTGAAATACATAATATTATATTTTTGAGAGAAAAATTATTAACAAGGATGTGAAATGCAATATTTAACCGTTATAAACAGCTTTAATGCTTTGAGCAGATTCCGGGCGTGTCGTGAATTGTGAAACACTTTCTTCGTCGTCTTTCAATTCTTTCAAACGCAGTTTATTGAACTCTTCTTCTCGAATGCTGCAGGTCGATCTAGATCTCGTGCTTTCGGCGACTTGTTCGTCTGCATGCAATTGAGAAGGGCATTTCCAAATTATAATTGCTCCATCGGCGCTCACGGATACAATGTACTTGCCATCGGGACTAAATTTAATTCCAGTAATGATAGCAGCATGACCAAGACCAATGTGTGTAATTTCAGCATTTTGGTAGTGCCACAACTTGACAATGCTGTCATTTGAGCCAGTGACAAAATGTCGACAATCAGCACTAATGTCCACGCAGTTCAGGGCCCCTACCCCCGAGCCTTCAACTTCTCGAATGAGGGAAGCAGTTAGAGTTTCCCAATAGCCTATTAAACGGTCAGTTCCACAAGTTAAAACTTGAACACTATTTGGAGTGAAACATGCTGCCATGTACATTGTATTTCCCATTAAGACTTTCTTTCTCGTACACTGCCTGCAGAAGATTTTTCGTTTTATTTATCAAAAAATAATTAATTTTTTCCGTTTACCATGTTTACTTACACAATGTCCCATATAATGCACGTTCCATCCACACTTGAACTGATGACTTGATCATCATTTTTGGAAATGTGCAAAGACGTCACTGGTCCTCTGTGCTCTTTCAGAATACAAACAAGTCTTTGAACATCAGGTTTTACATCCCAAATTCTTATCTGTAAGATAATATTTTTTAATTACAAAATATTAATATTTTTAATAAATAGAAAATAAATAGAAAACTTGCTTGTCCATCACATCCAGCACTGACAATCTTCTTTCCGTTTTTGGTAATAACAACAGCTGATACGGATTTGAGGTGAGCATTGTGAATCGCAAACAATAATCTACCTGACTGTGGAGCAAAAGCTCTTATAACTCCATCATTCCACGCTAAAATGTATTTTCAACAAACATTTAATTAGATATTAATTAAAAGGTGTTAAATAAGAAGCAATTTTTTATCCAACGTACCAGATATTATCATTTTTCCATCGTAGCTAAAACAAAGATTGGAGCAGACGAAATTTGAAATTGTTATTCTCAGCAATTCCTTTTGTGTTTCAACTCTCCACAATCTGATGTCATCTTTGCTACTCGTCGCAAAAATTTCAGAGTAGTTGCTGCAAAAAGAGTGAAAATTGGATACATTAGAAGCGAATTATGAAATATATCTATAACTTGATTATAGTTTTACGTACGAAGGAAAGGCAATACTGTATATTGTATTTGTATGGCAAGTGACTAGAAGACGCATGTCAAAATCTTTCAATTTTATCTGATAAATCTCACATAAAGTAGTTCCAATGAGTACATAATCATTTTTATATAAAACCATTGAAGATACCGCATTACCAACATTTTCAGCTTGAAGCTAGAATTAAAAGAAAATTAAAATTTGCCTGATCAGGGTTGCCATTCTTTTGCTCTTTTCAAATTCTCTGACATTTCCAGGTTTAATTTAATTTTAATCTCGTGAAATTATAATACAAGGACAAGTGACTTGTAAATGAATTCTTTGCAAACATTTCAAAAGGAAATAAATGAAAAGATAATTTACAATTTGAATCTGAGGTATACTGGGTAGTTTAACGCTCTTTTTAAAATTCAAAGGAGTATTTAGAATTTTAATAGTTTCAACATTTCCTCCTCCAGAGCCAACTAATATTTTCTCCTCATCCAAAAGTAAAAGTGCTGTCACTCCACCAGGATAAAGATCTCCTATTCCAGCTTTCAATTTTTTTAAATCTTTTGGAATTTTTGAATAACAACCAATCATTATAGGTGTCTGCACCGGTTCCATGTATTCCATATTGTGATAATAATTCAATCTGTTATTAATGAAATTATTTAAGTGAACATGAATTTGGAAACAGTTTACTACCGCACATCTCACCTTGTCTTGATGATATCGCCCGAGGAAGTTCCACAATAAGCAATTTCATCCCTATTATCAATTACAACACAATTTATAGTGCGTTTTATTTTACCCACTCTAACGCATATTCCATTGAGTTTGCGAGTTTCTGGATTAATTCTCCACACTTTGATGGTATTTTCACCAGCACTCACAAAACATTGGTCACGCATATTTGTTCGTTTTACAGTCCAAGCACTTCCAGCTATTTCAGTACTTGCATATGATCCTAAATTATCAAAATATTAAATATTTTCTATTTTCATAGATTGATTACCCAAATATTATGTAGTATACCACAAATAGCTTCATTTTCACGAACATTCCAAATGACAATGTTTCCATCGTCTCGCCCTCCGAGACTGATCAAATAATTACTTTCAGATGAGAAGCATAGATCCTCGACTCTTACTTTATGAATCTCGTAACTACTTTTCATCACTTTTTTCTCATAGTCCCATACAATAACCATTGCCTACAATAATAACAATTGCAGAACATCAATAAATATAATTACATACTAATTGACTAATATTTTATTACTGATTTATTACTTTGAATCCTAAATGATTTATTTGACCAGAAGCAATAAATTTTCCACAGGGAGAGACACACAAAGCTGATATTACATTTGTATGTCCAGATAAAAAAAATTGTTCGCCTGAAGTTATGTTTTTAACAGTGACTTTATTACCCATTGGAAATAAAAGATATTCCTGGTTTGGGTGAACGTGCAAGCTGTTTTTCGTAATTCCTTATTTTATTGAGAAGTTTTCTTTATTAATAATTTGACATTATATAAATAATGCAATTCTGTAAACAATTTAAATATTTAATATTATTCATACCATCGAAAGAAATTATGCCGATGAGATCTAAATTGAGAAGATTCGAATTTTTTTGATTCATATTCCCGTTCATTTCAGAAAGGAATGTAAAAATGCTTATTTGTGCTTATTTTTACTAAATAGAAAATATTATTGATAATGAAATAACAATCTGACGTTAGTTTTTGGTTTTAGCGTCTTTTTAAAACAAAGCAGAGGGGATACATTTCCATGACAACGAACATCCGCTTGCATGCGCAGTATTGTTGTAATATATTTGTTTCCAAAATCTATTCTCTTTCCTTTACATATTATAAAAGTGCGAATTGTTTAAATAATTAGAAAATTTAGCAACGTACAAATTAGAAGAAAACTATTTTTGGTTTTTTAAACAAAAGGTCTTTCTGGATCTTCTGGATAAATCGTCACGCATGCGCAGTACACTAAAATCCTTTTAACCGTCTGTGTCAGTTGTGTTGTTTGTGTGGAGCTCGAGTTACTGCTCTAATGTCAATTTTAAGCATATATACTTAAAAATTGTTTTGTTTTTTAAATTTTATACATATACAGTTGGATTTTGATTAACTTGAAAATTTATAAAACTTATAAAATTATATTAAAAGCGTTATAACAAGAATACTGTACCTTTAACTAGAAGTTTAAGGTTAACATTGCTCCTCGAGTGCATTTAAATTTTAACCGTTTTTCCGTTGTGGTCCTGCTGTCAATTTTCTTTTTAAACATCATCAGAATTTAAAAGTTGACAATGGATATATTGAAGTAAGTATACGAATATTATGAAACTTTTTTTTATTGTTTACTACAAGATACTTTTATTATTATAATTTTTCTAAAAAAAAACTAACCTCATTTTCTTAAATTAAATTGTTCTATATGTTATAACTATTTTTAAAAATTCAAATATTTTTATTGTATGTTTATAATATTTTTTCTTAAAATATTAATCTTAATTGCTTATGATTCAGAAATATTTTGATTTAAATGTGCTTTTCTGTTGTGATCTGAATAGCAATATTCTTGCAAATGCTCCGCCTACATTTTGGAAGAAAGGAAGATTAGAAACCTTTGAAAATTGGCCATTTCAATTAGCTAATAATAACTGTAATGCAGAAAGAATGGCAGCAGCAGGATTTCATTTTATTGGAAATAAGAATGAGCCAGATTTAGTTGGATGTTTCATTTGCTCTAAACAACTCGATGGATGGGAGCCAGATGATGATCCTTGGTACATTTTCTATTCTTATTTTTTAATGCTAGGTAGTTAAACTTTTAATAAAAAAAAATTATATTTTAGGGCGGAACATGAAAAACATCAATCGTCTTGTGCTTTTGTGAAGCTGAATAAACCAGATGAAATGCTGTGGACAATAGAAGACTTATACAGCCTACTTTTGGAAACTTTAAAAAAGGATTTGGTAAGTTTTTGCTTTTATTTCACACAAAGTTGTTCTTTTAGAACCAAATTCTATGCAGGTAATTTTTTATTTTAAAAAATTATATAATTCTCATTTTTATGCGAAATTCTCTTTGAAAATAGTGAGTAGTTAGCAGTGTGCATCTGAGCGTAGATTGAGTTATTGAATCTGAAGAATCAATCACAATTTATTTTGATTAATTATTGTTAATAGTTTCCTCAAAAAGAGATAATAACTAAAACTTGTATTTCAGGAAAAACAACATAATTTTGAAATAAATAAATTCAACAACCATGTGGAAGACTTATTACATCAAATTCCGAATGCTTGCAAAGGATCAAGAAAAAGTCGAAAAAATGCTTGAGATAAAATAGATTACAATTAAATTTTTACTATCAACATGATGTTTATCTTTGCCACTATCATTAGCATTTTCAATTTTCGAAACTACCACAAGACTGAGATAATATATCTCTTGGATTGTTATTAATATTAATTAATCCTCTTAATGATTAAAACAATATTCTACTTTTCAATTAGCACAATACGAGATAAATAAACTTCTCTTTAACTGTACTTTTTGAGTGACATGACGATACTTGACTGAATTCCAACGTAAAATCCAGTAAGTAGTAATATAAGAATAACTTGTAGATAAATGCGTATCTTCTAATTTATATTATTATACCTTCATTGAAGTGTAGTATTTTCTAATTTTTTTTACAATTATTATTATTCGTTTATGTACACATATGAATAATTTTAACAATATTAAATAACATTCTTTTTTAATTAGGATTAATTTATTAAAATTCACCGTCATGTAAATTACATTGTCGTGAATACATTTCCAATATTGTTTTCTATTGTTAGTAATGCTGCTATATTAAAGACAGTCGTATGATAAAACTGATTATAAAAGAGACTGAATTGTTTGATTTAAATCATTGTGAAAGTGAACATTAATGAAGGAAGAAAAAATTCCCCTTGTTGAAAAATGGACAAAGTCAATAGAGAAAAGAAGAGGAAACAATTTACAAGAAGGTAATGTTTCGTTTATTAATAATTATAAAAAATAAATTTATAAACTTCTCTTAAGCTGTTAAATGTATATGTGTACTTCTTTATCGGCATCACAACACTTGCGGTAAAATTCCATCAATTTTAAATTATATATACATATATTTTTCTCATAATTCTCGGGAGTATTATATGAAATTCCAAATATTTTTATATTAACCCCCTCTTGAGTAATTAACTTTTTGTTTAAGAAATTTATTTCAAAAATTACAATTAAGTAATTTTCTTAAGGATATTTTCGCATAAATTAATTTTCCTTGTTCGAGAATAAAATATAAATGTAATAAATTTTATTAAATTAAATTGTTTACACAATAACTTATAATTATTTATCCTCTCTGTGCACTTGACACTCGTGCTAAATTACTAAATTTGTATTAATCGCAGCACATAGCCAAACACTATAATTATTTAGAACTCTTCCAAAGATATTATTTTACTTTGCTGCGTCGTAGAACAAGATAGCCATTAATGTACTATATGTATATGTAGATAAATCTTAAATATTCTTGCAATGAATCACAATACAGATGTATATATGGAAGTAGAAACATTTTTTTGTAATTAAACTTTCAAGTAAACTTTAAATTTAACTTTTCCGAATAGTTTTTGATAAAGTAAAATTTGTCTAAACTCTAAATTTTAGAAAATGAGATAAGGTGCGTTCTGATTATTTGTAATATGATAAAAATATTATCGAAAGTGAATTTGGCATTCATCTTTTCAATTAATTTCAAATTAATTTTAATTAATTTCAACACATTTTTACATATGAAAATACGAGATTACGTAAGGAAATGCGAATAATAAAAAAAGGAACGTTTGTTTCTTCTCATTTCTAATAATTCTCACCATTTACTATAAATATACTTAAAATTCTTGATTAGAGTATAAATGTACATTTATCGCAGAAAATTACAAAGCTCCTTTTTAGTTAAACCGACAATTTAATTTGACTTGTGTATTGTAGAATGAAATATACTCCTTGATTTTATGTATTATGTATACTTGTCATTATGAAATGAATAAAAGATTTGAATAAATAATTAGATTGGCTGCTGGCAAAGTAACTCACTAACTAATTAATTAATTTATCTGCTTTGAATGATAAAATTTCTACACACTGAGAATTCTTCATTTTCACTTGCATGTCAAGTGTCATGTCATTAAATTAAAATGTATTAAACTTATTGAATAAAGTTAGCAGTTTATTTACACTGTTATTAATTATGAAATTAATATATAGACAAATGGACTTACCGTTTTTCTCATTCAAGGAAGTATGCGAAAACTGAACTCCTTTCATGCTAATATCTTTTTCCGCAACTTTTCAATGAACCATAACAGTACAGTTAAAGTCGAAGGACCCTCTATCCTTGTCCTCGATTTTATTTTATTTCATTTATTTCCAAGCATATAATATTCATAAATAAAAATGATACTTCGAGAATTATTTGTCTATTAAATAAATCAAGTTTATAAAGATTTAAATTTAATTATTAGAAGCACTATTTTAAAAATTAAATCTACAAAGGTATCTTTTTTTCACTGTCCAGTAAATTTCAAACAATTTTAAAAGAATGACTTCAACCTATTGCATATTTGATTTATTTCTATTCATATGTTTTTCTGAAAACTTTATGTGCATTTGTTCCGCTTATGAAACAGATTCTTAATGAATTTTGATTCATAATCTAAATCAATTGCAAACAATTTTAATTCGCTTTAAACAGAACTGATCTTTTTGCTTTATTTTATCTTAAGAAAAATAAGATATATGCCATTAAAACAGGATCTTGATAGAAAAATACGATTTTCTTTGGAAATTATTCTATTGACACTGACACACACACACATGTTTATTATACATACACTTTTTCAGCTAAAATTGGTTTTTAAAAAAGAAAAATTATATAATAAATGAAGAACATATACAATACCTTTTGACGCAATCGTACATGTAATTGTATTTATGTTATGTTATTTGAAAAATGAAATGCTTTAATTTACAAAGACTTGAAAATTTGCAAAGTCTTTTGTATAAATGAAACTATTGAAAAATATAAGTGCTCGTATGTTGATTATTTAATAGAATAGGTAAATAATATGAATATTAAAAAAAATCTTATTCTGCGGTACCTGAAAGTGTATAATCTCATACACTCCACAAATATTGATAAATTTTATCGAAAAAACTTGTAGATGGGGTAAAAATTGTTGGTAGTCTTATAATAAGGAAAACTTTTTTAAAAACTCTTCAGAGATATACTTTTATGTGTGCACTTAATACCCAGTTAAAAAAAGGAATTCAGGATAATTTTGGACTTAGTCTTTTTTAAGTACCCTGCGTTATTTACTATAGTATTAAAGTATTAAATCTCGGTCCACTCAGAAAAAAAGTTTATTCAACACCCTAAAGAAAGTATAATCTTCACTTTTTCTCTAAATTTAATGCATATTTTTCTCTATCGTATCAAAAGTAATAGTCTCCACTTAATATTACATTTCCACTTAATTATATTCATTTGTTAAGCTTAAGCTTACTTAATCGAAAATTGGTAGTTTTCGATTAAGAATTATTATCAATGAACGAATCGGTCCAATTTCATTATATAGTCCAAAAAAGTAACAAATTTCAGATTTAGAGTTCGATGTCATTTTTGGTGAGCAGTGTCTTTGAACCGCATCCGAATCATTGGATTTCATAATTTAAACGTAATTATTTATATAAAAAAAAGTGTATTTTTAGTCAAACGACCTCAGGTGTAAGGAAATATTTTTGAAACCCATAAATGAAAAAGAACCTTTTTCTATAATTGAAAACCGCATTACCGTAGGTACATCCTTTCTTCTTGAATATGATGCTATCTCAATCATCATTCATGTCTTTTAGATCAAAAAGTGGGGTTCTAAAGATGAGGTAATGACAGTCTTATCGTAACACGTCGATATAAGGTGATGGTGATCACTAAAATGGTGGTCACTCTGTCGAAGGATTTGGTGTGTACAGATCTTTCCGGTGAACGGTTCTATAGAAAATTGTGCGGTTCACTTATTTTTGAAAGTTTATTCATTTATTAGTTATGTATTCTGCTTAAAATTTAAAACTTTATTTGTGTGATTGATCCTTGCACACTTTAAATCAATTTTTGAAAATGACGATACCTGCCTGGAAATCATGCTGTAAGTATTGTATTATTTAAAAATATATAGGTACATATCACACTGCGCGCCTTTTGCCCTTTGATAATTATGTAAAAAATCTCTTTCCCGCGTGCGTCAAAAGAAAATATGATGATTGAATTTTAAAATTAATTATAGTTTTTAAAGTGGAAAAAATAACAAGTCTCCAAAAATTATCTCAATAATGATTTATCATATTGTGAACTTTTATTTATTTTCAAACTAAAAAACCACTAAACTTGTTTGATTTATTTTGCATCAAGATTTATAAACTTTATTCGAGATTACAAAATCTTTAATTAAATAATTTAAAGATAAAGGTCACTTAGAAGAAAGTAAACAAATCACATAGATATAATACTTATTACCTTACTTTTTTGCTAAAACAAAAATAAAGTGATAAAGAAAACTTATATACTTAAATAAAATTATTAATATTTATAAGGGCATCTTCAAATTAGCACGGAAATATTCGAATATTAAAATGATCCGACCTTTGAAATATTTTACAGAAATATTATTATTATTGCTATACTAATGATTTTTTTTAAATATTAATAAATTATAAATTTATTTTGAAATATTCTATTAGAAATATAGTCATATATTATATGATAAAATTGCTAAGTTTCTTAATAGATCTTTGTGTCCTTGGAGTATATAACGGTAATTTTTTCAATCGTTTTATTGATAAAAAGGTTGTAAAAAAAATTTGTTTTTAAGTAATAATACATTGCGGAAATTGTGTTACAAATTATACTATATATATATCAACATCACTTTTGACAAAATGTCATAGAAATTTATTGTTGCTACAGAATTGATAAAGTATCCTTTAATTTTCTGCAGTTTTGTTCAGTTTTCAATTGAAAAAAAAAATAAACGCAAATACAATAACTTGAAAGTAATTACGGTTAATAATTTCCAATGACGTATCACAGAAACAATATTTTAACACCACTTTGGCTTTAAAGACGCAACAAATTTCGACTATTGATTGCAACACCACACCTATTTAAAAGTCATTACAACTATAATGACTAATATTGCAGTCTACTATGTAATATCTAAACGTCCGCTGCATAATCATAAAAAGCTTGCAGAAAGTCTTCATAGCGAGCTTGCAGAACCTTTGCAGCAAATTTTTTAGAAAAACTTTTAACATTTTTTTTTGTGTATACACTGGGAATTCAGTGTAAAAACACTTAAATAATCTAAATATTAGCTTAAATTCAGATTAAGAGATTTTCAGACCTAAAATTGTTATAATTATTTTTATTCTTAGCTCAAAAATGGGTTGAATTTAAGAAGAAACATATTTAAGCTGCGATTAGTGCTTTACTGTATCTCTACAGTGTTATTTATGTGTTTAATACTATTTATTAATATTATTATAGGTATTTTTTTTAATAACAAGTATGTTGAATTCTAACATTTAAAAATTTTTGTTTCTGACCTTGAAAAAAATCCTAAGAGCTATTGTTTTTTAATTTATGGATTTCATTCGACACAAGTTTGCAATAAAATCAAATATTACGTCACTTATTCTAATAATATTATTCTTCTTAAGTAAAATAGTTTAAATTCAAAGACCGCACACGCGAGCAGATTTATTCATTTAAATTAACAAATTTGAGTATAAAATTGTTTCTGTCGAAAAAAATGATCCTTTTTAGATATTTTCATCGCAGCTCCTATTGAAAGTTAAGAATATAATTATCTGTAAATCTGAAAGAGTGCGAAATTGGAAACATGTTGAGATAGTTGGGCCTCATTAAAGAAATATTCAAACGCATTAAATAAAATTTATTAGATTGCAATTAAATATATTTTAAAGGTCTGCAAGAGACATCACTTCGCAAGCGAGCGAATTAACGGAAATATTTAATTCTTATGTTGTAGAGAATACTTTGATTTCAAAATTAGCAGATTCTTATTTAGAAGAGAGAGAGAGAGAGAGAAACTTATTAAAAATAATAATGAAAATAAAGACGCAAACAAAATGAAACAAACATTAAAAGCCACTAAAAGACTCAGCATGTTATCAACTATATTTAATCCATTAATAAATCATTGACCGTGCACATAAAGAATACTATATGATTTCAGACGAGTTTTACACGTCTGATAAGATTAATAATTTATCAACATAATTTGTATGTGCAGTTGTCATAAATAATACTGCAATTTACTGGATTAATTACTTAAGATTATATACTATATAGTAAAATTATCGTCTAATGAAATTTTACTTTTCAGTTGACTCAATTTGAAAAAATGGAATTGAATTTTCAATTTTCTCTAAATCATATCTATTAAATTATCTAATTTAAAAATGCGCACTTTATATACATATTTATATGAAGCGGACAGTGCATAAGATTGAACTTAAATTGTTAAGTTCAAGTGCGGAGAAAGTTTTGTATAAACATTAAAATGTTCCCTTTAACCTAAAAAAAACAATTGTTGGTTTGTGTTAAATATTTATTCTTAAATTTAGTAAATGAAATATTTTTTCAGGCTTCAGGATTCCGCAGCGTTGGGTCTTCGCGGTTATGGGTTTTTTAGCTCTATTTATTGCTTATGCAATGAGGGTCTGTTTGTCGATAGCTATAACAGAGATGGTAATACCGCATACGGATAATGGCACAAAAGAAGAAACAGAAGGACAATGCCCCATTGAAAATGATCCTAAAGAGAGTACAGCTGGGGGAACCTATGACTGGGATGAAAATACGCAGGCAAGAAAAATCATTACCTAACAAAATAATATTTAAACCAATACTAATTCATCCGCAATTTCTCGATTTCTGTCAAAAATACTATAGTATTTTTAATTTTTGACAGTTGTGGAAAATTGTTATGCTACTTGCGAGAACGCATTTTGTCATAAAATATTTAAAACATTAGTATTCGAATTGATCAGAAATTTTAGATAATCATATCTGGTAATCGCATATATCATCGGTGGCAATGAAAGATAAGCAATTTGAAATGTGAATTCCACTTAGAAACTTTTGAGATTAATATACTCAGATTAATACTTATTGTAGCAAAAGTTTTATTCTAATAAAACTAGTAGAATAAAAGGAATAAAAACTTTTATTTCTAAAATAAGACTTTTAGTTTTTAGGTAAATTTAAATAAGTTTGTATACCTCTTGACTATTATTTGCTATTATTCGGTTAAGATAAAAGTTACATAATGTTGAAATTACAGAAACACTAACAGGTTATAATAAAAGACTTGCAAATTAGAATTAAATATTGAGAGGTGCAAATCACAAGATTGTAGAAAACTGTTGGTAATTAATTTTACTTTCTTACAGGGAATAATTCTGTCCTCCTTCTACTGGGGTTATGTGGTAACTCATCTGCCAGGAGGTATGCTGGCTGAAAACTTTGGAGGGAAATACTCTCTAGGTCTGGGCATTCTTTCCACAGCCATTTTCACTCTCGTCACTCCGATTGCTGTGGAGTGGAGAGGTTCAACAGCTTTAATAGTTTTACGAATATTGATGGGTCTCGGAGAGGGCACAACGTTCCCTGCACTAAATGCCATGCTTGCCCAATGGACCCCGCCCGAGGAACGCTCAAAGATTGGCTCCATGGTTTTCGCTGGAGCACAACTTGGAACTGTTTTCGCCACCACCTTATCGGGATTGATCCTTCATTATTCCTCAATGGGATGGCCCGCCGTTTTCTACGTGTTTGGCGCACTCGGCATTCTCTGGTTCTTCGTTTGGGTTTTGATTTGCTACAATAATCCGAGTGAGCATCCTTTCATCAGCGAAAGAGAACTGAAGTACCTTCAGGATCGTCTGAGTGCACACACCCATAAGAAGCCACCGCCAGTTCCATGGAAACATCTTCTCACCAGTGTGCCGGTTTGGGCCTTAATAGCGGCACAAATTGGACACGACTGGGGATTTTTCACGATGGTGACAGACCTTCCAAAATATATGAGCGATGTTATGAAGTATTCGATAAAGAGCAATGGATACCTCTCCTCTTTGCCCTACTTGTGCATGTGGTTTTGCAGCATTATCACTTCCTGGATAGCCGATTGGATGATCACTTCTGATCTCATGTCGAGGACCAATGTTCGTAAACTAGGAACAACAATTGCATCAATAGGTCCCGGAATATTTATAATTGGAGCTTCTTATTTGGGTTGCGACAAGACGAATGTTGTTGTTTTGTTTACTCTCGGTATGACACTCATGGGAACCTTTTATCCTGGCATGAAAGTAAATGCTCTTGATTTAAGTCCAAATTATTCTGGAACTCTAATGGCTCTCGTCAATGGAATTGGCGCACTTACAGGAATTATTACTCCGCTTATTGTTGGAGCCCTCACTCCCAACAAATCTCTAATTGAATGGCGTATCGTTTTTTGGATTGTTCTTGTCGTCTTTATCATAACAAATATTATTTTTATTGTCTACGCCAGTGGCGAAGTTCAAAACTGGAATGATCCAGAATTTTTGAGAACGGAAAAAGAGAAAAAAATTCAGAAAATAGAGGGCGAATCGACAAATGAAAAATTTGAACTCAGGGGAGGAAAATCTTAAAAACTAAATAATTACCTGTAAATACAGATGAATGAGATTTTTACAGATGAAATCGTAAATTGTACATATATTAAACCAGTTTTAAAACTAAAGAGTTTTGACATAAGTAGGTATTGAGATATAATTTTCAAATTTCGTAGTTAGAGCTCCTTTCCTTTTGCATAGAAGATTCTGAAGATTTCCTTATTTAAAAAAGCTATTCATCCAATTTCTAGTTTAATATCTACCTCTATGTCAAAATTCTACAGAAATGGAAAAATGCGAAAAAAGTTACACTTAATATTTTTTTTTAAATTCTTATTGTAATTTCAATAAGTATATGGATAGACTGCGTGATAACGTTTATCCGATTAATAAAATTAATAACGCGTTACTTCCAAACAGATCCCTGACTGAGAAAAACTTAATTAACAGTTAAGTTAAGATTGAACTAATTGACTTCTTACTGAATGAACCAGTAAAGATTTTACAAGTTCACTTTGTATAATTTCACTGTGATTTAAAAAATGTTATATGGACACATTTTCGGGTGTGACAAAAATAATAGAAAATAAAATAATTTTGTATATAATGCGTTAAATTAGTGATAATATTGAGATAAAAATAGAATGTATTCAAGAGGCTTCATAACTGTATATTTATTATTACAGTTACAGTCCATCATTTGTTGGATGAACCACCTCTATGAATTTTTAAATAGAGATACACAATTGACGAGGTGCAAATTCGCATAGACAATTTAATTGTTTAACAAAACTTATCTGATAAAATCTTCATGTTTATGAATAATTTATCTAGAAAGAAAGTTATTCTTTCTGTGATTAAGAATTTTTGTAAATGGTACTACATTATTTCGTAAAAATGAGTTTTTTTTAGTAACAAAAAGTTATGCGGATTATGAAGGTACAATCAAAGAACCGCGTTAAAATTGTTCCAAACAGATTAATAATTATAAAACTTTGAATTCAATCTAAATTTGTATAATAAAAAAATTAAAAATACTTGAAAATTGATTTTTACGATTTCGAGTATATTATGAAATTTATAATTGGTTTTTTTTATATAATATGTTTGCATATTAAATGTATTAGAAAACCAATTTGTCATATGTTGTTACACGATTTATAATGATGTGTATTATAGTTCAACTGTAGGTAAATGTAGCATTGCGCACACCATCCCGTATCGATTTATAAGGGATGCTGGAGGATGTTGAGCATAGGAAGCATAGTTTTAAGTGAAAACTGACTAGAATAGTTGTTGTTCTTCTCTTGCGAAGATTATATTCGCTACTGACCACAATAAATAATAGTGTTTTTTATACATTTTGCATAAATTTCTTAATAATTCCTGTTCATCATCCATTAATATGAATGTAGGAGTGTTACTTTTTCTTCTTCTCGGATTATTCAACATAGTTCACGGTATGGTTTATAAAATAGTTTCTGTTAGTCTATTTTTTTTATTTACCAAAAGAAAATTAAACTTATTTTTCAATAAGGATGACACTAGAGTATTTTGCAAAGCTAAATTCGATTAAAGATATAGTTTCATTAATTGCATTATTAATTGAATTATTTTCAGGTGGGAAATACGAAGTAAATCCAGATGCCAAAAGACTGTACGATGATTTATTGTCGAATTACAACAGACTTATTCGTCCTGTTCATAATAATACCGAAACACTTACTGTTTGGTTACGGCTAAAACTATCTCAATTAATTGAAATGGTAATTTTGAAAAATGGCACATTGTCTTTATCTATTCTACAAACTATCAACATTTTTATTTTCAGAATTTGAAAAATCAAGTTATGACAACAAACGTGTGGGTCGAACAGGTAATATATTCATTAATAAATAAAAGAATTGTCTTGAAATAATATTTTTTCTGATTCCTAAGATTAAAAATTTTATGATAAATTCATATTAGGTACAATTCCGTGAATAAAAAATGATTTGATGTAAAAATTTAGAAAGTATTTTTATAAGGCATAGAAGACACATTTTCAATTAGTTTTATTTCAAAACAGAAATGGTTTGACTATAAATTGAAATGGGAACCATTAGAATATGGCGGAGTTGAGATGTTGTACGTGCCGTCAGAAAATATTTGGCTTCCAGATATCGTACTATACAACAAGTAAGTTTTTAATTTTGTCATACTCATATGGCAAAATTGCTGTTTACACGGCATGTCTTCCATAGTTTGGGGCGAATTGTCAACAACCAAAAAATATATCATTCTACAGAATTAATGAAACTATCCTTCTTCAATATTAGCGCAGATGGAAACTATGAAGTTACACTTATGACAAAGGCAACTTTAAAATTCACTGGAGAAGTGTCCTGGAAACCACCTGCAATTTATAAATCTTCCTGTGAAATAAATGTGGAATACTTTCCATTTGATGAACAGTCTTGTGTCATGAAGTTTGGTTCTTGGACATACAATGGAGCTCAAGTATATAAGATTCCTCATATTTTATTCACTTAGCTTCTTACTTAGCAACATAGCAGTGAATATTTAATTGAAACATTCATATTTGAAAATAGGTGGACCTTAAACACATGGAACAAGTATCTGGGAGCAACTTGGTAGCAATAGGAATAGACTTGAGTGACTTTTATTTGTCTGTAGAGTGGGATATTTTGGAAGTACCAGCTTCACGAAATGAAGAATACTATCCATGCTGTTCGGAGCCTTATTCTGGTAAGTAATAATTAGTTTAGCTACTGAATCTAAAGCAGCTAAAAGCTAAAATGTTAAATTCTTTCACAGATATTACATTTAATATTACAATGAGAAGAAAGACATTGTTTTATACTGTCAACTTGATAATACCATGTGTTGGAATAACATTTCTAACGGTTCTAGTATTCTACTTGCCAAGTGATTCTGGTGAAAAGGTAATTATAAATTTTCATCCGTTGAAAAATAATCGTAAAATAACAATCAGTACTGTTTGATGTTGACAGGTATCACTATGTTCTTCAATTCTTTTGTCACTCACTGTGTTTTTTCTATTACTGGCAGAAATTATTCCACCGACTTCTCTAGCCATTCCATTACTAGGAAAATATTTACTATTCACCATGATTCTTGTAACATTATCAATTATGATAACGGTATGCGTTCTCAATGTTCATTTTAGGTATGTTGAAAATAATTCAATTCTGTGCACAATTCTTCATCATATTAAAAGTGCAATTTAATTACTTTAACCGACTTGCATTGATTATAAAGATTTGTATAATTAAAAGGTCTCCGTCAACTCATAAAATGTCGCCGTGGGTCAAAGAGGTTTTTCTTAATTGGATGCCTCGTGCATTACTGATGCGACGTACACCATACGCTACACCTGACTACGATGATAATTATCTAGACAGTGGCTGTACAAATGAAATTGACTTCAGGTAGGATTCATAATAATAATTTTTCCTAAAAGTCTTTCTACTTTGTGCTAAGAAAGTTTTTTTTAGCTTTCGCGATAGTATAAGTGACTATCCTCTCGATTTAAAAGAAAGTCCTGATGGATTTGAAAGCGTTACTACAACATACAAACCCATAAGAGGAGACGATGGACGACACGGTCCTCATGCATCAGGTAAATAGATCGATAAGCAGATGAAAAAAATTTAAATAACAAGTGTTTATAAAACAGCATTTTGATTACAGTAACTGACAGTGAAAACACAATACCCAGAAATTTATCTGCCGATGTCATAGCCGCTTTGAAAGGTGTCCGATTTATCGCACAACACATTAAAGATGCTGACAAAGATAATGAGGTATAAAATATTACATTTATATCAATTTCTATTTTACGTCTCGTTCCGTGCTATTCAAGCGATTAACTACTAAATTTATCGGTGTTTTGTATTTATTATTAGGTAATAGAGGACTGGAAATTTGTAGCAATGGTGCTTGACAGATTTTTCCTGTGGATATTTACTTTTGCCTGTATCGGTGGAACATTGGGAATTATTTTCCAAGCACCAAGCTTGTACGATACTCGTGAACCCGTTGACCAAAAACTTTCGTCTATTCCATTGAGTAATTATATGCTGCCACCCACTGTTCCTCCAACCCAAACAATTTACGAGCAAGTATAAAGAATAGAATAAAAAAGTAAGTTGTATAAAAGGGAGAAAAATGTCATTACAATCAGTACTCAACAGTATTTGAAAGCAGGCACAAAATTCAAAAACCCTGCTCAAGTGTTACTCATATTCTACATTGATTATATATACATCAACTAACAAGAATTTATACTACTTTTTGTTAAATTTTAAAGGTTAGTTAATTATTTCGTTATGTCATGTTTCTAAAACTTTTAAAATAAAAACACAAAGTTTATTCAAAAGATTAAATCATTTTTTTATATCTCATACTGAAAAAAATGAACATTTAATTTACTTTTAAAAAATAATATTAATGACTTTACAATAAGATTAACTAAAAAGCAATAAATAATAGTTATCAGAATAAAATATTTTATTAAAAAATTTTTCATTTATTTAAAGTTGACAATCGTGTTATTAAATTATTCAACTTGTTTAATATTTATTATGACTTATTTACCCTTTCTAGTTTAAATCTGCTAAGAGGTTTTTTCTTACTTACAGAATCAGAAATATGTGTTTGCGTCAATTCCTGTTTTTTTTCTTGAACTGTTTGTGTGATCTGTAAAATAAAAAATATAAATTATTATTATAAAATGTTTTAACATTTATATGTATATAAATTTTAAATTAAACATTTACCAAATTTTCAAATGTTGACACTTTTGTTGTATCACTTTCGAAATATTTATCTGTCGAATAATCTTGTAAAGGAAAATTACTATCTTTTCTATTTGAGTTATCTCGTGGTGGTTTTAAAATGGACTTGGGTTGAAAACATACGTTGTGAATATCTGTAGGATTATGGATGACATTTTCATCATTGTCGTGTGATGGTGAAGGAGTATCGAAATTGTTAATTTTTGACGTATTACTAGAGTCACGATTATAATTTACTTTTAAATTTTCAACGTTTGAGTTAGTTTCAATATTTAATGGCTTCGTATCACAATTGTCTTCATCACAGATATCTAGAAAGGACACCTTTCTGACGTTTGATAATTTATCTTTATCTCGCGATTTTTCAGTATGATTGCATGTTGAGCTCTTTTTCATTTTGCTTAATTGCTTGTATGAATGTATAGATTCTAGATTTTCTATCTCTTCCTTTTCTTGATCATCATCATCATCATCATCTTCTTCATCATCATCATCATCGTCGTCGTCGTCGTCATCTTCGTCGTAATCATCGTCGCTGTCATCTTCATCATCATCATCAATATGTAACCTACAATGGGTATTATAAACAATAAGATTGACTACATGTTTTAATAATTTTCAGATACTTAAATATTATACTACAAAAATTAAAATTACAAGTTGCAGAAATGTATTTACCTGTTATATTCATCAGTTAATTCCTCTTCAAGTTCTAGTTCATCTAGTCTTTGAAATAATTCTTCTTCTGTAAGTGGGTAATTTTTATTCACTTGTTTCTCTTTCGACTTTTTCTCATGATATTCTTTTTCCTTTTGTCTATGTTGAACTAAAATAAAGAATTACATAATATATTATTCTGACGAATTTTATAGTTGGAACCTTTCTAAATAAAACAGAAAATTAAGAAATTTAAAGTATACCTCTCCAATTGGTCAAATCTTGATCACTCCAGTGTTCGACAAGTTCTTCATTTATATTATTCTCAAATGCTCCATAACTTAAAGGATAATTCTGTCGCGATTCTAATAAATCTCTTTCCGATTTCAATAATATTAAATTTTCTTGTGTACCTTATTTGAAAATAAAATGATTAAATATTAACTTTATTTTTCAAGACACTAAAATGTTTAAATTTTGCTGAAAAAAATTACGTTTTATTCGACGCTTAGTTAATTCGATAGCTTGTGCTGCAGAGTATTTGACAAAGTATCCTTCTCCCAGGCATACTAAAATTTCGTTCGTATGTTTTAATTTACCCTTTATCAATGCTTGTTTCCCAATGGGAATCATACAATTTATGGATAATTCTAATGGTAAAATTTGAAGACCTTCCAAGATTGTTTCACATTGCTTTTGAAAATTGGTGTATCTTTCTATTTGTTCTTCATTTCTTTGTATAATCTGCAATAGATAGTTTTTAAATAATTTCAGTTTAGAATATTAATTTGTTTATACTTAAAAATTAATTTATTGTACAAACGTACAATTCAATTAATATAAATAAATGCCTAAATGTTAAGGCATTTAGGCATTTATTTATATTTGCTAAAAAAACATTTATTTTAGAATAAATTCAATTAAGTCGTATACCTCTGAAAGAGTTCGTTCATGAAGATTTTGCTTTAAAGAAAAAGATTCAGAATATTCCATTGTTAGAAATTTCTATTGATAAGAATCCTCTTTACTTCTTTTTTTACTTTATATTATATATTAATTATGAGATATAAAAATAATAAACACTCAAAAAACTTTATTCGTATTCGTATCAAGTATTTTGTTACAAATTTTCGACACGTTTGGACACCTTATGGTGCGATCACACTTTTAAAGTGTATCCCAGCTCTACTCTTTGCAGGTTGTCAGGGTGCGAAAGCAGAAATTCATGAGAATTAGCAATTAGCACACAAAATACTGAAGGCATAGAAGCACCTTAAATATAAAGATGCTTGCACACTTACAAATTTACACCCGTTCGTGGAAATTTATTGTAAAAAGAACCATAACTTCTTCCTCGATTTCATCCACCCATAAAAAAAATCTATGCTGACGTATATGGTAATTTGTTCCGATCCCTGGGTGCAGAAGTGTACAAGTAGTAGTAGTGTCGAATTGAATTGTACGAATATTTTTGGTGTGAAAAGTTAATCAAGCAAAGATAATTTGATAAAAGAAACATCAAATTTGCAACCTTAGAAGCAGGTATATGCATAAACGTATTTTGATTTTTAGTGCAATTTACAAAAACAGTAGTTTTTGAGAAATATCTACGAAATTAATTGTGGAACCAAACAATAATCCGTATAATTCTTTTCATGACCATTTGTTGACTCTGTGTTGTTTTTGACATCGCACATAGATTTCTTTTTCTTTTTATGATTTCTGTTTTATAATGTTATACGATTTTCGTATTGCGAAATAACCTTGACAGAAGAAACGAGTCTTCAAAACATAACAATATTTAATTATTGTGCTGGTATATATTTTATTCTTTATAATAGTTTTACTTATTTTATTCCAATTTTTTGATGGAATAAATCTTTAGATTGGAAATATTTTTAGGAATGTGTGTACAAATAATACTATACTGAACTGAAAGATACATTAACCTCAATTAATTGGTGCAGATTTTTACGGTATACTAACTATATATATTTATATCTATATATATATAGTAAAAATTTATATATAGACTATTTTTATTTACATATATAAAAATTATTTGTATTTTAATATATATTTTTATATTTTCCTGAATTTTTTTTAAATTACTGCAGTTAGTGATTAAAAGTGTTTAAAGTTTTCTTAGCTTAATATTAATTGATATTGTTTAAATTATTTATAATATAATTATATGATGGGTTTCAAATTCCAATTAATATTTTTATTCTGATTCATGTAACGAAAACAAATTTGTTACAATTGTTTACTGCATATTAAATGATACAGTGACTTTTACAAAACATTCTTTCAAATATAAGTGATATTCCATAAAATAGTAATATTTGTAACTTTGATATTAATATTGAAATAATGACTAAAAGAAATATGTAATGAACTAATTTTCAAAGATAAAAATTGTGCTATCTATAAACAAAGCGTGCGAACGTTAATTTAGGAAATTAAAAGTGACAATCATACGCTCTTTTTTTAAAACCATAGCGATGAAAATTTTTGTATAATTTATGCAAAGAAAAAAATATGAAAGCAATGATTAATTTTTCACATAACACTGATTACTGTGTTAGTTGAAAAATTATATTTTACAGCTCTGATAACTGTAAAGAAAAGTAGTAATTATTTTCTACCCTGTACTGAGTATGTATTGTAAAAAAAGAGCATTCCGAGCCCTGAAAATGAGTAATCAGTGCTATGAAAAAAGTAAAATTGAGTTTACAATTGATAATTAACTTTAAATACGTGTCAAATTATTTTTAGCAATTTTCACAAATTAAATTAAAAAAATGATAGATTTTAGTAATTTAGAATATGATTTGAAAATTCGCGCAGAAATGAATTACCAACAGTTGCACGATAACTTGGAAATTCATCTTTATCTCTTATACTGTACACATATTGTATAGCAGGGCACTGACGGCGCGACGAACCGTTGTGGCTATACAACAGCTGTTACAAGTGTTCTGACAGTTCATGTCGCAATAACTCCCTGTCGTTTTATTCACCATATATACTTTTAATTAAAGAGTTTATAGGATAGAAACTTTCTCATAACCAGAAATAATAATAAATATACTTTAAGAAATATACAAGTTACAGATAAATAAGGTTCGTATTTTTAAAAAAAAGCTACAGTTCTTTGTTCTTTTATTTAATATGTCAGATCATCTTCCTCCTGTCAGATATAACCGCTCTCTTCTCTAATTTGTTTACTTATATGCTTACTAGTTGAAATTATTCATTAAATTATCTCTATTAACTCTTTATTCTTAATAAGAAATGCATTAATACTCCAACTATGTTCTAGTAACTCCTTCACAAAACATACATTTTTTAAATCAATGCGCTCCATATTATTTCTCACAATTCGTCAATGAGAAATCTTTTACAATGAAAAATATTTCTTTGTGTTTATTTTATTTATGCTTGAGTTACTTGAAATTACATTTTGCAATATATTAGAAAATAGTCTTTCAAGTTTGATACTCAATGTAATAGCCTAAAAATTGTTATCCTATAAAAATTAAAAAGTATGACATAAGCCATTAAAACATTCATATATATTTTAATATATTTATTTTTTTTCACAACACTCTTTTTATTTATGATAAACTCGTAATATTTTTTAAGGTTAGGTTAAATAGTTACAATGTACCTAATTTTTTGTCTAGTTTATATATTTTTTATAATTTATTGATAAATTATTAACAAAATCATTATTTATCATTAATTTTTATTTATTAATTTAATAATTAATTCTTCAATTCAAGACTTCTTGTCTTTTTATTGGTTAGTTTCGTTTCATTATTTTACTCGTTTTCAACTCTAGTAAGATATAAATTTGATATTTATAAGAATTGAAAAGAAATTTTTTATATTTAACCTGAATTTTATTAATTTGATGCTATTTTCTACCACATTGATTTCAAGGAAAAAGAATTGTTAAAAATTAAATTTTAGTGACAAAGTTTTTTTAAAAGAAATGTAAATATTTTTTATATTAAACAAATTTGTTAATTTAAATGTTTTTAAATGTGCGTACGATTTCAGGTAGCTATAGAAGATTGGCTATAAGAAGAATTGTAATTTAAAATTTTTTGGGCGAAGATCAGAAAAAAATTTTCTCCATAGGTACGTGATTAGTGAAAGTAATAACTTTGTATTTATCATAATTTTCCCCAGTTCATATTTAATTAGAATAATTTTCTTCAATAAAATGCAGTGTTATATTTTTTTAAATCTTGAAGTATTAACTAAATTGAACTAAAATAAAGTTTCTGTGTAAAAGGTTTCGAGAGCAGGATACTTTGCTGTAAATTGAAAAGAAACTGAATCACCGTTCAGCTATGTCAGTTTTGAATCAAGGCAGTGAGGATGCAGTGGAATGTCCGCTATGCATGGAACCATTGGAAGTCGATGATTTGAATTTCTTTCCGTGTACTTGCGGCTATCAAATTTGCCGCTTTTGTTGGCATAGAATTAGAACTGATGAAAATGGTTTATGTCCCGCTTGTCGCAAGGCCTACTCTGAGAATCCTGCTGATTTTAAACCCCTAAGCAAAGAAGAAATAGCAAAGTGAGCAAAATGTTTAATCAACTTTAAGTGATTTTTGTTAATTTATAAGTTTCAAAAATGTAAAATGAAAAATATGTTTATTAAATATAGATTAAAGGCAGAAAAGAGATTGAAGGATCAACAGCGGAAACAACGGGTGACAGAAAATCGCAAGCATTTAGCGAATGTCCGAGTAGTTCAAAAGAATCTGGTTTTCGTAGTTGGATTACCAATGCGGCTGGCAGATCCAGATGTGAGTTTTTTCAAATTTTACTATTTACTTCATTTACGTCATTTACGTACGTTTCATGTAAAATATATTTTCTTTTTTTAATTTCATGTTTTAGGTTTTAAAAAAACATGAATATTTTGGAAAATTCGGAAAAATTCACAAAGTCGTAATAAATCAAAGTACTTCATATGCTGGATCACAAGGTCCGAGTGCTTCGGCATACGTAACTTATCAGGTTAGTTTCTGCAACACCAACTAAATTTGAAAATTTGAATATTGCTAGAATATTAATCGGAAATTTGATTTCAGCGTCAGGAAGATGCATTGCGCGCTATAGAAGCTGTAAATAATATTGTTGTGGATGGTAGGACAATAAAAACGTCACTTGGTACAACAAAATATTGCTCACATTTTATGCGCAATCAAAGTTGTCCGAAACCTGATTGCATGTATTTACATGACCTTGGTGATCAAGAAGCGTCGTTTACTAAAGAAGAAATGCATCAAGGAAAGCACCAAGAATACGAAAAGAAATTAGTGCAATCTTTACATGCCAATACATCCATTCAAAGGTTAGTTCTTAAATACAATTAATTATTATTATTACTAATAAATTTCAGTATAACATAATTTTTGTAAAAATACTTTTAGAAAACCTACTCCTTCTCCACCTGCGTCAGGCAATGTTGTTCGAGATAGTGGAATGTCAAATTCTCAAACCAAAGAAGCATGGCCCTCGTTACAGTCAGGTCAGACGAATTGTAAGTTAATTTCAAACTATTTCAAGTTCAACTAATTTTCATAGACAAACAACTGCTCTTATTAAGCTATATTAATTTCAGGTTCACAGATAAACTTTAAGGATCCATCTCTTCCTGTTGAAATTGCAAGTCAAAATAACGTTATTAACGAGAACACTACGAATATACAACAAAATCTTTCATCACCAACAGTGCCAACGAAAAAGCAGAGCAATAATAATAATAAAGGGGAAAGTGGAATTGGATTTCGACGAGGCAAAAGTAATAGTGAAAGCAAAGTACAAGCTGCTCGTAATAAGCATAAAAATTGTCAGAATAAAGAAAAGCACAACGTGCGAGGCTCCACGCAGTCAGATTTAAATCATGCAAGTGCCGAGTTAAGCACGCAAAATAAAACACAACCTCTGGTTAATGGTCAAAAAGAAGTACGAAATTGTTCAGCCGAATCAATTATAGAAACAGAACAGATATCTGCTAATAAACAAAATGTAGATAATGCACAATCGCATCGTATGCAAGATCCAGAATTAAAACTAAAACAGCAATTTAACGACCTTAAAATAAATGGGATTGTACAAAGTGTAGATTATAGTCATTTAGACAGAGAAGGCGAATTACAAGGTGAGAGATGTACACCAACTAGTACAATTTCCAGTTCAGATGATTCGAATGCAATTCACCAAATAGAACTTCTAAGTAAATTAAAAGAAGATAATGATCGTTCGACACTTTTAGGTATACATTTATTTTTATTATTGTCAAGAGATTATATTATTATGATTAATAATTAAATAATAATTTATTATTATAGGTTCATCTCCAATTAGATGCAATTCATCGCAGAATATAGGTCAGCAGTCTTCTTCAGGATTATCTACAGACAATACCAATAGTTTTCAGTCTCAATTAAATCATCGAACTATTTTTCAAACAGATAATAATAGTTTCTTTAGCTCAAATAATTTCCATAAAGTTTCTACTTCCGTGCCAATACCATCCACAGCTCAAGCGGGTATGTAAAATTAATAATTATACAATTAATTAAATAATGAATAAGCCATAAAAGTGTATTAAAATTTTCAGCAAATTCAAGCGTTGATTGGATGAATTTAGGGCATATATCTATACCGGACTCTTTACCAACTGTGTATTCAAGCGAAGACTGGCAAGCAGCTTTTGGATTTCAGAATGAATCGCCACAACCCAATCGATTTATAAGTAAACCCAATAGAATCAACACACCGAGAGTACCATTCCACTCTGAAGATTTTATAGTCGATGATACGTACACGAATTCTCAATATCCTTCAAATTCATCAACTATTGTATCAAATATACTCGTAAACTCATCAGCTACGAAATTTATGGCTGATTTTCAACAAAATTCATTGCAACAAAGACTTGTTATGCAGGTACTTGAAATTTATGAAAGTTGAATAAAAATGTTCTCATTGTTCTAAATTTGGCACTTTAACTAATATATTATTTTAGGCTCAACAAAACTATGAGAATAGTGAGTATTTGAAACAAAATGGTTACACTTCCTTAAATAAGGTTCAAACAATTCACGATGTGGGACCTAGTGTAAAAGCAGATGATGAACTTGGCTTTGATCCATTCCACGAAACACAAAAAGCATTGGCTGAGCTCATGGAAAATGAAATTCAAATTCAACAGCAAAGACTTTTTCAACAGCAACAACAGCAATTAAAAGAGAGAGAAGATAATCGAGTGCAACTTCAGTGTACTTTAGGTTCTCAACATTTTTCTCAGGTATTTTATTTTCTCTTTCAAAACGCTCTTATAATAATTATTAGATGAAATACAAAATCCTGCTCTTTTATTAGGTTGCACACTTAGCACATCTTCAGCAGCAAGCACAACAACTGCAGAGTTTACATGCTTTGCAACAATCGCATTCCTTATTATCGCGATTACCTCAAGATTTTATTCAACAAAATTCTGGTCAAGGGACAATTACAGTGGCTAATTTAGGTCAACGAAGTCGCTTACCGCCTCCGGGCTTTCCTGGTTCATCACCAAATCACATGAATTCATTTGGCCTTGGAATACCCCGCCCAGCACCTTCAAATAATACATTTTCTGGTTTGTAAACGCTAAATTCGAATATAATTTATTATTTTTTACCTTATGCAATAAGGAACAATAACAAAAACTGGAAAATTTGAAAAATTCTAGATTTACTGATGTCTACTGGTAATAAAATGTTGCCATTCGTAAGTCATTCGTCTGGTGGATTATCATCAGGACAAGCACCTCATCACACTCCCTATCTTTTAAATCAGAATTCAGTTCTCAATTCACAAGGTAATTTTTAAATTATCTCTCGCATCTCATTGTCTATTGTTTTTAAAAATCCCTTCAACCGAGATGAATACTGTCTAAGACGTAACTAAAAATGAAAAAGTGAATTTAAAAAAAAATCAATATCGACAATTGGGCACAGCGATTTCCAAAAAAACATCCACTCAATTTCTATATAACACTTTTTCAACAATTCAAAACAACATAACCCTACAAAATTATTTTATGCCCCAAATTTTATTTTGTTCATTAAGAAATCGTATTCCTTGTATTAAAACAAAAAATAAATTATTATTATAAAAAGTTCATTTTTTACTTCTTATTTAATGAGTATTTCTAAATAAAAATTGTATGAATGCGAAAGAGTAAACATGAAACAAATTAAAAAATAAATATTTTTCAAAAGTGTATTTTAGTGTTAGGAAATGTAAAATAAAATCTATTTTAATTTGAATTTAAAATTTTTATTTATTAAATTTTAAATAGGTCACTTTATATAATTGAGGTTAAAAAAAATATGTTTATGCTTTATAATTATGTACTGCTAATGAGTAGTTTTAAATTAAAAATTAAATTTAGCTCTGTTAAAAGAACTTATATTCAAAAGATTTACTATACATAACTATACATTCAAAATAATTTTTCTTACGTGAAGAGAATATAAAAACTATTTAAATGCAATTTAAATTCTTTATAAGGAAGAACCGAAAAATTGCATTTTCTATCTTCAAATTAATACCTTGGTTGAAGGTGTAAATTTGTTTTTTTAAAAACTGATAATTATTTTTTATTTTTCAAATCATTTGATAATAAACCTTTTGAAATCTTTTGTATGCGTACATTTTTATTAATTAATTTTGTGTTTCAGGGACCGAAACATCACAGACGTAAGAATACGGCGTAAGCTGGCATCTTACAATTAGTGTTAAAATATTTGCCAGCATTTTGTGCTATATTTTACAGTCTAGTAAAGTTAATTGCAAACAAAATATTTAATTTTGAATAAAAGTGTGATGAGAATATAAAAGAAATCACTATGTACAATTGAAGACTGCTATTTAAAAACTCGCTAAGTGCTATTTCAAATGTTGTCACTTCATAAATTTTCTTTATATGCTACATTGTATTTAGATACATGAATTGTTTATTATTATTATTATTATTATTATTATTATTATTAATAATTATTATTATTATATTATTATTATTTTTATTATTATTATTATTAATATCAGATATTATTGACATTTTTTTCAAAAACAATCATTATTTAATTAAAAATTAATCTTTGCATTAAAAATATAATTTTCAAAATTAGATTATACTATAAAACGCGAATATTGCTTTAAAATTGATTTTAATTAGTAACGTTTTATGAGCACATTATAAATGAAAGAGAAATAACACAAAAAGCATTTTCACACTTAACATAGTAAAAATTGAGTACACACTTAAGATTGTTAAATAATTTTTAACAGTATACAATACTATTGAATCTTCTTATCCAGTTGTACCTGATAAGAAGACGTTCATGAAAGTCGATCAGAATTTATTGTCTCATTCTATTATGAATTAATCATTTTGCAATGCATAAATGGTTATGAATTTTTTTTATTTTACCGCTCTGTTTCAAAATTATAAAATAAAAAAAAATTTTAAAACACTGTAATAAGCAGTTGATAGTATTAGGATTAATTTATATTTAAATAAATAGTTGTGACCAAAAAATAATTGTTATAATATTTTCTTAAACTATTTCATTGTGTTTTTGATAAACACGATGTAGGATATAATTCAACTGCTCTATTCTTTTATTATTTCAATTAATTTGTTGTTAATATTCGTCAATAATGTTAAGCAACTAAGTCTTCTTACCAGGTAATATAAAGAATTCATTTAAATAGATATATTTTCAATTTTTCATCTTTCAAATTCTGCATTCCTAAAAATAATTATTATTTTTCTATTTAGCATGGAAAACGTTACAAAAAAAAAATGCATGCATAATTTCTTTGGTGCGACAAGTTTACCAGGTCAAGTATTGGTTCCTTTACTATATTTAAAATACTGTGTAAATTTATATACTATTATTTTTTATTTATTTGACTGCGATTTAGACAAAACATTTGATACAATTTATTGCAGTAAAATGACTGAATGTTGCAGTCTCTGGAAATTATAACTTTAATAATAGCTACACTTATTTTTTTTACATAACATTATTTTGTCAAACATTTCATTCCTGACTTGAATCTATCACACATAATTATAGAGCTAAAGAATCATTATACATTACAATATACTTTTTACTATTTGGTACCTTTCTTTCTTGGAATGCAGGAAGAATAGTATAAATAATTGAGAGTAATTTCTGTTTGATAATTTTGCTTAAATTGGTATTAAAGCAATCGTAATTATAATTTGTAGAATTTTAAAATTTTAAAATGCATCCTGTGTGATTGATATATTCTAATTAGTAGATACAAAAGCTTTTTGTTAATTTTACTAACAAGTTATTAACAGCTTTAAAAGAATTTAAAAACATGTAATTTTACAAATTGATACAGAATCATAAATCATGGATATTTACAAGAATATTTTTACTATGATGAAATGTAACGTTAAAATGTTTTTTTTCTCATAAACATTCACGCTTTATAATTTAGTGGAGAAATCTGTAAAATTACAAAAATTACAACTTTATAGATTGTTATAGATCTTTGTGGGATTACCAATCTTTGATGGATATTTACAAGAAAAAAATTATTTCAGCCTTTCAAATTGCCTCCTAAGGTAAAATGGTTGTCATTGTGCACCTCGTTTTCAAATGAGATTTTTTTTGGCAATCACAGGGCTATTACAACAATTAGAAGAAATAACAGTTGTCTTTAATCTTTTATCGCGCAAGCAACGGTAAACAATTTATTTGCCTCTACATTACATAACGAGAAGAAGAAAAATAAAACTGTTACGTGGATGTCAAGTGCTGCCTTTAATAAACGCCAATATTTGTTCGACAAAAATGCCTTTTTAACCTTCTGTTAAATACATGTTAAATTGCCTTATGAAAACCTAAAAATTCAGGATATTTTTGTATTTTTCACCATTTTACACAGGTGGTACTCTAAAACAAAGTTCATTAACTGATTGGATTATCTACTCACTGTCAATTTTTCACATAACGCGAGCATTTTATTTATGTACATAAAATAAAATGAAATTGATCTAATTTTCCTTTTTCATTCGATTTGACGTCATTCTGTATATTATAGAATCACGTCCAGGATCCATACTGGCGATAGCAACTGAAAAAAGTAACGCATTTAAGATTCTGCACATTTGCTGTAAATTATTGCATGAATTTTAACTACTTACTACATATAGCTAGGAGTGAGAAGAAGAATATAACGCCAAACCATAGAATGATGTTGAAAATAACAGGATAGTCTTTACTGTATTTCTTTGCGAGATTTTTATCCGCAGCCTGAAATAATTGAAATTTTTTAGATAAATATAAATAAGATACTGTATTAGAAAAAATTATACACACCACTTTCGGAGTATCATTTTCACTCGTATCTCGGTAAACTCTATTTAAATTCAGAGATCTAGTACGACGAACTTGACTCTGATCATTGGTAAACGTAGCAGTTAGTACCTAAAAATATAGAAAAATATAATAAAAAAATTCTCGTACAATTAAAATTTCTAAACAGTCACTTTTTAACTTACTTTCCCATTGTACACATTAACAAATGACTCGCTGACATCATTAAGAGCATCATTCAAAAGTGCAAGAGCTTCAGTTGAAGAGGGTGAACCTTTTCCATGTAATTCAATTACACGACTCAAACCAGATACTACAAACCAATAAACATCCGGATTCGAATCCTTGGTAGTTATAGTAGAAGTTATTTTATTAGCGATCTCTCGCAAAAGTTGAACTTCTTCGAGAAACTTTTTATCTTCTTCACATTTTAGACTTAAAAATTGCAGAGATGATGGATCAATAGGCATTGGCTTCAATTCACCGAGAGAAGATTGCCCAAGCTGTAAATAAGTTTTTCTTTATACTAACGATTTATTTCAAGTGAAATTAATTTTTTAATTTTGACTTGAATTTTAAGTTAAAGTTTCCTTACAGCATCGAGTCCATCACCAAGGTAAATTCTCACTAGAGTGTTATTATCATCTTTTTTCCCCAAACGTCCAGTTAAAGCTTGCCAAGTAGTTTCTTCATTTTCATCAGCATTAAGAGGAAACAGTATACCTCTTGTTGAATTTAGTGAATCCTTTCCTTCAACAGCAATTACTACGACAGCTTCAGGTAAATTAAACGAATCAAGAATGCTCATTCCCTTCCAATTTCCCCTCTATAAACAAACAATAAATAGTTGGTAAATAATAATACAATAAATAGTTACGGCATTATTGAAAAATACAAAATTTATATATTAATAAAAACAATTGCGTACTTGTTTCACAGTAAGTCCAAGGGCTGCGGAAAAAACTTCTTTTAAAAAGCTTTGATCGACTTCTTCATTGCCATTAAATTGTACACTATTTGGATTATGTAAAATTATAAAATTTCCTTCGGCGTTTACTGAAAAATATGTTTAGAAATATTATATATTTGACACTATAGTCAAAAGATTTATCACTCAAAATACAGTATTTAAAAGTTGAAATCTTTATTAAATTACAAATTAATACATATAAAGTTCAATGTTAGAACTGCTTTTTTTCGTTTTGAAATATTCTTTTCGTTTGCAATAATTTTTGTAATATTTTTTATGTGAATGTCATATTTTGTGTCAAATTTAAAAGTAAAAAAATAAAATCAATTACCTGCTCCAAGAATAAAAGAGATCAATACCAAATTAAGTAACATTGTTGAATAAATAAACTATTTTCTGACAAATGAATCTATATATTTACAAACTGAAAATCTTTCCTTTCATTCAGGTGACTAAATCATGTGATTAATATGTGACTATGTGAATGTGAGACCATGTGAGACTGCTCACTGCAAACCCTCAACTACCACACCTATTGTATCCTAATGGTGCGGTCATACCTCGTCATGCATTAAACTGCATTGTACAATAAATAATCAAATAATGATTTTTAAAATATATTTATTGCATTTAATTCCTTAGTTTATTTAATAAATATGTAAAACAAACATGTTCAGCATCAGAAAAATGTCATTAGCCCATTGAGTTGACGTGTAACAGAATTATTACGGATACGGAGACAGGGCATTAGAAAGAAAAGGATGCAGAGTCTATTGTAGACACAGCCTTAAGCGCCCCGGCGTAAAATCTTAGGGTACAGTTACAATTCCATGTTGTAACTTTATTGCGAGAACAGGGGCCGTATTCTCGAAAGCATTCGACAATTCTCGCATGCGTAAAATGTCGAATGGTTAATGTCGCATGCGACTCTGAAAGTCTATTCTCAATGACCGTTCGAGATAGGTTGTTCGAAAATTTCCGTGTGCGACATTCATACATTGTTGCCGTCGTTTCCAAATACTTATCTGCCAATCATAATTGAGGAGGAAGAGAACTTGACATATGAGAAAAATACAAATAGTTATCCGTTCATTTAAATATTTCAAAATCAATTCAATTTTGCGTTTACAATTTTTATAAACAAATTAACTTTAAGCGGTTTCAGTTTGAAATTTTATAAAATTTTAATTTTGAATGAATTTAATTTAAAATTTTGATAATTCAAATTCTTTTGAAATTAGTTATATTTGGCAATATATATTTAATTAATTATTAAAAATAATGAATTTATAGAAGAATTTTAGTTAAAAACACTAAATACATTGAATTTTGTAGACGTACGTTACAAAATGATTACAAAAATTTAATTATTTTTAAATGTAATAAAATAATGAAAAAATAATAACAATCAAATATTTATTTAAATAGAAGTTACTGATATTATTACGAATAATTTTATAATTAAAGAAATTCGTAAATAAATGTAACAACATTTTTTTTTATATTAAAGTTTTAATATTAGCATTTGTAAATTGAGAATTTTTTACAAAAATGTTAAGAAACTGGAATATGTAATATTTTTTTTTTAAAGAAAAGAATCAGTTTGTGAACAATATTGTTATTGAAAAATTAAAATTATGCATAATAAAGGGATATATCCCTTTATATTATGCATAATTTTAATTAATAAATATATATATTTCCTATTTTTGCAAAAAGAAAATTTATTTGTTAATCAAAATTTTTTGTAATTTTATAATTTTAAATTTTATTTTATTTTAAATCTTAAAAAAGACCATACTTTCAATTTGTGAAACAATATTTTGTAAAGAAAAAAACAAAAGCATACACAAAAACTAACTTTAAAGTGTGAACAGACAGAAAAAATGAAACGAAGATTAAAAAATTAAAAAAAATAAAAAATAAAATAAATATATTGTTAACATGATTCATTCACAAAAATAACACAAACATGTGCAATTTATCCATTATAAATTTTGCATATTATAAATTATTTACATTAAACTTTTATTTCACAAGTTTACTTTTAATTCTTAAACATTACATTTAGGTTATTTTGTATAGTTTTTCTACTTTAGCATGCGGTTCATGTACACTAATACTACTTTATATTATATACGTTTATTACAAGGATGACACACAACCTTATTTTTTACTAGCATTTCGTATACGACTTTGCATCTCGAATGGCCACTACCCACTCGAGATGAACCATTCGGAAATTATCGCATACGACATGAAATCTCGCATGCGACAAGCGTTCGAGAATAGCTTTTTCCATCTCGAATGGTCTGTCGCATGCGACATCTAGGGTCATCGATTCGAGAATACGGCCCCTGAACCTGCACAGGCAGCCGAGTTGTGTCCGCACCTTAAGGGGAGCTACATGAGAGTGAGCGAGAAGAAACATAAAGGGAATAAATTATAAAGAAAAATAAACTTAATTATTTAAAAAACAACATATGCATATATTACTCAAATTAATTTTAATAAGTAAAAATAAATATACAATAATTATTTAAACATAAAATATAATAAATGTAACTTATGAGAAAAATTTTCCTTCACTATTTGTAAATAAAATGAATAGAATTCAATAATGAGATCGTTGCTTTATGAAATGATAATATCTATTTGTACACCATGTCAATTATAAGAAAATGATGATATGGTGGTTTTCATCGTTTATACGTATATACATTTATACACAGTTTTAATCGATCAATTTGTCAGCACTGTAAAATTGCAAATATTTCTAAAAGTATATTATGAATATTGTGATACTTGTGTCATTTTTCTTCCTTTTTGCTAAAAAAAATTCAACCCCAAGCTTGACTTTTGCAATAATGAATAATTAGTTTTCCATCAGTCCCATAACAATCGAAGAGATTTTGAACAGTTTGATCTGGAGCGGGTGCAAATGTTTGATTTATGTAGAGAAACTGTAATAAGATAATTCACTTGAAAAAACGTTTTCTATTTTAAAACGTAAGTGAAATTAAAATAACTTACTAGTCTTTCATTAGGCTCTAATTTGATATATTTTTTAATAAATTCTCCGACAGATCCAATATGCTTTTCTGGATTTACTGCCCATTTTTTCTTCTTCATAATCGGTGCATCTCCAGCGGCTTTCAATAAAATGTCGACTAAAAAATAAAAAATATTTAATATGCAAATTTTATTTTTATTTATTAAAAAGTTCTGAATTGAAATTACTTTTTGATTTATCCTTGGCAGATATTTGTGGATTTCCATTTCCTGAAAAATTGGTTTCCACACAAGCTGTGTCTTGTGGTTCGTCAAAATTTGTGGTTTCTGCAATGACTGGGTTGATTTTTGATAAGTCTTCACTCGCTGAATTACTTTCCTCATCCGCCATAACTTAAAGAAGTTAATCTACAAAACACCATTGACGAAACTGAATTTACACTTAGATTAACTGAATTTTTTTTTTTACAATTAACGTGAAATAATAATATTTTGGTGGTTAGTTGATGCAGTGTTTTATATTTTAAATCTGTAATATTATTAAATATTTTACATTTTGTTAATTTTGTCATTTCGGAACAAATTTCAAACTATTGACAAAAACTGATTAACAATAAATGTTATTTACTAAAAATACTATTAATTACTATAAAAAACTTACAACAACAATAATTGAAGATTAATTTCAATGCATTCTTTGAAAATAATTAAACTGTTCAACAATTACCTAATGCTTGCTAAATATCGATTTCTTTGTAAACAAATAAAGTGACACAGCTGTCGGTGCACATTGATAAGTTTTGACGTTAGTGGCGCATGTGTAGCATTAAAACCGCGTGATTTTCAATTGAGATTTTTCACAACGTGTGTGTAGAAATTTTTAATTTTTTACAAACAAAAATTTTTAACTGGATTTATTCATTTGTTTTTTGTGAGTTTTTTTAGCTTTTTCAAACTGGATTAAGTTGAGACTGATAGTTTTTTCAATTGATAATAAAAACCCTGCTAAGAATATTCCACCTCCTATTAATAGAATTAAAGGCAGAATATCAATAATTTCTACTGAAGTCCAGCCATCTTTATTCTGAAATGAATATATTTTAGTTAAAAATAATTAAATGTAAATCAAATTTGATAAAAATGAACTTTACTTTTGTAGGTTGTACAGCCCATTCGATCTTAAATAATCGCTGAAGAATCCCACTGTCTCTCATCATGAGGAGGCTAAAGAAACATGCATTTCTTAAATACAATATAAGAATAGCATTTTGCTCAATTTTGCTATTTTAAACTTACTTGCTGTTGATTATTCCTTTGTATGGGCTCCATTTTCGAACAGCCATTCCAATAGTGGTCTGCATCATAACATCTAGAGGTTCAAGAATACAATTCACTTTTGGTTGTAAAACAGCCACCATGTTATCCATTGCCATAAAAGCATAATTTTCTTCTTCGCAGACTTTTTTCAAACCTTTAAAATAATTTGGTGGTAATTCGTCACGATCAAGTATTTCATCAAACATTACTTGGAGAATCTTGTCTGATGTATTCTATTTCAAAAAATAAATTTATATTACAGTTCTAACAGCAAAAAATCTTCCAGGAACCGGAAAGCTCAAGAAAAAACTCAAGGGAAGCAGTTCACTGAAGCTTCCAATGAAAAGTACATTTTTGAAAATTTTAGTAGTCCTGTCTTACTTGAAAGAAGCTAAAATCAGCTGAATTTGAAATAACTCCAAATCTGTATGTTCCGTCTTTTAATAACCCTTCCATTGTAGTAAATGGCATTATAAAAACTTTTACTGCTAAGAAACTAATTAATGCAGCAGAATAAGCAGCAAGTATAACAACTGCTGTTACATGAATAACCAATTGTATAATCATCACTGTATCCAAGTCACTGGGGTCCATTCCTAAAAGAAAAAAAAAATTATTTTTACACATACTTTATAACCATCATCATCAAAACTCCTGAAATTGCATCATTTTGACCTTGATTACAAAAAGCTCCAAAAACAAGGAATGTAGTTTCGGAAAATGTTAATCGGTTCTTCACTTGTTTGAGAATTTTATTTTCAGTAATTACTTCTACAAAGGAGATGGAAGCACTTGAAACTATAATAAGAATTCCAAGTGAATACCAAATTCCCGACTGAAATGGATCTGTATAAGCCTTCCATTTTACAGCAGTAAAAGAAGGTCTTTTTATATACGTTCGACACCTAAAATTTTTTTTACAAAATATTTGTATTTTAAGCAGAGAAATTAAGAAAATTAGAGATTTTTAATTTTTAACAAACTTTGTTGTACTTTGTTGTATATACTGGAGTTGTATACTCTACGTCCTCTAGTCTATCTGTTGCCATCATTAACTCAGCGGCTATTAAATCTACCTCATTTCTGGTTAACATTCCAATTGCACCGATCCAAGATCCATTGCTCATGCGCAGTCCCCACTCGTGAGCTTCTTCGAACGTAAATCTACCAGAGTATTTGAAATATATATAAATAATTAGTATAACTCTATTTGTGAAAATATAAAAATTAAAAACAAATGCTAAATTTTAATAAACAATGATTTGCGTTCAATTTCATGTCGTCATACAAACAAAAGCTAAATTGGCATAACAGTTCAACTATGATTGTTTTTACATCTTCAAAATTTTAAGTAAACTTCTAATTGATCAAGATGAACCATTTTGTATTCAAGACTTATATTTCAAAATTCTGATGTTGAAAATGGAAAAATTCTAATTGAAAATGGAATTTCCAAAATCAAACATGAAAACCCTTTATTGAATAATGTCTGGGGGTAAAGTGCTGAGAATATTTAACGCACTACCATGTAATCGAGGGCCAATATATCAAATTAGACGATATTATGAAAGAAGAAGAAGAAAAGGCGATGGTACAAAAACGGATATCTTTGAGGAAAAAGGTGCTGCTAGTCAAGAAGAATACTTTCGCAAAGAAACTGCCAGACAATTGAAAAAAATAAGGTTGAGTTTGGAAAAAAGTGACAAGTTAAAAAAAGAGAAAACAGAGAAAAAAGATAAAGAAGAAACGAAAAATTCCAATTCGAATAAAACTGATAAATGAAGTACTCAACATGATTTGGTTAAGACATACGAGGTAAATTATTTTTAATGATAATAAGAATAATAATAATAGGTAATCTAAAAAATCTTACGTGCAATTCATACCATGCCCCAGAAGAGAAACAACTTTGCCAAAAAATCCATTTAGCCCTACCATTTGTCCAAATTGATCACGTACAATTAATGACACAGGAGGGTCCTGTTAACATTATGAATTAATTAGTAAATTAGTTTTAATTTATTTATGTAAATTCTCTATAAGGAACCCGAAATAAATGAACCTCTATTGACGAAACACGTAAATTTTGTCCAAACAAATCACCCCTTCGTTGGTACAATCCGAGTTTAGGAGTTGTTACTCCAAATTGCAAGTTCCAATAACCGAAGATAGATATTCTTAATTCTCGTTCTTTATCGATTTGATAAATTTCTGTTAATGTTGCTTCATCATCGGTACCACCTTTTTCAACTACCAAAAATATGCAGTCGAAAGGTATATAGATATTTCGAAAAAAGGAATCAATTGTTGTATTTTCACGAAAGAATATTATCCAAGTGGGATAAGCCATTGATATCCAGGGAGAAATTTCCTGTATTAAATAAAATTTTCAATTAAGTATTTATGTATAATAATTATAAATATTATAAATATTATAAATATTTGTGTTGAAAATGTTGAATACAAGAAAAAAAATTGTTAAAGCTTTTTTACTTTGTCGTGAAAACTTTCTAAAACATATTTGGAATTCGAGTCTTTTGAAACTGTCGACATTAAATATTATTAATAATGCTATTTTTTATTACACCCGCATCCTGTTAAGCAATAGATAAGAGTTTTAAATTCTTTTACATTGAGTTTGAATCACAACAAACAAAATTTATTAGATCTATATTATTATTTTTAAATCGTTTCCTTATAGCTTTTTGTTATTTAATTGCAGAATATACTCACATCAGCAAATTCAATCTTGAGTTCATCAGAATCATTCAACAGGACAAAAAGAGGTCTTTTTAAATTAAAGTAACCAATTCCAATCTGTAATATAATGTAAATTATCAGAAACATTAAAATTCTATAAATTATACATTTTTGCTTACATCAGTTTTTAAAGTATGTAGATTCATGGTAGCTGTACGTATATATAGTTGACTGAGATAACGTTGAAGATCTTTCAGATAGCCAGTTTCGCCTAATTCTAATTTCAAATATAATGCAAAAATTAACGCTCTTTTATAATTGCAGCACTGTTAAATTTTTAAAAATTTAAAAAAATTTAAAAAAATTTAAAAAAATTTTACAGAAACAATTATTATATACTCACCCTGTGTTTCCATTGGATGTTGAATAGTGTGCAATAAAATAATACAGGTATTGTTAAAATATAAATGTATTCCTTCTATAATGTTTTTATAAACATTCAAAGGTCTAATTAATTGGGCAGATGTCATCATTGTAATTATTAAAACAATTGAAGCCAATTTGTATAAAGTTTGCATTATGATCTGATTTATTATAATTTAAAAAATTTGAATTTGTCTCTTATAAATTCCAAATAATTAATATTTGTTGTTATTTAATACGCTCTTTCAGTAATTTTGTTTCTTGGATTTAAAAAACGTATATGTTTCTATTTTTCAAAATAATTTTTAAATAAACTATCGATGAAAAAAAATATTTGTTATAAAAAATCGACAAAGGTTGATTTAAAATAAAATTTTTATTTAGTTTATGACAATTTGATTCTTAATTTTGTTTGATTTATCTTCAATGTTATCGCTGTTTTTCGAGACCTATCTATTTATTCATCTACGTCCCTTTTGCACATCTATGTAATTTAACATAATTTAAAGCGTGCAGTTTCAAATAGACATTACCGTAAATGGGTATATTTCGTGTTTGTAATAAGGCCATTAGAAAATAATAAATAAAGTTCCGAGTGTGTTTGTACAAGTATTTCAATTTCTTCAAAAATCGATTAATTGATATTATTCGCGTTTGATTTTATGGGCAAATATGTATTCGCTTAACTTTTCATATAGTTTCATCAGAATCCTAGTTTACTTAATGTTAACTTGAAAATGTTGTTTTAGCTTTATTGATCGTTTAAAAAAAATGGTTACATTTAAATTTAAATCTGATTATGTTACTGATACCAGTACAGTGGGAATCATATTAAAAATTATTTGAAGTTTTCTAATTAATTAATTAATGATTTTTTAAGGACTAACTAATAAGCGACGGTGTATCTCTCTCTCATAAATTTGAATCAGTTAAAAAAAACTGATTTGGGAGCAAAAAGTCAACCTTTATCAGTTAAACAAATAATCTTTAACTGATTCAAATTTAGCAGAGAGTGAGTAAATAAAAATGTAATTCAAGTATTTTAATTCACTGTAAATTGAATTTACATGGTATAGTATACTAATGTATGGGTGCTGCTTTTGACCCAAAAATATTTAAAAAGCCATTTATAATAAGTATATTATTCTTTCCTCAAAACAAGCTCTTAGATTAAATGTATAGGATTCTCCTTTTATTATGCTCATATAACAACAATAAGCGCTTGCGCTGCATGTTCCTTGCAAAAAAATAAAAAAATAAACTCACTCCAAGAACAAGTTATTTATAGTGATAATAACTGTATAAGAGTCACTAACTTTGAATAACGTGGCTTATATACCTACAAAAGTTTATAATATAAAGCTTGTAAAAAAAATTTTTGCCTCTCAAACTATTGCTATTAAATCTCCATCATCATGCGTCGTTGCAGAATCCTTCTACTCTTTATATTCGCAAATTTTATAATCACTTTTAAGGGTAAATATTTGATTAATTATAAATTGTTTCTTATTTAACAATATTCTAATAATTCTCTAAATTCGCTTCTTAATCTATAAACTCTATAAAAGTAATTAGAGTAAAATTTTTTTATTAGTTTTTTCAAAATTAAAACTAAAATAGAGACATAAGAAAAATTTTCCTTCAAAGCTAATTTATTTCAAATATAATAAGGTGAAGCTGCTAAATCTGTCAAAGCACAAACGGAGGCAACTGATGTGACGGCATTAATGACAACAATGCGGCCTCTGATTCAAATTATCATACAATTGCTTCGAACTTATGTGGAAAATATGTACGGTGTAACCTTTCCTTGCACTCTTACATCTATCACGCCATGGAAACTAAAATGTACTCCATTGAATAAGAATTAAAATCAAGATGTATAATATAAATTGAAAAAAAATATATATATCCGTTACCATATCAAAATCGCATTATATTTATTACGAAAATAACAAAATTAATTTTTCCTAAAAAAACTGCAAAAGTAAACATTTTTTTTTAAAAATGTATGCGTATATTTTTTAAAATTTATTACAGCAGGTCATTGTCGATGTTAAGAAATTAATTGCCATTGGTACCTGAAATATGCTAATTGCACTTTTAAAAAATATTCTCGAGTTTTACCTCATTAAGGATAATTTATTTAAAAAGTTTTTATCTTATGAAATTAGGTAAAGAACTATTGTAATAATTAACTATATTAGAAAAATTAAATAAATTTTTGAAATTGAACATAAAGAAATGAAAATTATAACGTAATATTAGTTTACATTTCAAATGTTCAACATTTTTTACTAATTAAAAAATAATCTTTTCTTTCAGTATGAAAATTCGCTTTATATTTTTATGGTTGATCGTTCAACGATTACTTATTAATATAAAATATATGAAAATGTTTCCTTATTGACTCATCGTTACAATATTATTGTTTTTGTCAGGGATTGGATTGAATATAATGCGAAGGATATAAAAAATATAGAAAAGAAAAATATAATTAACGAAGATAAGGTATGTATGGCTAACCGAACTTGCTCTACTGATAAAACTAGACTTTTGACGTCACTGCAATGTACAATAATACTAGTATTTAACTACACTCACTTTGCATTTTCTTCAATTTGAGTTCCTCAGGATACATCAATATCATATCATTAAACGCACACTTATTTAAGTGAAATTCCAATTCCGCAGTTTAAAGCTTCCGTCATTCAGGTGAAAATTATTTTCCATGGGTAAAAGCCATTGACAGCCGTTGACTTTGACAATTGTACGCAATTGTTCCCAATTCTTTTTACTACCTATACATTGTACTTTCTATGGATATGATTATGTAAATATAAAAAAAAAATTAATTCAAATGGCTTTAATAAAAGTATGTATTTCTTGTAATAATTTTCAAAGACACAAATTTTTTTTTCCATAGTTGAAATATAAGTTAATCTATTTTTTTGAAATCTCGATATTATTTTCAGTTTGAAAAGTGAATATGGTTTCATAATTATTGTTTTTATCAGTATTTAAATTGTAGGTACCCTCAATTTACTATAAGGACGTATAGAGGATTTAAAAAAAATATAAGAAAGAAATAGATAATTAACTAACGATAACGTATGTATGGCTAACATAAATATAAACGTACAGTAAAGCTAGAAGTGGGGTAAACGTTTAACAAGTAATTTTAACGAGTTGCTCATTAGACTTTTGTTTGTGAACAGGAATAAGGAAAGAAGATGATGCTGAAAGAATTAACTATCCTAGTCCTCTGGGCTTGCGTTCTCAGCATCTCGACTGCCGTTGCTCCCAATAATAACCAAGTCGCCAAATATGATGATTCCAATAAAATTGATAATTCTGATTCATCAAGTGCGTGATATTTAAAAATTTAAATAGTACTGTATGATGATAGTACAATTATAATTACTTTTGAACACTAAAACTATATTTTTTGACACCAAGTGCTTTTTTGTTTCAGGAAAAGACATGCAGAAGGCAGGGGATAAAAATGGTGATGCATCAAAGTTGGAAGTACCAGCTAGGTTAGCATACAAAATAATCAAGTACAGTTTACTCTATGGAATTTATACTCCCATAGCACTTTCAATTAGGATCATGTTGGAACCGTTCATTTTGACATATTATGCAATAACAATACCAATAAAATTTTTCTTTAGCCCAATCATTAACCCAGTGGAAAAATTTATTAGAAGAGAAATTGCGAAGAAAGAAAACCTCGCCCTTTGGTTGGCCCTAGAAACAATGAGTTACGGCTCGGGAGCTACGGCTAAGAGCATTTCGGAAGGAATGCAGTTGGCCATAAATGGAATGACACAATTATTCACCGACATTGGACTTCCAGCTGCGAACACTGCGGAAAAGTTGTCGTTGCTCTCGGATCAAAAGGCAAAATCAAGATCCAAAAGATCAATTTCAAGCGCTATCGGCACTTTGTACAGTGGTGTCACTCAGCTAATTAAGTTTCCATTTATTCTTATAAAGGGAATTTTCCTCTTGCCGTTTAGAATAGTCTACTACACGCTACGTTGGCCTTTTTCATTCATATTTGGGGGTGACAGCTCGACCTACACTCTTCTCTTGACGGACATGAGTACCGAGAGAATTACCCATATGGTACTAACTGCCGTCTGGAAATTCATGAGAGACACCGGCTTTGCCCAGTTGAATACTTTTGCCACTAAATTAAAGGACAATAATGGTGTACCCACTCAATTCAGAACTTTGCTGTCTGAGTATGCTGCTATTTACAGCGTAATGAAGATGCTGAAATATGTTTCCTAATATTTATTCTAGTGTGTGTTATACTACAACTATATTTATCCTCTCATATTAATACTTAAAATCTAAAATAGTAATAATTTCCAGTGTAATTACCCTAGGAATCAGTAAAATACTAATTGGAAAATTTCTACAAATTCATGTAACTAATTAATTTATTGAAATTCAAGAGGTATTAGCATTTATATTCAAATTTCGCAAAAACTATATTTCAAAATGTTACGAAAATAAAGAATAAAGTTACAAATTTTTCTTCTTATTTATAAAGGTGTAGAACTATTTATAATAGATGTAGAATATAGGTGCAACAACCAATTCCAAGTAACACTGATAATAGTTTTCTTTGTACTCTGAAATTATTTGGACTTATACGGGAACATTTTTTTTGGTAAAATATTAAAATTTTCTATGAAATGCTTAATTTTATTCATCTCAAAATTGCGACTGAAAATTACATAAAATATAATATACAATTGAATGATTCCTTCTTTTTTATTTGACTCAAGAAGAGGCTTCCATTTTTTTTTGATCAGAGGTTTTATAAATTATAACAATTTAATAATCAATTTTAAAACGGCTTTGGCAATTACGGGAACTAATAAATTTGGCAATGGGTCAATGAGATTAATTAGAACCTTTGTTAAACCGCCATTTTGAGTGATCCCACTACATAGAAGACCATTGATAAGGCTGATTTCGCAAGGCAAAAGTGCTCCCAGTAATCGAGTGACAGATCCATTTGTTATAAGCTCTAACTGCATAATGATAAAGACCACCCTCTGCAATAATGCCTTTAAACTTTCTCCCAAAATTGGAATTTTTCCGACAATTTCTATAAGACTTTGTAATGTATTTTGTAAAGCGCCTGTTAGAGGTCCTCCCGATCCTGGTGGATTATTCGCACTACTGTTATCATTGTTGTTGCTGCTACTGTTAGTTGCTTCATTTTTAATTTCTCGTCGAACAACTGAAAAGCAGGAATATTTTTATAAACAATGTTTCTGAGGTGGTAGAAGCCTTAATGACCCCTTAGGGGTCTTCAAGTATTAATCAAGACTTCAAGGGGAGGACAGGGGTATCTAGTTATTGCTCACATTTAATTATAATTGTTTATTATAATAGTAATTTTGCAAATATATTTTGTCAAGCAATATTAACAATTTTCTCTTACAGAAATTTATATAATTTCTCAATTATGTTTAATAGCTTTTAAAAGCCCGTTCATTAAAATTAAAAGGCCTTTGTTGCATTCTTTTAAATTATATATATATATTAGAGTAAAGAAATAGATGTTTGATATTTACCACCAGATTGGACTTCGTAAACAATTATTAAAAATAGACATAGACCAGATAAAAATTTCATAATGGGCAAAACATGGAATAACACTGGAAAAGGAGCAAGAAATATTTTTTAGCTGTGTGAATATGAAAAGACTTTTTCAACCGTTATCTATCAGTCGATTGGCTATGATGATATTTTAGTAATTGTATAGAAAAACTTGCTGTAGTGTAAAAGAATGAACATGTGTCAATGCGGAAAAGTGTATACGAAATTCCAGCGCATTCTTATCAATCACCTTGTTATAATTTGTTTCCACAAAGTTGTTCAAGTTTCACGTTTCACGTTTCTGTAACTTAACCAAACGATATATATACGTAAACCTGATAAACTCCTTTATAAAAAATATTAAATAGACATAATGTTATATAAAATAAAAAAAATACTTACTTCAAATTCATCGATCGTATGATTCATTTTCACCAGGGTTGCAATTTTACTGAAATATTTAAAATGTTAGAAAAAAAGTACCTAAAATAAGAATTTGATCAAATTTTTATTATTGCGTGTTACGTATGCTTAATGTCGAAAATGTAGGTTTAATCCTAATCAAACATTTCTAGCTAATAATTATCTTGCAGCTAATTGCATGCCACGCTAAAAATTAGATGATTTTTCTCCTTGTATCTATAGTAAAACATAAAAGATTACATAAAAGCTAGCAGTTGCAAAATTATGTATATATTGATATAAATTTTGTATTATATATTGCAACAGTAATAATTAACTTTGACAGTAACATTGGGCAGAATGATGAACTTAAAAAGTGTTGAAAATGACTGTGTCAGTTCCCAAGTTAAAATAGAAAGGATGATCTTCGTCCCACGTTCCTATAATGCGGGATATGACAAAAAGAAGAATTATATTGTATAATCAGTTGAGTTTACCAGTGATCATTGTTGTTGAATCTGCAATCATTTACAACAAAGTCATTGGCCTCTATAGAAGTGTATATACATATACATGCTAATATGTAATGCGAAACATTCTCATGAAGACATAATAAAGGCCCGGCAGGAAATTGAGCCTAAAACGATTCTCAATTAATCTCTTCGCAGCCTATTTTGTTACCTACTGCAGCAAATCTTTATCGGTCAATTTAAAAATTAAAAATTTTAAAATTTTAAATTCATTTTTTGAAAAATTCTTTTTGTATATATTATATACTTTACGATTGTCTCAATATGAATAGCATATGTTTTACGTAAATCCGAGGACACGAACAAATTGCATAAACGCAATATATGCGCATACATGGATTCATTTTAATAAGTCTAGGTACACTAAACTTTCTGTCTTTCTGCTTTTTGTCTCTCAAATCTTAAAGCCAGAGATAATCCACTCTGATAATCAATAATTAAACTTTCAGTGCTCATATACCAATCAGTAATTATCTACTTTCTAAATATGTACGAATGACAAAAAAACTTAATTTTCAAAGTATAATTATTTTCTCAACTAACTATTGTAAAACGTAGGTCGTTTACGTGACACGGTTTCCTAACTCTGTAATCTGCTATATGGGATATTATTGTCAGGTTGGCACGCATATTCTAAATCTACGTATATAAACGCATATACACATATAATATGCATTTCCTTGTGCACTGATTTTCAGCAGATATGCTTATGATGCACCAGAATGTCAAGGTATGAAATGGGAAACATAATGCAATTGGAATTAGCAAACCATGAACCGATTTTGCAAGGCTGAACTCATCCTCGATTTGTCCTTGCCTCTCTACTATATGTAAATTCATTTTTATGTATACTAAATCTAATTATTTAATTTACAAATTTATCAAGAATTTACAACAACTATATAAATAGTAAATACTGTATTTATTGAACAATGGCGAACGGTACATGTCTTTAAATAAGAATATATTTATTGCAATTTAAGTGACTAAAAATAAATAGATATTTCTATATTTCAAAACTCCTTTACGAAATTGACAATTTATGCGCGAAACCAACCACAACCGACGCAATGGGTATAATTGAGAATTGGTAAATGTACCTAAAATTGTAGTTTAACAACCTTCGAATATATCGATATGGTAAATTAATTTTTTCTCTTATTATTATGTTTTAATGAAAGAATGAAACTGTTCATTAAACACTCATACACGATAAAACTATATTTGTGTTTATTTTCACATAAACTTTAAAAAAGTACCTATACTAATTTTACAAGTACGATTGATTCTCTTTTCCACTTTTGTGAGAAAATTATACATTTTCAAGATTATATAATGTTCATGCATTAAAATATTGACTAAATAAAACTTCTAAAAATAAAAATTACGATTTTGTTTTTCACTCAACTTGCATATTGCAAGTAATAATTAATTGATTACATTCAGATGACTTTGATGTCCTTGTGCATCTTCAATATAAATAATGTAATTAATTATATATTCTTTTTCGCTCTTCCTGATTGTAAATCACTTTATTTTTAAGGAGCATATTCTCTAAAAAAATAAAATGTATTAGAAACATTTTTTAAATACTTAATAGTAATAATACAGTTTAATAATAGCATACAGTTGTATAGAACATTCAACAGATAATCTATAATAGATAACCGATTTAATAGATAAATTAAAAAAATGTAGGTGAACTTGCAATATTGTTTAAGTTACCTGAATAAAATATTAAAAACCATAAAGAAGTAGATTCCAATTTCGTATATTATATTCATTGTATTCATGTGTAATGTGTTATGCCACAATGATTACAGGAATTGTGTCACGCGTGAAATGACCTGTCAATGCCTCTTCCACATAGGTGTTCCAGTAGGTATCTTTCAGTGTATAATTGTATGTTTATACATAAGGTAAAGTGTCTATATATGAATAACAAAGGTTCATAGAAGAAGAGTTGTTCCATATTATAAAATACATAAAAAATCGAAATTTGATGAAATTGGGTAAGATGTCATGTTGGTCGTTATCTATCGCAGTATGTGTATGTACATACATACATATACTCCTGTTCACATACCAAGAACTGTCAGTACGAGTCTGATCGTTGGGCCCATTGCTTTCCTCAAACACTTTCGCTTTCGTTCATTGTTGCGTTTCTTCTCGTGTTTTTCTGTATCTTCTCATTTACGAAAAGTGTTTTTCTTTTTTCAAATTCGTAACATTAAGAATGAAAATAAGTAATAAAACTGAATTCAGAAATTATTAATAAAAAGCATAAGTATAATAATTAATTGAATAAAAATGTGAATTAATGTGTTACTTGGACATTTTGAGGATAATTTGCAAACTAGAGGTATATTTTCAATTTTCATTGTATGGTTTTACAGATTATTCATTTAAAATAACAAAAAAAATTTCTGCTATCATTATTATGCAATTATTGCACATTGAACTTTTGCTCTAAAATTGAGGCTCCGGATCTTAAAATGGCAAAAGTGCCCTTTTAAGATCCAGAGCCTTATTTAAGTTATTAAAAATAAGTATATTTCTAAAAAAAATTACATTTCTTTTTTTGGTAGACTTTGCATGAACAGTTTTATTAAGTAATCTAGATTCCAAAAGAATAATTATTTATAGATATATGGAATTTGACGAATTGTGTATATTCAGATGTACACTCAATAAAGAAAAGTTTAAAAAACGACCTAGTTTAAATTTGATAAAGACGGTTTTACATGAAAACATAAGCATACATGCATAGCCGTGTCTGTTCGATAAGTTTAATGTTCTAAATGATTTCACCTTTTTGTAAAAATTAGATATAACATAAGGTACGTTGCACATTTGTTTTATGCTAATGAGAAATCACTCAATTTTATTAAGAAACTTTGATAAGACCATCATGGAAAGATGTAAATTAATTTTTTATATTTTCCTTTCCGCTTGTGTAAATGGATAAATAAAATATTTAGTGTTATTGAAAGTTGCTATATCTTACAAAATTGTATTTACTGAAACAAATTTTTTCGCTAATACAGGGATCGGAAAAAATTTCACATCATTGTTTTATATTTTACAGTACTTGTGATGTAATGGAATTTGGATTGCTATTTCCCGAATTTTCTGACAAAATAGAATATAGTCTACTGTTGTGTATATGAAAAGTGCAAATAGAATATGAAACTCCACGTGAGCCGAATTGTTATGTAACAAGAGTTTTGCGAATGACGTCGAGCAATGGTAGTGGACAATTATAAGTGAGATATTCCCAGGAGGATGAGCAGCCTTAGAATCACTTCAAGCCAGACGTGTGATTAGAGGAAGAAATTAATTTTTAAAACTTTTTCAAAAAGATTCTTAACGATTATTAACAATGGCAAAAGTTGTGAAACTTGTTGGCATTATATTTTTCTTTAAAATTATTAGGATAGGTAAGAGGACTTAATTATAATATATCGAATTTTTTAATATTTCAATTTATAATTATTATAATTATAATGAATAATTAATTTATAATTATTAACTCATGTAGTATAAAGCTTCCTTCGACTGTATTTTAAAAGTCAATCGCGTAAAGGGATTGGATAAAGGGATTCGTCTTGTGTTCACAGTGGTAAAAGTCAATTTAAGTCAGACCGTTATAGCTTTTATAAGTTAATTCGAAATGCGGTCTTAATTGTAGATTTTTCTTATAAATATACAATTACAATTCTTCAAAACGAACTCAATTTCTTCCACTGTTTTTTTTTTACCAAAATTTATTATTTATATTTAAAATAAAGACGGAGAAAAAATATTAAAAAATAATAAAATGCGACAAAACTCAAAGAAAATATTATTATTTTAGGATGTTCTCAGGACTGCCTAGATACAGGATGGGAAAAAATTATCAACATGAAACCAGAAAAAATTAATTCCAGTTCAACGCTATATGTTGGTCTGAATTCTCAAGGTCTTGTAAATACATGCTTTGACAGGTGCTAGTACTATTTTCTAAATAAATCCCCCCAAAATTTAAATTTCAAAATTTATCTAAATACATCTTTTAATTATATTGATTTTTAAAGTTTGGTTAACAAATTGTTTTTTGAATTCTATGAAAAAATAGCATATAAGAAAGAAATATTCAATTTACACTTTTGATTTCAGATGTAAAAAAATTAATTGTAAGGCATTTATAATTGACGTGGCCAGAAGCGGATGCTTTAGTGTCCAATCAGATGGTGATGATTTCGATCCGGAACCCAATGTCACATTTTATCACAAAATTTGTGTCAAAGGTATTATATTTTGTATTTACTTACCCCTTCCCCTCTATCTCTCTATTATTTTATTTAATAAACAAAAAAAATCGTTTGGCCATTGAACGTTCTCATATAATTATTCCTACCCAAGTTTTCAACAATAGTATAAGCTAATTACCAATCAACGGAAGAGCTAGAGATAGGATCGTGATGGATACTGATGTCATGAAAACAAAGAATTGCTACTCTTTCGACCGAAGCCGCTGGCTCCTTAGCGTATTGTCATCTTAAAAATAAATTTTCTAATTACAATTTTAAATTTTAGAAAAATTTAACTTTCGCTAAAATCAAATTTTGCAAATGCATAAAATATATTAAATTTATTATATGAGAAAAAGACGATTGTCGCTTTAATTTTTTTGTTCAAATTAAATATTATAATAAGTCGACGAATTTGATTCAGTTCCAGCAGAATGTAAACAGTCAACACTCTGGCAAGTGGATCGAACGATAGGAGCCATTTTTATTGATACAAATACTGATTGGCTGCCAAAGTTGGTGACTAGACGAGAATGCTATGAAAAATGTTTTCAACTGGGTAAATTTTATATAAGAAAATTATAATAATTATGTATTATGTTAAAATTATACCTAATAACTTGAATTTAAAGGGGAACAGTGTAAATCAGCACAGTTTCGGACTAGTCGCGATCTTACAATAGGAGACACCGTAGGGAAATGCGCTCTTTCGAAATATGAAAGAGGAATTAGACCTCAAGCTTATCGAGCTTCCTGGTACAGAGACGAGTACCTTCAAAGCCAGTGCCATAGAATTTGTAAGTATTTACTTATATCAATCGATAATATATATTCGACAATAAAATATTGCATTGTTTTATTTTCAGCGAAGGATGAATATTGTTCATATGCAGAATATCGAAACATGTCCTTGCCACTTTCAGATTTAAAAATACCAGATCTCAACAGTAATGATGTAAGATAATTATTATTACGATGAGTTAAGTTATTAAGTGAGTTATTTATTAAAATTTGAATAATTTTTCAGTGTGAAAAAAGATGCGACGAGAGCAAAGATGGCTTCTTTTGTAGAAGCTTCACCACAGTTACCGATTCAACAAATAGTCAACCAATATGTCTTTTAAGCTCCGAAGATACAATAAGTTCAGGAGCTAGTTCCTTATTTCCTGTACCTGGTGCAATTTACAAAGAGAGAGAACCATGCCTTGATTGTAAGTTTAAATTTATTTCTGATATTATTACTTGAACTTAAATATGCTTAAATTTCTCCATTAATATTTAGTAAAAGTAAGGTGTACGAATAAAAGTTTAATAGTCGAGTTGGAAACATCAGAGCCTTTCCACGGTAGAATATATGCCAGTGGATTCAGTGAAAGTTGCGGAATTCAAGGGAATGGAAACAATTTGACAGTTCTTAACTTATCATTACCAAAAATAGATGAGCTTATGTCTAGTACCATGAAATGTGGCATTACTCCAGCATTCTCTGTCAACAATGAAAATCAGTATGATAATTTTAATTATTGAGTTACTTTGGATTGAGTTAATGTTTTTCAAACCTATTTAAAATTATTTATTTAGAACCCATACAATGGTTTGGTCCACGATTGTTGTGCAATTCAATCCCATTATACAAAGACAAGGTGATCAGGCTGTAAGAGTTGGATGCTCCTTGGATGATAACATAATGCCAGAACCGAGGAATATTTCCGTTCACTCCAGTTTCACATTTTCAAATCCAGAGTTTGTTTTTTTCTTTACAAAACAAATAAGTAAATACAAATAAATATGAAATCAAACTTTATATTGTTTTTAGTGCTGGAATTCCGCCAATAATATCAACGGTAATAAACACATCATCAGAGGTGCCTATCGTTCAAATGAAAATCTTGGACGAATTCTTGAAAGAAGCAAAAGTTACTAAATTGGGTCAGAAACTTATTCTTAGAATACAAATTGAACCCCTCAATGGTAAATATAGTAAAAACAAAAGAAGTGTAAATATTGATTCAAGAAATAAACTAATATAGTTTTCAGGTACGTACGATATTAAAGCAGGTCATTTAGTGGCATCTAGCAAATTCGGAGATGCATCTATTCTTCTTCTCGATGAAACGGGATGTCCAATTGATTCAAATGTATTTCCTGCTCTTATGAAAGATCCAGTCGATAATCGATCGTTAATTGGCGAATTTAGTGCATTTAGGTTCCCAAATAGTCAACAAGTGGGATTTAATGCTATAGTTAAATTCTGTTTGGAGAAATGCGAACCAGTAAGTTAAAATATTTATTTCTTTTACGAAAGTGAGATAAACTTGAATCAAGTTAAAAGAAAATTTAACCCTTTTTGAAAACAATTTTTCAGACTATATGCAAAAGTAGGCAGATTTCTTACGGTAGAAAACGTCGTGAAATTAGTACAAATGCGACTGATGCGAACGTATTTCCAGTAGATGAAAATTCTAAATCCAGCACTCCGGACGAACTTTCTTTACAATCTTGGATCTATGTTCGAAATGATAACATTCATCCAGATAAATTTCTATCCGATCTGCATTCACCTGACACTTTTCTGATTAATAAAGGCGGTAAATATTTTTATTACTAACAACGTAGATTTTCCTATATAATAAAAACTTCAATTCTTAATTTTTAGGAATCTTCGAAGATCTTATCTGCATGAATTCAGTTCTCGCTTTTTGTCTTCTTATCTTGTGGCTTATAATTCAAGTCTTCTTAATTGCTGGCTGTTTCATTATAATTTCCAAATATCGAAAAGCTACAAAACAGGCCGAAGAAGATAGGGCCGAAATTTTAGCGAGACATCTTTATGGAATTCACGGTGGAAATTTTGAAATTTCAAGAAGAGTCAGATGGGCAGATCACAATAGCTCAATAGTTAGTTAGAATTTCGAAATCGTAGCTAATACGCATAAATGTCAATTTGCTTTTTAAGTTCGCACTGATTACAAAACTATAAAAATATCAACATCTTTTGAATGGAAAAGAATAATTCTATCATGTTCCCAACAATTTTTGCATTTTACCATTTAATGTTGTAAATCCCATTTTTGCTTCAAATTGAATCTATGTGAAAAAATTATAATTCTTTTCTATTCAAAAATACAACTTGTTTTTTTTTAATATTTTATTGTGTAGATATTTTTAGATGTTTATTTTACGGATTTTTGATTATTTTATGGATATTTTGTTGATTTTGTTCATAAATTTTGAACATCAAAAATTTTGTTAAAAATCAAAAACATGAATTTTTGTTCAATCGTTCACTAACTACGTCACGCTTTTTTTTGACTAATTTTTAACTCCTTGTCACAGAAAATGAAATTTTGTTCACTAGTGTGACGTAGTTTGTGAACTGTGTGTAACTTTTGAATATATTTTATAATTAGTTTTAAGAGAATTTAAAAATTCGTTAATTAATTTATTTTTGATTACCTGTTAATTATGTACCGTCGAGTTATTAATGACATAATAAAAATTTTAAAAACGTGACTATTTGGATAACTTTTCTGCTTGCTTTTCTGTTTTAACTCTTCGTGAGGGAGCAAACTGTTATAAAATCATTTTTGTACCTTATTTTTTTGGAAAGTAAAAAATATTATACGCTGTAAGTGCATATTCCCGGAGAAACAACTTTTATACCTAAAAAATTATTCTCACTTAATGAATATATTATAAGTTATATATTTTTTATATATAAAACTTGATACTCACTTTTTCCACAATTTTGAATACAGGATACAATTTCCGAATTGTCGTAAGTAACTCCATCGCCACAAACTGGATTGTAGTTATCTGATGTTTTCTAATAAATAAATCAATTACTGTAACAACAATTTCTGCAACTTGATTATATTTTATTACTATTTTAAGTTAACACTTACCGATGAGCAATTCTTTATACAATTAGAATCTAGCAATGAAGATTGAATAGTTGTCTCAATAGTTGTCACTTCATTATTGCAAGGCTTTATTTGAACCACTGCAAAATTGTAGTATAGAATAATTATACAATATACGTAATTATATTTCCACATAAATTGCGTAATTACATTTACTTAAACTTACATTTACCGCACATTCGTGCACAATGCACTTGTTTTGCATTATCATAGGTTAAGCCGTCACTTCCGCAAACTGGTTTCCTCTCATCTTGATCTGACTAAAAGAATATATATGTATATTATGTATATATAGGTATATATCTTTTGTTTACAAACAACTTTTTTTCTTACCTGACAACTTTTGAGGCAATGTTGAAAAGTGCTTATATGGCTTATTTTACGTCTACCAAAATTAGTTCCAGGAGCAGAAGTACTGATTGCAGAAAGTTGAAACTTATTTAAATTCTCGTTAATATTAGTAGGAGATCTTTCTGCGGGGCCATCGAAAAGAAACCCGTCTGCTTGAGTATAGTTTTGTACCTTGAAACAATCATTACACAAATTATTATAAAAATTATCTTTCGTTTCAAATTAAACATTATTATATTAGTTTATTATTACTTTGCAAAAGTTTAGTTCTATTTTTAGGAAATAAACTTACTTCAAGTCCGTCAGTTGATGATATGGAGATAAATTGTACAATTCCATAAACTAAATGTAAAAAATAAGTTATTGAAAAAACTACTGTATAAGTATTTAAATATTTTATATACAAATTTATTTTTATTATGCAATTTTTGTGTCAAAAATCAAAGAAATTGTTATTTCAGTAATTTAATACTTATCTGCATATATGAGCAAATCCTTGATTAAATTTCAACTATAGGTGAAAAAATCGTGATTTTATACAAATTCAATGTTGGAAAGACAAAAATCAAGAGTTTAGAAAAAAGAGTTCAAAATTTTAATCTACCATTAATTTACATTTTAATTAATTTAATTAAAATTTAACAAAAGAACAACAAAAATGAAAAATCTGAAGTACTTTTAGAAAATTGTGATTATTTTCTAAAATAAATTTGACAATAATTTGTCATCACAGAAAATACAAAAATATATGAAAAATAAATTATAGTAGTAATTAATTTAATAGTTACGTATGTATACTTACTTATTATTTGTACAATATAATAATGATACATTTTAACTGCTTTCTTTCTACTACTCTCTTGAACCGATTAGGAATATATATGAAATGATTCAGCGAAAGGGACTTTTTTTATACGAAATGTACCTAAATTTATGTATATAAGTGAGAGTAATTTCAAATATTTCCTAAAAAGAAACGTCACCAAAAGTTTAGGTCGAAGACCTTGAAATACCCACATTGAAAGTGATGAAGAAAAGATGTTAAATATGTACATATATATAGGTATACAATGTTTGCGTGAATTTGTCAATACAATTCGATTTTATTTATTTGAAAAAAATCCCTTTTTCGTTATAGGTACTATGTATAAAAATTTCTATATTTTAAAATGTCTAAACCAATACATCTTATTCTGCAATTCTTAATGAGATTGATTATAATTTCTTATTCTTCCTAATTAATCATAAGATTCGTGGATATTGGCGATTTTTTTTATTTGCAATACGCATACATACACGTCATATAATATGTATACAAGCCCATACTGGAATTTCCACTTAATTGAGATTCATATACATATATGTATATAGTACTATCAGCATCCGAGTTATCTTCGATCTTTGAACGTCGCAAAATCTTTTCTTGCAAATTAATTGTTGGATGAGAAGACAATGTTTCTTGCTCGAATTTTCATATTTTGCCTCGGTGAGTAGATATTTAATAATTACTAAACTGTCGATTAATATTGTTATTTTAAATGGAAGCGATAAATAATTGTCTCCCAACGAACAGCCTTTGTTGCTTTGGTTCAATGCCAAAGACAAACAACCACGACAGAAGAACCTTGGATTTGGGGCGAGCAAAATCCTTCAATTCCAACTACACGATCACCTATTATGAGAACAACGCCATTTCGAAGGGACCAACCTACTCCAAGAATCTGTCCGGGATGTCCAAGAACACCCCAATTCAATCCTGTTTGTGCGAGTGACATGGCAACTTACGACAATCCTACTGCTGTCGATTGTGCCAATACATGTGGACCAAGTAAGCAATTCAAAAGAAATCAAATTTTTAACATAATAATTTTTCCAAAACTCAAAAACACTATTTGCTTGAATAATTATACTAACTTAATCTTTTCATAAACTATTTTAATTTATTACGGTTGAAAAAAGTCCTCTTTATTAAATGCAATTAATTAATTATTCTAACTAATAATTTTTTTGTCATCTAAATCAGATAGTATGGACACTCAAAAAGCGCTTCATTAAAAATTGAACAATTATTGTTAGAAATTGCAATTAATCCATAACTTTTTTATTTTTCCATAACTTGATTATATAAAATCTTTTTTTTACAGAAATTGAAATATTATTTTACGCAGCTTGTCAGCCAACAGCGTAGTATTTAATTATAATGAAGATTAACTGTTATTACGCATTATATGGTAAATATTAAAAAAAATATTTGTATTAATAACAATAACAATTAACACATTCAATTATGTACTGATGGATAAATAAATCACTGAAATTATTCTATTTCATTGTAAAATGTTAATTATATTATAGTATTCTTAATTTCTTTTTTTGTCTATCTCCAAATTTCTTTTATTTATTAATTTTCGTTAGTTCAGGAACAATTTTCAATAGTTTTAGTTTGTCATTTTGTTAAAGATATTATTATCCTTAATTTTCTGTGTATCAGTGTAGAACAAAAAATTTGAAAAAAAATTGTTTTTTTGGAACATAGTGGTAAGTTGCATATAAGTAGTTAATATGCAAATTAATATTAACTTGAAATATTTTGTAACAAATCTTTATGATATACAGTATACATATATAATATTTATAACAATTATTAATTAATTAATATTAAGTATTATTATTTATTAAATATTATTATTATTATTGACAATATATCTACACTTTGTCTGCAATTAATTCAAACTGTCTTTTTTAAAAAGAAACTATATATTTGGGTAATAATTTATTGTATGTTCATTTATTTATTTATGATTAATGTACCTAATTCATCTAAAATTAATCATTTCGAGTTTATATACACTTTTCCAAATTTTATATTGAAGAATTTTTTAGAATCTTTAGATTACATTGTATTTATCATAATAAATAAAAAAACAAGAATTATAAGTTGACGCTTTTAGGGGTATTTTAATTTGCAAAAGAAAAAAAATGTATTAACAAAGATGGCAGTTTGAAAGGAATGATTCTATATATCAGATATCAGTAATATCAATATATAATAATATAAAATAAGACGTCAAAATAATATAATCTAATAATCACCATTTTCTGTCGACCTTGAATTCAAAATTCTATTTTATCCGCATGTACTCAAACAAGTTTTTTGTGTTTTTCTTCTGTCAGTTATATTCTAACAACATTGAAAATATTTTTTTTGCTAATAATTGATACTTTCTCGTTTTTACTAGTTATTTGAAAATATGATTCTACGTTTACGACTGATAAAGCTGACTCGATTTCTGTTTAGCTAAGTCTGTTGCCTTTTTGGCTGCACCTTTCATTTTCTCTGCTTTATCGTGTAGCGAGTTTTGTAAATCTTCAGCAGCGTGAGTTACCTTTGAAATAACTGGTTGCTCAATCTGAAAGTGCAAGAAGTTAATATAAGTGGTTTATTCTGAAGGAATATATTTAAATTTTTACGATAATAAATAATTACCCTGTCAACAAAATTCATGTGAGAGAGATTTGGTTTCATGCAGTGAGCAGCGGTATAAGGAAACATGTGTTCTAAAACATAATTGAATCCACTGGACATTTTACCACAATTTTTCTTAAACCTATCGAGTCCAAAGGCTTGAATTGCTCTACTGAAGCCGAAAACTTGACTATCAATCCAAGCAGATCTCTGCGCCACTGTCCAATCGGGATTGTCTTCCGACACTCTGTACACAACTTTTTCCACTACCGACTACAATAAATAAAACGTCACTTAAAATAACACTTTTTTCGATTAATAATTAAATTTTACTTAACAAGATCAATTATCACTAGCACTAATTATTAATTAGTTTAAAAAAAACACTTTTCGGCTACTCCGATGCTTCTGAACGTAAAATGATCCATTTTTCAAAAAACATTTATGTACTTTTGAAAATAAATTTCAATTTAACAATAAAAATAATTAACTTACCATAACTTTTGTAAAGCCTAAATTTCTCGTATAGGTTGTCAATGTTTTTGAATTGGGATCAACAATACTTTCTTCCATTATTTTAACGACATTTTTACTCATGAATCTTTCTCCCCACTTTGGTAATCTGTTTGTTTTTGTTAAGAGCCTTTTTGAATATAATTTTCCATCCTTTACTTCCCTGAATACCGTATCCTCCGATAAAACATGATTACTGTAAAAAAAACAAATTACTTTGAATAAATTTCATTTAATTTATCAAAAAAAAAGAAATGTTTCTGAAATAAATACCTGTTTGGATTTGGATATCTTTTCCAAAATCCTTGAACCACTTGATTCCAATTGAATTGAAAAATAACATTATTTTCGAAATATTTTACCATTATTCTAGTAGGTTATTATTCTTCTCTGTTATTAAATAAGAAAAGTTTTATAAAGTATTTCCAAGCAATTGAGCCATAGATAAAATTTCCTCCTTGTTTTATACTTTGTCCTGAAAATCAATATAAATATAAATATTAACGAATACAAATCGAATCTAAAAAAGGATATAGAATAATCAGATTAGTAAATTTAAAAACATTTCTCCGTTCGAAAAATTCAATTCCTGGCATTGAAATTAATTTTCTTTAAACTTTTGATAAAAAGTTTACGTAAAACAAGTTTATGTAAGTTACATACATACAGAATGCAATTTATGTAAATAACTGTTAAAATATTGAGATCGTAAGAGAAATAAGCTAAAAATGACCTAATTACCTTCACCTCAAGTTTAATGTTCGTCAATAATGTTATTTTAAAAGTTTAAGCAATTAAAAATACTGTCAATAAAATATCTTCTAAAATGTTTGTTATTTTTAATCAAAATCAACTGTAAATATTAAAGCGGTTACTATGACATTTACATTAGTTTTTAATTTTCTGTTATGAAGAAGATTGATTGTCAAAATTAAAAAATAGACACAATAGACACTAAACAGTTGTATATGTTTAAACCTTATGTAATTCAACCATGTGCCACAAAATTTCAATTAATTTTCATATTTTACAAAAAAATATAAGTAAATAATGTTAGATTAATAAAAATAGGTTAATTAGATTAACATTACGGTTCAAAATATATAGTAATTATATAATAAACATAATTTAAATGTACATAAATTTATAGTTCATGAAGTGTCATATAGGTTATGATATCTCTAATATGTTGCAATATAAATGTTTATTCTACTTATAACCTTCATGTTAATATCTAGCAGTACGTACGTAAATAAAAACTTTCAAACTAAGTATAAGAAAACTTACCAAAAATAATATAAATAATTTTTAAGAAATTTTGTTGAGTATGTAAACACACAAAAAGCAAATGCAGTGTCGATGATTGAACTATGTTACTATCTACAGCGCCATCTTTAAATATCTGAAATGAAGATAATTTATGAAATGAGAAATTAGTATTACTATTACTATCACTATTACGTGAATCGTGAATGTAATTTTTATGTAAGTAATCGTAGTAATCTTTTTTTACAAGGTGTCAAATAATAATACCTTAATAAATTGTTCTACTTTTTGTCAATTTTATTTTACTTATGTCAAATTTATTTCTAATAAATTAATAATTGCATTTGTTAGTATTATCTTGTCGATCAATTTCATCTTTATCTAGATAATGAACGGTCATTTTTTAAGACACAACACAATTCTGACAAGTCCGAGTCGATGAATGTTGTTGTTATTTTCTAATTCATAATTTATTTATTTAAAGGCAGCAAGAATGGGACTGAAAACGAAAAGTATGCAGAAAATATTTGTGTCTACTGTAGAAAAGGTAAGAAAATTTATTTTTACTTTAAATTGTCATAATATTCTATAGAAAAATATGCATGTCATAATTATTAATATGAACTAAGTATACTTTATTATTTTATTGCATTTTTATATTTGACTATTTAGACTTATAATACAATCATGTTGTGTAATTACTCTCAAATTTATTTTGGTAAAGTTATGAAATAATAAAATAAATATTAACACACTCTAATAGTAGGTTAGAAAATTAAAACAAAATACTACCTTAGTTATTTGCCTTTTTTTATTCATTTTTATTTTAATAAGAATCATTTTTAAATAAGTGTGTAACTGCAAAAAATATCAAATAATATTTTAACCATTACCAATAAAAATTAATTTTACCTCATTCTTTTAGGTGAAAAATTTGGAGAAAATTCTAGAGAATGAAAGCGATATTTCTGTTTATATTTCGACTATAAAATCCGTATTACACGAACAGCTTTCAAATTTAACTGAAAAATTTGTATTTCTTTGCAAAGACGATGCAAATGATTATAGAGAAATGAAAGAACAAATTATTACGGTAATTGAGGAATTTTGTACTTCAGTTGACAAGCTCAAAGTAAGTTTATCTTTAAATTTCTCGACAAAATTGTAAAAAAAAATTTACAGTCAAATTAAATTTACAAAATTATTTACAATAAATAATTATCTTTTAGATGGAAATTGACAAGAAAAATAACGGAAGAGAAATTGCGGATATTATTCTAAAACAATTTGTTTCTTCTCTGGAAAATTTAGAAAAATTGGAATATTTTCCTTTAAAACAAAATCTTCAAGATTGTTGCAACTATGTACAAGATATGGGTACAATTAATGAGATCGAGGACTTTCAAAATATTAAGGTTTGTTTTTTTAAAATTATTGTTTAACATCTTTGATTAAATTATTAAACAGAATTTTTCATTATCTTTGTAAAATAACAAATTCCTTTCTAGGAGCTTGGTACTTCTATCGTAGACTTTTTTCAAGTTTTGCTAGTTTATAAGAAAAACTTAGTGTCACAGTTTTTAAAGGAGAAACTTGCACTTTATTTAAGTCAACTTTGCGCCGCTTTTAAAGTTCTAGTTCGGTTAATTCAACAACAACACGATCTGGAAGCGCCAATATTTGTAAGAAATCAAGCTTATTTTAATATTATTTAATTTCTTTTATTAAAATTTATTTTCATAAAGTTTCATAAATTATATTGATTCTACTGGTAATTCGTGTACTTTTTTAGAGTTGCAAAAAGTATGTTTGCGATCGTTTGTGCTATTGTTTTAAAATGATAATTGAGATATTGGATTCCCCAAATCCTTTACCAGAAGAAGAAGTTTCAGAGAAGGAAAATCATTTTGTTTATAGGTTTTTCTTTACAATACCTTTTTAATTTACAATATCTGTTTCTAATGTTTTGAAAGTTGAATATAATTTAAAAATTAATAACATTTTCAGAATGGATTTAGTACTGGATATAGTCAGTGGCATGATAGGGAAGTCATTGAAAGAGCAAGTGGAAGATTTAAAAGATCTGTTCTCAGGAATAGAAGACGTATTTTCACACGCTATGGCAATTGCTCAAGTTTGTCTGCCACAGGATTTCAAAGCAATAAGTGGAGTTTGTCAGTCAGTTATGTCAGAGTATGAAAATCTCAAGATTCAGATGAACAATGAAATCCCTGATATCACAATGATAAGTTTATTTTTGAATTCTCTTATCGACGCATTGTATCGTTTGGAAAGAAAAGTCAATATTTCTGTTCTCACCTTGATTATGGAAGTTTTCAGCGATCCGTTAAATCCTTTGAGAAAATTGATAAACATTTGTGGAACTAGCCTCCTTGTTGAGAAAAAATCAAAAAATGATCTAAGTGATGCTATTGAGAGCTTTGATCAACTCACAGATAAAACACTACAAATTGGCTCTTTTGCAATTGCTTGTTGTCGAGACGTAAACCGTGAGTTTTTAATTAACATACGATACGCTGAAAAAAATAATGTACGTAATAATTTCTTAAAAATAAAACTTTTGAAAATTCCAGGTGCCAATAATATCAAGAATTCTTTAGCGAGCTTAGAATCCCTAGGAATGGAATTAATTCCCGCAATCACTGATTTTTACCTCCATCTTGATAATAAAGAAAAACATTCCAGCGTTAAACTATTAACCGATGAATGGCAGACTGAAATTAAAAAATTTCATAATACAGTTTTTCTGATCATTGACTCATCTGCCTACTGTCAAGTAAGGAAAACAATAAAAAAAATTCGTTACGTATTTTTTTTGGTAACTTTTTATTTATTATTTCACAGGTAATTTTAGATGATGTTCAAGAACGCGTAAGAATAATGTCCGACTGTTTGGACAACAGAGAAAAAGTAACTCAACTTCAAGTCCAAGGAATAGTTCAGAGATCATTGACTCTAGTGAATCAACTTACAATCACTGTGGATGATCTTGGAAATGATCACTTTGACAGACACACGATAATGAAAATTCGAGAGCTGAAAGCTTGTAACTATTTATTAAAATACTAAAAGAATAATATTTTTTATTTATTGATTGAAAAATTATTTCAGCAATTTATGAAGCTGGAATTGCGGCGAAAACTCTACTCACTGATAATGTGACAGAACCTCAACAATTGCGAGTCATCAAACGTTGTGAAATGATTTTGAATGTTGTGAAAACTCTTCAACCTATTTTACAGACGATAATAAACAATTCAATATTAATGAATACCACATGCGAGAATCCTTGTATGGGACAAGGTGATACTCTCCATTCAAGCGGTACGTTTATTTGCAGAAATTAATTTTGGAAACAAAATGTTAGCGACGATTAAGTAATATTTTCAATTAACTAATATTTCTAATTATTTTCAGGTACTTCTCTACGTTTTCCTTCGAATCTTCTCAGTTTACCTTTCGATCACAAGTCTCCAATTTACATTCGAACACCTTATACTGTCAGCAGTTTTAAGAAATCACTGTCTATTCAATCCACAAATGGCGTTCAAAAAAATTCAACGGATTTAAATTCCTTGATTCCTTATATAAAACGTGGTCGAAATATGAGATCGGAACAATCGATTATGTACAAAACTCCCAAAAGACTTGAACTTGAAAATCAGCTAAACTCGAGAAATTTGTCTAGTGTCAGACAACATTTATTCAATAGAGATAGTTTCAAAAGCGATAATTCTACTGAATTATTTGATGAAAGTCTAGATCTTACAGGTAAACATAATTTTCATTTATTCATACAATTAAATTATAATTTCTTTATTAATTAAATATAATTTCTCAAATATATTTAATTCAATTACATGCTTTTTTTTTATTAGGTATTTTGGATAAAGTGTCCGGCCTTTTGGACACTTTCGACACCACTGAAAATTCTTCCTCAACAAACAAAACCAAGTTCCACGGGAAAGAAAAGGAGGAAAGAAATTCAATTTTTCAGACAAAAACTGTTTCAGAGAATATTGAGAATATTGATGTTAATAATCAACTGGATTTATTAAAAGATGCTCTTAATCAGAACTCAAAAATTGATGGAGGAGGTGACGCTTCGTCGACAATTGAAACACCAATACGCCTCAAGGACTTGGAAATGTTGGATAAAAAAATTGAAGCTCTTCAAAAAAATTAATTTTAAATAATTGCTTTAAATCTATTTCTATTATTTGTAATCATGTTAAACATTCAGATTCAGTTTTATATTAATTCACTAATTTAGTTGAAAAAACACTACATATTCTTTTATTATGAGATTAAAAATAAATATAATTCATACGTTGGACTAACTAATTTCTTGGTATTTTATTATTTCTTTAAAAGCTGATAATTAGTTTTGCCTAAAAAATAATTCAAAACTCGCGCTTAAAGTAATCGAGAGTAATCGATATTGTCACCAACACAGCCCCAGCTGTGTGTAGAGAATTGTGCTCATGTGACGACCTGTCGTCTACTTTGTTGGTTGTCTGATCTGTCAGCCAAAAAGTTTAATTATAAATTAAAAGATTAATATTATTTTTCGAAAAATGGGAGCTTTAGCCGCACCTGTATTAATTTTCACATTATTTTGGGGGGCAATTGGAATTGGGTTACCTATTTTTGTTCCAAAGGGACCCAATCGTGGGTGAGTTTCAACGAAAGTTATTCGAAGTTATTAACCCAACCCAAAATATTTTTATCTGCATGCTCTGAAATTAATATTAATATTACAAATATCATATTATTTTAAATTGTATCTATGTCAGATTAGCCTCTTTAAATTTTTATCCATTGGTTATGTATTATATGAACTTTTGCAAATATAACCTTTATAAATATATTCTTCTTATCTCGCGAATTGTGCATAAATATACATACCTATAATATAAATTCTTGTTTATTGATCTACCGAAATAATTAGACAATTTAATAGAAATATTCATTTTGTTGAAATCGATATATTATTTTTCGTTTCAGAATCTTACAAGTGATCTTAATGCTAACTGCTTTCACATGTTGGTTATTGTGAGTACTTTTTCTCAATAATATTCAATAATTTGCTAAATTTTTTTTAATAATAATTATTTTTCAATAATAATTTTTAATAATAATATGTGACTAATATAAAATAGAATAAAAATTCTGACCCTACTTTATCATATTTTCAGCTGGTTATGTTGTTACATGGCGCAGATGAATCCTTTAATTGGACCAAAAATAAAAAATACGACACTTTTACTGATGGCAACAGAATGGGTAAGTGTTCTTTTAAAGAGCGTAATTTTCTACCTTTTGCAATAAAAAAATAAATTTCTACAATGAAATTTTATCAATTTTTTTCAGAATGACTACACTCCCAAATAAGATGATTATCTTCGTGTATATATGTAATTGTAAATAAATAAAGTTAATAAATATTGCCAAATACTGCATTGTTAAAATGAGAAGAGGCAAGTATTGGATAATATACAATTTTAATCACTTGTAACTCAAGTTTTGAAATGTATTGTTAATTCGATTTGAAAATCATCAATATAAAGTATAAAAATTAACTTTCAGATTTATTTCATCATGTTCTTCTTAACAGAGTTCAATTACTCGTGTTTTTATATTTAATTTAAAAATTGTACTGTCTTATTTTTACTTATAAATGCTTATAATTATGTAGTTTGTCAAAAGTGTTTTAATATAGTATTATGTTTATCAAATGTGTAATATTATAAGTACGTAAATAAATACATTCCTCTGAATAACTCGTATAAAATATATCAAATATTCATCTTAATACCTTTCGTTTTTCTCATTTTTATATAAAATAAAAATTTTAATTTATCAATTTATATAATTATATTTTAAGAAATTTTACTTTTCAAAAACTATGGCAGTGCCCTCTTGAATGAAATTTAGAAAGTTCCGCAATGACGCGACACGATGAACTGATGTAAAAAAACAAATAAAAATGGAGGCCTGCAATGCTGTAGAACGCGAAGTTGATAGAGTTTTATTAAAATTTGGAGCAATAAATGAACATGCTATCAATATTCTTCGTGATTTGATTACTGAAATTGAAACTTTAAAGAAAGATCTTGAAGAATGTGAGTATTCTTTATTTATTTTGCATGTGTACAATCGTAACTGCTTTCTATGCAGACGTCAACGTCTTTATTGCAATGATTATATTTTGCTGCGACATGAATATATTTTGTGCTTTATTTACATCAGTTGAGACATAATTGCATTCTTTTAAACTTGTTTAATTATATTTAAAAAATGTAGTCGAGTTTTCTAATAATTAACCGAGAACAATTCTATATATATAATATACATATAGATATAAAGATGTGTTTTAAATAACCTAACTTGTTTTTGTCATAAAATATACATTTTTAATTACTCCTCTTATTAAAAATTTTATTATTGATATTCGTAATTATTAAGCAAAGAAAGATTAACTTATTCTGGAGCGATAGTTTTCTCATTTCTTTGAATCTATAAAATCTAGGACATTTATTACGCATTCATAATAGATTTGGGTCATATTGTATGAAATTTCGATTAAAAAGTTATTGTTTCGAACCTTTTTGGTATTATTTTTAAAAAATAAGAAAATATACTTATTTTCCATTTAAGAATTCAATGAATAGGTAAGAATGCAAAATTCCTTAATCTTAAAATTGATACTTTCCAGTAAAGAAATTATTTTAGTAATTGATAATTTATCAAACGTTGACAAAATTATAAACAAAGAAAAATAACATTCACTGTTAGAAAACGTGTGTTATTCAAGAAAACAAATTGAAAAAGAATTCATCTGATTTTTAAGGTATTTAATTGAATAAATTATTTTTAGATCCACCTGATCATGAATCGACATCCTTACAACATCAGGGATTGAAATTAGCAGTGACTAAAGTCCGAGATACAGTTCATCGTCTAGCAACTGAACATAGAGAATTACATAGCACAGTTTCCAAAGTTGGTAAAGCAATAGATAGGAATTTCATTGCAGACTTCGCCAGCACAAGTAGAGAAGATGTCTTCTCGGGAACGGAGAAAACGCATCTCCTTAATCAAGTTATTTGCCAGCATTTTTATCGTCAGGGAATGCTCGACATTGCAGATGAACTTGCATCGGTACTGATTTTTAATATCTACTATTTTAATAAAATTTTCGTAAAATTGAATATTGTAAACAAATGAATTTGTAAATTGTCAAACAACTTTTTCTAAAATTATTTAAAATAATCGATTTAAAGAAGATTTTTAGTTAAAAATGTTTTAATCATGTTTTATAGTTATGAAAAATTGAATTTATAGTTTTAAGTAAAATGTTTGATTTGATTATAGGAAGCAGGAATTAAGACTGAGGAGGGGCGAAAAGAACCTTTTACAGAATTAAATTATATTCTCGATTGCTTGAAACAAAAGAATCTTGAACCTGCTTTGGAATGGGCTACGAAACACAAAGAAGCACTTCTTGCACAAGTAAGTTTGCGGTAGCCAGAGAAGTCATTTTTATTCTTTTGATAATAAAACAAGAAATTTTTTTTGATATAAAGTAAAATAATTACTCACCGGGTATTTATTTACAGAGCTCATCACTTGAATTCAAATTACATAGGCTTAAGTTTATAAGACTCGTGCAACAAGGTCCAAGGAAGCAGACTGAAGCTATTATGTACGCGCGTAAACATCTTCCACAGTTTGTCACTAGATACGAGAAAGAGGTGCAATCCTTAATGGGAACTCTACTCTATTTGCCAAATGGAATCCAATCCTCGCCCTACAGTCATCTACTCGACCCGACCTTATGGCTTGAAATTCACGATGTCTTTACGAAAGAAGCTTGTACTCTTCTAGGTTTAAGTGTGGATAGCCCTTTATCCGTTTGGTAAAATTTTTATTTTTAACTCTAATTACTGTCAATTATTTTTTAATATTTTTTAATGTCACGAATAAGTTCACAATGAGAATTTTGATTTCAGTATAAATGCCGGAATTACAGCACTTCCCGCTCTTTTGAACATTAAACAAGTGATGCAGCAAAGGCAAGTCACTGGAATTTGGAATGGAAAAGACGAACTTCCAGTAAGTCAGAAACTATTTTCCAAAAACTGGACTCATTCTCTATGAATTGATTTATACGAAATTCTTATTTTTTTAGATTGAAATTGACTTGGGGAAACAGAGTCGATATCATTCAGTTTTCGCTTGTCCTATTCTTCGACAGCAGAGTACGGAAAATAATCCACCGATGAAATTAGTTTGTGGACACGTGATATCCCGAGATGCTTTAAATAAATTAACAAGCGCGAATAAGTAAGTCGTTCAAATTAAGTGTATAGGATAGTACATTGATATCGAAATCACTTTTTAAAGAAACCAATTTCATTCCAGATTGAAATGTCCATATTGCCCAATGGATCAAAATCCAGAAGATGCGAGACTCATATACTTTTAGTATGCTGTGATAATGATGAGACGTATGTAAATTTTTCATCATTTTAAAAATTTTACTATTTTTTTATTTTATTTTTTTTTTTTGGTTTAAATCTGGAATATAATATTCTACAGACATAAACATTTGTTAAGTTAATTAAGAAAATATATAATTTATTAATGTTACTTTAATAATTAATTATAAAAATTAATTAAGTTCGATTCTTTAATTACTTTTTATAATTAATCATTATTCAAGTAGCTATTAGCTGTAATAAGAAAAATAAATTAATTAATACGCAATTTTGTATTATAAATTTCATATTTAGAGTTAAATTTAATGTATTCATTATAGAGTGGAAAATGTCCAACATTTTTGACAAAAAGCATAAAAGTTATTGATTCAAAAAATGTGTTACAGATTCTGTAGAATTTTTCAGTCAACAACTTTCATTACTTTTGTAATAATGTTGCAGTAATTCTTTTGAATATCTATTTCCTTGCAAACAAATGAAACAATTTAATTTATGTTTGCGTCTTATTAATTATGTTAAAAGTTTGTCACTTTCAATTAAGAAAATTATTTTCAAATTGTGTTGCTTATTATAAACTAGGTATTATTTATGAATAATTCTTATCGATTTTCGAAAATTTTTTTTAATACTTTTTACTGAAGATTTATAAATGAAGATCTATTAGTTAACTAAAAATAGTTATTTTGAAAAAAGAATAGATAGATTTTTAACTGGTCTATAGAATGACTTTTCGACTACACACAATTGGAACAATAGAAAAAATTCTATTCAATCATTTTTTAATTCTCAATTATTTTTATTAAAGTTGAAAAACAATTTTTTTTAGTTTTGGCATATTGATTTTAATTTTTAAAAAATACGAAAATTTTTCTAATTTTTACTTAATTGGAAAATAGAAAAAAAAATGATTCCCGTTAGTGAAGTTGAAAAGTTGATGACTTTAGACCCGTTTATTGTGTCGGAAGTATCGAATTAATGCAAAAATATAATGTGACAAGAAAAATAAATATGTATAATCAACTGCCAAGCTTTATATTATAACAATTGACACTAAAAACAATTAACGAAAGAAAATTTTTTGATTTTATAAAACTGTGAAAAGTATTTATTTACTGAAGAGATGCTTATTCAAGTGACTTAAGATTATTATTTAGTAATGGACGTTTTAATGTAATTAATTTTATTAGAATGTTTTATATATAATATAATATATAATATCCCGAAATAAATGTTGCTTACTAAAATTCCATTATGTATTATAATTGCAATAATAATTTGTTTTACAATACAAAATGTTTTTTATTTCACTTCCCGCTAAGTGGCCTTTAAATAGTGATAAAGTATTTGGATATTGTTGCTATAACAACAGGCTATTTATTTTAACCTAAGTTTTGAGTTTCAATTACTTTTCATCTGAAACATTCTTAAAAACTATTTCTTTTTCAATGAAAAATAAATTACAAAGTGTTTATGTTTTAATGTAAAAAAAACCAAAACTCTGAAAGTGGTAAAAAGAAATAAAAAATCAATAAAAGAACTACGTCGTCAGGTCGTCAAAGAAAAAGTTGTGAAAAAACAACAGTAGATTGTTTCAAAATGTCGATAACGTCCAAAATTTCTCCCGATTCTAGATTCAATATGCAAAAAAATGATAAATGTTATAAAGAATTTCATGAGTTGTTGAATCGAGTGAAAGAAAATTCAATAGAGCCTTTTCAATTTTTGAATAATGTTTTAAAAGAAGTCAACGATGATGACGATATTCAAAGATCTATGAAACGAACAACTTATACAGATATTGATGTAATAAATAAAGCTATTTATTATTAATAATATCTATGTCACGCTCCGAATAAAAATACCTAAGAAGCAAAAAATTTGATGTTATGTTTTTAATTTTTTGAGTAAAAATACAGAAAGAGAATCAATTATTAATTAAAAGTTATTGATTTTCAAGTCTTCATTATATCCAAAATATTCAATGAAAATTGGTTTCAAATTCAAATAATTAAAAATAAACTTTTAATCCTTTTAATCAAGATAAATCTAACACGAACCTAACCTATAATTAGTTTGCTTCTTAGGTACCTTTCTTGGGAGAGCGTCACATCTATGACTGTGTGTAATAAGTCTGTAAAAAAAATTTCAGTTTCAATTAGCTTCCTTGATGAAACGAATCGAATCAAATGTGTCAATTTTGGAAAAGACAAAGCAGCGTATCAAGGATATTAATTTTATCACAGAGAAGAATAAAATTCTCGCCTCGAGTGAATTAAGTGACAGTAAGAATAATAATTGTTAATTCTCTTAATGTACATAACAATGAGACGAATTTTACAGATAAGGAAACATCACAGATAAATGAACAGGAGAAATTAAAAATCGAATTAAGTAATGAGCATCCTGAAATTGGTAAATGTGTAGAATAAAAATAGTATTTAAAGATATTTATTTATTATATTTTAATTGATTTTAATGGCTATTTTCTCTATTTTCTAGTCAATAATTTAATTAATTGCAGATGCAGTTCAACATATGTTGAACAGCACTTTGCAAATTGTGCAAGGCATAAAGAAAATTACCATCGACGATCTAGATTCTAAAATGCATTAGTCCCGTCGATTAAAATAACATAATAATCACTTTGGAATAAGGAAAAATCATTTTTATATTTATTTAGTTAGTACATTGAAAGTTTTAATCGTTTTAATATAAAGCAAGAAGATAAATTTATAAAAAGATACTTATAAAAGCTCTATATCAACGTCAAATTTATTTATATAGTACACATGCAATATATTGTCCATACAATTAATACAGGTACATAAACTATCAGAATAAAGTAACTTATTGCTTCTATTTTACATATTATGTTTTGATTATGCCATTCGAATAATTATTAATTATGCATTTAAGCAAAATTTATGCTATTTTTTTTTCTTTTTCAGTTTTGATATGAGCATCATCCAAAATATCATTTTCAAAGTCCTTGTCGTTGTCAATTTAAATTGTATCATTCTTTTGTCGAAATTCAAAACGCAATTCGAAGCCGAATATTTTTATAATATAGCGTTAATTAAATTTCAAGCTACATACACGTAAGGAATAAATATTTTTCAAAATAATAACACGTACATATATTATAGTATATATTCTGCGTAAATCAAGCCTTTGTTTCTTTCTACAAAGACTTTAAATCGGACCCATTTACCAGCTGACTATAAATATGGAAATAGACGATAAAATAATGCATAAATATACTTTTTTACATTCATTGTAACTTTTTCATTAGAGACAAAATTAGAGAATGTAAGACATTATCATGCGTAAACTATACTTTTTTCCCTCCTTCCATGCTTTTACAGACAAGACGCAAGTTTTTTGTTTGGAGGAGTAATTTTAGAATTTTAGATTAGGTATACAATCTGTGTAAGGATGAAATTAAAAACTTTTTTTGTTTCATTTTCATTAAATAAATAATCGATTTCCTATTCATCAACTACTGGGAGATGCGTTTTTTGATTGCTTATTGTCTGTTCACAATAGCAGCCCTCGACGAGTCACTAATTTCGATTACATAACGAAATTATAATATAACTTAAAACGATAATGCCTTTCGATATAGTTTCTAATTTATTATCACAACCCTTCTTAATAAACCATTTGTTGATGTAATTAATAATATAATATAATAATCTATACTAGTTACATACTTTTTAGAAATCTTTACAATTCACTATTCGTTGCATTGAAATTTCGTTCGAGAAATTTTTTGACAAACATATAGAAAAGACAACTTTTTATTAAAATATAAATTTATATGGTAATAAAAGAAAAAAAGTTCAATCATACGCTTATGAATTTATGCTAAAAATGTTGTTTCTAGAAATAAAAGTATTTAATGTTTCGTTGTATAGTTAGACTTCTACTATTCTATGGAAGCTGTACGTGACCCGTTTACACAGCTTTTTAAACCATTTTTGATTGCATTGCAATTCGAACACAGATTTAAACTACCAGTAGTAGCAGTATATTTATAGTATATCAGTAATATGGTGATGGTAATAGCAAGCAATTTATAGTATATAGGCTTTTACGTAAAATATTCTTTTTTCTTTTCAAACTTTTCTTAATTTTTAATTTTTAATTTTCTTTTAATACGAATTCAAATTTGAAACGATAAACACAATCAAAGACTGTCAAGGTGATGAATTCATTTGTCTTTCTTTTATCTTTCTTTTAATACACGCCATCGACGGACATTAAGAAAATTAATATAGTTGAATCGTACCAGGAACAACATCAAATTATGTTGTATTAGCCTTGGTTGTCTTTTGAAAATATTTTCTGAGGCGTATATAAATAATTTACTAAAAATTCTTAAGTACAAGTACAATAATAAATATCTGTTATTAATCTATACTCTTAAATAACATTTTCCGCAATTGCGTTATATACTTATATGTTTATAGTTAAACAAATGTCTCTTTTTATTTGGCAAATATTTCGACTTCGAATTCAGCGTTTTTTATATTTCTTGATTTATATAGAAAGAGAAGAGCGATTATCAAATTCCGAGACAACGAATTGACTCGCGTTCCGTACCGGGAGTAGGTTTGCAGACTGCATATACCTATTGTTTTTTTGAATTGGCAGCAGAAGACTAGACTTTTTTCTTCACTTTACATATAATTTATTAAAGAAAAGATTATATTATTTTACCGATTTTTTCAAATTCTTTGTAAATTTATAAATATAATATAGAAAATATCGAATCTTTGCAAAAGTTTACAGACTTTTAAATTTTTATGGTTTAAATAATAACCTGCACTTCTATTCTTGATATATTTTTTGGTTGCTTTATTTGAAAATAATCTATAATTTAAACATTAATTCTGTTTTTGACTAAAAATTATATATTCATTTACTCGACCACATTTTTTCTCAGGATATCAAATTGAGACAAAAAACGAATCAAAAGTTGACACTTTTGATTCGTTTTTTTGTCTCAATTTGATATCCGCAGAAAAACTGCGTAACATTAACGTTCAATACATCAAATCTCTAGATATTAAATTTTAATATATAGACAGTTTCTTACATTAAAACAAAGATATTTTAAACTTTAACATCTAGATAATATTAACGTTAAACATCGAGTTTTTCCATGTATTTATATATTTTATTTTTTTTTTTCAAAATATACATTTTATTTCTCATAGTTTTCAACTGCGAATTCTCTCACATATGATTCGTGTGTTGTCTGGAAATTTAATAATCATTTTTCCCTCATATTTTATCTAAATTCGGTTGACATTAATATAAAGAACACGTTCTTTTCAAATATTTCAAACCTTTTTTTTAAACATAAAAGCGAAAATATGAAATTTCGATAAAGTAATGTTAAAGAACGCAAGTTTGTACGAAGTTAAAAAAATTTATAGGCATAAATTAAATACAAAAGTTGATATAAACTCAATTTTTTTAAAACTGTTGTTAATAAGAAAAAAAATTAAAATCGTCATTTTCATTATTGGGGATTCGTCATTTTTTCAATCATGCAGAATATTTTAAAAATGTAATCAATTATTGTTATAAGGAGCGCTTCAATTAACCCGATCGCATTTATCGCACGGTTTCCCTGCAGCCATTCAGGGAATCCAAATCAGGTGGTTTCCTTCTTTTTTTTTTATAAATTTTGAATTTTAAAGATTTCATCCCCATTAAAAAGTCATTATAGGATTCGCAATTTATGAATAGCTTTGATATTTACTGTAATTCTTATATGCCTATAATAAAGATTCAGTTCAAGTTTTAACAATTATATGCAATATTCATGTAGAATAATATATTTAATACACTTATAGACCCACGACATGAAATTTCGATTATTACTTATATGTCAATATATTTCATCTTTTGTCTAAACAATATGCAACTTTTCATATTATTGAATAAATATTAGGTGCACAAGACTATTATGGGTTTTTCTCACCAAATATTATAATATGAATAATAAGTTGCCTTGCATCGCATATTTCATAATATACATCATTGCTTTTATTTCGATATTTATAATTATTTTATTGTGATTATATATTTGACAACTTTTATATTTTTAACTTTTATTTATAAATTTTATAAGTGAAAGACGTAACATGTGATATTTAAATATTTCATTCTACCTTAAGAACCAATTTTTCATATCACATTCTGAATATAATATCCTTTAATTAATATATGAGGATAAAACAGCTCTAAGGTAAAATTCAGTGAAAAATTTTATTTAATTTTCCTAAATATGAATTTAATTATTTGTTGTACGGTCAGAGCAATGCATCCAGAATCGAAATATTTTTCTTCATATACTTTATGTATTTCTTGTCTACTAACACATTTGTTAGAGATAATAATGCAGTTATATATAATTACAATAATAATTACATGTAGAAATTGTTTTATGTTTTTCACGACAAAATCTAATTTTATATATTAATATTATAATTTTTATATACTTTCTACGTTTAAAAGCATCATTTTTATTACAGGTCATTGTTTTTGCTTCTAAATTGTTTTTAGTTTGCCAACGAATGTGTATTTGATTTCATCCAGAAAGCGCTTAAAATTCTTACATGTACTTTTCAACGCTTAAAATGAAAAGTTCTATAATCAAAAAACTCTTAAATATACGTTATCTTAATGCTCATCATTTTAACGCGGGGAAATTGGTCGATATTTATAGATTCTAATTAAATTAAAAAGAAGACGAAAAATTCAATATTTTCAAAATTAAAATGAAAAAGCTGAAAATTCGTATATCTTTCTTCATCATTAAGGCTCCTCTTCATCATTTTGGTAGGACTCGTATCGAACGCAAGATTTCTCTCCTATTATGAGGGACTAAAACAAAAATTTAAAACCAATAAATACATAATTTCCCTACATTATAATACTAACTTTGACTAAAATGTAATTAAATATTTTAAATTAATGAGTTAGACACACTACCTTCTGTTCCTCTTTTGTTGGTGGAGATTTTAAGAAGTACATAAGAGGAGCATACAAGAAATTAAGAATCGCAATCCAAAACAGCATCCACTCAAATCCTATACTGTTCACCAGAGTTCCACTTAGAGCAGGTCCTAAATACAGAAAAATGTTTATTAATTTAAAAAATCATTTTCCCAACAGCATCGGTGGTTCAGTGGTAGAATGCTCGCCTGCCACGCGGGCGGCCCGGGTTCGATTCCCGGCCGATGCAATCTTTTTTTTAATTTTTCCAAGTTTACAATAATTAATTCATGTAAAAATTTAGAAATATATAATTTTTTTAATTAGAAAGTAGATAGAAAATCCCTCATTACACCTGAGTTTTCCTATAAATCCTTCCTTGTCGAATTTAAACGGTACCTATTAGAAAAAGGGAAGGCTGACCAACGGACTATACCAAAATTAGAAAAAAGGCGACGGAGCGATAGAAAAGACAGAGACAGAACTCGCTTACTATAGCACTGTATTTTTGTACAGTCTGCGCGGTCTACGCTGAACGAAAATCCGTATGAAATACAAGTAAACCAAGTGACAGTTTACTTCGTTACAAATTTTATTACCAATTCTTTTTTTATTTAAGATTTAAATTAAAAATTTCAATATTAAAAATATAAATTATTTACCAATAGCATAGCCCAGACAGAATGCGACATCACCGATAGCATAAACACTTCCATAAACCGCCGTGTGTCTAATGTCTACTAGATATCCCAATTCTGGCATCATTGAACTATCGACCATGCCAATTGCAAATCCTAAACCGGCATTGGGAATTATCAGGTGGTTGATACTTTTCGCAAGAGGTATCTGCACAGAAATTTACATAAATTTATTAATTTACTTTTCTAAGATAATTTCTTTTTAAATTTACAAAAAGAATTATAATAAATACAAGTTTAGTTGTACATACACATATTAAACAAATTCCAATAACAACAAGTCCGATCAAAGATGCCAGCCATCTGAAACATTAAAAAAATATACATGTAACATATAAATTTGGTTCAAAAACTAAAAAGAAACGCCCGAACAGGGACTCGAACCCTGGACCCTCAGATTAAAAGTCTGATGCTCTACCGACTGAGCTATCCGGGCGCGGTGGTTTGCGACGCTTGAGAATAAGTCCCTTAAAATGTCTCAAACAGTGGGACAAAACCGTGCAACCTCCAAGGCAAATATAAAAAAATATAAAATAAATAACCTTATAAAAAATAAAAGTAGATATTTTAAAAAATCGATTTTTTTTGGATAAAAAAGTTCTTTGACCCTTGTAGAGAATACAGAACAAAAGGTTTTATACGTGTCCCAAATCGGTTTAATTAAAATTTCGATCCCTTTTACCGAGCGCGCCTGACCGTTTGGCAACGGCTACCTGCGTAGGGTGGCTACCTGCTGAGCAGGAACTGTTCAGATAATACAAATATCCGGTGTGTCCGAATTGCGTGCGGAAATCCAGGTATGATCCCTTTTTGACCGAATTGCGTCCCGGTAGCTACGGGGGGCGATCGATTATCGATTTTTGCCTAAGAGCTGAGAACCACTGGCAAACTGTCCCCCCACATTTCCCTCTTTCCAAATTGTAACGCGATATTATAAGACAAATAATTTTGACAATTTTTTATTATGTAATGACAAGATTAATAACATTGTTTTATTTTCAACTGAACAACAAAACAAATTTTTAGTTTTGTCTGTGACGCAATTGCACTTATACCTGAAATTCCTGGGACGCAAATCGGCACGCAGCATAACTCAAACAATTTTCAATATTTTTAATCGGGTTTTTTTCTTACATTCTTATAATAACATTTCAAAGAGAAAATGCATAGTGTGAATAGTCTATTGAACAGTAATATTTTGTTGTCAAGTGCATCATCGATTTTTATAGGACACGATGGAAAATAATTCTGAAGGTATTTATATTAGTTTAATGTAGTATAATAAAGTATTATTAAAGTAAGCTTACTGCAAAATATTGTAGGCGAAATTTACAGTTATTATAATTTAGAGAAGATGGGATACTTTCAAATAAATAATAAAACTATCTTTAAATATGATTTTAAAGTTTTGAAATAATATTGTGATTATGAAATCTTATCTGCTAAAAAATATAGATTCATGCATCAATTCAATCAATCAAATATTAAATTTACGACTGACCTTCCCATTTTGTGACCGAGCGGTCCAAAAAGGTTTGTGCCAATAAGATAACTGATGCTTGCTGGAAGAAATGTGGCCCCCTGTTTCCATCTGCTCGCACCCATTGTATCCATCATCCAAATGGGAAGACTAGGTTCCAACATGGCAATACCAGTATTTGCAAAAGTTATAGCACCTAATTGATTTATTTTCCAATTATTAGACAAATAGGAATAATGTCCATTTTGGCATTTTTATATGATCACGCAGTAATGTATTTATAAAATTTAAATATTTTACCAGCAGCAAGTAGAATATACGGATCTGTTATGAGGGCTTTTAAAGACGGTGGCTCTACTTCTGTGTAAACTATTGAAGGTTGAAGCATAAGTAGTTGCAGCACTAAAATAGATAAAGGTTTATTTACATTTATCTACCTTAACTAATGTATGAAATTGAAACATTCAATTATAAATAATACTGACATCCATCCCCAAGAGCAAGTGCAGAAAGAACCAAGAAAGGAGCAGATTTTCCTACAAATTCGTACATGATGCCCCCAAACGGAGGACCAATTAATACTCCCAGAGCTAATCCCCCTAAAGCAATCCCCATTGCATTTCCACGTTCTTTGTCATCTTGATACCTTTCCGCCAGCATACCCATACCTATATAATAGAAAATATAAATTCAAGGCAACTTTCTCCTTCAGCATCTAAACTTCCTGCAACAATCTTGTTGCAAGTATAGATGCTGTATGGGGTGTAAACTAAATTGAATAATTTAAAAGTTGATCTATATACGAACCAGAAACACTTGAACATGATGATCCTATTCCTTGCAGAGCACGAGCCAAGAACAGTATTCCGTAACTTCGTCCGAACGCAAATATTAAAGTTGATAAGAACATTATAATGAATCCGGTAAACATGGGAATGTCGTATCCAATTCTAAAAAAATATTGATTTTAAAGAAGCTGTTCAAATCAGATTCGAATCAATTTATATTCATATCAAATTATATACATACTTGTGAGTGAGAGGACCTACAATAGGATTTGCTAATAACTGAACAAATGCCTTGGAGGCAAACATAATTCCAACTGCTACAGTTTCTTCCACAAGTTCTCGATGTCTTTCCACTTTTTCTCTTTCTTCAATACTTGTTACATTGATAGTTGAAATTTCTAATTTTTCAAGTAGAAAAAGTAAATATTATGCATTTCATGTTTATTGCATTATAATTATATTTAATAATTAATAATTACCGGTAAAAGGGGTGGGTTTATAATTAAAATATTCCGGATGAGTATGATTCGATGATGAATTCCAACATGAACATCTTATTCCAGAAGCCGTTGTCAAAAGATTATTTGCTGTCGGTGTTGTTAATGTTGTTGTGGCCAGGCTGACAGTTGTTACGGGGGATGCTCCCTCTAGGTGTTGACTCAAAGTTGAATTTGGATGTTTAATATCATACAGGAACTCCGGGATGATGGGAACTAAAAAATTCGAAATTTTAATAAAATACTTGATGTACTTTCTACATTAAAATTATTGGGAAAAACATATTTTGAATTAAATTCAAAATATTCAATTTTAATAACAGTAATAATTAGCTTTCACAGCAAAACAATGAGCTATGAGACCTAATTATTAAATGTGTGTAATTACTAGTACTACCCTATAATAGCAACTGAATCATCTAAAATAACTTCTCTTCGTTTATATACTTTATTATTATTTTTTAACGTAACGATATTATGTTTAATTATATTGTTTGAAAGTATAATATATATTTGAAACAAATATCTATTAGTCAATGGAAAATACTAAAAGGAAAAGCTGTGTGAATATGTGCGCTGTGCAATGGTATTCCATAAATGCATGACCACTTATCTGGATTGGTGGCTTGACATATGGAGACCCATACGTTTCCTTTGCCCTGCTCCTTCATTCCACAACCCTATTGAATTAAACATTCTGGAGTGTGTGGAGGTGTTAAGAGTAAAAAGTTAAAAGCTTCAAACGAGTAACTGAGAACTGACCACATTCAAAAACCTTTATAGTCCTAGAAATTGCCTTTTCCTTTTTCTTATTGCGACGCATTATTCTTTTTTTAACAGCAAATAACTATATGAGAAAGGGTTAAAACTGTCGATTTACACATTTTCAACTTTAATACATATATATAACTGTACAAAATTCGAATTCTTTATTTTCAAAATTGTTCAAGAAGAAGATCAATGTATTTTATTATTTTTGTATTTATCTTTTCAATATCTTCTTTATGAACAACTAAATTATAATCATACTTTTATTAGAATTTTATACTTAGGAAATTTAATTACAGTAATGGCTTATTCTATTAAAAGAAGAATTTTTCCATTAAATTGACAAATATTCATTAATCTTTCATATTTAACATAGATAAGAATTATATAAATGGCATAATATATATAATGCGTTTTCTTTCGCAACGAACCGATATTTTTCTCGTGTTTGGATAAGTATAAATTAACATCAACAGAATATAAAAAAATTAAGAAATGACTTTTCTCAACAAGATTTTTCAGCTTTGGAAATCTAGTGAGTAATATGTAATTTTTTTAATTTCACAATTCATTAATAATTATATATTCTTTAAATTGCACGGAATATTAAATTTAATTTATTCATATTCTGAAGAGTATTATATGTATATAAAGAATTCATTTATTAAATTTTATTATTCTTCTTTTCATGTATGTATGAAGAAACTAAAAGACATTTAGATTTATATTCTATTGTGGAATCTGCAAATTGGATTTGGCGTCCATTTGGCATTCTGGCAGTTGTGCCTAATGGTTCCAATAGAAAATACACTTTAAGTAAAATACTTATTATATATAACATTTTAATAGTGATTTTAATTTTGAGTTCGCACATTGGACAATCGTACAACATTAGGAAGGAAAGAATGTAAGAAGAAGACTAAAAAAGAAAAATATTTCTTATTTTACAACATTAATTTGACACAATCTTTAATTATATAATTATACAGTTTTCAACAACTTAGTGTGGATGTACAATTACTGATTGCTATAAGGTATCAATTGAATGTGATCAATGTATTTGATGTTATTTTCTGGAAAATTCTATTTAACAATCAAGTAAATATACACATAAAAATAAAATCAAAAATTATATATACCTACAAATATAATTATATAAAATTGTCTCTGACAGTTTATAGAAGCAGTTGATTCCCTAGTTGCTCAAGACAATAATTTACAGAAAGTGGGATGTTTTTTTAAATACACAAAACATTTGAAGAAATATAAAATTTTCGTGATATTATATTTTTGTGCTCTTTTTTCAATAAGTGCTCAGATACTTTCTTTTGGAATAAGGTAAAGTTTAGTCATATAAATAATTTAAAATAATTATATTGCATCACTGTTAACTTGAAAGTATCAAATTGCAACAAATTGATATAAAAAAAACCAAATTTTTCGCATCCATATTAATTTGAAAGTTTCAAGAAAGTTATTATATTATATTGTATTATATGTTATACGTATACTTAATGCAATATATATATTACAACAGCGCGTATACTTTAATGGATTGGTTAACATGGTGGTTTCCGAACATAATGCACAAATTGAAGATTGGCCTTTTCTTAACTTTAATTTGGTTACTTGGTTTAGAATTCAAATCCATTAATGAAAAACTTGAAAGTTGCTTACAATCTACTGTTTCTCAAGTATGTATAATAATAATAATAATAATAATAAATTTTTGTTTTTAATCCCCGAAATGCGATTTTGTATATAATCATATTAATAGGTTACTTCAAACAATAAAAATATTGATGTACTTCTCCGGGAATTAGCGAAAGTTCATGCTAATTTATGCAAGATTGGAAAACAATTCAATTTAATATTTACATTAACTTTGGTATTGATGTATTATTATTACATATATATGTATATAATACGTAATATCTGCACCGTTTCATATATTATATTATTGTGTTATCTTCTTGCAGATCTTAAGTGCTTTAGAAGCTGTTGTGTTTATCACTTTGGCTTTTTATAGTTTGATAATTGAACTTGAAAATGCCAAAATTCCTTACCGCCTTTTTGCTAGCATAATAACAATAATATTGTGTACTTGTTCCATAATAACAATTGTATTAGTTTGCAACTGGACAGTGAGAGAAGTATTATTTTTAAAATCATAAGTTTCATGTTTTGTTACATAAAAATTTTTTACTTTATTATTATGAAATAAAAAATGAATTTGTATCAGTACAAATTCAATGTATAGATAATACATTAGATTTTTAAAAAGAAACTTTTTCAGGCAGCTGGCGCAGAAAAGCTTTTAAATAAAATAAGTGTACAAACTGATGAAAATAATTCCTTTGAAATGGTAACTATTTGTACATTATTCAATTAATTTTAATTCAATTAATTAATTTAATTATTTAATTTAATATATTAATAAATTGTATTTCATTATTGCGTACATATTATGTATTTCAGATTGAGAATTTTTCTCTACAACTGCAACACCAAAAATTATACTTTTCAGTGGGAGGATTATTTTCATTGGATTCTGAATTGTTACAAGCGGTTGTAAAAAATTTCTATTTTATATTTTTTTAAATAGGCAACTTTAATTTTAATTTTTAATATTTTTCAGATCACTGCAACTTTTGCAATGTATTTGACCATATTAATTCAATTCGGAAAATTGGAAAGCATTCTCACCAGCAGAAGTTAATTATTTCTATAATATTTTTGGATCAAATATCTAAAATTTACTGATATAGTATAAGTTTTCTAAATTGTCCATTTAATTCTACTGTAATAAAAAATAAAATAATAAGTAAAAAAGATAATGCACTTCAAAGTAGGTATAATCATAAATTATTGTGCAATGAAACGTCGGACGGATATAATAAAATTGTTTCTATAAGTAAATACTTAAGATTTATTGAGATATTTCCCTAGAGATCTTCATATTATATATGTACATATATACTACTTATATATACTTACTTATATATACTACTTTCAATTACACATATGTGTAATTGAAAGTAGAATATTATTTTTGGATTAAATGAGATTAATCACCCTTAAAACCTAGTACATTCAAACGTACGGAGATTATTGGATATTGTGTTCTCTATTGTGTCTATAATTATTAATAATAATTATATGATTAAATAAGAAAAGTTTTTCTTGTTTCATCACTAGAGATACACTATTTATTGGAATTTTTTTAATAATCCTATAATGTTACTGTAATACTACGGTAACTTCCAGGCAATGTGACTACCTGGGATAATATGTATGAGACTAAAACTCACATTAATGATTTTTAAAAATTATATTTACATAAACTTACCGACAGTGGTTAGTAACATGTTGTCCAGTAGCAAAGCGATGGCGACAATCACGAGTACAAGTCTTCGTGATTCGCGACATCTTTGCAACCAGCCATTCAACCCTCCACCCATCCTGATGGTCTCCTATTCTAAAAAGTAAACATAAAATTCCTCTAAACCTTTATAATCAAATGTCATAGTTGAAAGTAATAAATTTAGTAATAATTTAATAATATTAATTGAAGCTGACTATTCGGTAGCTCTCTTATTATAAGTTGATATGTTAAAATAAGATTTTCTTTTTTTTAAAAGTTGATTAAATACAAAACAAATATCTGGATCTGAAGAAAATAAATGCAAACATGATGTCTTGAATCGCATACTGAGCAAGAAATCTTGATAGCATGCCACTTTCATAGAGCATCTCGTCGATTGAACCTTGATTGGGTGTATTGTGTTGACATCCTTGCGAAGATTGCCTACAGCAAATGCTTCAAAGAGTACGTTTTAATTAAATTTTTATTGTCACAATTTAGGTGCCAAAGGTAAACGCAGATTGAATAAGCTTAAATAGCTATAGCTTTATTTATTATAGACTCAAACTCACAAACTTACTGAAATATCGCGTGTATTATATAGTCTATTATATATAAGCTATTTGCTACTATTTGCAAAAAAAAATGTCCCAAATATATCTAAAATTCGGTTAAACTGATTAAAATTTCCTAAAAAACGGGCTATTCTAGTTAATGTAACTATATCTGGTTAAGAAATTATATATGTATTATTTTTTTTCGCTGCATACCTAAACCTATCCTAACATTATAAATTTTTAAAATAATTTAAAGATATATAATAATACAAATTTAAATATTTTTTATCAATTTAAAAAATAAAAATAACTTAACAATCATGAGAGAGATTAATTCTTATCATACAAAAAACGAAAGATAATATTAATTATTTTAAATATTTTTATTGATAAAATTTTGCTTAAATAAGCCATCAAACCGGAACTTTTTTATACTAAGATTTTTGGACATTAAAGAAGTTGTTGCTTTTTACAAAGTGATATAAAAAAAAATTAAAAAGATGAAAGCTGTGTCTATTGGTTTATTAGTATTTTTGCTAACTTTTTGTAAGTAATCTCTCCTCTTTTTATTTTTTAATTAAATAATTAAATCATATAGTAAACTATATAATGTATTAAAAACCTTTGCAGTTTATTACACCAAAAATAGTTAAAATAATCCATTTTTTAATTATTTTTATCACAAAAATGTGTCTTTCAATCAAAACCAATTCATATTTGCTATTCTATAAAGATACATTGGTGGATTTTTATTTGTTCATTTAATATTTTAAAATTGGTGAAATGAGATCTATACGTATTATTATTATTATTAACTTTCAACTGTTTTTATAGATTACTCATCAGCTCAAAATTTGGTGTTACCTACAGAGGAACTATTAAAAAAGTATTTAAATCTTTCTAAAGAAGAAATTATTAAAAAATGTAGAGATAAAGATCCTTGCCTTGTTTCCAAAGCCGAAGGCCTGGAAAAAGCCAAGCAAGAAGCTGGCAATGATCTAATAAACCATTTAGTAAATGAAGCAAAAAAGTTACCTTCCGTTACTGAAAATGATTGGAATACTCTTACACAAAATAATTGTATATCTAATCCTTTCTTTATCAAAAGTGTGGAAATGACATTTGTAAACGGCGTTGCTTGTCTCTCTCCGGGAGAAATTCCAAGTTCTGATGTTGCAAAAAAAGCTCTAAAGGAATATGTTGATATTTTCTGTTCACGTGTAAAAGAAGCGTAAGTTTTATATTTATTTTCTATATTATTATAATAAGTTGAAAACATACAGAAGCATTTTTGTAGCCAACAATAATTTTATTTTACAGGGCAAAGAAAAAGTTTCAAAGTGTTTAGAATGGAAATTATTGAAACATCACTGTAAAAAATTTGGGGATTTTTCCCTGAGGTTCCTTGTGGAATATTCCACAAATTCACGGGGAAAAGTATTTTCACTACGATTTTGGGGAATTTTCCACAAATTAGTGAAATTTTGAACAAACTTGGGGAAAAGTGATAAAATATTAGGGAATTTTCTACAAAGCGAAGGGGAAAAAATTTTTCACTACAATTTTGTGCAATTTTCCACATAATAGTGAAAATTTCAACAATATTATAGGGAAATTTGTATATAATTTTAGGGAATTTTCCACATATTAGTAAGAAAATGTCATTTTATGAAAGCTTTGTGGAATTTTCCCAAATTTAATAAAAATTTCCACAAAGTTGAAAAAACTTTTTTAAATTTTATAAAATGGGTTAATTTTTACTAAATTGCATGTACAAAATTATTAACATTTTTACAAAATGTATGATTTAGGGGCTAAAAAATTAATATTTATATTACAGTGAAATGTTTTTTATAATACTTCATTAAATTAATGTTTTAAACAAATGAGCTTTGTCTAATTTATAATTTAAATAACAATTTTTACTAGAAAAAGCATTTAGAAGAAATGAAATTAATTAAACTTTACAATTATTATAATTTTAATAATTTAATAATTATATAATAAAAAATACTTTCACTATGAACTACATAAATTTTTTGTTCTACTTATAGTAAAAATTTTATCTTAAAAATACAATTAATACTTTGGTAAAAAATTTTTTAATAAAGCATGTTTAACAAACAATTATAAACTATTTTTCACTTAAAAAAGCATTGCCATAAATAGTTAGGTTTATTAAAAGATATATACTATGGGGGGCCTTAAAATTTTTTTGCTCTTAGTCAAAAGTATAAAATGTTTTGAAGCATTTTCTCATTTTGAAAGATTTGGCACATCTGGTTTGTCTTTGGATGACCAACAATACCTAAGGGTTTCTCGTTGCAAGGGGACGTATTTTATGAGTTTCTCGCAGGACCCGTTTTTTTCTTATAAATTTATTTAGCTAGAATGTTTGAGAAATTCTCAAGAAGTCTTCTTCGAAAAGTCTTTCAAGATGATTTTACATGTTAGTTGCTTTTCAGCCTTCGTAAGAGTAAAACCTTGAGTGAAAAAAATATTCAAAGTTATTAAATATATAGTGATGGTTATATGTATAATAGTGAAGTGGACAATTCGACAATATTTAATAATATTCTAGAACGATATTTAAGGATTATTTAAAAATTATTAAAAAGGTAAATAATATTTAAAGATATATTATAATTATATTGTAAGTGTAACATATTGTATTGTAAAGTTTTTTAAAACTATTTTTGGTTTTATCAAAAAATTTAGTTAGTTATTCATATTTTGCCATATAATGTTAATTTAACAATTGACTTATAGAATTCAATTAATTTTTAATATTTTAAAAATAAAGTAGTTTAGGTATTTTTTATATTTTAATCAAAATAAAAATTTTTTAATTTATTTTAAAAATATATAAATAAAAATATGAAATATAATATTGAATTAGAAAAGTCATAACCCTATTACTACTATATATTCATAGTTTTTGGTAAATATATTATTGTTCAATCTAATTTTTATGTATTTTTTTGTCAATTGTAAAAGGTAAATAATAATTTATTTTTACAGTATGTTGTTGGACAATCAACCCCCTAAAGGCAATATAAACGGAGAACTTTCGCATTACACAAAGACTATTTGCGATCCGAAAGCAAAAAATTAATTATTAATGTTGTAAAGTTCAGATGTAGTACTTTTAATTGAAGTACTTATCGTTCACTGACAGTACCTAATATAATAAACAGTATTTAAAAAATTTGTTCAAGATTTATTCAACCTTACAAACCAATCTTCCCAAATATGAAAGGATAAAATTTACTGAAAAATTCTGTACTATTTTACAGTAAAAATATCCCAACGTTCGAAGAGAAAAATTCCATAATAAGTAATTTAAAAGAGAAATTTTCTAAGAATTTACAAGAAAAATTTTCCAAGGTTGCAAAGGGAAGATTCCCCAAGATTTCAAAGGGAACAGTTCCCAAGGATGCAAAGGGAAAATTCCACAAGATTTTAAAGGGAAATTTCCTCGAGTTTCTTGGGGAAAATTCCCCAAGATTTCAAAGGGAAAATTCCTAAAGTTTTTTGGGGAAAATTCCCCAAGATTATAAAGGGAAAATTCCCCAAGGTTTTAAAGGGAAAATTCCACAAGATTTTAAAGGGAAAATTCCTCTAGTTTTCTTGGGGAAAATTCCCCAAGTTTTCTTGGTGGAAATTTACCTTTTTTGGTTAAAATTGCGTCACCAAGATTTTGGGGAATTTTCCCCAAAAATTTTTTACAGTGATGTAATAATAATCAGTTCATTATTAAACAATAAAGTATAAATAATTGTTTATTTGTTTCGTTTTAATTTCTTTGAATATCAGTCGAAGTCTGATATTCGTCTTAAAAATAAGATGAGAATATAATCATCAATTTTTGATTGATTTTCATTTATAATACTCAAGTAATCGGTTATTTGAATCAAATACATTTTTTTAGTGAAAGAGAAACATTTCTCTGAAAAAAGACTTTCGCTTTTATTATAGACTCATCCGCTAGACTCTCATTACTCATGTTACATATATGCAAATAAAATCATTAGACTGACTTGAAGGAATTAACCCATTGTCATAATTGTAAATTTTCCATCAGGTGAATAATTTACCATATTCTACTTAAAATAAAAATGAAGTTGTCATTAGCCGCGATAGAAAGATCTAAATGGTAGATAAAACATACAAAATGTAGAATACGTTTGAATATATTTAAATGTCATATACATATGTAAATGCAATTAAATATATATATCTTAGGAATTGAAAACAAAAAAATTGTACAATGAATCGAATGATGGCATCGTTAAATATCTTCACTACAATATTGCTTGCAATTTGTAAGTACTTTTAGTATTTTATATAGATTTCTAATATTGCGGTTCTAATATTTAACAAAAAAAAAAAATATATATAACAAACTTGCAGACTGCATAGAATATGTCAAGGGTGAGGCGTTCATTATACCAATTAGCGAGGCGACTCCCGATCTGGGTGTAACTGTAACTGATATGTATGCAAAATGTGAAGCCGTCAGTAAATGCTCAATTGCTCGAATTCAAGAGATTTTAGACGTTACAGAGCAAATAAGTGGCGAACGAATGATACATCGTATAGTGGAAATAGTGCGTCAAAATTATTCTTCAATCAATGAAAATGAATGGAACACGATAATTGATGAAGAGTGCCGTAGCAATGTTTTTCTTCACGAGCTGCCAAACACGGGGATAATGAATCTCAGGCCTTGTATGCCTCATTTAACTAGCGGTGCTTCGAATATTGCTATTCGAAATTACATACAAGAATACTGCAATAGAGTAAGCAGAGTGTAAGTTTTCCTGTCAATTTTCAAATTTCCCTACGATAATAGTATATTTTTCAACAAAATAATGTATACTACCTATCTTTATTTTTTCCAGGTCTAAACAGATGTTACTAATGTTCGAATTTTAAAGCTTATGAAGATGGTTCAGGTCTAGTTTCCACATTCAAATTTTTGCCAACAACCAATTTATTAATAATTATATTGAATAGTGTAAAAACGACGAATAAAGAAAACAAATAAGAATTCTATTTCATTTAAATACATTTACTTACATTTGAATATATTTTGTGATTTTAAAAATTACAATTAGTCTAAATTTTCAGTATCATTTCGTGAATATGGAACAATCTACGCAACTAATTTTAGAAAAGTTTTTTTTTCACTCAATTTATTATATTAGCGAAAGGTCATATTTTAGAAACTATTTAATTTCAATCAAATATAATTTATTTGAATCAAATAGAAGCTCACATTAAATTTGAATGTATTCAATTGATATGGAAAGTAATAAATTTTGAGTAAAGGATGTGAAATGTGCTATTTTAATATTCAAAAATTATTTTATCTGGGTATAAGATAGGTCTATAGCTGCAAATTTCAGTGCTGTGTGAAATATAATGTTATATAATTCAGAAGTGACCGCCTTAGAGAAAAGGGGGCTTATGACCAAAAAATTGATTTTTGGATTTTGACGATTTGTTACACTTCAAGGTCTTAAAAAAACGTAATGCTATTAGTTTCGGAAAGAAAATGTTTGGTCGTAAGCCCCCTTTCCTTAGACGCGGGCACATATCGTCGGAGCTACTGCAATACCGGCATACCGCGCATCTGCAAATTCTTTATTAAGGGCGACAATGCATGACAAATTGCACAAAAACTGGACTTTAAGAAAATTGCAGTAGCCCCGACGATATATAACATACATTTTTAAAGAAAATTAAATTTTTATGTAAGAGTATTTAAATTATTATTGCAATATTAGATAATGAACAGGGATAAATTTAAATGAATTAAAAAATATATACAAACTTATAATAAGTGTTTATTTTTGAGAATTTAAATTTATTCAAGTCAAGATATACATAATTCTATGTGCATGCATGATGTATAAAAGAAAAAAACCTTCAAAAAACGCACACTTTTGCTTGCTTTTGCTAATGTATTGCAGAACGATGAAGTTTTTAATTTTTCTACTTGTCACTCTAGCTATTTTTTGTAAGTTAGTATATTTTGCCAAATTACATATTGTGTTTCGATGATTTATTCTGTTTACATTTACAGTTTTCGGCATAGTTGATGTAGGAGGGGAAGAATTTCAAATACCTGCAGAAATTATACACCAATATTTAAACATCACGAAGGATGAATTATACCAAAAATGCGAAGAGAGAAATATGCATTGTTTGACTGTTATAGGACTCGATACAGTGGAGCTGATAGAACAAAAAAATGGAGAAAGACTAATAGAATTATTAGTGAAAAGAGCGCGTAAAAATCCTCCTCTGAATGAAGAATTGTGGCAAAAAGCTATGGATCGACATTGTCTACATGATATTGTTTTACAAACAATGTTGGAAATTGGTTTCGGCAAGATTTTTCAAGGATGTGTTCCAGAACTTATTGCTAATAACAACGAGATACTTGCAAAAACGGGAGAAGAATATTTTAAAACTTACTGTGGACGTATAGAAAGAATGTAAGATGACTAAAATTTTCCAAATATTTAACGAATATTATCAGTTGTACCTTATTTAATATTTTACTTTTGTTATTTTAGAGCTAAACAAAGAATAGCAAGGATGGAACGTTGAAGAAAATTCTACAAATTAATATAACCTACAATTTTATTTAGTATGTTATTTAACAAGCATGTAAACAATACAATTGTATTATATAAATGAAATAAAAGATAAATGATATCTATTGACCAATGTCCCTAAAACTGTGTGTTTAATACTATACCTATCATCGTCGGGCAATAGCGCGCATCTGCAAATTCTTTATTAAAAGGGCGACATTGCATGACAAATTGCACAAAAAGTAGCCTTTAAGAAAATTGCAGTAGCCCCGACGATATATGTATAACGTACATTTATAAAGAAAATTAAATTTTTATGTAAGAGTATTTAAATTATTATTGCAATATTAGATAATGAACATGGATAAATTTAAATGAATTGAAAAATACATACAAATCTATAAGTGTTTATTTTTGAGAATTTAAATTTATTCAAGTCATGATATACATAATTCTATGTGCATGCATGCATGATGTATAAAAGAAAAAAACCTTCAAAAAACGCACACTTTTGCTTGCTTTTGTTAATGTTTTGCAGAACGATGAAGTCTTTAGTTTTTCTATTTGTCACTCTAGCTATTTTTTGTAAGTTAGTGTATTTTGCCAAATTACATGTGTTTCGATGATTTATTCTGTTTACATTTACAGTTTTCGACATAGATGATGTAGGAGCGGAAGAATTTCAAATACCTGCAGAAATTATACACCAATATTTAAACATCACGAAGGATGAATTATACAAAAAATGCGAAGAGAGAAATATGCATTGTTTGACTGTTATAGGACTCGATACAGTGGAGGTGATAGAACAAAAAAATGGAGAAAGACTAATAGAATTATTAGTGAAAAGAGCTCGTGAAAATCCTCCTCTGAATGAAGAATTGTGGCAAGAAGCTATGGATCGACATTGTCTACGTGATTTTGTTTTACAAATAATGTTGGAAATTGGTTTCGACAAGATTTTTCAATGTGTTCCAGAACTAATTGCTAATAACAATGAGTTATTTGAAAAAACGGGAATAGAATACTTTAAAACTTACTGTGCACGTATAGAAAGAATGTAAGATTATTGAAATTTTCCAAATACTTAACAATTATATCATGAGTTGCACCTCATTTAATATTTTACTTTTGTTGTTTCAGAGCTAAACAAAGAATAGCAAGGATGGAACGTTGAAGAAAATTCTACAAATTAATATAACCTATTACAATTTTATTTAGTTTATGTTACTCAACAAGCATGTAAACAATACAATTGTATTATATGAATGAAATAAAACATAGATGATATCTATTGACCAATGTTCCTAAAACTGTGTTTAATACTATACCTATCATCCCCCACAGTATCTAAACTTTCAGCAACATTGACAACATTGCCTCAATATTGTGAATCTTGCAGCAATTTTTGTCAATGTTGCTGTGGGGAATACAACATACTTATAAATGTCAAAATTAAAAAAATGTTTATTTAATTTGAATCATTAAATTTTGACAAAGTAGAAAAACAGTTTAATGTTTTTTTTACCATTCATTATTGACAATAGCTACTCATATGATGCTGTTTCTAATTTTAGTCTAAAATTGTAAAAATATATTGTCAACAGTGCCTCAACGATGTCTATAGACCTATATTTCTGCAATGTAAAAAATACTGCAGCACTATTACCAGTATTGATGTAAATTTAGATTTAACATACAGAGTCAATTGATCAAGAAAAAAGCATATTTTCTTTTCTCACAAATTTCAAAGACACATAATCAAATTATGTATCAAATTTCTAATACATAAAGTAACAATGTATTCATAAACTGCGATAAGACAAGAAATTATACTTTGCAAGAAATGAAAACTGAATTGTCATTTATTATAAATTATGTAACTAATTTCTATTAAGTAACGTAAATTTTCCGTTATTTATGAGATGTTATCAAAAAAAAATACTAATCTATTATTAGCAAGTACTGTATTTGAATTTTACAGATAAAAAAACCTATTTTAAATAACTTGAAGGTAAGTGCATTTGAATTAATTAGAATACATTTGGATTACATTTTTAAATATATTCTTAAGAGCTGTTGGCCTTAAGAATAGCAACATTTAACAATCAAGTGTTTTACAATGAAGTATTCATACTTTTCACTGTTATTAACAATTGCCTGCTTTTGTAAGTGCTGAGAATTCTTGATTTGGTCTAAAATGAAACTATAATTGAAATTACAATTTATAGAGAGTAAAGTATAATATTTAGGGTACCACTTGTGTATAAAGAAATTGAATTTTTACTTGCAGGTACTTTAGAGTGCGCGTCAGCTCAGAATCAGGGATCAGACCACTTTCAACTACCGAATGAATTGAGTGTACAATATTTAAATGTCTCTGAGGAAGAGATTAAGAGAAGTTGCGATCGACTGGGAAGGTGCTTAACAGAGAAGAATAATATAATTAGGGATGTGACCTATAACGCCGGTCTTCGGATGATAGATCAATTTCCAAACATAATGAGAAATAGATCTTCAGTTACCGACGCTGACTGGGATACACTTATAGACCATCGCTGTCTAGTAAATATACCCATGAACATGATGGTGTCAATCAGTAATGAAATTGCTTGGACTTGTATTTTAAGAGACAGACATGTACCTAAGGACAATATTCAACGTTATCATAGAGAATGGGTTAAGGAATACTGTGCCAGAGTTCGAAGGCTGTATGTATATTTGTATCTTTTTACGTTTTACACTTATTCATAATTATTTTAATTTTTACATTTTTTGAATGTTAAAAATATCACTCGCGATTACATAACGAATTTCTAATTAGACAATATATTTTTCAATCCCAAATCAATAAGTAAATTAAACTAATTATGTTTTACAGCGCTCTTCGTCAATATCAAGAAAATGAAAATCGACATTAATAATCCTTTTAGAAGAGTAAACTTGTGATTGGATATTTGGCTCATTCAGATAAGGATTGAAATGATATATTCTTAATAATAAATTGATTAAAATGTAGTCTACGAGTGAAGAAAATATAAAATTCTTTTTCCAGTTATTTGCATTTGAATCTATAATTATAAATTTTTCTCCAATTGGGAGGACAATTTACCTTGAAATTTTACAATCTCAGAAGCTCTTAAAAGCAAGAATGGCATGCCACTTACGAGCTACTATTCCCTAATGATTCTCGATTCGACTTTCCGGTACTCACCACTTGGGTGAAGCCGATCAGATCCTCAAATACATACACGCAACCTTAGTTCAGTCAAGTGTTCACAGAAGAAAGCCTTCGTGAGCTCTGAAATCTATTGACTTTATGTCCACAAAGTTCACCTGATTTTATTGAATCACTCAGTTCCATTCATACTCATTGTTACACTTTCGAAAAACCAAACCACTTTTCTCGTATTAATTAGAACTGCTAGTTTCTAATTTTAAAGTAAATAATTATTCATGTACAACAATACAATTATTAGCAAGATAAGAAAAATTAGATATTTAGTATACATTACTCGAGGATATAATTATTAATACGCTGAAAAAAAGTTGAATTCTCTTTAAAAATAAAGCTGTGAAATCAAGTTAAAGCCCATTCCTCTTTTCATTGAATGTCACGATTCTCATTCTCCCAGTGAAAGAGAATTAAACGTATTAATTACAGGCTTTTAACAGTGGCAAAGCTTGCCCTTTCAAAGTTACTCACTCCCCCTATTTATTATAACTCAATTAGGCAGAGCTTTTATTTTATCATTTCCTGACTAACTTTTCAAAGAACATAAATATTCTTTATTCTAATTCAAATACTTTTGTTATTCTAAAACTTTCTACACTCGTATATTAATTCATTGAAGCAATAGGTAATTTTTAAAAATACAAGAAAAATTCAGACCAATTTATTTTGATAATTATTTTTATAACGAGTCAATGGATTTCAATATAGTATTTAAAAAAAATAAAATTTGATAACTAAATAAATATGTTACCAATGGAAAGATGAGATGAGATTCAACGATGTCCTGCAATTGACAAAGAGCATATATGAAGATTGATTGAGTGTCGTATGGATTCGCTAATCATCTGGTCTCATTATTATCAAACCATGTTCACATGTCAAACGATGAAAAATTTTCTACCCAGGTTATTTGCGAATTCGTGTATACATATGTGTATGTATGTACATATACTTTTTCAAGTATACTTTCTGTTCCAGGGAAGAATAACGTAGCACACGTGCTAATAGAAAAGCCTCGTAACCCGTCGAAGGAATAAATTTATGGTATAAAACGTGACGTGACATATTCTTTTCAAAGAAACTTGAAATGTACAATAGAGATATTAATGTATATATTATTCGAATTATTAGCTGCTCCTATAGGTTTATTAAGAAATATGATTGAACAAGATACGGCTAAAGATGAAATACGGAGCTGATTAAGACATTCAAGTTTGTTAAAACTTGAAAGAGAATTATTAGTACACTGTAGATGAAGCTAATACAGTTTGCTAAATGAATAGCTTAATTATAACTCGTTGCAACTTTGATCCTGTCTGCAGTCAGACATAAGACAGTCAATTAACTGTACAACCCTCAAAAGTTCGAATTGACACTTGATATAGGTACCTTCAACCTTTAAGCTTTCGCAAAATTGACTTTATAAAAAGTAAGCATGAAGAAAGGTCTGTCATGTTTAACTTCTCGTTTCAAAATATTAATTTGAACGTAAGTTATGGCATACTTTCAAAAAAAATTAAAAATCCAAAATCTTAATTTTTTGCAACATTTTATGACATGGCAGATACCCCATCTAGTATTGTTATAATATTTAAATTGACTTTAAAATTTCAAGTAAAAATTCATAAAAATGGATATAGAAGCAATCGACTTGGAAAAGTACTTGTCGATTTAAAAAGTATCGAACAGAGCCAGAGAGAGAGAGAGAGAAAGAGAGCTTAAAGGGCAAACTGTTGCTTCGAGGATGAGCTTCAACAAGTAGATCGCTACCACTATAAATTTTCTCCCAGTCACTAGCTTAAAGATGTGAAAAATTGATTTAAAGTCATTTCTTTTTTTTTTTGTTTCTTCTGACTTCGATAGAAAAATCTCCTTTTCTACATAAAGAAAAAAATATTACGTTCATTTTCATAAGGGTTTTGCTTTACTTCTCATAGAAAGTGAAATAATAAGAAACATAAGGTAAAATCAGTTCAGTTCTGTTATAAGAATTTGAGTTATTTAAGTGGAAATTTTAGTTTTACGTAAGGGAACATTTAAAGTTAAGTTTAAATAATCAAGGAAACTGCATTAGATATGTAGTGCAAGAAACGATCTACTATGAAAGTAAATTTAAATTTAAGAAAATACACGAAATAGTTTTGGCATGCAGTCTGCTGTCAATAGCAGAAGCAGATGAACGATCCTGTTAAAGTTACTGCGCTCTCCACTTTGTCGCGCGATATTGCACACTAAGTGAATTACTGAGTGAAATTGCATTAACTACACAGAAAACGGCGCAAGCTTCAGATTGTCCTTTCAACTTTGAAAATAGACATTTTTTCTCTTTTCAAAATCCTTCCTTTCTCTAAAGACATGCCATTCACACGAACTTAGAATATTCTTTAAAAAAAAAAAGAAAAGAAAGTTTATTAATTTATAATCTGCAAATCTTTTACAAATCGGTTTCTAAAAGTTGTCACGAGCTATCTGACAACATTTTATGACGAGCTAGCTGGACAATTCATTTTTCAACTTTATTTCTATTCTCGCACAACTAGAACCCAATTTATATTCACTTATTTACTTTATAGCCTTTACATGCGCGTCTATTGATACTACTTTGTCGATTGCGAATATAAATGGGAATTGAAACCTAAAAAAGAAAGAAAAGAAATGACTGAAGGAATGAATAAGGAGCTCAAATAAAATTAGGTATACGTTCGATTGGGATAAAACGAATTTATAAGTTTAAGACCCCTCAATATCGCTTCTTCAATCTCTGAGGAGAATATATTTATCATTAATTATTTGAGCATTTCTATGAAAGAATTATCAAATCTAATAATTTTTCTATTTTAATTGTACGACAGTCAGACTTTAAGTAAAATAAGAAAATGATCAACTTTTTGAATAGCTGAAAGGGATTGATGAGAAAAATGAAGCATAGATTAATTGAAGAGGCGCTAATAGCCTCATTTTGAAAAACAAGATATTAGGATATAAGCCTTCTCAGTTACCAGTTACCGTTCTTGACGATCACGGTTATCACATTATTGTCGGTAATTACCGTGCAACTCGAAAAGTGAGGGTGTCCCAAGTCGAGTAAAGTACCGAGTACAGCTATGCAGATTGCTTTATAACCTTGTTACTGATCACTCTATTAACCTCACCAAGCTTGCACTATCAAGAGTTCCGAGTTCTGTGGCCTCTCTATAAGAACTTGATTTTCACAAAACTTGACACCAATTCATACAATATGTATAAATATCAAACGATTTCTATTTAATATCGATTCCACTTGCACGTTATAACATTAACTACTGTCTAATTTCCATACGGTTAAATTGAATTTTTAATTGAATTTAGATTTACTTTCCTTTAATATACGTGCGTGGTATTCACTTCAAGTCTCAAAGGTGACCTGCGGCATATTTTCTACTTGGTTAGAGTCTAATCAAAAGAAGAATCTTCTGACCTTCCGATAGTCCTTTAGTGTTACTGACATGTGGAAATGAGAATACTGACGATTAACCATGCAAGTTCAAATGTATACTTGAACCATAGGGGCGACCAGAAACAAGGGACTCAAAGAGATTTGAACAGATCTATAAGTATAGATATACTAATTTCTACTATGCAGAAAAGCATATCTCTTAGCGATATGCTTCATTAAAATTATTGTTCATAATGTAACCAACGAAACCCATTTGCAAAGGAAAAAAATTAACTCAGGCACAATAAAATTCGACACTTGACTTAAATTCAGCTATTGAAGAACTAGCCACTTGTTATTAAAAAAGGACCCTTGAAAATATAAATTTATATTTAAAATTCTAGTTTCAAAATGTAAAAAGTTATTAATTAATTTGTATTTTAACAATTCTAAAACTTAATGAATACATGTGTATAAAGAAATTCGTTTTATTTTCAAAAAAGGTATTTAAAAAAATACCTAATTTCTGTATAGTGTCTATATGTCAAATGAAAACTGATTCCTAAAATAAAATAAGCTTTATTGAATTTAAATTTCCTCTATTAAAAAAATAACAACAGTGGCACTTGAAGCTATAAAAAAATTCGAAAGAAACAATTCTTGAAAACTAGTGTCAGATATTATTTTTGTCACAAACAAAGATTATAATTTTTGCACGAAAAGAAAATTTTGTACTTTCAACAAAGGCCTTATAGACAGAATCATAACTGAAGGTAAAAATATTAGAAAATTCGTATAACTATTAGATAAATTAAATTTGGCAACTAGTAGATGAAGAAAGATAAGATAAGTTGAAGAAAGAGCGGAAAATGTAGACAGTAATATATAGTTAGAGACTCACACAAGTGGTTGGGCAGACCGTCAAGCCGACGGCTGCTTCCCGAATTTCGGCAGATGGATGTGTGCTAGTCAATTTCTTTTCCCAATTGTTGACGAGCGATCGTCCGTGGATGAGCCGTGGCCGTTTGATGATGACGACGGGGGCGCATTTCACCCCTGTTTCCGGCTCAGGGCCGTCGCTGCCCTCCTCTGTCTGTGTCTGCTGAGCTTCTTCGGCTTCCTCTTCCGATTCTCGAAGATCCAAAGTGTCTCCTACAACAGTGCTTAACAGCGCTTGCGCTTCAATGAAAAACCTCCAACCCTCAAAACTCTCCCCTCCCTCTTAACCCCGATTTCATCCCCAACTCGTAATCAACACCCACCATCACTGGCCCCCGCTTTTGTACCCCGCCACGCCCCACTACGACACACTTCTTATTGTACTTACACATTATCGCGCTTATTTTAGATGATCATGGCAAAAAGATTCAGGAAATAGATTTTTCGCATACTGTTAGTGGAAAATAGTTAGTTAATAATGTTCAAAGAGGATCAATCTTCTATTTAGTAAATTTATGTTTTCCAAATTGAAGAAAAAATGTACTGAGTGTACATGAGCAATAATTAAACTGATAATCGTCTAGTTGAACGTTACCTGAATGTTGCCTGAACGTCAATACTTGTTCTGTGTGGGGTCCTGCACCTTACTTTCTTCTCTGTTTTATAACTCTCCTTGCGTCCACATCTTACAAACGTAAGATAAGGATTTCTCGTCTAAGGCAAGTATAAACTTTTTTTTTTTTGATCAAGATCTGCGTGGATAATGAAAATACTTCCTCTGATCCATTATATGTTGGTGTTAGAGCTCTTGCAGTGATTGCCACAAGACACTCTGACTAACGCGACAACTTGGCTCTTTCAATACTTCGGTTTACTTGTCCCCTATATAGATAATAAGGAGAAAAAAAATTGGAAGAGCGATTATCAGCATTATTGCTCAAGTCCCATTTTTTTCCCTTTGAAAATAATTGTACATTTTTAAAATTGACGCAATTCACATTTTATCATTCAAAAATTGGAATAAATTACTTCAAAGCTTCATTATTATTATATGATCCTCTTACTACATGAAATTGTTAATTTTTAATTTAATTTTCGGATTAAGGTATAAAAGAAGCTTACAAGTTAATTGTAGATATTAAAAGGCGTCTTATTTTCATTCTCCAGGAGAAGATGATATGATTGAAATAAACTTAAATTTTCAGAAAAGAAAATTAAATTGAAATCGCAATATTATTTGCTAGCTAACACTCGCAAAAGTTGTTCCTTTTTTTGACTAAAAATTTGAATGCTTTCAAATAATTTCTAGAATCTGTCAAGGATTAAAAAACGACGGAAATTATCTTTTTATGTGAAAAAGAAATTCTGGGGCGAAATTTAATTTAGTCGTTACATTTTTAAAAAACAATTTTTAGATATCTCTCTCTGTCATGAGAGAAAAAAAATGCGGGCTCTACGTGGTAATGGCGTCTAAAGAACCATCGAGAACCACTGGAATGTTTTTGAGAAATGTTCCTGGTGAGAGGAATGTGTGGAACTTAAAGAATTCTTGATATGAGAGCGAACTGACTTAGTACGAGTCTTTATTAAAGCTCTATAGCTTTCCTGAAATAGAACCACCCCAGCTTAGAATATTAACGATTCCGATTCATCTATATGGGCGCTTTTTAATTTTAAATTGCTTTCATCTTTACATCCGCAAAAGCTCTCTTATAATCGAAAGAATGCTTTCGAAAAAGTATGCTATGATTAAAATACAATCATTAGTATTTGTACAAATCTTTTGGAAGCAGTTCTGCTATAGATGCAACTTGTTGCTGAACGCTGACTAGATACTTTACACAAACATGCCGTTGAGTATAGCGGCATTGGAAAAAAACATGTTGTAAATATTTATATATCAATGTATAATGCATGTAATTATGTTATTTATTTAATTTATTTAATGAATTTAGTTAACTTATTCGAATCGATAGTAATCTCATGAATAAGTTTGGTGAAAGAAAGCCTTAAAATATTAGTGCGAGTGTCAAAATGGTATAATCCAAGTGCAGGGGGTATAGGGTGTGCTTCGGAATTAATTATAGGCAATAGGGGTGGCTGAGAAGTGCATCTGGCATGGACAGCTTTCCATACTTGTGACCACGGAGGAATAGAAGTGATGGTAGTGAGTGTTGGTACATACCATAAGCACAAATCACAAAGAACGAACCCAAACCACAATTCCAACAAGCTTCCGCAGTTCGCGCAAGTCGCGTTTCTAGTCTTGAACGAAACGAGATCTCTCCAGTTAATGAAATCCATTCCCGACTCAACGAACCATCTGCTATGCATATAATATCAAAGATCACATTCTTCTCCTATCGACCAAAAAACATTTTAAAGACCTACCAAACTTTACTTCCAATTTCATTTACACTCAAATCAACCAGGTAAAAGAATATAAGACATTTCTTCCTCTCCTGATTGTCATTTCAATTTCTATTCTAAACATGGACGAAAAAGCTACTATATACTATAATTTTTCTGTGCAGATCACAAACGATTTTTGCTATAACTTTTTTCAATGATTCGATGATTCTAAATGTGAAAATAAAATAAAAAAAAAAAAAACAATGAAATGTGTAGATGTGTAACGCAGTGATTGAAAGTAGCGTCTTATTGATGTTCGCAGTGACAAGATAAATAAATAGCAGCAGTATATGTATACACGTAGGGTGTATCTCACTCATTGCTTTTCATGAGAGCTCAACTATATATACTTACAATAAAAATTGATGAACTCACTTTTCCTGATTTTATCCGCCTCTTGAAAATGAAAATATTCAGGAAATTACAAAATAATGTTATATCGAACAAGTGAAAATTATAATTAAATATAGTTTTTCTGCAGATATCAAATTGAGACAAAAAAGGAATCTCAATTTGATATCTGCAAAGTTAATGTTCAAATTATTACTTAATAATAATATTCCCACATAGCACCATAGTATGAGGTAAGGTTATGTTGAGTACTAATCGTAAGGCACATAAGGTTACACAATATTGCTGCGGTAGACCTGAGGTGAACTAAAAACTTCCGCCATGGAGGTAAGGTTACATGTTAGGGTGTGGTGAGTATATATGATAAGGCCATGGTAACCTTACACGTTAAGGTTGATGTAACCTTACACGTTAAGGTTGAGGTAACGTTACATGTTAAGGTTGAGGTAAGGTTACATGTCAAGGTTGAGGTAAGGTAATTATTAAGTTGTAAGGTTGAGGTAAGGTTAAGGTAAGGTTGTGATAAATTTACCAGTTATGGAAAATATTGAAAAAATAATTAATAAATAAATATTCAATTAAAAAGTTAGTTTGTTGCTCCTCTCTATTTTGGAAACCTGACATGAAGCAGAAAATTTTGAAAACAAATTTGGGGGGACTGGGATTCGAACCCGGGATCGACGCGCATAAACCTATCATTCTAACTAACTGAGCTAAGTAGAGAACTGGCAGAAGGAAAATTAATGTTGCCTTTAAGGTGAACCAAGAAGATGATTAACTCCTTAAAGGCAATATTAATTTTCCTTCTACCAGTTCTCTACTTAGCTCAGTTAGTTAGAATGATCGGTTTATGCGCGTCGATCCCGGGTTCAAATCCCAGTCCCCCCAAATTTGTTTTCAAAATTTTCTGCTTCATGTCAGGTTTCCAAAATAGAGAGGAGCAACAAACTAACTTTTTAATTGAATATTTATTTATTAATTATTTTTTCAATATTTTCCATAACTGGTAAATTTATCACAACCTTACCTTAACCTTACCTCAACCTTACAACTTAATAATTACCTTACCTCAACCTTGACATGTAACCTTACCTCAACCTTAACATGTAACGTTACCTCAACCTTAACGTGTAAGGTTACATCAACCTTAACGTGTAAGGTTACCTTAACCTTAACGTGTAAGGTTACCATGGCCTTATCATATATACTCACCACACCCTAACATGTAACCTTACCTCCATGGCGGAAGTTTTTAGTTCACCTCAGGTCTACCGCAGCAATATTGTGTAACCTTATGTGCCTTACGATTAGTACTCAACATAACCTTACCTCATACTATTGTGCTATGTGGGTTAGAGGAAGTGATAAGAACAGAAAAATAGTTGTAAAAATTATTGTTAAAGAATATATTCACCTATTATTTAAGAAGAAGAAGAAAACACTTTAACAACATTTGTAGGAGTTGTGCAAGGAAGACGTGACCTTCGATAGCGAGGCCAATAAAATTCTGAAAAAGATAGCTATCCTAACGAGTCAAGTGAGCAACTTCTTTTCTTTAAAATGGGGTTTCTTTCAGAACAGTTTAAGTATGCAATAAAAAATGTTATATTTCTTGGTAAGACTTAATAATAGTATAGATTTCACGATTTTCTTAAAATGTTAAACAAAAAAGAATCAAAAATTTAGAAATTTTTTTACTTTTCTAGAAAAATCGTTTTTCTGATGAAGAGGACAGTGATTTTATTCTCTATATTTCTGCGAGCAAGAAACTTGAAATCTACTTACAATTCGGCAATGAGAAGAGCTTAGAGAAAGAAAGGAAATGATAATCCGAGTGTTACACTGAAAACCTTTTTCTCTTTGATTTCTTTATTTCTTACTTTTTTATTTCCTCCATCATAATTTATATTACCTATTTAATTTATCACATGTGATATACCGCAAATTCTACGCAGTAAGAAGGCAATAAAATTTTACCCATCTGCTAGAATTGTAAATTACAATATTCGCCTTAAAAGTGTAAAGAATGAATAGGCTGATGATAGAATCTTTAACAAACAAACATATGTAAATGTAATTACAATTTATTTTTGTATACTTAAATAATGGTAAAAGAAAATTCTCATTTCTCACAGAAGTAAAAGTTCGCAGTGACATGGAAGTAAATTTCCCAGCAGAAAGAATTACAAACTTTTGTGTTCTACATATTATCATCTCTATCAATCGTTGTTCTTCCTTGGACCATTCATACCATGGTAAGTCATAAATTTTCATACCAACATCATAGCTCTGCAATTGAAAAATTAAAGTGGATCATCATAAAAATAGAAATCAAATATAGTATATATATCAAATTTTACATATAAATTATTACTTCAATTTGAAGATTGTTAGGTGGCCAACAGAACATCAAGAGTTGCATAATACCACCCACAACGTGTAAAACTTGATTCAGAATATCCTCATCTTTCTATAAGTATCATATTTTTACTATGTCGGTTTCAAAACAATTTTTTGAGTATTTTTTCAGTATACCCACCAACATACAGTTTATTCCAAAAATGCAAATAGCTGTTATACTCAAGACAGTTTGCAATAGCACCACATTATTAAATAAATCTTCTATAGCTTCCGAATATCTAAAATTATTACCAAAACTTTGAATATTAAACAAGATATAATAAAATTTACAGAAATTTTCTGTAAATGTTTTTGAGAATAATATTAAAACTCTTTTAAATTCCTTTAATATAAAGACTAACTGTAATATGTCTTGATGATATTGAACAATTTTAACAATTTCTTGAATTGAATTCTTTCGCTTTTTCTCCTGATGATCCGTGTCAAATGATTGTTCAAGCATTAATATTCGAAATTGCAATAATTTAAAATGAGCGCATGCATGAAGAATGAAAACTACAACAGCCGTATCTATTCCAACTATCAACATAAGTACAACGATTCCAGCCGGAACTTGCATTAAGTACCAAACATTGAAGAGTTTTATATCTTCATGAAATAGACCTGAGGAAAATGGAAGTGACTTGCTTGATATCATTGTGCCATTTATGTCGAAAACAAATTTATCAAATGCAGGTTGCACGAGGACATTTATTAGCGCCGCTTATAGAACATTAAAGAAAAACCCATAGGTGAAGTACATTCCTCGCACTGCATAATGCTTCATTACTTCCGCTTCTTTATTGTTCACATTTTTCCATAATCCATCGCAAAGAGAAACTAAATTTTTTAATTCCTTTCTCTTTCTCAGTAATAACATTGCTGAAAAGAATACGTATTTAAATTATTCCCATCAATACGAAAAAGATTGAGTTTAACCGCACCTTTGAAAGTGGCAGCAATTCCTTCCAGCAATAAACAAAATATATCCATAGCAGTTGCAAAATCTAAATTACCAAATATAAAAGTATGAAAAAACGGTAGGACTAAAAAACTCGCAGCGCATAACGGTAATGCAATTGAAATTGCATTTGGTATAAAACCCCATTTTTCTAAGGGAAGAACTCCACAGAAATGAAGTAGAATTTTGTTAAAATGAAAATACTTTAAAAAATGATTTTTCTCCATTTTAGATTCAATGTAGGCAAGAATCCAGAAATGACAAAGTAACTTATTGAGAGTTAAAATCTATAATCCTAAAGTAGATATCTATAGAAAAGATAAGTATATATATATAATTTTTACGAAACCACTTATTTCGCAGTACATTTACAATTTCACAGATGGTATAAGAAAATGAAGCGATCATTATTTCAGGGGGCGATAAAAAATAATCTTCAGACCGCGAATATTCTGGTTATAGAAAGTTTATTTCAAATATTCAGAAGGCTACTGCAATTATGTTAAACTGCAGAATATTTTTTTGCTGAGAGTATATCTTTTAATACGGTTATAGTTGTCGTGATCGTATGGAAAATCTTATATATTACAGTTGAATAATAAACAACTCCCAATTATTTGCTCTCGAGCAGACATGCTTTATATGCTACGGATTTTTTGTCGATGGCAATCTTGAATAGAAAAAACACAAAAGGTACTATTGTCCTTTTTAAAAAACACTAATTATTATATTTCAATAAATTATTTAGAATAACAATTAAACTTACGAAATTGGAAATTTAATTTGAGTTATTCATAATACACTCCATTGGGCAGTTTCTATAGAATCGTTTTACATGGAAATTAAAATATATCTCCTCATCAATCAACCGTGTGTATAATAAAAACTTGGGACGATATCGATTTATGTTGAAAAGTTGGATTTCTGAAATAGTTAAATCTATCTATTATTTTTTCATATTTCAGACTATGTTTAGAAATCATTTTTAGAAAAATCGACTCAATGTTTAAAAAATGAGGAAAAACGAAAAAATGGCTAACTAAAGTGCATTAAATCCAATTCAAAGTCTCACGACTTTGAATTGGTTTTGTTGAATTTAATGTACTTATTTAGTTAGCCTTTTTTCGTTTTTTCGCATTTAAAATCCATATTGAAAAATCGAAACAATTTTTATATGTTCTTATTTTAAAAAAAAGACGTAAAAGAAAACCGTACCTATTTATAAAAGCCGTCTTAAAAGAGTGAAAAACGAGTAGGCCGATGACAAGATCTTAAAAAGTGAAAAATGCTAATTTGTATTTACAACTTAAATGAAAATATAAGGTATAGTTGAGAGACAATCATTTCTAAAATATAGTTGAAAACTTTTCATAAAAATTTAATATTACTCCTTAATATACAAAAACACGTATACAAAATCTAGACCCCATATGGGAATTTTCAATAGGAATCAATAAAGCTTCTCCAGTGAAAGGCTCATTTAAAAAATGACGTCAACATTTCGCCGCACGGAATATAGAAACTTGCAGTAATATTGACAAATTGGAAACGTTGAAGAAATGTTGTATATCAATGTTGCTGCAAGTTTCGGCGCTGATGTGTCTCAAATACTCCTTATTTTTTTGTATATCGTTTTTAAACATTAATTCCTGTAAAGAATTTTATTGTTTATGAAAATAATTGAATTCTGACGAGAATTTTTTTTTAAATCCTGAATAATGCATACATTATTTTAAAACAGAAATTAAAATATCAATGATGTCAGAAATGAACAAAAAAAATGCAATTTATCTTTAAATCTTCTTGAATTAAAAAATTCTTACAGAAGTAAATGTTCTCAGAGACATGAAAGTAAATTTGCCCGCAGAAAGAACGACAAATTTTTGGGATCTAAAAATCATCAACTCCAACAACTTCTGTTCCTTTTTCGGCCAATCATACCAAGGTAATTCATATACTTTTGTGCTAATCTCGAAGCTCTATTGTACAATAACATAAAATAATGAATTGAAAACAATTTTTAAAATCTCACTACCGTTTTTAGTTTCTTTTAAGATAAACATACTTCCGTTTGCAGATTACTTGGAGGCCAGCAAAACATAAAGAGTTGCAAAATACTACCACCTATGTGTAAAACTTGATGCAGAATATCTTCATCCCTCTAAAATTATTAACATATTATTTTAAATGATAAAAATGACATATTAATTTCAAAATTATATTTACCCACCAGTAGAGAATTGATTCCAAAAATGCATATAGCTGCTATACTTAAGATTGTTTGCAAAAGTATGACAGGATTAACAATATGCTCCACAGTTGCCGAAAACCTAAAATATATTGTACAATTAGAGAAAATACGAAAGAATTAAATATAAAATAAGAGAAGGAGAAAACTTGTTTAATAACTAACTGCAAAATATTTTGATGAAATTGAACAATCGTTACAATTTCTTGAAAAATCTTCTTCTTTGACTCTTTTTTCTGATTCTTTTTCTGTTCTTTTTCGCACAATTCTTTAAACTTTACTAATCGGTATTGCAATACACGAAAATAAGCGCAGGCGTGCAGAACAAAAACTACAACCGCAGTGTCTATTCCAACTATCATTATAACAATAAACATACCAGCGGGAATCTGCAGTACATACCAAATACTGTAAATTTTAAGATTCTCATGAATTAAACCTGTGGGATAAGGAAGAACCCTGCTTGATATAATTGTACCATTTAAATTGACAACAAATTTATCTAACATTGGTTGCACGAGGACATTTATTAGCGCCGTAAAAACAAGGAGACTGAAGAAATAAGTGAACTTCACCCCTCTTCTTGCATAATGTTTCGCCACTTGAGCTTCTTCTTCACTGTTTATACTTTTCCACAAGTTACTACAAAGGGAGAGTAAATCTTTTAATTGCTTCCTTTTTGGCAGTAGTAACAATGCTGAAAACATTGAACGTACAATTAATAATGAATTAATTTAAAATTCTTTTTAAAGAACTTTTTTTTTCTTTTTTTTCCTGTCAAAGTCATATATTATTATTGGTCACGTATTCCAATAAAGGAACGTGACCATGTCTGATGAATAACATGACCTTATAAAGCTATTTGAAAATTTCATTCTACAGAAATACTCAATTTTTATTGCATTCTCTAATATAAATTTGAATCAACGACAAGTTGTCATTATTATTATCCGTAAACTCCGACAAAATACTTACTAGTTCGTCAAAATCAGAAAAGACGTTGCGAAAAACGCAACGCAAAAACTAAATCCATTTTTGAATACGGATTCCGAGCAAGTGCGAAATGTTTGATCAAAAGAGTTCTCTTCGTGTAGTGCGTGAAATTTCGCTGATTCAGATTTAGAAAACAAGAAACAAAAGAAACAAAAGAAACACAAGAAACACAAGGAATAACGAAACATTTTAAGGATTGTAATACCTTTGAAGGTAGCAGCGACTCCCTGCAACAGTAAGGAAAAAATAGTCATAGCAGTTTCAGAATCTAAATTCCGAAAGAAGAAGGTATAAAATACAGGAATGACTAAAAAGCTCGTTGAACAATATGGTAAGAAAATTGAAATTGCATTCGGTATAAAACCCCATGTTTCCAATGGAAGAACTCCACTTAAATGGAGTAAAATTTTGTTAAAATGAAAATACTTTAAAAAATTATTTTTATTCATTTCTATTCAAGAAGAACGTAAAAATCCCAATGCCTGCACCCTGCATATGACAAAGTAAACGTGATGAAGGTTCAAATTCTAACTAAAATTGATTTTGTCTCTAGAGCAGTATAGACAATAAAAGCAAGTTTCATAGCATAAGAAAATGCAACACTCATTATATAAAGCGGGGAAAAAAGTTATCTATAAGTGTAATTACGTTAAATTGCAGAACAGTATTTTTTGCTGGGAATACATCTTTTTTTTATAAACAATTTTGCTTCAAATCAAGGTATAATATATATAAAAATCACAAGTCTTTTGAGAATAGCTTTATTTTATGAATTATATAAACAGTAGGTATTTTTGTTATAATAAATTCTATTTTAATTTTTATTAATTAAAAAGCTTAATTTTTTGAACATATTCTATTTTGGAGAAAACGTGATTATAATCTTTGCTGTATAAAAATTTCATCGAGCCATCAAATTATATGTATCTTTTAATATAGAGAAGTGAATTTTAATCATTCATAGCAGTATAAAAAATAAGATTCTGTATACAATTTACACGACATTTCTCAAAAGAGTGAAGAATGAAAAAGCTGATGACAAAATCTAAAAAAGATCAAAATTAATAAAACAGTTATAGTACCTTAAACAATACCTTAAATAACTTGAGTAAAATATTTGATTTGTTCTTTTAATTTTCTGTATAAAAGGCAAAAATATTCACTTACTGATGAGAAAGTTTTCAGTGACATATGCGCAAATTTTCCCGCTGATAGAAAAGCAACTTTTTGAGATCTAAAAATAATGATTTCAATCATTTTTCCTTCTTTTTTTGTCCAGCTATGCCAGGGAACATCATAAGCACTCAATCCAATATTCATACTCTATAAACATTTTATTTTTAAGAATAACTTTTGTAGACCATTTTTTTCAAAGATTTTGAGAGCACTTGGATCTTACATATTTTATCGCAAAATAGGAATTAAAAAAATTGAATAATAGTTAACTGTTTTGTAATTATATTATGTTACTTCGAGAAGAAGGTTATTTGGTGGCCAACAAAAGATATAAGAAGTTGCAAAGCTCCTCCTATGAGATGAACACCGTAAGCCGCTGTGTCTTCTCCTCCCTGAATAAGAAGAAAACAGTATCATAAACATTCTGTTATAGTAAACTTAAAAAAAAAAGTAAGTAAATGCTTTAACCATTAGGAGATTAAATCCAAATCCACAAATGGCAACTATACTCAAAATAGTCTGCAAAAGTACAACAGGACTAAAGACATTTTCTATCGCTGACGAATAACTGAAATGTATAATGTATAAATTGTACAATAATTGTAGAAGTGGATTTTTTTCCAAAGTTAATTAAACAAGGCTTGAAAATTATTTAAAAAAATTGTTTAAAGAAGAATTTTAGTTAAAAATTCTAGAAAATAATAATTGAATTGAAATGATGAAAATAATGAAATTAATGAAATTAATTTTGAAGAAATTGCAGTAGCAAAATTCTTATAATATTGAAATAATGATTTTATCAATTTGCCATCTTTAATTATTATAAAACGTGAAGAAAGCGATTAGTCCGAGTCGAAGACTCGGAGTGATCGATATCTTCATGTTTTATAGTATGAAAAATTTAATTTCTAATTATAGGTTAAATGTTCTCGTATTTGACTCGGACTGGTTATATCTTTGTCAGTAAAAATTGATCCGTAATTTTTTATTTTTTCGTATTTTTAAATATAATTTCACTGGTTCGAGCCTTGAATTCAATATGTTTACTCACTGCAAAATACGTTGATGTTGTTTTACAATTTTAACGATTTCCGCAAAAGTTCGCTTTGAATTATTGCAAACACCTTTTTGTTTAAGTTTAAACATTCGAAATTGCAACAACTTGAAATGAGCACAAGCGTGAAAAACAAAGAAAGCCACTGCAGTGTCAACTCCAATTACTGGAATAATACTGACTAATCCAGCTGGAATTTGAAGAGCAAACCAAATATAATAGATATTCACATTCTCATGAAATAATCCAACTGCATAAGGCAATTCTTTGCTGGATATAATTGTTCCATTAGAGTCATAAACAAATTCCGAAAACAATGGTTGAACCACTAACGCTAACAAAGCACAAAATACATTTATAAAAAAACCATAGGTAAGATACATTGCTATTGTTGCATAATATTTTACTGTTTCAGCTTCCTCTTCATTTTCTATATTCTCCCACAATTCATTACAAAGTTTAACCAAATTCACGAGTTTTTTTCTCTTCGGTAAAAGCAACATTACTAAAAACAAATATTTAAGAAATTTTCACTTATTATCAAAATTGAGAAACGAATTTATATTATAATAGAGGGAAATTGAAAATACCTTTAATAGCGCCCACTAAAGTTTCTAACAATTCACTGAAAATATTCAACATTCCCATGACAGCCATATTCTCTTGATGAAAAATTATATTATAGAAACCGGGAAGAACCAAGAATGAAGAGGTGCAAAATGGTATCGCAATACAAATCCCATTGATTATGAATCCCCTTGACGAAATAGGCAAAACACCACAAAACTGTAATAAAATTTTGTTAAAACGAAAATATTTTAAAAAATAACTATTGTACATTATTGTCTATTGTATTTTTAGACGAACGCTTGAAACTAAAGAAAATTTCTTGTAAATCCGAATAATAGACTTTCTTCATTCATTCTAAATTGAAAACTTTAATAACAAAAAATGTACACATGCGGAATCTATTGGATTTTATCCATCTAGAGTAGTAATTTTTTTTACTGATTGTGCGATTGATGCAAAAACACTTAAACCAACAAAGTTTTCTCCTTCCTTGGAAGTTGAATTATTAATAATGCCTGCATAATAGGCGGTTGGCTATAGTAATTTTTTTAGCCCCTGCCAAATTCAGTTCTCAAACAAAAAGCAGAGGGAAATTATTCTAATTGATATATTTTCTAATAATAAAATAGTGATACTTTTTTAAATAATATTTTTAAATATTTTTATATATTTTTGAAAATATTTGTCCAAAAAGGTTTTAACTTTGTATTTTATAAATTTTAATTTTAATTTTGTTAACAAAGGTAAATAAAAGAGAAAATATTTTGCAAAATAAAATTTATTAAATTGAAAGAGTTGAAAATTGAAAAATTATCGTTTCCTTTCAAATTTCCATTTGAAAATAGGAGCTGTATCTTTCGTGCCAGGACGAACTTGTTTAGGTTGCAAAACCTTTTTGTCCTTTAGGGCCCTTCGTATCTCCAACTTTTGTTGAACGATCGTGAGTTGTCTTTCTCTTTCAATTCTCTTATCTAATTCTTTGTAAGCCATGTGCTTTTGTTGTTCAGCTTTTAAAAAAGTACCTTCATCAATATCCGGTAGTTTCATCGTTTTCAAATTATTTATTCTAGGTCGATTAATTTTTCTGCTCAGTAACGCTGGATGTGTGTCAAGTTGTTTAGCAATATCGAAATTTCTCCTTTCGTCTTCTTCGTCAACGAAAAATGTATGTTTATTTTTAGTACTGTTGGAAACATCAAGAAAATGCAACTGACTCTGAAGCTTTTCCACTTTCTTCGCCTCCATGTGCCTCTTGTAGGCGACATATTTCAAATCCTGCGTTTCCATTAGAAGTAATTGCTCTGGTGTATGTACATCGACTTTGTCCTTTTCCCTATGAATTCCATTTTCAATTTTTGAGTTTATCATGTGAAAGTAAAATTCATCGGGATTTTTGTTTAGAACACGCTTTCTGAGGAGTTTCAACTTGTCTTGCTTTTCATGATAGTTATTTGCTCTTGCTATATAATCTTTTTTCTTCTCCAAGAAACCCAAATGTTTACGTGACTCGGGTTGATGCCTCTCACGATGTGTTTTTTGTCCAGTTTTCGCTGCTTTCTTCCACGACGACATATTTCTGCAAACAAAATTATATACGTAATTAAAAATTCATTTATTTGAATACCTATATTTCAAAAATAAAAGTTTTAATCCTTTTTAGCCTATATTGAACACTTGTTGTACAAACCGTTTATTGATATTGTTTTAAAAAGGAATTTATTTGAATGTCATGAAAAATAGAATAGTTCTAATAAATAGAATGTTATTTTTATATTTAAAAACTTTGTATACAAACAAAAACGTATGAAAAAAAAGAAATATTCAAAGTACTGAATACATTTTAATAAAAACTTTTTTATTTGAATGTGGTATAATAGATGTTTACATTTATTTAATGTAACATTTTTCTCTATGTATTTTTATATCCATTTCTTTATATAAATAAAAAATAGTCAACAGCAAAATAAATTAAATAGTATTAGTGTACAAATTTCAAACATTCCATTCTCTCCTTAAAAATTAACAGTAACTCGGTGTTATTCAAATTTTGAGTCTGTATAATTTGAGATTTTGCAGATTTCTATTAAATACCTTCAAGATTCAATAAATATTTCCAAGTGAGATCGAGAAAACGTGTTTCCTTTATCCTTTTATGTAAAATTTATTTTTCGATCAGCTGAACTGTACTCACGTGTAACAACAAGTTTAAGGTTCTTTCATATTTTGGTATTTTGTTCGTAACAAGACGAAGAGTAAGGTTGAGTCCACAATTTTTTTCAATCAACAAAAAACAATTGTGAAATCAACCTAAACGAACGCTTCGTCGATGATTGTTGTAGGCTATATTGTGGACTCAACCTAAGCTCTGCTATATTGCTTAAGATATATTTCTCTATTGTGAGTGCACCTTTAGTCGTGATTTATGTAAAACTACCTTTACTGGCGCGAAAGGAAATAAAATTTTTATATAAACCTATAATATTTAAAACAGATTAATATCAATATAATTTAAAGAACTTTATTATTTTTATTATTCTTACTGCAAGTACTTATTTTACTGCAGTAATTATTTTTATTATAAAAATAATTAAAGTTTAAGATGATTAACAATGTAATAAATCCGATGCAAAGTTAAAACGGAAATTTTGACTTTATGAACACTGAACTTCCTCATGAAAATTTTCATTTTATGAATTATGAATAATATAAATTATTGTAATTCAATAACGTTTTTTAAATTTTTGATTTTTGAATTCCTAAGGTCAAAAGACGTAAAAAAGTAAAAAAAAATTGAGTTCGACAATTTTCGGTAAATGCTTCTATGAGGAAACAAATAAGTAAAAAATTAATAAGTATATTTTGTTATGAGAGAAATAGTAAACATATTATGAAACAATTCATTTTAAAGATAAACATATTAAAGATAATATGTATTTCCTTAAATATCGTTAATAAGAACAAGATTTTTAAAAAAATTATTATCTCTAATAATCTAATCTAAATATTAATCTCTAAGTCTTCTCCTTGGAAGATTAAACTATTGATAAACATTTAAAAACCATTGGTGAAGTCTATATATAAATATGACAAAAGAAATATTATGTAGTGCATTTCATAGTTATTGCAGCTATTTTGCGTTAAAGATGAAGTGGAAATTATTTCTAGGTATACCCTACATAATTAATTTATAAAAGTTATTTTTTAATTTTTTTTCAATTTGTAAAATTTGCTCTTTTATTTTTAAGAGCCAAAAAATTGTATAAAATAACAAAAAATTTAATTGTTGTCGAAACTTTTAGCAACTTTTCAACTGGCTGTGTTCTTTACGAATGCTTGTGTGAATCCTGATTTGAATCCATTGCAACATGTGGGAGATATAGTCACTCAAGTGAAAAATACATCCGTCATTTTGGAATATAACACCATCGACAGTAAACTTTTTAATTAATTTTTATATTTAAAAGAAAATTAAAATCATTTAAAATTAAATCAACTATTTTTTATAATTAGTGGAGCTGTAATTAGTAGTAATTTACTATTTGGAATTTTTTTCGCAGACGAATCAAAACTGAGAACATCGCTCTACATCAGTGACCCTGAAAACACATCTCCGGCTCAACATGAAGTAAAAACTTGTGGGACGAATAAAATTTGCATCCAAGCGGGAAATGTGCAACACACAGAAATAGACAAATCGAATGGCTTAATAAAAGTTTCTCACACTATCAATGATGCGGAAGCAAAAATAATTGTATGCATAGAATTAAAGGACGGAGTACAATGGTTCGGAGGACCACAAATGAAATATCAACGTTGGCCAATTCAGAAAATGTATTTCGAGGGAGAACCTTATGTTCCAACTCATCCAACAAACATGGCAATAACAGAACGCTACTGGCTCTCCAGTGAAGGAAATTACATTTTTGTCGATGACTCGGTTCCTCTCTTTCTCGATCAGAATAATTACAAGGAAAATCACCTTTGCCTCATTGCAAAGAACGGAAAACCTTACCCTTCTCAAACTAGCATTAATCTTCGATACGAAATCGGAACCATGATTGGAAATCCCAGACTCGCTCATGAATTAGTCATCAAAAATCATTTAGGAAAGCCAACTGCAATTCCAGACGAGAAAATGATTCAATATCCAATTTGGTCGACTTGGGCCAAGTATAAAGTTAATGTTAATCAATTCAACGTTAATCAATTTGCGCAAGAAATTGTAGACAACGGTTTTCAGAATAGTCAGATAGAAATTGATGATAATTGGGAAACTTGCTATGGCTCTGCGGAATTCGATACAAATAAGTTTACGGATATTGCAACTTTAATTACAACTTTGAAAAGCAAAGGGTTTAGAACGACTCTCTGGATTCATCCCTTTATCAATGAGGATTGCACCACTTCGTACAATGAGGCAAGAGATGCGGGATACTTTGTCAAGAACACTGACGACAGTATTACAACAGCTTGGTGGCAAGGTATCATCCAATATACTCATGTCTAATTTTTATACTTTAATTTTAATTTTTCCTTCTCTAGGCACGAGAGCAGCTGTTATAGACTTTACAAACTCGGCTGCTGTAACTTGGTGGGTAAACAGATTGAAAAAGTTACAAGAAATAGGAATCGATAGTTTTAAATTCGACGCTGGAGAAGTTTCATGGCTGCCTCAACCACCGGTATTAATTGGAAACAATGAACTAGGTCCTGGAATTTTCACACAAAAATACGTAACTTCTTTGGCAGAGAATTTCAATAATATGATTGAGGCTCGTGTTGGTTGGAGAACACAAAATCTTCCAATTTTCATAAGAATGATAGACAAGGACAGCAGATGGACGATGAATAACGGTCTTCCAACTCTGATAACCACTCTTCTACAGATGAATTTAAATGGATACGTTTTTGTACTTCCTGATATGATTGGCGGTAACGGTTATGTTGACAATTCCTTCGAACAAACTGAATTACCATCCAAAGAATTGTTCATCAGATGGCTTCAAGCCAACGTCTTTATGCCGTCTCTTCAATTTTCCTTCGTACCCTGGCAGTATGATTCTCAAGTAAGTATTCCTTTTCTCGAAAAATTACAAGTTTTTTAGACATGATTCTTTTTCAGACAATCGCCATCAGCAAAAGTATGACCGAATTACACGAAAGAATTGCGCCGAGAATTAAAATAGCAATGGAAACTGCAGTAAATACCGGAGCGCCAGTAAATCCACCAATTTGGTGGATTGATCCTAAAAATAAAGAAGCTCATAAAATTAATGATGGTGAGAAAAATATATTAATTTATATTAAATGCAACATAAGTGCAATTACTAATTTTCTCTTAATTTCAGAATTTCTTCTCGGAGAAGATATTTTAGCAGCACCAGTTATCGAAGAAGGTGCGGTTTCACGGGACATTTATCTTCCATACGGAACTTGGAGAGACGGTAATACACAGAACGTCCACTTTGGTCCAAAGTGGATAAGAAATTATCCCGCACCCTTAAATGTACTGCCACACTTTTATAAATTCTAATTTTATAAATTTAATCAATTCAAGTATTAATTTCTTAGTGGTAATTTAAAATTTCCTTCTTAGAATGAATCAAGTAAAGTTAGATCAACTTTCAAATCTGTTATTACTTTCAAATATGAAATGAAAAAATGAAATGAAAAAAAAACCATTCTTTAAATACATGAAATTTAAAAATTGTAAAAAAAGTATTTATTTATAACTTACATTATCCAAGGATTAAAAGTGATCTTATTTCGGTGTTTAATTTAACAATTACTGCATCGTCTATACTATAGCTTCCTGTCTTTAAAAGTGAATCTCTTTCTTCAATTAAAACACGTAATTTTTCTTCCTGTTCATCAGATCTTGTCGTCCATTCAGATGTCAAACCATTTCGATTCGATTTTAAAGCAGTATTATTAATGGGAGCGAAAATTTGATCATTGGTATTATTCTCAGTGGAAGTTGATTTAGATTTTATTAAATTCATCTCCTTTTGTAAGTGTTCCAAAAAAACGTGATCGTTTGGTAATCCCTGGTCTTTGTTCAAAATGTTTTCCATACTGAAACAAAAGATTTAATATAGAAATTATTAAATACTGATTATCCATTGAATATAATTATATCAATACAATATCCATTGTCCTGAAATATAAATGGAACTTACTTCAAATATTTCAACTCTTCTTTATTATTCTTAATTTGTAATTCAACAGCATGCTGATTTTCTATTTTCATTTTGTGTATTTCTCTAACAGATTTTCCCCATTGTTCTTTAAAAAATGATTTACATTTCTGTGCATTACTCAATTTTTCTTCGAGACTTTTCAATTCTTGTAAAAACAAAGCTGTTTGATCTTGAGTTAATGTTCCTTTCTCATAAATTTCAAGTTTTTCTGATTGTTTATTTACAATTTCTTGTAATTTTTCATTCTCACGTTTCAAAGGTTCTTGTTGCATTTTGATAATTCGATTTTGTTCTTCCAAGTGCTTCACCTTGAAATAATTATATTTTTAAATACTCTTTTTCACACTTTACTATTAATAATAATAATAATAATAATAATAATAATAAATTCTTCACTGTACCTTTAAAGAAAGATCTTCTTGTGTCTTAAAAAATGCCTCTTTAATTTCTTGAAATTTATAATTATATTTACACTGTAATTCTTCTTTTTCTCTATTGAGTATTGCTTCCTTTTCAATACTCTCAAGTTTTTTAGTTTTCAAATCTTCAGACGCGTAATTTAAAGTATTAGCTAATAATTTACACTGTTCAACACTACTCGTAAATTTCGCTTCTAAATTGTCTCTTCTTATTTGCCATTCTGTGCTCAAAAGATTTAAATGACGCTCCTCTTTTTTTCTCAACTGTAATTACAGATTTTCTATTTTGAGAAAAATATATTTATGTTGAAGAAATAAATGGAATAACATTATTATTACCTCTGATTTAAATATCTCCTTTTGTCTCTCTTTCCACGTTTCGAGTTCATCCACAATTTTATAAATCAAACTATCGTCCAAAATTGGTGGTCCTAAATGGTCTTCTAAAATAAGTGAATGAATAAATAAATATAATTAATTTTATGACTATGAGAACACAAAAAGGTGTTAAAAATATAAAACTTACCGCAAACTCTATTCTTTTTTCTATAATAAGGACCATGATCTTGCAAATTAATCACAACATCCAATACTCCAACATTCTGTTTATCCGAATCCATCAAAATTGCTTCATACTGACAATCGGACTTGAAAAGAGAATAATTTTTTTTTTTTATTACATTTTCTAATAATAATTATTAGTTTTTGATTGTATCAATATTACCTTGTGATCAAATAAACACTTTAAATCTACAATTGTCTGTGCGAGACATGGCTTCGATTCTTCGTTCACATCGCAAATACTGATTTTCGGTGGAAAAGTAAGCAGCAATTTTTTAATCTCATCAGCAGCAGAAATAAAATTTAATTTATAGCCAACGTTATTAAGCTTCATCCTTTCTCCAGGCAAAATAGGCATTGTAGGATGAAATGTGGACATGATTTCAGTCTTTGGATGATGGAATCTAATTCATATTGTAGTATTTATTTGTTTGGCGATCGAAATTTCCTGGTTTATTTAACAATCCGTGAAAGTTTAATATTTAACGAATTTAGTAAGCAAAAATGGAATACCTAAATTCAACATGATGGATTTTTGGACAAAAAGTGTTTAATATAATTCCGTTCAATTGAATATCCAAGGAATAATAACGGTATATTTCTACACTTTTTGAATATTCATTGCAACAGTGTATTAGATTTTGTGGATGGTGAATCATTTCATAATTCACAGATTGCTTTTGTAAATTTGCACTAGTACAAAAACACTGGTCACTAGTTGTAAATTTTTTGAAATCACCCCCGGCATTTCTGTGAAATCCTACTTCCGAATGATTCTGCATCTAAAATACAAAAATTTAAGCTCTGATTATATTTAACAAAATTGAAAAATAGTTCTTAAATTGATACTTACCAATAGATTACAATTCTGTTGTAATGTTTCCTGTCCTATTTTATTAATTAATAAATTGTTGGAAGAAACGTATCTGTCTGGATTCATTTCGGAACTTGGCGAATTTTTTAAACCCACATATTGCAATGCAAGTTGAAGGCTAACGTATGGTTTCCTTACATGATCTATAATTAATTTATTTTCAACTTTTCCATCAAAGTGTATAATATGTAAAACTTAATAGAAAAACTAACCTTCACAATCAATTTTGGCGCCATTTGACAGTAAGCAATGATGATCTGATACAATTGATGAATTCACAGCTATTCTCAAAAATTCCTTAATATTTTCAGTGGGCACGAGAGAATGAAGATCAACTTCTGCTCGTCCAATTAAATTACTTTCATTTTTTAAAGAAACCACCATACATGGCTTTGTTTGTAAATAATTTTTTAAAATATTTAATGAACTTTCAATTTTTATTACTATTTTTTCATTCAACATCCAAGAACTGGCATCATTGCTTCTGAAAGGTTTGAGCTGAAAGTCACTTTCGAAAATACGATACCAGAACGTAAAAGAAGTTTCAAAATTGACTGATTCTTTGGCAAGAAGGTCAAGATTAGCTGCCATGTTAGTTGAGATGTGTAGTAAAAAAATGTCTCGACATAAATCTGGTGGACCCAATCGAATCAAATGCTTGTCTTCTATGCCATTTTTTGAGAATAACGAATTCATATCCAAATCTTCCTTCAATAACGTAAAAAAGAAAATCGAAAAAATTATTAGAAAAGAAAATCATTTATGTTGAAACTTAATTGAATCGAAATCGAAATTCACGATTCAATTATAAAAAGAGAAACATTATCCATTAATTTTACCTTCAACTGTGCATTTTCTCTATCTTGATCTTCAACAGTTAATGAAAGCATAAGTTCTGGTTTACAAACTTTCAAATCACCTTTTAATCCTAACAAAGTATTCCAAGAAGATTTAATAGTTGTTTTTCTATTTTTAGTGACAATTTGAGCTGATCGAATACTTATCAGCAAGTACCCAATTTTCTCCTTAAAATCCCTTTCTTTAATTATAAAACATTCTACTTTTATTGGCACTTGTGCAGATCTCATTCTGCAAATAAAAAAATGTAGCTTAGTAAACACTAAATACAAGTAGTAACATTCAAATTAAGTATACAAACTGAAAATTACTTTTTCAGAAAAATTTGTTTACAATATACTTTTTTTGTTTATGCCTATCGATTTACTTACTTTCGTACTGTATTTTTATCAACTTCCCAAACTAAATCTGTGGCATACTGAGGATTGGAATCAGTTTCAAATATATTTGTTTCTAGTGAATGATTATTTATTGTAGCAACAATAATAGTTGGATAGATTATATTATTGAAACCTCTTCCTGTAAAAAGAAAGTAACGAAAACGTCAATATTTCAACGATTTCAACATAAATACGACATTAAAAAGTGAGGTTATAATACTAAATTGATCAATAGAATATAATCTACTTACCTTCTTTAACACTCAATTTAATTTGAAGATTAGGACCAATTAATTCATCCATATTTGATTATTTTATTGTAAAGAATAAAAAGTATTTAAAAACTTTTCTAAAACTTGAATATAGAAATCCTAAATAACAGTTTGTTGTAGTATATGCATGACATTAACGTATGTCTATGTTTCCATAGCAACAGCTGTATCGTCCTCTTAAATAAAAATAATAAGATTTTTTCAAATTTATATTAAGAAACTAGATATATTATTACTTAAATAATAATAATTAATAAATTAATGTAAAAAATACTATTGAGGACTCTAAAACAATTAAAATTATTACATTAAGTTCATTAAGTTAGATTTTTAAACAAAATGCGCGGGAAAATAAATGACCAATGAAAATGCAGTTTGAAAATAATTTCAAATTTTATTCGTTATTCATTTTTTGGGTGTTGGATTAATTGACCACCAATCAAAATTCATTTAGTTTTACATACATATATGATTCAAAAATCAATTTGACAGATTTCAAAATTTTCAAGTTTTTATTTAAGTGAATGAAAAAAATGAGAAAATTTCGAAAATGAATCCTTTAAATAATTATTTACTGATGGACTAAAGTAACTAAAAGAAATTTGCAAAGAATTCTCTCATCTCTGTTTCGTAAATCGTATAACGTTCTCTGTTTTGAAAATTAACCTTAACCTCAAAGATTGTGTTGGCAACCCTGTTTATAACAAATCTTGATCTCGGAATCGAATGTCGACCGAACAGAGCGAGGGACAAGGGATCCCGTAGCCTGTCGACAAAAGATTTATTGTGTTTCAAATAGTTTACAAATGTTATTTACAGTTAATAAGGTTATTTTTCTAAAGATAGTGAAATGTAATGTTTGGGAATGGTGTAGAGCTTAATGGAACGAGAAGGATTTGGTGTGAACGTAGAGCCAAAGAAATTGAATGAATAGATCACTGACTCCTGCCGAGTGGGAAGATCGCGGGAAAAATTCTCCTCGTTATAAGCAATAATTAGACTTGAAACGTGTGCAGGTAGTGAAATTTGGGTGTTCTCCTGCTTCTGGAAATCGAAAGCTTTCGGGTGTCGGCCTTTTGTGCGCACAGGGATCGGACTCTCCAGTATACATGTATGTGACACGATGAGTTATAATGGAGGTTTCGTGGTGTTATCATTCTTTCTGCGACAAGGGCTATCTTGGAAATGTACAAAGCAGTGACTAAGGTCTTCCTGATAATAACTGAAATTCCCGGCCGGCCGGGCAAAAGAGTGTGTTGATCTTGAATACGGAAGAGTCAAAAACGATGGACTGGTCCGATATCTTTTATTTGTGCGACACTGACACGCGACACAGTAGCCATTGAAGATTGAGTGCCTCTGTGCATGTGAGTACGTGTGTGAGTGTTTCATGGGTGCATATGCAAATGCATGGGTGATCAAATTTTTAACCGGTAGCTTAAAAAACTCCTCTCAAAATGGGGATTGATCCTTCTAAAGACTTAGCCTCGAATTAAATTTCTTAAACTTTTCATTTATGTTAAAAATTCAAGCACTCCAACAGCTAAAAAATTAGAAAAAAACTCGTTTTAAATACACATTCTAACCTTAATTTTCAAGTAATATTTTCCGTATTTTCATATAATACGTATTTTCATTTGAGTATTGCATAGGGATCGATCCCCAAAAAAATCTATAGCTGCTATTACTATTATTCATTTGGTTGACCTTCCGGCTTCTTAATCTCTCTTTTTTAATGTTAAGTTGTTGCGAATATCTTAATAAAAATTGAATAAAACAGTCCCTTAGTCAAGGGTTTTCGGGAACTCGGACCTTCTTAAATTTACCAAGGAAGTAACATGCAAAAAAGGGACAATAGAGAAAGTCGAGGAAAAGAGGAGATGGTGCTCGTTGTAAATAGTGACAGAGATCGAGAAGTAAACGCTATTAAAAGGGCCTCCCGCAGCAGTGGTAATGCTGCAAGATCCAACATGCACTCCTCCAGGCACAGTGTCACCTCATCCGGAAACATGCTCATGGTGGGACCCAATTTTAGAGTCGGCAAAAAAATAGGCTGTGGTAACTTCGGAGAACTTCGTCTCGGTAAGTTTCATCTTTAATATCTTTAAATGTAACATGTAACATACCAATTTTTCCTTCTTTAAAACTACAATTTTATTGTTTGAAGGAGAACTTTCGTCAATTTTTTAGGGTTCGTTTAATTTATCAATTTATTAAAAGAGGAGTAGACATAAATTCGAATCGATTCGAGTTACTTCTTTTTAGATTTTCCAATTAAGTAATTATTAATGTGCTAACTAAACAATCAATACAAGGGAATCTAATTTCTAGTTTATATCAGCGTTCCAAGTTTATCAATAATCAATAAGGCCTTGATCTTCTCTCGTAGATTTCTACAGTATTAATTTATTTTCACTTCATTTCTGATACCTAATTATTAAAACTTGTCATATGCGAAAAAATGTTCGTATAATTTCATTGTTTTTATCAAGAAATAGAAAACGTTAACGTTAAACTACTTTTGGTGTCACAACAGATTAGGAAAACAATAGGATTAAAGTTCGTATGTTTATTTATGTTACAATTATTTACGTTATTTTAAAAATAAATAACAAAATGACTGTCAACGAATCAATGAGAACTCGCTTTTTTTTATTAAATAAAATAATTGATTTACTTTCTCTAATAATAGTAATGTACAATTTGCAAATTTTATAGTACGTACCTATAATCATATCTAAAGAATCTACTGTTTGTAAATGCTCTTTTCGTTTTTAAATTTCGAAAATATTGTTATCTTATCACAATTGAAATGTTGAGAGATTAATCAATTTGATGACGCTGTATATATTTTATTTCATCTGCTTCTTTTAATGTTAAAGAAAAGCTAGCTAGAAATATTCTAAATTATTTATGTTTCAATTTTTTTCACTTGGGAAAATGTAAAGAATAATTATTCTAGACGTGTTTAGAGAATGTTAACTTTTAGGTAATTTAACTTTTACTAATTACTCTTCGGGGCGGGGGGGGGGGGCATAAATACGTATTAGAAATTATATAGCAGTTTTTTTTTTAATTCAATAAATCTAAATTGTTATTGTTTTCTTTGTCTGTCATGGCTTGATTATCTAGGATAATAGCATTCAGAAAAGTTTTCTAATTAGACATTTCGGATACGAAAGGATTAAAATGAAATTCAGAGTACATGCTTTATTATTTAGTCACATTTTTTTTTTAAATGAAACAATTATTTGATTCGAACAATTCAATACTATTGTTAAATAGGCGAAACAGTATTTATTTGGATTGAATGACATTTTAAATAAAAAGAAAGAAAAAATTTTGAAGCATCAAGTAGGTAATAAAATTCTATTCTATTCAAATAAAAAGTTATTTACTTGGATCCTATTCAATACAGTATATAGAAATATTGAATAGGAACCAAGTATAACAACTAATAAAATTTACAAAAATTACTTAATTTAGATTTTTTTTGTCTTTATATAGTATATAAAAAATATATTTTAATATCAAAAGTGGCGTTAAAACAACACGCAACAAAACACTGCGAAAAATATAATTTATGGACAAATAAAATCACCCTTGAAATTTAATGCCCATAAGAAATTAACATTCTTTTTGCACGCCTATATTTAAGGAATAAATCCTGGATAAGATAATATCTTTGAAAAAGATATTTTTCTTGCAGTTATTTTAGATTTGTTTAAAAGTAGGTTAGCCACAGAAATCCCTAGAGCCAATTAAAAACTGTAAAGACCGTCATGAGATTACTTATAATCGAATTTGACCTAATTAGATTTGAAAAAGTTTTAATATAAACAATGGGATTTTTGATTTCTGTCATTTTCGATATTAGATACTACTTTATTTATACTTTATTTAAATTCTTAGGTGAAACCGATGGTGAAATAAAATTTTAATGGCGAATCAACACAACAACGTTGTCCGCACCTTCAGTATTTAGAGACCAATTTAATAAATAAGTTCTTTCATAGTTTACAATTCTTACAAGTAGATATCTAAGTTGAAGTTATCTAATTAGTATCTAAGTTGAAGTACTATAAAACAGAAATAAAAGAAAACTGTTCTGTTGTCTATTTCAACTATAAGATCAGTTTTTAATTATAGCTTTTAAAATGTTTGACATTTTTGAAAACTATTTCATATGTCGAGGGTTTAAGGTTGCAAACGTTGCAAATACATAGTGGGAAATAAATAAATAATGTAAAAAATGGGAATAGTTTGTGGGGCTCTGCGCAAGATAGTGCCGGTTCTGGCAGGTAGCAACCTGTCTATTGGGTTGCTGTGGCCGTGTCTGCTCGAGGCTCGAATGACTCAGGGGACTTGTCTGCAAAGAGAAATGAACTCGTCTGAAGGATCCGGCTTTGCCCCAACAATGTGCGAACACCGTGCGCCACAACACATCGAATCATTTTAGTTTTTATTAAGTCGTCGTCATTATTTAACTCTAATTTTTTATTCCCATATTATTTGTATCTCGCTAACGGAAGCATATTACACTATAAGATATAAAGTAATTTTATTCAAAATTTTAATGAATAAATTTTATTCAAAATCACTTTATTTTTTGGTAAAATTATAAATCTTTTCATAAAATTCTCAAAAGAATTAAAAAAAAGAAATAGAAGAAGAAGAAGAAGAAACTGCTTTAAACACTTAAAATGACATGTATAGAATGGATTCGTTTTTATAAGTGCGGATAATTTCAATTCGTAATTTTGAGCGAAAGAACTGTATTCACTATTTATATGTATTTCTTTGAATAGGTAAACAGGGACTTAAATAGGAATTATCATCAAAGTTTCAGGTGCTTTACATTCCTCAAACTTGCGTCAACTATTTACATCGTATATGCCTATAGACCTTTCCTCACTCTTGATATTAATAATATACATATGTATAAACTATAATTATATATAGCTGAGATTAAGACTTTAAAAGTCTATTTATTACTAATGAATATAAGTTTCAAATTCAACTTTGATATATAGAATATTTATCAATTCGGAAGAAATTTCGGTCTGCAGATAAAGAACCTTTTTAATTAAAAGATAATTTTTGTATACTCTTTTGCAGATTTAAGTCAAGTTTTACTCATTTTTGCTCAAAAATCGTTAATGGTTTACTATTAACGATTTTAACGATTAACGATACAGTCAGTAACTGTATCTTTGATTCTTTATGTTCTTTATTGACAGAAAATGTATAGGTATAAAATCTTATTTGAAAAGAAAGCTGAGCTTAAAATTAGTATTAATTTAAAGTCCGACGTGCGTGAAAATACAAATGAATGGAATAAGAAGTATATTTTAAAAACAGTGCGTCCGTGTTATAACTGAATTCAATAATGCTATTTGATGAGCTGATTGACTTTATGCATATATATTTCTCGAGACTGTCAGATTGTACGTGCCGGTACTTATACCCTGACCTACATTTACATCTACATTTACATGAGATTGAGTCTTCGTTTACATGCCAGATCGGTCGATTGTCCGGTTATAACCAATTCGTCTGTAAATCGCTTTTTATGCTTTGTTCTAATTTTCAACGTCTTTTCTGTATTCTGTAATGCATAATAGTTCAAGTAACTTTTTATCATACAACGAATTTTTGGAAAATAATTTTTCCTACCACTGAAAATTAGTGACATTAAAATGGCCCTTAATATCAAAAATCGACTTTGACATTATGCAAAAATCAAAACTTTCGCATTTCTTAAAATTGAGAAAAATAACTACAGTTCGCACAGTTCGTTAATGACTGAAACGTGTGTACATAATTTTCAAGGGCAGTAGAGAATTTATCTTTTTTTTACGTCAACGGGACATTGACCTTTTTATCCGTCGTATATCCTCTCGAAACGTAGGTATCAGAAATTAAGAAGAAGATCACGAGATCAGTTTAGTAGAAAGAGTGAGAGGAGAAGAAGGGAAAAACTAAAAAAGAGGGTGGATAATTTGTTCAGTCAGGCATGCAACTCTGAAACATGTAATAAATATACACACAGGGTAAAAATATAATTCTCCTCTTAATTCTGTGTATATATAAATGTCATAGTTTTCATAAGAGAAGAAACTTTTTTTTACAACTCTAATTTCTTATTGAATAATTTCCATAGTATTGAAGATTCCCAAAGCAATTTCATAACAAAAACAAATGAATGAAAAGGCTTTTTTTTCTTGAAAGAAGGTATTCTACAATAAAATTAGAGCAAAGATTTTTGGCAGCCTCTGTAGCAAGGAAAAATTTTCGCTAAATATATTCTAGAAGTACACTGAAAATATTGGCCCACTTTGTACTCATATATTATTAAGTCTACTAACACTTTTGAAAATAAACTCCTCTATATTGTTATATTGAATAATTTTTAATCTCGACAATCATTTAATTTTAGTAACATAAATTTCGTATACTAAAAAGAGAAATACTTTTATAAATTTCTTTAAATAAGAATACTCAATACACAAATCATAAATTCAAATCAAATCTTTAATGAATTGTTTTTTTTGTTTGTTTCAGGTAAGTCTTTGTCTCCCGGATGTATTTCATGGTTGTAATAAATAAGTAAAGCACATATTACTTGAATTGCGATAATTGGCGCGTGAATCAATACTTTCTCGCAAAGGTAAATAATTACTGTTACTATGTAAATTTTAATTTTACTTACCACCAAGCGACGAGTTTGATCTTTCAGCAATTAAATTTGCCTCGTAACGTCTCAATACCACGAGGAAACCTTCTGTAATCTCAATTTGTTTATCAATGTATCGATATATCCTGTTTCTCCGCTTAAATTCAACAATGCATCATGATAATTGAACCAGAAAAATGTTTTACCTTGCAACTTTGGAAACTATTCGAAAACAAAAAATAATAAACAATATAAATTTTTGATCGTATAAAAAGAGGAAGAAATTTTTTTTTTAAATTATGCAGTGTCACCTGTCTTTTTTATTGCATAAGTTGAAAGTCTTGTTCCTTTTCCTTTTTATATGTGTTGTTCTTTAACTTCTCTTACCTCCGTTGTCAATAACACATCCGGTGGATAATGCAACCAGCTGTTGGGCCAAACACAATAACGGTCAAAAAGGATAAAAGGAGAAAAGTAGGAAAAAAAAACTGTTGAATTAAACCAACAATTTTCCGTTCTGATAAGAAATTTGAAAACTAAATATAAATTATTGTACTGAACAATAATTTGCACTAAAATATAAAAATTTCGGTTTGTTCCATTTTTGCGGCTGATATTGGCATTAAGAAATTTTCTTGCTGTCGTAAAATTTCTTAACTTTTACCTGGCCATGTATTTTTGAATCAATAGGGATTCCCTATGGATGCAATGAATTCGACCATAATAATGACCACAAGTCATTATCAACTGTAGATGTAAACTACTATAGATAGGTATTTAATTTAAATTCAAAAATGCTTATTTAATTGATTCTTAATATAGTCTGATTCCAACAAAAGTGTGTTTAAAAAATTTTTTTAACTTTTTTAAAATTAGATTTTGTACGTGTAATCATGAAGCCCTATTTAGTTAAGGTTTCTTTGAATTTAAGAGGTTTCTGTGTTTTAACAAAAGCCACAGTACAATGTTTGTAATTATTTTTCTAATATTATTCAAAAAAGTTTATATAAAACATTACAAATGTACTGGACTTTAACTTTATTTAGAGTTTTAGATGACTATTTAAGAAAGTTTTTGAAGAGAATATTAATTATTATTACTATACATATATATTACAATGTAATTTACACTCCTCATTCTATAATTAGCATAAAATAATTATCAATAATGATGATAGACTCTTCAACTAAAAATAAAGAATTAAAGACCAATTTAAGAATATCTAAATAAATTGCTAGTAATTTCATTTTCAAAACTAATTGACTTTCAGCATTTTTTAAGCAACCTCAAGATAATATAAATAAAACAGAAATTAAAATAAGTTGTTTTTCTTGATTGGGGTACTTTCGTGCCTATGAAAGCGTGATGCCACTTCTCACCTGAAACCAAGAATTCATTTTTCTTTGAAACTTGTATAAAGAAAATAATATTATTATACATATTATTATCATTATTATTTTTTTTTAATTATTACTCTCTCTTTGTATTAAACAAGTTTATATGCAGATTATACAGTAGAAACCAGAAGTTTTTGATTTAAAACAATTTTTTTAATTAAATGATTTTTATTTTATTTTATAATTATTTTATTGCTTCTAAAGTAGTAATTGAAAATATAGTTTAAGATCAAAAAGATCGAATAGTCGAAAACAAACAACTTTTAAGTATAGTACCTAATATAGTGGAGACAATTTATGCCATATATTTATGTGACTAATTTAAATGATAGGTAATTGAGTTTGAGACATAAGATAAGTATTTATAACAGCATACAAGTAATTATTTATCGATTTGTAAATTGCCATTTGCCAATCAGCGATTCAAGTAATAATAATACAATACATTCGTATATTTAATAAAATTTTTCTAATTATTATTATGGATGAAAGTTTCATTAATGTTTTTGATTTTGTTACAGGCAAAAATCTTTACAATAACGAACATGTAGCAATTAAAATGGTAATTTGCACAAAATATTTTTAAAAAATCATTAATTAAATTTAAAATATAGAGAGTTTTAAAAAATAAATTCAAGTAATTAAAGCACTTGATCGAGAGAGAAAAATAATGTTTTGAAATATTTTCCAGGAACCAATGAAGGCAAAAGCGCCACAACTTCATTTAGAATATAGGTTTTACAAAGTATTAGGTGCTCATGGTAAGTTGATTTTATTAATATACTTTTTTTCATATGACGTATGGTACGTCAGTGCAGTGCGTTTTTTTAACCCCGAGAACTAAGAATAAGGACTTGACACTGTCCAGGGGGCCTCCGAAAAGTTTTGTCTTATTACCCTCTTCTCGCACTGACGTACGATAATTTGGCAAATTTGTTTGATATTTTTTTTTGATTTTACGACTGTCCTGATTAAAACATGATTCGATTATGCAAGTTTGAATTAATTGGTTAATTTTCAAGTTGAATTTTACTTGTCAAGAATGACAAGTTTATTTACGAGTAATTATCCCTGCGCACCAAAGCATGATTTTTGGGAAATGGGATAAATATTTTTTACCTTATATTCATGCAGTTTATAACGCGCATATAGAAGGAGTCCCGGAGGTATATTATTTCGGTCCATGTGGGAAATTCAACGCGTTGGTAATGGAACTTCTTGGTCCCAGTTTGGAAGATCTCTTTGACCTCTGTGGAAGAAGATTTACACTGAAAACCGTTCTTAGCATTGCCACACAACTTGTAAGTATAGTGGCAAATTCATCATCTTTTACTTTCCCTTTCAACAATCTTTTTCAACAATAATTATTATAACCTATTGTTCTGGAAATTTGATTTCAGCTCCATAGGATAGAATACGTACACAGTCGACATCTAATTTATCGTGATGTGAAACCGGAGAATTTTCTAATAGGACGAAGTACAACAAAACGAGAAAAAATTATACATATTATTGATTTTGGATTGGCCAAAGAGTACATAGACTTGGAAACAAATAAGCATATACCTTACCGGGAACACAAGAGTTTGACTGGAACAGCGCGATATATGAGTATCAATACTCATTTAGGAAAAGGTATGGTTTCTATTTTTATTTTGAGAAAATAATATTAAAACTTTACAGTAAACTTTATAGTTTACAAGAAAAATTAAATAAATTTGAATTTTCAGAACAAAGTAGAAGAGACGACTTGGAGGCTTTAGGCCACATGTTCATGTACTTCCTGAGAGGAAGTTTACCTTGGCAGGGATTGAAAGCGGACACATTGAAGGAGCGGTATCAGAAGATAGGAGATACCAAACGAGCAACTCCCATTGAAGTACTTTGCGATGGGCATCCCGAAGAGATGGCCACGTACCTTCGCTACGTCCGGAGGCTCGACTTTTTTGAAACACCCGATTATGAGTACCTGAGAAAACTCTTTCAAGATCTCTACGAAAGGAGAGGCTTTGCCAACGATGGGGAATTCGACTGGACTGGCAAAAGCATGGTGGGTTTCAAATGAAAATTCAAATCACAAGCATGTGCATGTAAAGGGAATGATAATATTTACTTTTTTTGCAAATTTAATCCGACTTGCTACTTATTTCACTTTTTTTTATTCAGATTTAAGAAAAAAATTATTACAGTTCACAATTTTTCTTCCGCATGTAATGTTAATTAAAAGAAAATTCGAATTCGAATGAAAATTCAAAGTGTAGAGAATAATGTTGATTTTCAAGGTCTCGCCCTTTTCAGTAAGTATGCATTGAAATTTAAACACTTATTAGATGACTGGTTTTTAAAATTTGCACGCTGCATTGAAACTATTCTCTAGCCACCTAACTTCTTTCAACTCAGACAACTCAGGGAGTGTGCTCCGTCTAATATTGAAAAGACCAAATCTGATAAGGTTCGTAAATATCAAGCCTTGTCTTTGTTTCCACAATTCTTATTCTTCTAAACTCCAATTATTTTTAAGCAAAATCTTTTAACAAATTATCAACAAAAAAATGTCTGCATAGTTCAACTTAGCTAAATGGTAATTGTTAAATTTAGCTAATAAATAAAAATAGGTAATTTTTATTTATATTTTTAAAAAGTGGACAAATTGTGTCGACAAATTATTTTTATGGATATACAATTGTAACTGACGGCTATTAAGCAATTGAAAACATTCAATTCCTTTTAATAATGAAATAAAATATTTGTTTCAGTCAACACCAGTTGGATCACTGCAAACAGGACATGAAATTGTTGTATCGCCGAATCGAGATCGACATCCAACCACTTACAAGGTATTAATTAAATATTTTATTATGTAAGCATGATTGTCTGTAGCACACAATTTTATTAATCAAGTAACAGCATGAATTTGTACTTGGCTGTATGAATGACATCCATAAAGTGGAATTTCAGTCTTTGATATTTTATTCTTCTCATAACCAATTTATTATACCTATAATTCAAGAAATTAAAGAAAATAATTCTTGGTGACTTAAAAGCTTGCTTAAAAGTAAAGTACAAGTTCAATTTGAATCAGTTAAAAATAACTGATAATAGTTCAATTTTGGCATTTTTTTCGTTCTCAAGTTAGAGAAAAAGAATCGATTTGACAATAAAAAGCAAATTGTTAGTAAAAAACAAAAAATTTGTTAAATTTGACTTAATTGAATTAATAAAAATTTTCTGAAATTGTTATTAGTAACTAAATAAGTAGAAATATAAATATTTCAATTACTGACTGACTTTTTTCTTCTAAATTGGTTTTTTAATTTTAATTTTGATTTTAATTTTTTAATTTTTAACTAATTTAAATTTGGAGAATTTTACTATTTGCATGAATCGGCTGAACTTGAACAAATAATTCATGCACTTAAAGTCGCTATGTTTCAATTTTTTTTTAATTGGCTAAGATTCAACTATTTTGTAAATTAAATGGATTTTTTTAAAATTTATTTTTTAAGTTTACCCAAAACTAAAAAATATCCACTTTATAGATATGAATATTGCACAATTATAAATTTCTTTAGATAAAAGAATGAAAGTAAAAATAAACATAATTATAAAGATTCTTGTGTGAGTAGAGGTTTTTTTTATTTTCTTACTTTTTTTGATAAACTAATGAATGCCTATGAGTTTCTTTAATTTGAAAGCCGCGACTAAAAAGAGTTAAAATTTGATAGTAAATACAACCCGAAAGTTGACTATTTTATTAATACGTAGGACAGTGATGATTTTGAAGAAGAGGTAGTTCTTATGGTGGGCGAGGTCGATGTACGCGTTGATCGGCAAGGCATTAATTATGTGAGCTCATTCTTGGGGATATTGTAGAATTTTTTTTCAATACAGAAAATTGATTGTGATTAATTTAAATTATTGATCAAAATCCAATTAAGCGCCTCTTATAAATTATTGAATTTAAATTTGTATCGTGCCTTTATTAGTTAGGATTTTAATAATAGCTTTTTAAACATTAGATTTTTAAAGTAATATACTCGTCAGTAAAGGGCAATTTTATTTTTCAACTTTGTTCTTAAAATCTATCACGTAGCTTTTACACCCTTATCTATTGCTAGTGTTAATAATTATAGATAAAATTCTAAAAAGTTGTTAACAGTTGAGTAAGGTAAAGTTGTCCATTTCTGTCACTTGAGTTGAAAAGTGTTGAATAAGACTGAGACATATTTTGTAAATTTCAATTTTACGATTTAAATTTTTTGAATTAAAAATAAATGGGCTATGGTAATTGAAAAGCTTAGTAAGAAGCAAATTGCACAAAAATACGCAGAATTACTTTCTACATATTTACAGGGTTGCCACAAAAAATTAATTTTATCAAATTTTTCAAAAGAATTCAATTATTTAAAAAAATGTAATAAAATTCGTTGCAGAATTCAATTATATTCATAAATAATAAAAATTCGTTGCAAGAATTGAATTATTTTCATAAATAATAAGACTCTTTACAGGATTACAATAAATTATTTTTAATAGGGGAACATAGTCTAGGTCGGCCACCTTTTTGACTTTTGTTTATAACTTTTTTTTAAAAATGAATTTGGACAATTGAAGTATATGGTTGGAAAGTCCTGTTTAATAGGAACATTTTTTCTGTACAAAGTAAATTGACAGGTTTAAAAATGAAAAAGTTATAAAGATTTAAAAAAAAAAAAATTTGTAGTCCAGGTTGGCCATTACAGTCAAGGTCGGCCATGTTTAAAATTCAAAGGGCATTAATCGTTAAAAAATAAAATAACATGTTTGGAGTTACGGAAAATTCATTCTTTATTGTTTACAGTTTGTAACTTAATGAAATAACAAAATAATAACAATAAACAATATAAAAAAATAAATATAAATAAAAAAAAGTTTTGCACTAAAATATTAATAAAATTAAATAAAAATATTAATAAGATGATCAATTATAATATGAGTTATTCAGAATTGCAGTTTTTGCAAATGAAGTAGCTCGTCGTCATCTTTGCGCATTTTAAACACATAGTGGCCGACCTTGACAGTAAGTAACATTACCGAATTGTTGTAACCGTAAAGAAATACGTTTCGGGATTCGATTTTTTACTTTGTTTTCCTTTCAACCATGAGTCCCACAAATTTTCTGCATACTTGCCTTGACGATTCAATTTGTTTTTTATCTTTTATTAATGGTTTTTCACATTATGCACAAAACTTTTTTTGAGCTTTTTTTGTACCGACGTCACAGAAAACACAATTTTCGATTTTCCGAAAATGTAATTGAACAAAAAGTTAGGTTTCACTAAGACAAGCTTCGACAAAAATGCGCGTAGGTGGCGCTAGTGAACTTGACAAAAAAACGCGAGTGGCCTACCTAGACAGTAGGCCAACCTTGACTACATTCCCCTACAATTTTAAGTAAATTCTTCGAGAAATGTAATAATTTTTAACCATTTTTATTAAAATTCTTCGAAAGAAATCAATAAATTATCAGTTATCAATTATTTTTTATAATTATTCTTGAGAATTTTGCAATCCAATCAGTTTTTATTAGAAAATTCTACTAGAATTCAATTCTTTAAATATAAAAATAAATAATTTATTAATTGAATGTTTCTTAAAATTGAATGCTCGTAAAGAATTTTACCAAATCAATTTTTAAGTGAATTCTTTCGACGAATTTTAACAAAATTTTAAAGAAATAATTACATTTTTCAAGAAATTTGTTTAAAATTGTATTCAAAATAATTGAAATTCTGCAAAAAAGTTTTATTATTTGTGAAAATAATTGAATCCCTAAGAAGAATTTTATTATTTTTGAACATAATTAAATTATTGTGAAGAAATTTTTGAAAAATTTGTAAATAACTAAAATTCCTGGGAAATTTTTATTATTTATGAAAAGAATTTAATGTTTGCTTAGAAGTTTATCAAATTTTTTTTTTAAATAATTGAATTCTTTGGAAAAATGTTATTAAATTAGATATTGAAAATTTTTGAAAATAGTTGAATAGTTGTCAAGAATTTTATTAATTTTAAAGATATACTGAAATTTGGACGAGAGTTTTTTTTTTTAATTTTGGAACATGATTGAATTTCTGCGAAGAATTTTATTAGTTTTGAACATAATTGAATTCCTGCGAAGAATTAATTTTATTACTTTTGAAAATAATTGATTTTCTGCAATCATTTGTAACTTCTCCAAAATTCAATTTTTTCCGCAGTACTTTTAATAAAAATCCCTGACTTTTCCCTGATTTACCTGACCAATTCTACTTTCCCTGACTTTTTCCAGAATTCCCTGATTTCCTTGACCCGTGGCAACCCTGATTGAGTATTTCTTTTAATAACTAATTTTCTATTACTGCTGAATAGTGATTAAAAGTGTAATAAATGAAAAAAAGCCGGTTAATTAATGCCAGTTAGAAAATGTGTTTGAGAGAAAGAAAACTGTAGGCTAAAAAAAATAACTGTTTGATTTTCGACTTTCTGTAATGTTTTTCATTTTACAATGCATCGACTAACATATTGCATTCGCGACGTTGTTCCTCTAGGACATGGCAAGTGGAGGGGTGGGAGGCGGGGGCGTTAAAGGGGTGGGACCCACGTGGTCTGATACAGCGAAGCAATCAGGGGCTGGTGGCACATTGACACCCGCCGACAGGCATGGTTCCGTACAGGTGAGTTTGTCCCTTTTCCTTCTTTCTCCTAAGTTCCACCTTCAAGCTTTTCTTCTTTACCTGTACTATCAACGAATTAACGAACTAATCAAGTCGACTGAGACCGCGCGAAGTGCCAATGTGCCCGGAAATAAATTTTTTCTCATTTTCTTCTTTTTAGCTAAAGCATCAACGGAATATGGTTAGTTCAATATCTGTGAGGATTGGTTTGTTGCAGCATGTTGTATTTTGCGTTTTTTTGGTCAATTTGCTGAAAAATCGTTGAACACTAATCTTGATTCCTATTTACGTCATTTGTGCAGCGAGCACAAAATATTCTCTTAAACGTTAGTGTCAAGTTGTAAAGTCAGAGTTACCAAGTTTTTGTCAATTCAAATACTTAGTTTCCATTTAGAGTCTATTCCCCAGTTTTATTTTTAATGTATTACATGTTCCTGTATAGATTTATACCTCTAACCTCTTACTTTTCTCTCTCTCTTTCTCTCTTTCTCTATTTCTCTATTTCTCTCTTGCGATATTTATTTTGCAATTTAAAGACTTTATAGTAGTTTAAATTAAAACGCGTAGTTTTGAGAATATTTGTAAAAATCAGAATTAATATTTTAAATGGTTCACGTTGTACATATTAGTTTTACCTAGTTACTTGATTGTATGCTGAAGGAAATGCAAAAGAAATTAAACATTATTTTCTTTCTAATTAAGGTGGTTTCTTCAACCAATGGAGAAATAGGAAACGATGATCCAACTGCAGGACATTCGAATACACCAATTACAACACCTCAGGAAGTCGAAATGATTGATGAGACCAAGTTAGTATTGAATTTTAACTCCGAAAAATATTCACTTGATTTCTTATTTTTCTTCTTTTCATTACATTACCTTTCTTCCTTTATCAAATACCTAAGAGGAATTTTGCAATTTATTTTAAATTTATCTAATTTTCAGTTCTAGTAATGCTCCAGTTATGATGACAAAAGTTTGCCTCAAATGCAAAAGGAAACGCATTTATAATTTACACAGTTCTTCTTCGAAAAAACCTAAACTTATTTCAAATCTTCAATCGATATCACAGTATAATATAACAATGAGAGAATTTTTGATAAATCGTGATTATATTCGTGATTAAATTTTCCTTGAAGGACGAATGTTCTTAGGAAATTTTGCAAAAATTTATTTACGTGTCAAAAATTGAAGAGAAATATTCAATTTTTAATTTAAAGAAACATGTTTTTAAAAAATACTGTTTCGATATAGTTTTTGAATTTAGTATCTTAAATTCTTAGTTTATTTTCAAAGAAATTTTTTTTTATTTTATTACAAATTACAAGTTATTTGTTATTTAAATTTTGTTTCATTACCGAATTCTGTTTTTCTTTGACTAAGAATATGTGTATTAGGACTTAGTTAATTTACAATGTTCACGATGTCATTGAATACCATTAAAGTTCTTTAAACCCAAAACCTGTTTCCAATTCATACTAATCCTTACTACTTATGTATTTTTAAAGATTCTCCAATAATCATTACACTCTTTTTCACTATTTTTTTTCTTTTTCACAATTTTTTATTTTAATTTGCAAACCTATTTCTTGCAAACTATTTTTCAAAAGTAAATTCTTTAAACGATTTATTTTATTTAAATTTTGAAAAAGTGTACTCTATGAGAATAAAAGTTTCATATTATGAATTGATTTTAACTTGAAAATATTTTTTGAAATAGAAATAAACTAAAGTATTTTTTGAAAGAAACAAGTTGACTTAGTGTTTGTTTGACTTGCAGATGTTGCTGTTTCTTTAAAAGAAAGAAGAAGAAAAGTGGAAGACAGAAATGACTGTCAGTATCGGTCAGGCTCGGGGGGGTAGTACCAAATGCAGTTATTAGTGCTGGGGGGAATGGAGGAAGAATGGGAGGACATACTGGAAAACTTGGGGGTCGAGGAAGAGAAAATAGTGGTGATCTTGAGCGAGAAGCTGTTACATTGTTACGAGCCAGCAGTCATTCAGCGTCTCGTGATTCTGTGCTTCATACGACCATCACTATGACTCCTACACCTACACCACCGCCGTTGTCAAACTAAAAACCGCACAGCCATTGTTATTATTATCGCTATGAAATCACTATTACTGATATGATGCTATTACCATTATTCAATCATTATTCAATCATTATTGAATCAATGCCACCAAATGTCGTCATCCACATCACCGAATTCTAGTGTTTCTTTTTCGAACATTTTGCCGAGAGTAGTTTAGTAGCCACTTGAAATCTGATATTGGTATTGTTTCATTTTCTAAATTATAGTTCAACATTTCTTAATTTTATACAAACTTCTTTACTCGAGAACAGTAACAGCTGTTAGATTTTAACTTTTGCAAATCTATTACCTACTCTGTAATATTTCCAATCAATCTGAGTTCTATATTTATTTTCAAATCGCAATTTCTCAAAAAAATTCAAATATTTTTATTTAATTTAGATAATAAATATTACATTCATTATATGAATTTTTGAAAAACTTATATCTTGTACATTTTTTGTTGTAAAATTGTGTACAAAATATTTTTTTTAAAAGTGCAAATCCTGTACTTTTATGAAAAAAAAAGAAAGTAGTAAAACAATCTAAATTCAATAGTACTAATCTACTCACGGACACAAAACAAAAACTAGTATTCAAAGTCTATGTACTTATAGCAATCCTTGCGAAAGAATTTTTTTTTACTATTAATTTGTCCATTTGTGCTTTAGTGAAAAATAGAAGTACGATTACCTGAAACGGAAGTAATCGTAGGATCAAAGTAATATTGTGGTTTTAAAGTATAATGCTTAGTGAACCAGGTAAAATTTGAAATGTAATTCCTCTAGTGTTTAAAAGACCGCAAATTTATACGATTATAAATGAAGAAAAAAAAATGTTTTTTTTCTCTTTTTTAAACTAAACGTGGCTTGATGAAAAGAGAAGAATTTCTTTCCTTCTTATCACTGATAAAAGTTTTCTTCCATTTTCCCTTTTGATCATGCCAGAGAAGAAAGATAAAAAAATAAAGTAGCGCACTTGGTTTCAATTCGTCCAGTATGCAAGAGCGAAGCAAGCGTAATAATTTTAAGTTAATCATACACATGAACGTGCGAAAATACGAAACGATAATTATAAGTACCTACAAAAACGATTTCGTTAATTTTCTCACATTTATTATATTGCGAAGAATTTAAAGCTCGCATGAAATTTCTTAAGCTCTGAATGACTATGCGAACAAATTTTTAAAAAAAACCTTTTAATATAATATGACTGACTGTTGGTTAAGTATGGTTGTGAATTTTCCAATTAAAAAGTATTTCAGCTCTTTCTTAATACGGCCCTTGTGTGTGCCTCAATGATGGAATTATTATATTTATAGAGTAACCAATTTAAAAAACAAAAAAAAGTAAAAACACATACATTGTTCATATGTATATTTGTTAATTTTGTCTTCATACACATTTGATACTTGTGTTTACAAGTTTTTTTGCTTTCGTCAATTCGCTAATGAATTTAAGATCTTTACAAGATTTAATAGAAATTTTTATTTTTTAACACTCGTAGCGAGCAGGCCTTGGAATTGAAAGAAATGTTACTTTCTAATTTTTAGCCCCATGTAAATCGTTAAAATGATTAAAACCGAATTTGTATTACTTTCTCATTGGGAAATTCGAATTATAAAATAGTAATTTTATCGTTAATTACATAATACTTTTTATTGAGATAATTTTAAAAATATGTTTAATTGCATCATTTATTTGGTCGAAACTGAGTGAGAGGAATGCATATATAGACGATGCGAAACTGACATTTATCAGATATGTAGGAGTAGAAAATGGATTACCTAAATTTTTAGCTTCTTTTTTGGAAGCTGAGAAACTTACACTCTAATAGCAGCATTGATTTTGAATCAAATATTTTTCATTTTTCATTCTCTCCATCCAAGCAAATTTGAAATGTGAACCGAAAAAGAAGGAAAATAATTTTAACCAAAGTACCGAAAGTCAAGTAATTTTGTTTTCTATTTGTTCTTTTCGTTGAATTAAAAGTTTAAAGATTTTGATAGACTATCGATAAATTTCGCAGCTTAAAGAGAGTTATTAAAGGAATTGGCAGCTTGGGTTTGTAAATAATAATTAACTTCCTGAATAAGATGCGATGCAAAGTTAGAGAAAATTAAACAAAGTGTATTAGCTTTGATTTACATACATACCTAATTTTAATAATAATAGATTTAAGAATAATGACGATTAATAAACTATTACCACTACGACGATTATTAGTCATTCGAATGCAATGAATTTAATACTTACACACTATAGGTAAGCGATGCGTCTTGACTGTTGACTAAGATACCTTCAATTATGTCAGTTATCTATTATATTGTCTAAAATTGTCTGCGATCAATTTTTTCAAATTTAATACTCATTAATATAGTAGAAAATAATTAAATTGCAATTGCACGTTACATATTTTCTTTTATAATTCAATTATTAACAGTGTAGATAGTAAAACAAAACTAAAAATCAGTGAAATAAAATTTCAAAAATATTTCGTTAACCATTCTCAAACTTTGTCATAAACAAACAAAAATGAGAAAATAACAATTTTTTTCAAATTATGTATAAGACAAGTTTAAATAATAATGTTACTAAAAAATTTGTTTGTTTCAATTTTGACATATTTGTTAATTCTAAATTGTAAATAAGAAAACACGGTACATTTTAACAAAGAAATTTCTATTTCACTGACTGTCTAATGATTCTGTATCCTGCTAATGTTAATAATTAAATTGTTATAAAAGAGACAATTTTAGACAATGAAATACAAAATAACTTAAATATTTAGTAAAATTTTTCTCCTCATTTATAGGAGTTACGTTCGTTCCGTTCCAATAATTATCTCCGGAGAAAGAATAATGTGCGAACTTTATTTTTGTGCAAAAATTTATTTACAATTCATTTAGAATTGTTGTTCAGTGTTTGACATTTTAAAAAGAGAATGACTTTTGGGATATTATTGGAATTGACGACGTGCATTTTTTGATAACCTAATTTATAGATTGCTTTAAGACTAAATAATAATTATTATCTATTCTAGTTTTTTTTTTTTTTGTGTACATAATGAAATTGTTTGAGTAAGATTCATTGTCGATCAGTTCTGACATTTAATAAGAGCTTTTGCATTAAGCTCTTTTCATTTACTCTACATACATGTAAACTGTGATTGGTCTTAATTTTTAATTCGTAATAATCAACTGTATCATTAATTTGTTATTTAAGGATCAACTCCAAGTGAGTTTATCGGATGCGACGCTCTGGCAGAAAGAAAAACACGGACTGCGCGGATGCTTATTCCTTGTAAATATTGTCATTTGTGTCACGCGCTTAGAAGTAAAAAAAAAATCGTTATGAAGTACTCTGTGTTTTTGTTTGCAACATAGATCTCAGAGATTCCTCTCGTTGCTTTCAAAAGTAATAATTAAATATAATTTATATTACTCTCATGATTCTTTTAAAATGAAACCTTTTTTTACATATTAACTAATATTAGCCAGACCAAGTCAATGAATAAAGTTTAATTTTCCTTAAAATAACGTAAATTTTTTAATTTTCTTTACGGAATGGAAAACATTTTGTTTTTAATATTTTTTTTATTAAAAAAACAATTTTTTACATATTAAAAATAGCTTTGTACAAATATTCCATTTTTAATTTTATTCAATTAATAGCCACTCTTTTAGATTGTACATCAATTCCTGCTATTATATCTTTTCCAAGAATATACAAGTTTTCTATCATCGTTGAAAAATCAAAAACGAATTGTCCTTTAGAATTCAATTTTCGGAAATGAAAATTCGCAACTTTACTTTCTTCACGAGGTTCTAAAATTGTTGGTTTCAAGAGAACTGCGATTACCTTTCCGCCGTAAGTGTCATGGAAGAATAAAGCGAATTCACTATAATTTGACTGAAAGTAAACAATTATTTTATTTGACAAAATATAAACTTTTTTTGTTTTTAAATATCTTCAACTTACCCTAAGTTCCTTCAAGTACAATTCAATTGGATTAAAATCAACAACCGGTATGTTTTGTTTTTGATGCTTCTTATAAGACCGACATTCGAGAGTAACTTCTTTTTCGTCAATTTCAATTGCTTCAAATCTTCGAGGATTGTAGACTGACTTGAGATGTATTAGACAATCATACTCACTCAATGGAGTTTTAAAAATTCCTCTATAATTTAACGTTGAATTGAGAATTTGACTTTCCAACAATTTTAAAGCTTCCACTGCCATTAAATTAACTCGATTCAGTATTAAAATATTTGGTGCTGTTTTTGTCCAAAGAGAACTTTGATGATCATATGGCGTCGAAATAAATAAGAGTGGTAAAGTTTCTCGAGAAATTCGAAAGTCATTTTCAATTGTTATAATTTGTTCGCCTGAAATATAAATAATGAAAATAGAATTTTGAAACACTAATTAATGGCGATAGATCGAGAGAAACACTTACGAGTCATTTCATTATTAAAATTAACAATAATGGGATCAGTAGTCCAATGGGATCGAGCAAATAATTCCAGTAATCTAAAGAACGCAACTTGAGGCACTTGAGCTGATTTATAAGGGTCTGGTGTCAAATAAATTGAAGCCACAAGTAATTCTACTACAATATCAGGAAAATGTGAATCGTCTATTAATTGAGAGGATAACCAACGTTTGGCCAAACAACAAGCAGGTCCAAAAGAAGGTTGCTGACAGTGTAATCTGAAAAATTTAATTCATTAGTAACAGATTAATAACAATAATAATCGTCTATTATTACGGAATTGAATTAAAAATGATGAAACAAATTTTAAACATACCCATGTAAAGCACCATTCAATGTTGGCAGATGGAATAATCTTCTTTCGAGGTCAGTTGATTCTTCAGTATCTCTGTATTTAATTATTCCGTCTTCTCCAATTTGTTGTTTCATGAGAGCTATTTCTTTTTGGCTAGCTATTCTTAGACGGAATAAAAATCCATCCTAAAACAGAATTATCATCTTTAATAACTTATTTCTTAGGAGAATAATTCTAAAAATGAATGCCATTCATAATTTTGATTTTAAACAAAAGGGTAAGAAAAATACTCACTTTAAAAACGTCTGTGTAATTAAGACTTCCCTGGGCAATCAAATTATATTGTTTTCTAAGACATTCGGCAATTTGAATTTGAAAAGCACCTTTCGTACATCGAATTGCTTCTAGTTCGTCGGGCCATTTTCCACTTGTCAATAACTGAATGCTGACTTCGATAGGTTGAATATAAAGAGGAACTTTTTTCAAATTCTTTTCTTTGAGCAATTTGTATTTTTCATCTTTGCCTAAAGAATTCATTTCTTTGCCGATGCTGTTTGCCATTGGAGGAAATACTTCTGTGTATCGTAGAACTGCACTTGAGCCACTTATACCAGTTATTGAAAGAGGCATATCCGTAAGGGAGGTCAATTCTTTCTCTAAAGAGTTGAAAACTTGAATCACTCTCAGTGAAGCCTCTTCTCCTGTACCATAATCAAAATCTGTCTTTATCTGTTGAGAAAAATTAAAATGTAATAAAACGCTTTTATTAGAAGATTTTAAATTTTGTTATTCGATTCGTAATTGTAATGAATACCTTTTTTAGTTTTAAAAGATTTTCCAACTGACTGCCAAGATAGAAAAATTCACTTCTAGGAAGGGATAACTTTTTTTGAAAGAGAAAGAAAATTATTTTCTGAGTTAAACATCTCTTCTCCTCTATAGTTTTTCCTTGGCCCCAGACAACAACTTCATGAATTGAACCATCATTGAAACGATGCAACTCTGATTTCGCTCCCCAAAATTTTCGAAAATCTGCAGCCTACTCAAAGAAAATGTGCAATTGTAGTCAAATTCGTTAAAAACAAATTATTTAATTCTTGTACTTTATACTTAACTTTGATGAGTTGCCTTCTGGACCTTTTGTAATTACATCAAAAAAATGATCTGGATTAAAATTTAATCCAATAAAGATTTTTTCCAAATGTTCTGGAAAATCGTCAGTTATTTCCCACTCTTTAAATTGTTCCGGCGTCACGAATATGTTCAACAACCTTTCACCTAAACCTTCTTTTAGAGTGCTAACGATTGATTTAACACAACTGTGATATTCATTTGGTCCAAAATTAAGTTTATCTTCCTTGGTAGACAATTTGTAGACAGCCTTTAATGCTTCAGTGCCATGAATACTAAAATTATTCATTATTTATTAAACTTAAGATATAAACTAAATATTATTAAACTAAATAATTAGGAATACAGTATTTACCAAATGACATTATCAAAAGTCCGATATAGAGGTACTTTTCTCATAAAAAGGATTTGAAAGCTGTCGACTTGTCCATTGTCTAAAGATGATATAGAAGTTGCTGCTAAATTCTGAATCCAGGAAAACATTTCTTTGGAGATACTTGCAGCAATGTTGTGATATCCCGACGAGTCTAAGAAAACACTATCATAGTATTTTCGAAACTCGGTTATTCGTTCAAGACCCTCTTTCTGTTCGCATAACGATATTCCATTTTCACTCCAATTACTTTGAGCTATAAAAGTATTTAATAGTTAAAAAACATTTTAATGAACTGATATTAAAATTTTGTCAACAATTTTCATCACTTACCTAAATTATTCCAAACATTTCTTATAATTTGATAGCTGCTCATAAAAGTATTGAGTTTTTTCGTACGTAATAAATATATTACGTACATGGTAATAATGTAGCCAGTAAAAGCATTGTATCCTTTAATTAATTCACGCTGGCAAAGCCATATTTTTAAAAGAATTATTCCATCTCGAATATTTGGATATTCTTTAATCAACTTTTTACTTTCCTCATTTGTCTTTAACATTATTAAACTCCGAAGAACACTTGAATTATAATGTGGTGTTGCAGTTAGTGATTCTGTAAAAGAGCAAAAAAAATCTTATTTTAGAAAAAGAGAACAGATTCAAATATTTTAAAAGAAAAAAATTGTAGAAAAAATTCACCTTCATTTGATTCAGTTTCGAAATACCACCCTGGTCTTATATTATTTCTATCGGGTAGAAAACGACTAAATTTAAAACTATTTTCTTGTGCCGCAATATGAATGAAAATTGTACATTTTTTGCCAAGTTTACCATCCGGAACAATTTTTAAAACCACATTTTCATTATTACCAATGTAAGATTTTTGACCAACAATTTTCTCATTTATACTCGAGGCTATGTAAGCTAAATACAGCCTTTGCTTCCTCAAGAACCTAAAATTTTGATAATCTCCTTTTTGAAATGAGTTTGCTGACATTTCGATGGCAATATCAATAATTGCATTTGTATTAATGTTGGTTTCGAAAGCATAAGAGCCGATGACATTTATGCTTGTTGGTTTTAAAAATTTAAAAGTGCCCTTTTCTTCTTTTGGTAAATTGGATATTGGGATATTAACATCGAGTTTCTTCAATAAAGTTTTATCATTTAACTAAAAATAATATTTATAATTAATAATATTTATAAAATAATTAATCTTTATCTAAACAAACAATTGCTCGTTTTACAATTTTTATAATTTAAAAAAATGAAGTTACTTCTTTAAACAAGTCACATACCTTATATTCTTTAGTCTCTTTAATTGAATTAATACATTCTTTTAATGTAGAAAACCAAGAATTAAAAAGTTTTTTATATTTCTCCGCGAGTTTCACTTCATTAAGAATTTCTTCGATTTGAAGACGAAATAAATTAGAGTGGTATAAATTTTCAGTTTCTCTTAGCTGATTCAGTTCATCCGCCGTTGGAGGTTTGTATAAATCCTTATCTATTTTATTCTTCTTTTTAGGAACTGCATCATTTTCATCCTCAGACAAGGGTCTTTTATTTGCAATTGATTCCTTTTCGGACAAATCCCAATCAATTCCGCCATCAGAATTGTCACTTTTCATTTTCAATTTCTCTGGTTTCTTCTTATGTCCACTTTTTATATTCTTCATCTAATTTTCAACCAAAAAATTTCTTTATTATTTATTAACATAATTATATACAAATAAATTAAATTAAAATGGTAAATTATTGAAATGTTAAAGTTATTCATAAAATATAATTTTAAGAATATTAAGAGTTTATGAACCCAATAATTTTTATTCTATTGAAATATAAAAACTATAAAAATAATTGTTGTTCTTTTATTGTGCTATTTTTAAGGTTAGGTTATTATAAACAAACAAAACAATTATACAAATTATTTACATTAAAATATAATTTATCATAAATGACTGTTCATTAACGTATATTTACTTAAATTTATTAATATAGTAAAACTAACATTTAACTTACCTTATTATCAGAAAATTATTAAAAAACTTAAATTAAAAATACAACCACGTGCATTGCTCAAGATAATATTTGTCTATTGTGTACTCAACCTGAAAGTGATGATAATGGTGCGTTTACAATAAGTAAAAGGCAAGTTGAAAATCGACTTGAAAGTAAGGGTTGTGTCCACAATAGACAAATATTTTTTAAGCACTCATCTGTAAAGGTGTTTCTACAATAGCTTGCAAATACATTTTTTATGTTTGATTTAAAGTAAATTCATATTCTGCATTAAAATTTATAATAATTTACTCAGAATTTACTGATTTAAAGTAAAGCAGAATTTCATGAGAGTGAAAAAGATAGTAATTATGGATTCAGCTTTATATTAAAGGTATCTCAGCTTCCTGCGCAGGCAGCAGCAAGTTGTGCAAGTACCTTTAACCTTTCTTGACCTTCCCAACCCTGTATATGACGCAGGCGCATATAAGCAGTAGCTACTTTTGCGCGGGAAAGGAAGGAAATCGTACATCTTGTAAACGAAGAGTTACTACTAACTCGTATAAACTGTAATATTTCGAAAGAAAACAAAATGTCAAGTCCTATGAGACCACCGCCTACACCGAGTAGATCTGATGTTAGGACTCCTCGACGAGCACAAAGATCACCAACAACCCCGTCTTCAGTCAACAGAAATCAAAATGGGAACGTTACTCCTTCCAAGCCAGGTTAGAAAACATTTCCCTTGTTTAGATTTCTATATAAAAAAACTTATTTTTCTGATTTTTCACATTTCAATATCAATCATATTAATTTAATTAATTCAATATTAATTGTAATAGTTTCCAAGATAACACAAGCAATAAATGTTAAACAAAATATTTGTTAAATATTTAAATTATTTGTCAAAACATTAATGTTTATAATGATTTATTTTTTATTTTTATTTATTTGAATGAATGGAATGAAAAGTTTGATGTTAGGTATTTCCAAAACAATGAAATTCATATTTAAATTAAGAATGCATGAAAATGTACACTTTTAAAAAGTGTACTCTTAAATGCAATTAAATTTGTTAAAAGAGTAATATTTAAAGGAAAATTAGATTGCATTGCTAATGTTGATTAAATTTTAGGTCCAAGTAACAACTCCGTGGACACTCCTCTTCGATATGGGAATCGTAAAGCACCAGGAACGGTGGCAGAGTCATCAGAGGGACAGTCTGTGCCGGCATCCTCGCCAAACAGACTTTTACAAACGAGTCCTATTGCCGGAGGAATGAGTGAAATTGATCTCTCATCTCCTTTGAATTATGGAACTCCAAGTTCTCTCGGTTCTATTCGAACTCCCCGAAGTGGAATACGAGGAACTCCTATCAGACAAAGACCGGATATTAGAACTGACAAACGCTTGAGACAAGTGAATGTTGATGAGCCAGTAAGTTGAACAAGAATTAAAAGTACATATTTTTTACATTTTGAAATAATTATATTATTATTAGATTCCAGAGGAAGCGGTTGCAGGAACTTCCGAGAGTGAAAACGCAGGTCCACAACTAGTAATCTGGGGAACGAACGTCGTTGTAAGTCGAGTGAAAGAACAATTCAAAAGATTCGTTACTCGTTTTATTGATCCAGATGCAGAAAATGATGAATTGCCAGAAACGTTGAATTTATCAGAACCTCTGTACTTGCAAAAGCTGAATGAAATTCATACTCTTGAAGATCCTTATTTGAACGTGAATTGTGCACACATTGAAGGCTTCGATGGACAATTGTACGCTCAACTGGTTCGTTATCCTCAGGAAGTGATTCCTGCCCTGGATATGGCAGTGAATGAAATGTTTTTCGAAAAATATCCAGCTGCCGTTCTCGATCATCAGATTCAAGTTCGACCATTCAATGTATCTAAGACTAAGAATATGCGCATGTTGAATCCAGAAGACGTAGATCAATTAATCACAATTTCTGGAATGGTTATCCGAACATCAAACGTTATTCCCGAGATGAGAGAAGCTTTCTTCAAGTGCATCATTTGCTCATTTACAACATTGGTCGAAGTTGATAGGGGTCGTATTGCAGAACCCACAGTTTGCACACATTGCAATAATAATTTTTGCTTCAATTTAGTTCACAATCGGAGTCATTTTTCGGATAAACAAATGATTAAATTGCAAGAGTCGCCCGATGATATGCCTGCTGGTCAAACTCCACACACTGTTTCTCTGTTCGCTCATAATGATATGGTGGATCAAGTTTCTCCTGGAGATCGTGTTGCAATCACTGGCATTTATCGTGGAGTGCCAATGCAAGTTGTTCCAAGGCAATCTAACGTTCGTTCCGTTCTCAAAACGCATCTTGACGTTGTTCACTTCAGAAAGCAAGACTCGAAAAGGTAAATAAACTAAGAATTAATAAATAAAATACATATATTAAATTTTATTAAACATATATTAAAATTTATTAAAGGTTATATGATCAACAAGAAGGAAAAGAACACGCTTTCCCTCCAGAGAGAATTGATCTTTTAAAGCATCTCTCGGAAAAGGAGGACATTTACAGTCGACTCGCTAGGAATATTGCTCCCAGTATTTACGAAAATGACGATATTAAAAAGGGAATTCTTTTGCAATTGTTTGGTGGTACTAAGAAAACTCATATTGCATCAGGAAGGAGTCACTTTCGTTCTGAAATTAACATTTTACTTTGTGGAGATCCTGGAACCAGTAAATCTCAACTTTTGCAGTTTGCCTTCAACTTAGTTCCTCGATCTCAATATAGCAGTGGAAAAGGTATGCATCATTTTTATTTCTCAATAACAAAATTGTTTATAAATTCATTTATTTCTTGTGCGAAGAAAAACATTTGACTATTAAATAAGTAAAGTGTTTGTAAAGAGCCCAAAAATTATAAAGCTAAATGCCATAAAAGAGAAGAAAAAATGTTGAATTTTAAGAAATGTCACTTTTTCGAAATAAAAAAAGTTCAAAATGCTTTAAACTATTTAATATCTATTATGTATCTGTTTAACATCTATTGGTATATTATTTATAATATGATAAATAATATATTCTCTAATAAATAATATATTCTAATATATTCTATTTTTAATATCTATTATGTATCTGTTTAACATCTATTGGTATATTATTTATAATATGATAAATAATCTATTAACATAATTTGAATCAGTTAAAACTCATGGTTTTAATTGACAATCAGCAGTGACTGACTTTTTGCTTCTGAATCAGTTAAAAATTATCATTACCAAAAATTGAAAAATCCGAATTTCTTAAAATTCAACATTTTTTCCTCTCTTTAATGGCATTTGGCTTTACTATTTTTGTGCTTTTGGAAAATACTTTACTTATTTAATAGTCTCGACTCTTTGGTAAAAAATCTAAAATTATCGAAAATTTCCAAAAATTAAAAAATCCGAATTTCTTAAAATTCAACATTTTTTCCTCTCTTTAATGGCATTTGGCTTTACTATTTTTGTGCTTTTGGAAAATACTTTACTTATTTAATACTCTCGACTCTTTGGTAAAAAATCTAAAATTATCGAAAATTTCCAAAAATTAAAAAATCCGAATTTCTTAAAATTCAACATTATTTCCTTTTTTTTATAGGATTTAGCTCCATTATTTTTGTGCTTTTAGAAAATACTTTACTTAATTAATAGTCTCGACTCTTTGGTAAAAAATCTAAAATTATCGAAAATTTCCAAAAATTAAAAAATCCGAATTTCTTAAAATTCAACATTTTTTCCTCTCTTTAATGGCATTTGGCTTTACTATTTTTGTGCTTTTGGAAAATACTTTACTTATTTAATACTCTCGACTCTTTGGTAAAAAATCTAAAATTATCGAAAATTTCCAAAAATTAAAAAATCCGAATTTCTTAAAATTCAACATTATTTCCTTTTTTTTATAGGATTAAGCTCCATTATTTTTGTGCTTTTAGAAAATACTTTACTTATTTAATAGTCTCGACTCTTTGGTAAAAAATCTAAAGTTATCGAAAATTTCCAAAAATTCAAAAATCCGAATTTCTTAAAATTCAACATTTTTTCCTCTCTTTAATGGCATTTGGCTTTACTATTTTTGTGCTTTTGGAAAATACTTTACTTATTTAATACTCTCGACTCTTTGGTAAAAAATCTAAAATTATCGAAAATTTCCAAAAATTAAAAAATCCGAATTTCTTAAAATTCAACATTTTTTCCTCTCTTTAATGGCATTTGGCTTTACTATTTTTGTGCTTTTGGAAAATACTTTACTTATTTAATACTCTCGACTCTTTGGTAAAAAATCTAAAATTATCGAAAATTTCCAAAAATTAAAAAATCCGAATTTCTTAAAATTCAACATTATTTCCTTTTTTTTATAGGATTAAGCTCCATTATTTTTGTGCTTTTAGAAAATACTTTACTTATTTAATAGTCTCGACTCTTTGGTAAAAAATCTAAAGTTATCGAAAATTTCCAAAAATTAAAAAATCCGAATTTCTTAAAATTCAACATTTTTTCCTCTCTTTAATGGCATTTGGCTTTACTATTTTTGTGCTTTTGGAAAATACTTTACTTATTTAATACTCTCGACTCTTTGGTAAAAAATCTAAAATTATCGAAAATTTCCAAAAATTAAAAAATCCGAATTTCTTAAAATTCAACATTTATTCCTCTCTTTTATGGGATTTAGATTCATTATTTTTGTGCTTTTGGAAAATACTTTACTTATTAAATTGTCTCGACTCTTTGGTAAAAAATCTAAAATTATCGAAAATTTCCAAAAATTAAAAAATCCGAATTTCTTAAAATTCAACATTATTTCCTTTTTTTTATAGGATTGAGCTCCATTATTTTTGTGCTTTTAGAAAATACTTTACTTAATTAATAGTCTCGACTCTTTGGTAAAAAATCTAAAATTATCGAAAATTTCCAAAAATTAAAAAATCCGAATTTCTTAAAATTCAACATTTTTTCCTCTCTTTAATGGCATTTGGCTTTACTATTTTTGTGCTTTTGGAAAATACTTTACTTATTTAATACTCTCGACTCTTTGGTAAAAAATCTAAAATTATCGAAAATTTCCAAAAATTAAAAAATCCGAATTTCTTAAAATTCAACATTTTTTCCTCTCTTTAATGGCATTTGGCTTTACTATTTTTGTGCTTTTGGAAAATACTTTACTTATTTAATACTCTCGACTCTTTGGTAAAAAATCTAAAATTATCGAAAATTTCCAAAAATTAAAAAATCCGAATTTCTTAAAATTCAACATTATTTCCTTTTTTTATAGGATTTAGCTCCATTATTTTTGTGCTTTTAGAAAATACTTTACTTAATTAATAGTCTCGACTCTTTGGTAAAAAATCTAAAATTATCGAAAATTTCCAAAAATTAAAAAATCCGAATTTCTTAAAATTCAACATTTTTTCCTCTCTTTAATGGCATTTGGCTTTACTATTTTTGTGCTTTTGGAAAATACTTTACTTATTTAATAGTCTCGACTGTTTGGTAAAAAATCTAAAATTATCGAAAATTTCCAAAAATTAAAAAATCCGAATTTCTTAAAATTCAACATTTATTCCTCTCTTTTATGGGATTTAGATTCATTATTTTTGTGCTTTTGGAAAATACTTTACTTATTAAATTGTCTCGACTCTTTGGTAAAAAATCTTAAATTATCGAAAATTACCAAAAATTAAAAAATCCGAATTTCTTAAAATTCAACATTTTTTCCTCTCTTTAATGGCATTTGGCTTTACTATTTTTGTGCTTTTGGAAAATACTTTACTTATTTAATACTCTCGACTCTTTGGTAAAAAATCTAAAATTATCGAAAATTTCCAAAAATTAAAAAATCCGAATTTCTTAAAATTCAATATTTTTTCCTCTCTTTAATGGCATTTGGCTTTACTATTTTTGTGCTTTTGGAAAATACTTTACTTATTTAATACTCTCGACTCTTTGGTAAAAAATCTAAAATTATCGAAAATTTCCAAAAATTAAAAAATCCGAATTTCTTAAAATTCAACATTTATTCCTCTCTTTTATGGGATTTAGATTTATTATTTTTGTGCTTTTGGAAAATACTTTACTTATTAAATTGTCTCGACTCTTTGGTAAAAAATCTAAAATTATCGAAAATTTCCAAAAATTAAAAAATCCGAATTTCTTAAAATTCAACATTATTTCCTTTTTTTTATAGGATTTAGCTCCATTATTTTTGTGCTTTTAGAAAATACTTTACTTAATTAATAGTCTCGACTCTTTGGTAAAAAATCTAAAATTATCGAAAATTTCCAAAAATTAAAAAATCCGAATTTCTTAAAATTCAACATTTTTTCCTCTCTTTAATGGCATTTGGCTTTACTATTTTTGTGCTTTTGGAAAATACTTTACTTATTTAATACTCTCGACTCTTTGGTAAAAAATCTAAAATTATCGAAAATTTCCAAAAATTAAAAAATCCGAATTTCTTAAAATTCAACATTTTTTCCTCTCTTTAATGGCATTTGGCTTTACTATTTTTGTGCTTTTGGAAAATACTTTACTTATTTAATACTCTCGACTCTTTGGTAAAAAATCTAAAATTATCGAAAATTTCCAAAAATTGAAAAATCCGAATTTCTTAAAATTCAACATTTATTCCTCTCTTTTATGGGATTTAGATTCATTATTTTTGTGCTTTTGGAAAATACTTTACTTATTTAATACTCTCGACTCTTTGGTAAAAAATCTAAAATTATCGAAAATTTCCAAAAATTAAAAAATCCGAATTTCTTAAAATTCAACATTATTTCCTTTTTTTTATAGGATTTAGCTCCATTATTTTTGTGCTTTTAGAAAATACTTTACTTATTTAATAGTCTCGACTCTTTGGTAAAAAATCTAAAATTATCGAAAATTTCCAAAAATTAAAAAATCCGAATTTCTTAAAATTCAACATTTTTTCCTCTCTTTAATGGCATTTGGCTTTACTATTTTTGTGCTTTTGGAAAATACTTTACTTATTTAATACTCTCGACTCTTTGGTAAAAAATCTAAAATTATCGAAAATTTCCAAAAATTAAAAAATCCGAATTTCTTAAAATTCAACATTTTTTCCTCTCTTTAATGGCATTTGGCTTTACTATTTTTGTGCTTTTGGAAAATACTTTACTTATTTAATACTCTCGACTCTTTGGTAAAAAATCTAAAATTATCGAAAATTTCCAAAAATTAAAAAATCCGAATTTCTTAAAATTCAACATTATTTCCTTTTTTTATAGGATTTAGCTCCATTATTTTTGTGCTTTTAGAAAATACTTTACTTATTTAATAGTCTCGACTCTTTGGTAAAAAATCTAAAATTATCGAAAATTTCCAAAAATTAAAAAATCCGAATTTCTTAAAATTCAACATTATTTCCTTTTTTTTATAGGATTTAGCTCCATTATTTTTGTGCTTTTAGAAAATACTTTACTTATTTAATAGTCTCGACTCTTTGGTAAAAAATCTAAAGTTATCGAAAATTTCCAAAAATTAAAAAATCCGAATTTCTTAAAATTCAACATTTTTTCCTCTCTTTAATGGCATTTGGCTTTACTATTTTTGTGCTTTTGGAAAATACTTTACTTATTTAATACTCTCGACTCTTTGGTAAAAAATCTAAAATAATCGAAAATTTCCAAAAATTAAAAAATCCGAATTTCTTAAAATTCAACATTTATTCCTCTCTTTTATGGGATTTAGCTCCATTATTTTTGTGCTTTTAGAAAATACTTTACTTAATTAATAGTCTCGACTCTTTGGTAAAAAATCTAAAATTATCGAAAATTTCCAAAAATTAAAAAATCCGAATTTCTTAAAATTCAACATTTTTTCCTCTCTTTAATGGCATTTGGCTTTACTATTTTTGTGCTTTTGGAAAATACTTTACTTATTTAATACTCTCGACTCTTTGGTAAAAAATCTAAAATTATCGAAAATTTCCAAAAATTAAAAAATCCGAATTTCTTAAAATTCAACATTATTTCCTTTTTTTATAGGATTTAGCTCCATTATTTTTGTGCTTTTAGAAAATACTTTACTTAATTAATAGTCTCGACTCTTTGGTAAAAAATCTAAAATTATCGAAAATTTCCAAAAATTAAAAAATCCGAATTTCTTAAAATTCAACATTTATTCCTCTCTTTTATGGGATTTAGATTCATTATTTTTGTGCTTTTGGAAAATACTTTACTTATTAAATTGTCTCGAATCTTTGGTAAAAAATCTTAAATTATCGAAAATTACCAAAAATTAAAAAATCCGAATTTCTTAAAATTCAACATTTTTTCCTTTTTTTTATAGGATTTAGCTCCATTATTTTTGTGCTTTTAGAAAATACTTTACTTATTTAATAGTCTCGACTCTTTGGTAAAAAATCTAAAATTATCGAAAATTTCCAAAAATTAAAAAATCCGAATTTCTTAAAATTCAACATTTTTTCCTCTCTTTAATGGCATTTGGCTTTACTATTTTTGTGCTTTTGGAAAATACTTTACTTATTTAATACTCTCGACTCTTTGGTAAAAAATCTAAAATAATCGAAAATTTCCAAAAATTAAAAAATCCGAATTTCTTAAAATTCAACATTTATTCCTCTCTTTTATGGGATTTAGATTCATTATTTTTGTGCTTTTGGAAAATACTTTACTTATTTAATACTCTCGACTCTTTGGTAAAAAATCTAAAATTATCGAAAATTTCCAAAAATTAAAAAATCCGAATTTCTTAAAATTCAACATTTTTTCCTCTCTTTAATGGCATTTGGCTTTACTATTTTTGTGCTTTTGGAAAATACTTTACTTATTTAATACTCTCGACTCTTTGGTAAAAAATCTAAAATTATCGAAAATTTCCAAAAATTAAAAAATCCGAATTTCTTAAAATTCAACATTTTTTCCTCTCTTTAATGGCATTTGGCTTTACTATTTTTGTGCTTTTGGAAAATACTTTACTTATTTAATACTCTCGACTCTTTGGTAAAAAATCTAAAATTATCGAAAATTTCCAAAAATTAAAAAATCCGAATTTCTTAAAATTCAACATTATTTCCCTTTTTTTTATAGGATTTAGCTCCATTATTTTTGTGCTTTTGGAAAATACTTTACTTATTTAATACTCTCGACTCTTTGGTAAAAAATCTAAAATTATCGAAAATTTCCAAAAATTAAAAAATCCGAATTTTTTAAAATTCAACATTATTTCCCTTTTTTTAAAGGATTTAGCTCCATTATTTTTGTGCTTTTGGAAAATACTTTACTTATTTAATAGTCTCGACTCTTTGGTAAAAAATCTAAAATTATCGAAAATTTCCAAAAATTAAAAAATCCGAATTTCTTAAAATTCAACATTTTTTCCTCTCTTTAATGGCATTTGGCTTTACTATTTTTGTGCTTTTGGAAAATACTTTACTTATTTAATACTCTCGACTCTTTGGTAAAAAATCTAAAATTATCGAAAATTTCCAAAAATTAAAAAATCCGAATTTCTTAAAATTCAACATTATTTCCCTTTTTTTATAGGATTTAGCTCCATTATTTTTGTGCTTTTGGAAAATACTTTACTTATTTAATAGTCTCGACTCTTTGGTAAAAAATCTAAAATTATCGAAAATTTCCAAAAATTAAAAAATCCGAATTTCTTAAAATTCAACATTATTTCCCTTTTTTTTATAGGATTTAGCTCCATTATTTTTGTGCTTTTGGAAAATACGTTACTTATTTAATAGTCTCGACTCTTTGGTAAAAAATCTAAAATTATCGAAAATTTCCAAAAATTAAAAAATCCGAATTTCTTAAAATTCAACATTTTTTCCTCTCTTTAATGGCATTTGGCTTTACTATTTTTGTGCTTTTGGAAAATACTTTACTTATTTAATACTCTCGACTCTTTGGTAAAAAATCTAAAATTATCGAAAATTTCCAAAAATTAAAAAATCCGAATTTCTTAAAATTCAACATTTTTTCCTCTCTTTAATGGCATTTGGCTTTACTATTTTTGTGCTTTTGGAAAATACTTTACTTATTTAATACTCTCGACTCTTTGGTAAAAAATCTAAAATTATCGAAAATTTCCAAAAATTAAAAAATCCGAATTTCTTAAAATTCAACATTATTTCCCTTTTTTTATAGGATTTAGCTCCATTATTTTTGTGCTTTTGGAAAATACTTTACTTATTTAATAGTCTCGACTCTTTGGTAAAAAATCTAAAATTATCGAAAATTTCCAAAAATTAAAAAATCCGAATTTCTTAAAATTCAACATTTTTTCCTCTCTTTAATGGCATTTGGCTTTACTATTTTTGTGCTTTTGGAAAATACTTTACTTATTTAATAGTCTCGACTCTTTGGTAAAAAATCTAAAATTATCGAAAATTTCCAAAAATTAAAAAATCCGAATTTCTTAAAATTCAACATTTTTTCCTCTCTTTAATGGCATTTGGCTTTACTATTTTTGTGCTTTTGGAAAATACTTTACTTATTTAATACTCTCGACTCTTTGGTAAAAAATCTAAAATTATCGAAAATTTCCAAAAATTAAAAAATCCGAATTTCTTAAAATTCAACATTTTTTCCTCTCTTTAATGGCATTTGGCTTTACTATTTTTGTGCTTTTGGAAAATACTTTACTTATTTAATACTCTCGACTCTTTGGTAAAAAATCTAAAATTATCGAAAATTTCCAAAAATTAAAAAATCCGAATTTCTTAAAATTCAACATTTTTTCCTCTCTTTAATGGCATTTGGCTTTACTATTTTTGTGCTTTTGGAAAATACTTTACTTATTTAATACTCTCGACTCTTTGGTAAAAAATCTAAAATTATCGAAAATTTCCAAAAATTAAAAAATCCGAATTTCTTAAAATTCAACATTATTTCCCTTTTTTTTATAGGATTTAGCTCCATTATTTTTGTGCTTTTGGAAAATACGTTACTTATTTAATAGTCTCGACTCTTTGGTAAAAAATCTAAAATTATCGAAAATTTCCAAAAATTAAAAAATCCGAATTTCTTAAAATTCAACATTTTTTCCTCTCTTTAATGGCATTTGGCTTTACTATTTTTGTGCTTTTAGAAAATACTTTACTTAATTAATAGTCTCGACTCTTTGGTAAAAAATCTAAAATTATCGAAAATTTCCAAAAATTAAAAAATCCGAATTTCTTAAAATTCAACATTTTTTCCTCTCTTTAATGGCATTTGGCTTTACTATTTTTGTGCTTTTGGAAAATACTTTACTTATTTAATAGTCTCGACTCTTTGGTAAAAAATCTAAAATTATCGAAAATTTCCAAAAATTAAAAAATCCGAATTTCTTAAAATTCAACATTTTTTCCTCTCTTTAATGGCATTTGGCTTTACTATTTTTGTGCTTTTGGAAAATACTTTACTTATTTAATACTCTCGACTCTTTGGTAAAAAATCTAAAATTATCGAAAATTTCCAAAAATTAAAAAATCCGAATTTCTTAAAATTCAACATTATTTCCTTTTTTTTATAGGATTTAGCTCCATTATTTTTGTGCTTTTAGAAAATACTTTACTTAATTAATAGTCTCGACTCTTTGGTAAAAAATCTAAAATTATCGAAAATTTCCAAAAATTAAAAAATCCGAATTTCTTAAAATTCAACATTTTTTCCTCTCTTTAATGGCATTTGGCTTTACTATTTTTGTGCTTTTGGAAAATACTTTACTTATTTAATACTCTCGACTCTTTGGTAAAAAATCTAAAATTATCGAAAATTTCCAAAAATTAAAAAATCCGAATTTCTTAAAATTCAACATTATTTCCTTTTTTTTATAGGATTTAGCTCCATTATTTTTGTGCTTTTAGAAAATACTTTACTTAATTAATAGTCTCGTTTAATTTTATTAAAATTGTTTTTAAACAATTGAATTCTTTTGGGTAATTTTTTTATAATAGTAGATATTGAAAATCATTGAAATGAGGAAATTTTTTGAAAATAATTGTATTTTGAAGAAGAATTTTTTTATATAGAAAAATAAAAATTGGAAGTTTGTCGAGATTTTTTTTAATTTTTGTGAACATAATTGAATTCTGTGATAAGAATTTTATTACTTTTGAAAATAATTGAATTTCTACTTGTAACTTCTTTAGAATTTAATTTCTTTTAGTGTTTTTAACTAAAATTTTTCCATTATTTTTAATAATTAATTAAATATATATTGACAAATTAAACTAATTTTAGAAGATTTTGAATAATTAAAATTTTTTGCAAAAATTCTAAGTTTTTTCGAATTATTGAAATTAATTATTATTGAAATTTCATAAAATTTCAATTTGAAACCGCCTGAAGTTTATTTATTAATGAAAATTGTAAACTCAACTTTTTTTAAATTGAATTACTTTTGAAATATTTAAGTAAAATTATTCATTAGATAATTTATAAGTCATTATTTTATGATATAGTTGTTCAAGATTTAAATAATATTTAAAAAGAAATTTTTGTCAGAAATTGAAAAAATTGAAGATTTTGTATTAGAATTGGTAATTTTATATGAATCAAACAAAAAAGACAGAATTCAGAATTTTCTTAGGAAATTTAAAAATTTAAATTTTTTGCAGTACTTTTAATAAAAATTCCTGACTTTTCCCTGAATTCTCTGTGTCAGAATATATGATACAGAGGGAAATTTTTATTAAAAATAAATTTGTTTTTCAATTTTTCCAACAGGATCCAGTGCTGTTGGTTTAACGGCATACGTGACGAAAGATCCGGAAACTCGTCAGTTAGTTTTGCAAACCGGAGCTTTAGTTTTAGCTGACAATGGAATTTGTTGCATTGACGAATTCGACAAGATGAATGAAAGTACACGATCAGTTTTACACGAGGTTATGGAACAGCAAACTTTAAGTATCGCGAAGGCTGGAATTATCTGTCAGTTAAATGCCAGAACAAGTATTCTCGCTGCTGCAAATCCCTGCGAGTCTCAATGGAATCCCCGAAAAACGGTACAATATTATTTGCACTAGTCATTCATTCATTTATTTATTTCTATTATTTTTACAATTTTCTTTTTTTTCCTACAGGTTGTGGAGAATGTTTTGCTTCCACACACATTATTATCTCGATTCGATTTAATATTCTTGATGTTGGATCCACAAAATGACACTTTCGACAGGAGGCTTGGCAAGCACATGGTGTCGTTGTACTATAAAGGGGAGCCGGAAGTGGAAGACGAATTGATAGACATGAGCGTTTTGCGCGACTACATTGCCTATGCTAAGGAACACATTAAACCAGTTCTCAGCGAAGAAGCTCAGCAGAGATTGGTGCAGGCTTATGTTGATATGCGAAGAGTTGGAAGTGGTCGGGGACAAATAACAGCGTATCCTCGACAACTTGAGTCATTAATTAGACTTTCGGAAGGACATGCGAAAATTCGTTTCAGTGAATCAGTTGAAGTGGTGGATGTTGAAGAGGCTTGGCGGTAAATAAAAATTATTTTACATCGAAAATATTATTTTTCAATTAAATACAATTTTTCTTAAAATTTCTGTTAATAGTCTACATCGAGAAGCACTTAAACAAGCGGCTACTGATCCCATCACCGGAAGGATTGACATTAATATTTTAACAACGGGAGTTTCTGAAGGTGAAAGGAAACGACAACTTTTACTCACTAACGCTGTGAAGAAGATTATTGAAGAAAAAGACACACTTCGCACTTTGTCCTATCAAAAACTTTTCGCTGAAATTAGAAGCACTTCTGAAACTGTAAGTAGTATTTAAAAATATTTTATTCTTCTCAAAAAATGAATTTTTTAAAACTTAATAGTATCAGTAGTTTGTCTTTAATATTTTCAATTGTATGTATATTCTCTTTTCAGTTTGTGACAAAAGAAATGTTTGACGATGCACTGAGAAATCTACAGGATGAAGATGTAATAAAAATACTGAGTAAGAATACAATTCGTCTGTTAAAAAATAAGGAATAACTTTCTAGAAAGTAGTTATTGCTTTTTTAATATTATTCTTTAATTAAAATTCTTTTCATGTCTATTTGACGAATATTTCGTTTCTAATACAACATACGATAATTTTTTATCCAATTTTATGTATCAGGATTCAATTTTAGTTTTAAAAGAATAAATTTTTTATACTACTTTTTATTAAATTAGTATTTACTAAAAATTGTCCTTTTCCATAAGTGACAAAAAAAAAAGTTGATAAAATCATTTTCGTTACAATATTCTCACTTTTTTATTTGATAAAACTAAAGAATTTTTGAATAATTCTTGTTTTCCGTTACTATCATATAAAAGCGTTATTTTAATATTTTTGAAATACCTACGAATGGGAGACATTATTGTACTACCTGTTTTGTATTGAATGAGCGTTGGGACCGTCCAGGTGGGCTCAAAAAGGTTGTTAAAAACTAAAAATGCAAAGCAGTCGAGAAATAAGCGTTCGGTTTGTAATCCCTTTCTACTAATGGACAAAATTTTTTCTTTTACTTCTACCTGACAATAAATTAGTTACATTCAAAATTTTAGGAGTATGTAGGAGACAATCTTTGTAACATTATTCATTGCCATTCTGTTTTAAAATTACAATAGAACGTAGAATTTCCTCAATTATTGCATTTTAACAAACTACTTATATTTATTTTTGTTGAATTCATATAATTTTGATTTAAATTAAAAATCTCTGTTTTAGTAACTTTTTTCTGTTGAATGAAAATGATTGTGTTCTTTTTTAAAATCGATTTAAATTTGAAATTCAATTATTATGAGAGAACGCAAATCATATAGATATTTATTTTCTTTTTACTTAAAATCAAAAAAAGAATATAAACAATTTCGTTAGCGTTTTAAAAACAAGTATTTTTATAAATACTTGTATTAGTCAAGTTTTAAGAAATTGACATGAAAAAAATTAAGATTTATTAAATGCCTTTATATATACTTTTACGCAGTAAAAATTTGTCTAATAAAAAAAATTGATAAATTAAAATTTTCAGACACTAAAGCATATTTTGTTCCTTGCAAAAAACCTCCTGTAGATTATATTGTAGTAATAATATAAAATTACTGGACTTAGGATTATAGGATTTGGCCTGGATATATAAATATTTCAAACTGTCCACTTTATTTTAGAGGTCTTATAATCCTCTAAGTCTAAACATTTATTGTACGTATATATTATAAGTTTCTCACAAATTCATATAAAGAGAAAAATATATTCTTTTTTCAAATATATTATCTAAATATAGGAAAATTTTGTGTTAATTTTCGTACAACAAAACTATATACATATATACAGAGGCATTAAACGGCATTGATCCATGTTTTCATTCATGAATTCAGACGCAAGCGTGCGTTTCTATAAATACATATCATACATATATAGCAAAATTACACGTCATACTATTTTTGTTTGCAAAGAAAAGAATCAAAAAAATTTTCTTATAATTCAAAAAGTATTATATACTTTTTTGTTTCAAATTACAAAAAAGTCTTTTAATTTTACGACAATTTTGGACACTTATAACAAATAAGAGGTTTATACCTAAAGCTTCCTTTTGGAACTTTGAAGCTTATTTGAGACAGGCATTGAATTTTGTAAGCATTTGTAAGAATAATATAGGAATTCCCCAAACGAATAACATGTCATTAAAAAGTCATTATTCGAGACTAATTCTCATTGGCGCAAATAGAAATGGAAAATAGTCAATGGGGCCTGTTACGGGAAATAAGGGGACATAATTTTGCGGGAAAAGAGTTTCCCTCTCTCTCTCTCTTTCAACTAGCGCCCAGACGACAAAAGGTGGGGGAAGCGCTCATGAGGCCCCATTCACAGAGTTGACAGTATAAAAAGGGACCTTAATTTGTTAGTACGCTACTGAAAGTAACATCACAATAAGTTATTATCGAGAGTTATATACAATTTTTTTTTCTACCCATTTCCCTAAATTTTTACAAATAATTGAAGAAACTTAAAAAAAAAACCCGCAAATTCTTTGTATAGAAAAACATAATGTATATTCAGTAGTCGATGTCAACGCAGAGTCCCAACACGCATGCATGTTGTCGGACTTGATTCGAACTGAACTACTGAAAACACATATTATATGCTACCACATATGCCACACACATGCTTTAAGTAGATAAAATCCCGAATAGTGCGCCTTTCATTCCACTTTTTTAAGATTCTAAAATTCTTTTTAAATAAAGCAATTATTACAATTTTGTTTATATTTCTTTATTAATTTTTTTATTCATATTTCCAATACAAAATATTTATATATAAAATAATTTGAATAAAATAAGTTTACTTTCTTCGAGCTCTAAGACTAATTATTTTTATACATAAATACATAAATTAATTTGTATATAATAATAATTAAATGTCGAAAAGTAAAATTATATTTTATTTATAAAAAAAAAGTTTTTCATTAACTTGATACTGAGAATATTGAATATAAAGAAAGAATAAATGAAATTTACCTAAACAGCATACAAGGAAAGAGAAGGACAAAGTGATGAATAGCTAATATTATATACAGTGTTGTATTTATAATAGAGGTAGGTATGAGAAGAGACACAGAAGCTATAATGACAGTATAACTATATATTTGCAATTTTCGTGAAAAATCCCACTCCAATACCTGAGCACACCTCTATATCACTTGAGAAATTGTCATCAGTAGAGACCCTGATCTCTAAGAGTGCACATGTCTACTAATTGCTCAAATTCCAGTTAGCTAAAGCTAACTTTAATATCTGTGGTTTTCCATTTCAACGGTTCAATTTACCCGCCAGCGCGCAGCGCTTCACAATACACCGTTCACTACAGGTAAAATTTATTTCTTTTTACACTTTTTTAAACCAATTTTTAGCAAAATTTTTCATAATTCAGTTGTTTATCATGTGACTTATTTCCAAATTGCATATTTAAATATACAGATATATTAAACGTTATTTATAATATTTTTCAATTTTGTTAAAATGTTAATGTTTAATCTCCACATATTTAATTAATATAAAATATAATTATATACGATTTATTGTATTTTGAAAAGCAAGTATATTTAGTAATCGAAGACGATTTCTTACCGAGAGATAAATTTCGACTCTCATTCATAATTGAAAAACAAACAAAAATTCTTGAAAGGGCACATTGTCAATATTTACAATTATTTTGAGAATATATTTTAATTCTATATTTCTGGTTTAAAACAAATTTTAATAATTAATTTTCAATGCTTATTTACTTATACTTTTCAAATCAAGTTGTAATAAATTATTTTTTGAAATTTATAATTTATTATGCAATGACGAATTTGTATATAGAATGTTTAAAAAAAAAAGATTTTATATTGAACTGAATTTTCAACAAATTTGTATTTAATTAATATTTTTATTTATGTAATCAAACTATTATTATTAGTCGTAATAAAGTTTCTATAAAACGTAATATGTTTTAATAAAATTTTTCTTGAATTAAATTTTGTTTATGAGAATATATAACATATATTTAATTAAATTTTTATTCGGTATTTCAGTTAATTTCTATTGAAGTTTTTAAAGTTTTATTTCGAAAAACTTGAAATTGTGTTTGAAATTTTATTTACTCTCGAATAAACAATTTGTATAGATAAAATATTAAAGTTCCAACATATTTTAAATTTTAAAATGATTTATGCAAGTGGAGAAAAAAAATTTATTTGCAAATTGTTAATTCTCTTTTTTTAAATCGCACTGTATATACTATTTTACTGCTATAAAATTGCCCCGAGTGGAAAATTTGCAGTGCCAAAGATTTATGTAGGACCTTAATTTATAGATTTATACCTACTTCCTTAAAATGGTGCCGAGACTCACTGAGCCCTCTTCATAATAAGATTTCACCAGATTTAAGGGCCTGAATTCTTTGAAACCCCCTGTTTCCATTGAAACTTCTAGACTTCCGAATAATATTATTTCTGTTTTGTATTCTGTTCATCCATCTATTGAACAAATTTTCGAAAATTAGTAGAATTAAATTTAAAAAAAGTAAAATTAAAAATTCTGTAATTTTTATTTTAATTATATAAATCTCACTTGGATTATACTATTTACAAAATAAATTTTCATAGCTCAAAGAAATTCTCCTCTATTACCCGTGTATGATATCAAGGTCAAAATAAGAATATAATAATATAAATTTAATATTAATACTACAGATTTCCAACAATTCGAATAAATAACGTGTACTGGACTTTACATCGAAATTTATTAATTTACTCTCAAATTTTCTTACAATGTCATAAAAAGTTATTTTTCGTTTGTTATTCATTTCGTATAATATTTTTAAAAAAAGTCACAACAATTTTTTAATTTACATTTTTAAAAGAAGGGAAGGAAAATAAGATGAATTTATTATAAAATAATTTTAGACTTCTTTTCGCTTGTATAAAAACAATTAAAAATTTAATTTTCTGCTTTTCTTGTCTGTATATCTAATAATTATATACTTTCTTTCAGATCAAATAAATGAAATTGAATTAGCAACAAAGTTAGCTTAAGCTTTTTAAATATCAACAAGTTTATAATGGCGACTAATTTCAATCGGTTAACGAGTCCTCCTCCATCTCTGCAACTGGGTCCCTTTGGGGTGAGAATATATTTTCGATTCTAATTATTTAAATATTATTTATCTTTTTTCCTTTTTTATGATTTTTGTGTATGGTGAATGAAAAAAAAGAACTTATAGAAACGTTGTATTACAGATGGAATCATATTGGTCAAGAAGAAGTAATCAGATTGGAATTGCTGATGAATTGAGGAGAATTTCCTTGAGACACGCGGAAATTAATGAGGATCACTCATTTGATTCTAGCTCAAGTTCTTCAAGTTTATTTCTTAATTTACCACAAACAAATGATGAGCTTAGTTATGCAGCACAGCTGAGAGTGAGTATATCTAATAATTTCGGAAAAAATTAATTTCAAATTCAAAAAGGTTTTTTTTATCGAAAAGAAAATTATAAGTAACTTAAGTTAGATTCCTCGCAATTTACGTACAAATTTTTATTATTTACGTTTGTTTTTCCAACAGGCTCCATCAAGAATGAGCAGAACATATTCGCAAGATCAAACTGAGTCTTCTTCTTCTTCTAATGCCGGGCCATCCTCGTCGTCCTCATCGTCATCAACATCTTCAATATCGTCATCTCCAGAAACTATATCACATTCATCTTCTCAAGCAGAACCACCACCGTCTTCATCGTCATCCTTGTCACTTTCACCAGATGCCACATCGCATTATTATTGCTCCCAGTTGGCATTATCAGTGGCTGAATTAAATTTACGAAGCATTTGTGAGGTTCACAACATCGCATTTGCCAACTACTGTCAGACCTGCAATGTGCCAATTTGCAAGAGATGTCGAGCTCCGTATCACAGGACACACGCCACAGTCACTATCAAGGAAAGTCTCGAAATCGCAAGACACGAGTCCATGAAAGTCTTCAGAGAGATTGCGAACACTTTACAGGAAATTGATAGAGACCTTGGAACCATAACTGTAAGTTTTCAAAAACTGATATTGATAGTTTTTTACTTTCTTCTTAAGAAATTAATGTTTAATATTGAAAAATTATTATTTTATTCAAAAACGATTTACTATATTTGTATTTTACAGATGGAGTACTCGACACTGAAAGACAGAGCGAAACAAACAGCTCAGGAGTTGGACAAATGTTGGATGCTTCTGAACGTGACAATGGATGACAGGCGAAGAAAACTGTTTCAAGAAATTGAAAATGCGAGGATCTTGAGAAGAGACATATTGAAGGAAAAAATAAAAAGTCTGAAGAACTGCCAGAAGAAATTGATCAACTTGTTCAGCGTGCAGCAGTTAGCTCTGACTTCCACAAATTCGACAAACAATCCTTTCCATTTGCGCGTTGCCAATGGCAAAGCGATTGGAGTGACATTCGAAGTTGAAGAGACGCGAAAAGCAGTGATGGAACTCGAGGAAAGCTGGATTGGTTTCTCAGGTTCGGAGAAACCTTTACTAGACGCTCTCTCGGCGTTCGGGTCTCTCAAGCTGACTAATCCAGGACCAATTGGCGATCGTCGAATGATTCGCGGACGAGGACCTCCCGACGCATGGCGGGAGCAACATCCGCTGGCGCCGAAGCCTCATCCGATTTCCTCGAGTCCCCGAGGAAGACCGATCGCCGCGAGCGTCTACCGCGTCGTCGTCTGGTGCGAGAAGCCGCACTCTTCCATCTTCTACCCTCCACCCATCAAACTGATCGGCAAGAACACCGTCGAGCCGGAGAATCCCGACAACCTCTGCCGACCGTGGGGCGTCGCCTGCGACAAGGACAACAACATCTACGTCGCCGACAGGTCCAACAATCGTGTCCTCGTCTTCCGAGAGAACGGCTGCATCGTCCGCAGAATCGGCTCCTACGGCGCTGGACCCGAGCAGTTCAACAGACCCGCCGGCATCACCATCGACGAGCGCCGTCGCATCATCGTCGCCGACAAGGACAACCACCGCATCCAGATTCTCACCCTGATGGGCAACTTCCTGCTCGAGTTCGGCAAGAAGGGCTCCGACCCTGGCCACTTCAACTACCCCTGGGACGTGGCGGCCAACACCGCCTGCGAGATCGTCGTCTCCGACACCAGGAATCACCGAATTCAACTATTCAGTCCCGAGGGTATTTTCCTCCGGAAATTCGGAATGGACAGCACTTTCGGGGCATTCAAACTCCTCGATTCGCCCCGAGGAGTCGCCTTCACTCCCGAGGGAAACATCATCCTCACGGACTTCAACGCCCACCGAATCCTCTGCGTCGACTACAAGTTCATGAACGCCAAAGTTCTGAACTGCGAGGGTGGCATGCGGCCCGCCAACAACTTCCACAGACCGCAAGGCGTCATTGTCGACGACGACGGCAACATCCTTGTTTCCGACTCCAGAGGCTACCGAATCATGGTCTTCAACAAATTCGGAGCCTTCCTCAACGAATTCGGCAAGCAGGGCGACGGAATCGACGAAGTGGACCGCCCCTCCGGCATTGCTCTCCTCACCGACGGCAGAATCGTCTTCGTCGACTTTGGTAACAATCGAGTCGTCATTCGTTAATTCATTTAACCAAATAATTTTGGTTTCTCTTACCAAAGTTGACAAATTTTACGTGCATGTAACACGTTTTTAACGTGAATAACTAGCCTTTTAATTTTATATTATTTATAAATAATTCTCCAAGCTTCACAAGCAACACAAACAACACAAGCAACAACAAGTGCCATAAAAAATACTATGATCAATTTCTCTTTTTCTCTAGAAAAAAATTTCCAATAATTTCTTATATTTAAGATCAGGGTTTTTAATCAAATTTTTGGAAAAAGTATCGAATTTTAAGGGCCTTGGACACTCTGTTTCAAAAATCAGAAAGATAACTACGTATTTGACAAAAACGTACACTATACTTTTATTTTTGTTTTTTCAACAAATTAAAAATATTGCGATACAAAAAATCAAAATTTATTTATAAATTTGCTTTAAAGAGAGATTATTAAAAGATTTTAATATCCTGAGATAATATTATTCGTTCAAAAGAAACTTTTTAAAAAAAGATTTTTTCACTAGTCATATGTATAGAAATATATAATTTTTGAAAATTGTAAAATTCTGCTTAAAAAAGGAAAGGAGGCAAACACTTATTAATTGCAGACATTTTTTTTTTTTTAATTTACATCAGAAATTCAAAAAATATGGAATAACTGTAAAGTGGATTATTTCCTGCTATATGACAGTTTAATTGCCATGTTAACAAAACAAAAAATGTATTTAGGCTTTATATCCACTTGCAGGGAACAGAAATAATTCTTTTTAAAAGTCAAAAAAAAAAAAAAAAAAAAAAAAACTGTCATTCTGCCTTAAAATAAAATTGTGCAACAATATTGTTATCTGGCTTCAATAATTGACGATAATTGATATACAAATAATCAGCAGCACAATTGTATAGTCTTTTTTTTCATTTTTTTTTCTTCGCGAATGAGAGGTGTGAAAGAAAATTTGTTTTAAAAAAAGTTAATGATTTTATCAATTTATGATTATAAGTCCAAGTCTTAAAATGTAATTTGTATTATTATATATTCTTTGAATATTTTCCAATAACTTGGAAATAATTAAATATAGAATTTTTATATATATTTTTTTAAATTGTAATGAATTTATCACTCAATTTACTATCTATACATTTATATACTGATTGACGATAGTATCATGTAATGTTTATTTTTTATCATTGATCTATATATTCGTCGTATGTTTAAGGACTAAATGACAATAAAATTTTAAGGATAATTCTTGTTACTTTTATTGTTTTCAGAACCTTATTAATCATCATTTTTATTATTTAAAATTATAAACTGGAAAAAATTTTATTTGATTCAAATAATAGATTATTTGAATCAAATAATTTTTATTGGAGTCAATTAAATAGTACTAATTCACCATTTTAATTGAGTTAATTAATAGTAAAAATTTTAGTATTTGAAGCAAATGTGAATTGACTAAAATGAAAATGATTTGATTCAAGTATAAACATTTAATTGATAATAAGTCAAGTAATCGCGGTTATTTGAGTGAAATAAATTTTTTCTCAGAGTATCATTATATATATACATTGACGACACATCTATAAAATGTGGCGTCGCGACGAAGGCGTACTATATGTATACATACGTTATTCGCTCTTGAGTTGACCTTGAAATCTCCCACGCGACTCGAGGAAGAAAGGTATGACGTCGGAGGGTGAAAATACGTTCAACTCCCACCTTCATCCCCCATTTTTCTTGTCAACATGTATATATACACTTGTATCACATACTTTAAGGATTGAAATTCTAATTCTTATACATAATTATTAAATAATACATATATAAGGTCCTTTTAAACATTTGCAAAATTTCTTTAAATTATAATTACAAACGCAAATATAATGTGTAGGCGGTTCATTGGAATTTCATTGATCCTATATTCAAGCAATAATTTTGTTTAAAAGAATTTTAAAAAAATTCAAGATTGTCAAATTGAAATAGAAATTTTTTTTTTTTCAAAAATAGAATAAATAGAAATTTTCCGGTTGGTAATAATCCTTAATTAATATTATATGAAATGACCTGGAGTAGCCGTCTAGATTATATGTGTATATATCGTGATGCTGAAGGTCGAGACTACTTCATTCATAGATTTTGGCGCATGCGCAAAATATACTACATGGCGTTGGCTCTTCAAGAGGCTTAGGTTCAATATCATGTATGTGTGTGTGCATTGGGGATGAAAGTTGAGCGTTAGAATTCGACTTTCAGCATCCACCCAGGGACGTCAATGTTGGAAAACGCACGTACGGGGTGAGTATTTACTAAAATTGGCAATTTTCACAATTTCAGAAAATTAATTTCCATTTAACTCCGGTTAAAGTATTTTTAATTCTATATACATAAAAATATACACGAAAAAATAAATCAGGGAGACTATGAAAAAATCAAACTTCATTAGAGGAAACAACGCCCAATATAATATTATGTATAAAATATAATTTATATATATTATATTCTTCCCCTCAGAGAATGAGGGTGAATCGCAAAAATTAAAAAATATATTTAAACTTGTAAGTCAAATACAAAAGATTATTAATACACTTTAATGTGTATAATATATTGTATATAAATATATATACAATTATATTTTATTTTATATAAAGTAAACTATGATTCTAAAATAAAAATGAATCTATGGTATTTTTATAAAAAGAAAAAGTTTAGGTTTTCTTGAAAAAGTATCAAAAACTAGAGTATTATATTTGGAATATAACAAAACTTTGGTTTAGCCACGCAGTTTTTCAAATATCAAATTGAGACAAAAAAGTAATCAAAACGTTGCCTTTTTGATTCCTTTTTTGTCTCAATTTGATATCTGCAGAAAAATAAAGAATTTGCTTCATTATAAATTTTTCCCTAAGGGTTTGGAACACATTTTGAAAAAACGATCTATAATTTAAATTTGAATAAGAGTTTATACAAATTTTTGAGTAAATATAAGTAAATAAATATCAAAGGAAAGAAAATTTTAAAAGAAGGATAAAAAATCACAAAGATCACAAGGATCGCAATCTTACGTATATGGAATGTTATTTTTTTGCGTGGGAGATTATTTTCCAACTTGATACACTACTGGCGTCACAGTGACGTCAGCAGGGTCAAAGTCAATATACACGTTTTATATAATATAATATACGGCAATAAAGAAGAAATTTTTAATTATTTTCAATTTCAACAATATTCATGAAAATATTCTTTCATCAGTATTCTTTCTTTTTAAAAGAATTAATTTCTAATTTCGCATATATATGTACTTGAAAAATTTTTGCCGGCCGGGTTGCCGGTATAAGAAAGTTATAAATATTATGTGTAAAGGGTGCTAGAAAATTGCGGGGGTGTAATTCAAAATGGCAGGGATAGAGGACGCAATGTCATTGGTGGATGGATTTCGAACGAAGGCGGAGGAGGGAGGTGCGTCACTACTGACTACGCTGCCAGTAGTCCAGTCAGTTTCAGTGCAGACCGTCAAATTGAAAGGTTCATTTAACCTTTATCAAAAAAAAAAAAAAAAAAAAGAAAAAAACGAATTTTATATTTCAATAATTTTTGCAATTTGTGTAACTTTCAGTTTCAAGTGAATATTGAAAAATCCAATTCTGACAGTTTGACGACATAAATTATTTATATTCTAGTCCTAACTAGTATTTTCGGTATTTTCAAGCCCCTTCGTATAAGCATACGTACATACATACAAAAGTGATTTAATTAATTTTGCATTTAACTCCAGTAATAATTATTTTTGACTAAATATTACATGTTGATTTAAAAACGGCTAGACAACTCCAAATAATTAAACACGTACGCTCACGCGGATCACCGGCCGGCGTGTTATGAATTGCAGTTAAGTTCTATGTACGTTATTTTCAATCTATATTCTTACTTTTATTTATGTAGAATTGACTGTAATAAAATTATTTAAATCAAGTACTTGTATCCTATATTTTACGTTTTTTTTTTATTCTTACACAATTTATAGAATTTTAACATTTTATGTATGTATATGTAATGTGTCTGTGGAGCCTATAGATAAATAATTAAAGTCAATTGTATTTGTTAAAAAGAGCAATTTCTTCTAGAACTGAATTTTAATTGTAAGTTTTTAATTGTAAGTGAAAAAATTGTTATTCATCTTTTGTTATATGTTTTATAAACGTTTTTCTTTTCTTTTTTTTTTTTTTTTTGTTGAAAAAATTCAAGCGCAGTCTCCCAAGTTAAATGAATAGGTTCGTTTTTCTTCTCTATATCTGAAGAAACAATCGATATTGTGATATTCCCTAGAAAATTTCACTTTCATTTCTATATATAGAAAATAAGTCTTATTTTCATCTGATAAGAGTTTTAATATTACAATGTTCATTTTTTATAATTTACGGTAAATAATATTATTTATTATGTGTAATATTAATTTCAACTATATAATCGTATAAATTTTTTAATTTATATACAAAAATCCGATACAATATTAAAAAGGAAAATTTTAAAGAACATTTTTTAGATTCGGAGTTTATTGCCTAATATCCCTTACAATATTGTTTATATGCAAATTAACCCTAAAATTAATATAATTAGTTTTATAACTGTTAAATTGTATATTTAAACTGAATGATCTATAAAAATTAGTTGATAATGTCTTAAACTTGTAATGTTAGGTCACCCTTGAATTGAAAAATGATATTCAAGAGAAATGCTTGAAACGAAAGTGAAACCACCGACCGCCGTGGAACGCTTTGCGCACCCGCAGACTTCTTGATGAATGAAAACAAAATTTATAAGGTCTTAATCGCTTTTCTCACAAGTTCAAGTTCATAATTATTTTATAAATACTTGCATTTTAGCAGTACGTGTACAATTCGAGATACGAAAAATTTATTGAATTTTCAGTTTTTTATAAAAACTTTCACTTTTCTATTTGAAAATTAGGTGCTTGAGAAAATGGATGATACATGTTATCTTAGATGCAGATAAGAATTTTTATTTTATTCAAATATAATCAAGTTCTTGACGGTTGACCATAAGACTCAAAATTTATTTTCCTTAAAGTGCTTGAAATTTTTCTCAATGAATTTGGAAATATTACAATTACTTTATTTGTAAAATAAATCTCGTTTATTAGCTCTTGGGGCTGTAAAAAAAGAGCCAAAAAAAAGGTTCATATTATTTAAACTTTAACGTTTTGATGGATTTGCCTTGAAATTCTGAAGAGAATATTTTCTTTTCCTTCAAAAGACTTTTTATTTCTATATGTCCAATGGACCCATGGGTTAGGCGTGAGGAGTTACCGATACCTGTTCGTTTCAAGGAAACTTCTTTTATTGTCTAGAAAAAATCTACGTTTTACGAAAATCTACGTGAACACGGAATTTATCATTAAATTTTCCACTAAATATCGAATCATACAACAATCTCCTGTGGGAAATTGAAATCTTTTTCGTTTCTCAAAAAAGCATTTGTAGTCATTTTTTCATTGTAAAAATATTTAAAATTTTTTACCACCTTATTAGATACTCGAAAATAGTAAATTTAAATAATTTTCATTCAAGTAATAATAAAACAATCCTCGTCTTTAGAAATGAAAAATATTTTAAATATTACAAATCCTTTAGGTACATCTTTTTTACTTTCTGTGTATACTTCAAAAAAAATTATAGTTTTGAATTTTTAACATCAAATTTTGTTTCAAGAATAACTATATAAAAAAAAGATGTAAAGGATTTGCTGATTTATATAGAGAAATTTTGAAAAGGGATGTGTTTACTCTGTACACGCTTTAGTGAGCATCCGGTAAAAAGAAAATTCTTAGAGTGGATTTTTGAAAGGATCGAAAACATGAACCTGCGTTATTTTCGGCAGTGGCCAGTGGTTGGGCCCCCAAATGCCTTAAAGTGGTGGACCCGTATCACGTGGTCTTAGGTACGTTTCTTGGAAATTTACTGTCTTTCAACAGAGAGGCCGACGTCTGTTCCGTATTTATCTCTTCGACAAATGTTCCACAAGGTCCCAAGGCTTACCTCCGGAAAATTCATCTTACAACAATCGCAGCCCCTCAAAACTCACCAAATTGAAAAGAATGCATCTTGTCGAAGCAACACATTTTTTTTTTTCAAACTCTCCCATTTAAATCAAAATTCAATTTTCTAAATTTAACTATAATTTACTCGAAATCATTTATTTATTAAATTTATTAAATCATTTAAAATATTTATAGAATAACGTAATATTGAATTTCTTTATAAATTTTATAATTCATTCGATGTATCTTATAATAATTAAAACAACTTTTCTGCAAATATCAAATTGAGACAAAAAAGGAGTCAAAACGGCAACGTTTTGATTTCTTTTTTGTCTCAATTTGATATCTGCAGAAAAGTTGTGATAAAGTATAAGTTAGATGCAAGTTTGTTCAATTATGAATATTTTCGAAAATTAAAGATAATTTTAACGCCTTTATTTACTTTTATTTTTTTTTTATTCCAAAAAGAGTAATGAATATTTCTTTTCGATTTGTTTTAAAAGGGGGGGAAAAAAAGAGTTTTTGTGAGAAAAAGAGAAAGTGTTGCTGGGGAACTGGGAAATTTCCCGTGGTTATTGATTTATAGGGGTCCCATGAGCCGAACCCCAGTTTTGAATCTCAGGACCTGTAAAAGGTTCATCGTTTCTGTCGCCCTCAAACTCTCATATAAATAGTTTTTTTTCGCCCGGTGTGCTCACCCTGAACACCCTGTTTTCAAAAGTGGATCAGCGAGTTTGCTTCTCTAATTCAACATTATTATATTCTATAAAGAAATCCTGCTCTCTAAACTTGTTGCGGGCGACAGTAATTTTTTCAGGTATGAGGAAGTGGCTCTTCCTGTTAGTGTCAACTTTTTTTTAATAGCCATCTTCTTCATGTCCAGTTTTTTTTTTCTAGATATAAATATCCAGTTTATACAGTGAAACAGGTCACATTTTTATTCAATTTCACTCTGAGCGTAATAAACGTTTTAAATGAACTTTTTTCTGATTTCAGATTGACGTTCAATAAAAACGTCGGAGGAACTTTGTGAAAGTGAGAAATTTTTCAATAATGGCACACAGCGGTGCTTTTGAATTCGGGGTAAGAATCATTCAAGTACTTGTTTATGTATTCATCGGTTTGGTGAAACATGTGATGTAAAATGAAATTTTCAGGTATTAAATGCTCCATGGCTGCACGGATTGAGTCTGTACACTGGGCACACGAACCCAGCGCCTTCAGGTTTAAATTCAATGAGAAATTGTCGATCGCCCTTTCAGTCCGGATCGCCCGATTCGATAAATTCATTTCCTTCGCTAATTAGCGGAGTTTTGCAAGTTGTCAATGGAGATCAATTTGCACTTAATGATTCTTTTCAATTGCCGGCTATTGACAGTTTCAAAGGATTTGGATTTAGAGAATGTTCCTGTTTGGATGGAATGTGTGACGCGTGCTGCAGTAAAATGAGAGTAAGTTATTTCTGCTTCTTGAGTTTACTACTATTTAACTATTATTTACTATAATTGATTTTTACCGGTAGTTTCAGCAGACAATGAATTCTTCGCACTCACCCGATTATCTCGTGTCACAATCGACATCAACTGGCACACCAAGTCCACCTCTTCAAGTCTCTCAATCAGCGACATCGTTAATTAATCACTGTGAACGGCATTCCGACAGTTCAAATTATTACTGTCAAACTTGCAGTGTTTCCATTTGCGGAGAATGTGACCTACGTAACCATAATGGTCACGTTACGGTTTATCTCATCGAAGCTATGGAACAGGCTGGAATGCAGGCGAATCAAGTTTTGAGCGAAGCTATGCATGGAATAAAAACAATAACCGATGATCTTGAGGCTATATCGGTGAGTTTTCTTTTTTCAAAATTGCAAACTTATATCTGTACTTTAATAACTAACCAGTTTTCTTCATAGTTGGCTGTCGGTACACTAGACGTGAGATCCAAGCAGGCAACGGACGATGTGTCCATTTGTATAAAGCGAATAATCTCCGCTTTGGAGGACAGGGAAAAGAAACTTTTATTGGACATTGAGAAAGCGAGAATACTCAAATTGGCGTCACTCAAGACTAGAGATGAGGCTTTGAGAAATAGTATGGTCCTGCTGACGGAGACAGTCGACAAACTGAAGAGAGGGATAGGCATTTCGAAATTGACAGCAAATCCAACGGAGCTGACTGTTATAAAGGACATGGCCTGTGCAGAGGTAAGAAAATAAGGAGAATAAGAAAAAAAGTAGTGTACTTGATTAATTAATTTAGAAATTAATTTACATTGCACTTTGCAGATTTATCGGATTCGACAAGCGCGTAAATCTTTCACGCCACCAGAGGAGAATTGGATCTCCTTCAGTGGACCGGACAGTATTGTTCTTGACGCGATTGCAAACTTGGGTTCGGTTGCTTTGAACAATCCAGGACCAATTGGAGATCGACGAGCTCTAAAAGGACGTGGTGGATCCTCCTCTAATTCCTCCTCTTCATCATCATCGTCGTCAACGTCGTCATCTTGTCAGAATGCACAATCGAGATCTCTCGTGTCGATTCCTTGCGGAAGACCCATTCCAGCCAACAATTTCCCAGTAATCGTCTGGACCGAGCAGCACAATGTTTCCAATCGCATAGTGCATATGCGGTGTTTCGGTAACGATGGCCACCCCTCTGATAATCTCTGCAGACCCTGGGGTGTCGCGTGCGACAAGGAAGGACACATTATCATAGCTGACAGATCAAACAACAGAATTCAAATATACCGCGAGGATGGAACTTTCGTGAGAAGATTTGGTTCCCAAGGTTCCGGACATGGTCAGTTCGATAGACCCGCTGGAGTTGCTGTTGATGGACGTCGACGAATCATTGTCGCTGATAAAGACAATCATCGAATTCAGGTAAATAACGTTTCTTTAACATAAACACTGTCTATTAGTCTATTCGTAGTTCGGCGAAAAAGGTTGTAAAAATTGAAATTCTACAGATACTCACAATGGAAGGTGTCTTTCTACGAGCGTTCGGCGAAAAAGGTACCAAAGACGGACAGTTCAACTACCCATGGGATGTGGCCGTCAATGTCGAATGTCAAATAGTCGTCTCTGACACGAGAAATCACAGAATACAACTCTTCAGTTCCGAGGGAGTTTTCTTGAGAAAATTCGGCAATGACAACACTTCCTCCCTGTGGAAAACACTAGACTCCCCACGTGGTGTTGCTTTTACACCAGAAGGCGACGTTGTCGTAACTGATTTCAACAATCACCGAGTCGTTACAATCGAAGCTGATTTCAGCAATGCGAAAATATTGGGCGGTGAAGGTGGAGGGAATAAACAATTTTGCAGACCTCAAGGAATTGTCGTCGACGATCAGGGCAACATGGTAGTGGCCGATTCACGAAATCACAGAATTCAAGTCTTCGGAAAAGATGGCTTACTAAGGAGGAAATATGGTTCACACGGCACTGGAATTGATGAAATGGATCGCCCTTCCGGAATTACACTCACGCCCAGTGGAAAAATTGTTGTCGTTGACTTTGGCAATAATCGTATCCTAATAATTTAAGTCTCACAAAGACTCACAAAGAATGGTAAAAAAGATAAGTATGACAAAATGATTATTTTATGATTACAAAAATGCTCATGTTTGACGTCCATTAAAATGGATGATGCAATATATTTAAGTATAAATTATAGAAAATGCCTTCGAGACATTTTAAAATGTTTTAAAAGCATTCTTTTAACATTGAAGTTTTTAAACAGAAATCTTCAATTTACAGTATTAATATAATTTTTGAATGTCAATATAATATCGTGCAAACAATTTTGCATAATTTTTTAAATTGCACTGTAAACTTGTCTTTGAGTCTGGTTTACATGCATAAAAAAAAGAAAAGACAAGTTTTCTTTTATTTATATTTTAAGAGACATTCGAAATTTACCTGATTCTTTTCGTTTACTTTGACAAGAATTCAGAAGTTGGGAAAAGAAAAACTCATTATTGGTGCTGTTGACTAAATATAAATGACAAAACAGTATTTTTTATTATTTTACAATAATTTCGAAAACAGGGCATATCATATGATTAGTGAAAAGAAAGCATCAATTAACAATGTTTGCCATACTTCGAATGACATTTTATTGAAAATCGCTTGTTAATATAGTCTGTATAATAATACTAAAAGTACATCTGGTTAGTGTAGTAGTAACTGTTTATTCCGTAAATTTGGGATAAAATACGATTGCTTAAGATGATAACGATAATAATAATAATAATAATAATATTAATAATAATGTTGGGCAATTTTAAAGAATCCCTTAGACATTGTGATGGAATCAAATTTTTCAAATCGGAATATCGGATTTTATTGACTTCTAAGGGTTCAGCTTGCGTGACAAAGTTTTAAATGTTTGCTCCGTAGGTACTTTTTAAATTATCCTTTTTTTCAATATTTAAAAAGTGCTTTAGAAATAAAAATTTAAGTCATGTCTTCCAGAAGACGCTTGCTATATCCAAACTTGTGTCCCGCATTCTGATTCTTATTATCTGAATAACAATTTTAGACAATTGAATATTATTTTATTTGAAAAAATGTGTAAAACTGGTTTTGGTTTTATCAAACGATTTTGACGATTCAAGTTACCATTGGCTCTTTATTTAATTAAAGTAAAATGAAAGATATCGATTGCATCTATACAGTAAGACTGAACCAAGACTGAATAAAAAATGCCAAGTTTTTGTTTACTCTTTGAATGTTGTCCAACACATTATAATCGAGTGGTTAAATGTATGACTCAAAAACATTACAGCAGAAATCTTACGATTAATTAGAATACGATCTTAGATTACAAAACACATACTTATGGAAATCTTCCGTATCATAAATGAAAATGTGTTTAGATGTAATTTTATGCGTTTCTCATATTTATCGTAGATGTAGCTGTTCACGTTGTCCACCATATATTGAGAGCCTATTTTTTCTTTTTCAATAGTAAGAACTAAGAAAAAAATTAAGTTTCAGTCCGTGTGTCACTCAAAAGTGTTGTGAAATCAAATTTTATATATTAATTGATGCAAATTCATGTGCTTTTTATATTATTATTATTATTATTTAATTGAAACGTGTTTCCAAACACAGTTTTTTTTATTTTCCATTTTTAGGCAAATCTAATAGTTTAGAAACGTTATTTTAGTAAAGATTTAAGCTCTTTAAACCTACTTAATTTACATAAAGGTATAAAAAACAGTTGAAATCTTTTTTAAAAACAAGAATAAATGTAAAAAAAAAAATGTTGTCTTATAGAAGAAACAAAATGAAAAATTTTTAAAAGAATTTAAAAAGGGCTTAATTGCAAAATGTAGTTGATATATTTGAATTATTTTTTTATTATAAATTTACGTACTTAAATAATTTAAGTACCAAGAATTATTGTAAAAGATTTTTTAATATTTGTGATTTTTTCATACTGCTGTGAATTTAGTTATCAATTTGTTAGTATTTTCAATTATAATAGTTTTTCTTATCGAGGAAACTGTCTTAATAAAGATTTTCCTGAACTTTTAAAAATATGATAATTGTCAGGGGTGTTTCTGGGGGTTTAACCTCTCTCCCCTTTCATGAAAAGTTTTTCTTGGTATAAACTCCCTGCTTGACAAATATATTTTCTTTTCTAAATGCTCCATGATAAATAAACGGGCTTAAAAATTGAAGAAAACAAAAAGAAATTGTAGGCACACTTATTCCAAATGAGCCATAGAACAATTTTTACTTATATGCTCAAAAGAACATCATAAAAACTGCTATTAAGTGTAAAATACAGTCTTACATATATAAGAATAATAATAGTTACATAATATATTCTTACAATCAAAATACAAATATTTTTGCATCAAAAACGCCTGAAACTTATGACAAATTCCATTTCTTGGAATCTAAAATTCGTTCATACAGTCCAATAATTGTATATCATTAATTGTATAAAAATGAGTAGAAAAAATTTGTCTTTAAAACAAAGATTTTTTATTAAAAATAAGGCAGACCCCTCGTTTCTCAAGTTAAGACTTGACGAGGGAATTAAAAAGCTATTCGTGTTTTCGTATTTTTTATTTAAAAAAAAAAATTGCTTCCACTGAGCCTAAAAATGCTGTGCAACGAAAAACGTATCTTCGTTTTTTATTTCTCATTTAAAAAAAAGGAAGAATAAAAATTTTAACAAATCGGAGATAGAGAAAAATCAAAATGTACCTTTTTAGAAGAAAAAAAAATATATATATTTTCCGCCAGGTGCGTCAATCATTCTTTAAAATGAAAAGCGTGTAGTTTAATATTTAATTGATCAAGTTATCGAACGATTTCGATGTACAAATATAGAAAAATAATTGCACGATTGCTCTTTAAATATTTTTTCTGCGTCAATAAAGAATGTTGAGTCTTTTAGTTATAATCCACATTCTTAGAATTCAGAGTTTAATCGTGCAATTATTATTAGGAACGGAGGGAATATTATAAAATTGTTACAAAGATTATGAGTACAGAAATTCATTATTAAACATTAAGTTTTAAAATTGAAAAATTTAAATATTAAAAATAAGATTAGTTTTCGATGAAAAATGCAAAATTTTTTTTTTAAATATTTTTTGTCTCTTGTTATTTCTCTCTTAATATAAGTATAATGGGACTTGTTCCACAGATCTCAATAATATTCCAGCCTTATCTATAATTTCGCTTCCTTAAGTAAATTGTAAAAAAAAGAAAAAAAAATGAAGGAAATATGAGAAATGAAAAGATTGATTTAAAAATTAATCTAAATCAAAACGTACCTACCTTAGAGAAATGAATTAAATGAATGAAATATTATCCTTCGCCGAAAGCGTCATTTATTCTGTAAATCTTAAGAGTAGTTTAATATTTAATTAATCAAGTTGTCAAACAATTTTAATGTACAAACCTAGAAAATAATTGCACAATTAACTCTTTAAACTTTTTTTTAACCTACTGAGTTTAAAAAATTCTCCCACTTAAATGTAAATTAAAAGACTGATTGTGCAATTATTATGAAGACGGATGAATTTCTTATATGCATCACTTTGATTATTTGTTCACTCATCTCTCTACAATGATCAGCTGGTAAATCGCTGAATATTTAGAATAATGTAAAAATTTTAATAACGTGTAACAGAATCTATTCTATAATATAAATTCTATAGTGAAATTGAAAGGTATTGTTAAACAATGCGGGGCCTTAAGAGGACTGTCGCCGTTTTGTTTGCCAAGCTTCTTTGTTTAGCATGGGACAGTAAGAGAAAGTTTATTGATAATTGTACACTGCAGTACATTGTAAAAAAAAAGGGTTTAATTCACGTTACATTCATTTAGTCGTGCGAAATAATTAACATTATTATTATTATCCTTAAATGGAAAAACGTTTCAAAGAAAGCGTTTGTTGGAGAGAGTCAGAAGATTGATTATAAAATGAAAATGGACACTAAATTAATTTCTTTTCACACATTTCCAAAATTGCGAATGAGATTTAACAATTTAATTTCTAAACATTAAATTATGGTTATTAAATTCATACGAAAATTGAAAAGATTACTAAATTTTTAAAATGCCTACGCTGATCTTTAATTTTTGTTAAAACTATTGGCATAAAGTGTGTGAATTAAATTTAAGTTATTCATTCCTAATTTCAATTTCTATAGAATTCCAACAATTTAGCTTCTAAAACAAGAATTATTACGACAACAAAAAGTATGATTTAAATAATTCTAGTAGTACATTATTATTATAGTGCATATATATATACCTTTCTGTATATTGTGAAAAATTCACGAAACTCATTGTAACAATGTTAAAATAAACATAATGACAAAATAATTTATCCTTTATTCACTGATCATTATAAGTTTTCAAACTATACCCAAGTATTCTTTTGTTTGATCAATATTTTACATCTGTTTCTTTGATTAGTCTGGATTAGTCAGAAATCTTGACAGATGTTATAATATGTGGTGACGATAAAAAAAACTAAAAATGACTGCAACTCCATCTCAGTAAGTTTTCCAAATTTTATTTTATTGTAAGTATAAAAAAATTTATTGAAACGGACTGCAATCATTTAAGTAATAAATAAAACTTTGAGGTTATTTTATTTGACTCGAAGTGGTCTCTTTTACACGTTAGGTCTAATTTGGAATTGGGCGATGAGAAAGGAGGACCTCGTATTCGATACATAGACGAATCTTTAGAAGAGGAAAGTTCAGACGATGAACCGGAGTCAGGAAGCGACGATGAGAGCAGGTACCTCAAGGAGAGTGCGACTTCCGAAGTCCCGGCAGAATTTTGGCACATGCAGAAGCTCATCAAGTATATGAAAGCTGGCAATCAAACTGCGACTCTAGTTTCTCTCTGTCTTCTAAAGGACTACGAACTCAATAGTAGAGTGAGTTTGCAAATTTAAATTCATAAATTAACAATAATAAAAATTCTCCATAACATTGTAGATTATTCAAAAAGCAATTCATGAAATGGGAGGCTTGGAAGTACTGGTGAATCTCCTGGAGACAAAAGACATTAAATGTCAAAGTGGATCTTTGTCAGTTTTATTGAAAATAACCTCGTCAGGTGAGATAAGACGTTATTTGATAGACCTGGGAATTGTGACATCTCTTGTCGAATTATTGAAACACCCAGCGAGAGACATTCAAGTTTTGGCAGCCGAAACGATGGCCAATATTGCCATGATGAGAAAAGCGAGAAAGCAGATTCGCGTTCGTGGAGGAATTCCCTTGATTGTAAGAATTGAATTTAAGTATTTGTAATATTTTTGATATCAAAAAAACAAACAAATGATGTTTGTCTAGTTGGACGTGATGGACATTCCCGATACAGTTCTACAGTGCCCTTTGGAAAATCTCAACGAAAATGATAAAGAACTGATGTCAGTTGCCATCGGATGTGCTAAAGTTCTCAACTCACTGAGCAGTAGTCCAAAAATTAAGGAAGAATTGCGAAAGTTCGGTGTTGTATTTTTAATGTCACGTTTTCTGAAAACACAAAATGTGGATTTAATCATTCCAATGATGGGCTCAGTTCAACAATGTGCAGATCTAGTGAGAACTATAATTCCTTTTCCGAAAATATTCCAAAATCTTTAAAATTCTTTTTTATTTTCTCTTTTTCAGAAAGCTTTCAGATTGGCCTTCGAGCAGATGGGCATTCTTGCCGATGTGGTCCATCACTTGAGAAATGAAAATGTGAAATTAAAAGAAAATTGTGCACTGGTCATCTTCAAGTGCGCCGAAAATAAGGTGACTCGAGACTTGGTAAGAGAAGCGGGTGGTCTTGATCCATTATGTAAATTGGTGCAAAGTGATCAAATTCGCAATAATAAAAAATTATTAGCTTCTGTTACGGGTGGAATTTGGAAGTGTGCTATGAGTCCGGAAAATATTATCAGATTTAATCAAAATGAACTAGTGGCTTCTATAATTCCTCTTTTGGAGGAGAATGAAGATGAGGATGTGCTTACAAACGCGGTTGGAGCTCTTGCCGAATGTTGCAAAGATCCTAGAAATCGAGATGTTCTTAGAACAAATGATGGGATACAGAAATTGGCAAGTTTGCAAAAATTTAATAATGAATTTCTCACTATTTAATAATTTTGTTATTTATCATTTCTTTTTTGACAGATTCGTCTATTAAGTGCCACGTATGAACCGCTGTTGGAAAATTTACCAATGGTGATAAAAGAATGCGCTGAAAGTGAAGAATGCATGGATATAATAAATGACCCTGGACATGTACTGGACGGAGTTCGTTTGATATGGTCGTTACTGAAACATCCCAGCAATGTTATTAAGAGAAATGCGTGCTTCGCTTTGGTGCCTTGTATCAAACACGCAAAGGATTCGCCACAAATGGTCAGAGCTTTCGTTGGAGGTTTGGAGCTGACAGTCAGCCTCCTGGAGAGTGAAGACACTCAAGTCCTCAGTGCCGTTTGTGCAACAATTGCCGAAATTGCCATTGATCCAGAAAATTTGGGCATTTTGACAGATCACGGTGTTGTCAAAAAATTGGCAGATTTAGTCAATACTGTAATAAAAAAATGTATAGTAATTTTATCATCATTGGTAAATTTATTCTAAGCCTAATTACTTTATTACTTTACAGGAAGATGAAGATCTTCGAGCAAATTTAACTTTGGCAATTGCCTTTTGCTGCGAATGGGGACAAAATAATTACGAATTTGGAAAGTTGAACGCTGTAGCACCTTTGGTCAATTATTTATCGAGTCAGAATAAAAATGTATTGAAAGGAGTTTGTATTGCATTCTATCATTTAAGCAAGGAGCCTTTGAATTGCATTACTATGCACACTTGTGGTGTTGTCAAGGTTCAAATCAAATTTATAGAAATTAAACTAACGATATTTTTTAAAAATCGAAAATAACGTTTACTTGAATTTTTTGTAGCACGTCTTGCGGCTAGTTGGTTCAGAAGATTCGGAAGTTCAAATAGCAGCAGCAACCACCATTAGACATATTCGAAAATTAGCTATTACAGCCGAAAATTTCCATTACTTTCAATCCTAACTGTTTTCATTTTTTTTTAAAATTATTCAAATTTATGCAGAACACAATCTTATTCAATAAAATTAACTTTATTTCTTTAAATTCTTTGTACAGTACAGATTTTAATAAATTAACTCTTTACTTTTATTTATATTTGGAGAAAATATAATTTTTAATCAAGTCTATTTTGCTTTACTTAAAATATTAAAATTTATAATATTACAATTTAAAATAAAAAATGTTTTACAAAAAATTTTGCACACTGATGGATTAAGTATTGTGTATAAAATACAAATAAGAGAAGTGTAATTTTATTATGTGCAAATTATTAAAAATGGCACAGCATAGATAACATTTATGAAACACCGCAAATATCACAATAAATAAGTTATCCTATTCAATCTGTTTTTTTTAGATCTTATTTTTTAATATTATTTGAAATATATAGAAAGAAATAATTTAGGCACTTAATTCATTTTAGCATTTTTATAACTTGTCGCAATTCGATTTTGTGCGATAGTCAAATTTTAATTATTTCCATTTACATTGATTAAAAATTTGAATTGTAAAATCTTAATTTTATTTCAAGGAATGGGTATGAAGATTTGTAAAAATTTTGCTAATTATATTTTAAATAAAACTGTATTATTCTTAATCTTTCTTTTCAGATAATAATGTACTTGCTGCAGCTTTCTTTGCTGCAAATAAGAAATAATTTATTTAATTCAAAGAAATCTATTATCGTTAAAAGTAATTATGGACTACTATAGAAGAAATATAATTAATTACCTATATCAGAAGCATTGGACAATAATTTATCAACTTGTGGCTCATATTGAACAAATCGTGGACGAATTATTTTGCGATAAAGTATCAAAGATCCATTGTATTCAGTTGGAGCCATCAACCAAATGTAAAAGAGGCACTGCCACAAACAATATAAATATTAGAATCGAATAATTTATATTACGAATGCAAAAGAAAAATAATTTTTACCTTCATCAGCCAATAGACTGGGAACCAACAAACGATGTACTCGGAGAAAAATTCAACGATAGTAAAAACGGCAAATGTAACCCAGTACGTCAACCATTTTGTATCATCTTCTTTGCTTGGGCTTTCAAGCGCTTTCATTGAGCAATAAGCAGGATAAACGAAACCAATTACGTTACATACTAATTGTTGGCCTACACCTAGAACTAAATACAAAGCTAATAGCAGCAAGCCACCTGCAATAAGAGATTAAAAGTATATTTTAATTTCCTCCACAAAAAAGTACACCATTTATAAAAAATTAGAAAGCTTTCAGAGGTTAAAAATAGCTTTTTTCATTATTTACACAAAATACACATTTAATCAAGGCGTATTAACAACATTTTTAGATAAATATTAATTAGCTTCAATTAAATTACATAAAGCAGTGACTTGCACTAATAAGGTTTATAAAAAAAAATGACTTTGCATCAAATGTTTAGATAATAAATTCAAAGAAGAAAAAATTTGTATAGAATATAAAATGTGTTAAAATGATTTATCTTGTATTTATATTAATTTAAAAAAATAGTGCAGTCAAATTTATTGTTAAATTTCAAGATTTAATGAATTTAATTAATACAACTTACCTATGAAAATATACAATCGATTGACACCAGATTTTTTTTCAGCAAGTGCTATGTATTTTGACCAAGGTTTAGTTTCATCTTTTAATAATTTCTCAATTGTTTCCTTTACTGCCGAAATTTTCGACATTATGTTTGTAGTCTTATTAATTATTTTACAAAGAAAATTTTGTTGGAAAAATTACACTTTTTATGTACAATGTTATATTTAAAGTTGTTCGTGGTGTTGAAAAGGTTAGAAGGAGTCACACATTAAGGTGTAAAGGCACAGACACAGCTTGGCTTGTCTGCCTGTAGGTTGTCAAGGTAACGTAAGGAGTGAGTGAGTTAGTGCATCCAAGTTTGAATTCAATGACTCTCCTTACTCTTGTACGTTGCCATGACAACCTGCAAGGCAGCAAGCAGCCAAGTTGTGAACTGCATCTTAAGCAAAAGTTGGGAACATAAAGGCTAACTCACAAGTTTAAAATTGTGCTGGCATTAAACTGTGACGACAGTATGGATATAAACATAATCAAAATAATTATTCTTTGTTTATTTATAACATTTATAATTTGATAGAATGTTGAATAGTGTCAGAAAATAATAAGAATGTGTATTTCGTGTCGACAAAAAAGTTTCCGAAATTAGCGATATAGAACTTTTATCCAGTAAGTGTTAATTAGTTTTAATGAAACATTTCGTATTTTTATGTCTAACCTCAAAATCATTATTAACAGTTAACAGTGTTAGTTTAATATTAATTATTCATTTGTTTGAAAAATAGCCGCTAGACAAAATTTAACGCTATAGACAAAGCTAAAAATAATTTGTACTTTCAAAAAGAGAGCTAATAAGCACATTGAAAATCGTAAGACGTAAATCGCAAATTTGCAAACATTATATAGAAAAGAAAAGGACAAAATATATATCCTTCTTTTTCTCTCTCATATATAAATATTATGATTTACATCTTATGAGTTACAATGTAATCTATTGCAAATCATCAATTTTTAAAATTTAACACGGCGGCGACTATAAAAGTGATATGAATGATACTTTCAAGTCATAAATGGGGAAAAATATCAATAACATTTTCCAAATTTAATAAATTAAATCAAATGATTTGAAGAAGTACAATCAAATTCTACTTTTTGAAACGCTGCATGTGAAATTGCATCGCTTTTTCAAAATTCAAAATGGCGGATTGAATATGAAAGACGATTTAATTCAATATTCTAGGAGAAGGTAAAAAAAATTGTAGGTAGATCCAAGTATCACATAATATTTTGAAAAATCACCAAAGAAAAGAGAATTTATCAGTTATTCTTAATTGTCTTTCGTTTATTTTAAATATTATTTTATAATGTAGGGCTTAAAAATTATGCACATAAGTGTTAAGAAATTATCAACTAATAAAATATAAAAACAAATAATATAATACTGTAGTATATATTATTATATATGTGCTCTTTGTCCTAAACAAAAATAAGTGTATTATATCACATTGTTTTTAATAATTTAAACCTTATCAATTTAAGTGTAATCTAATGTATCACATTGTTTGCATTTATTATGTACGTATTTTTCTTTTTAAATCTGAATAAGTAAAATTACGGATATTATAACAAATGCTTGATTACATTTTAAAAAAAATTAGCCTCTAATTTATTACGATTCGTAAAATATTGGACAGACAGTCAATAAAAATGTTTTAAAAAGAAATTTCAAACAGACACTTCTGTTTCTCGATTTATAAAAAGATTTTATTTGTAAAAAATGAAAAAAAATTATGTACATTTTTCAAATAAATAATAAATTAAGTTATTAATTAAGATTAAATTAAGTTTAATTTATCTAGTTAAAGTGCTAAGCATGAATACTCTATTCTTTTTTGTTTACTAATTAATTTTTTTAAGTTTGGCGCGGTTGATATCTTATTTTCTTTAATTTTGTTGATACGGCTGATATGCAATAAAACGATCTGATTGTTAAATTTTGAATTTAGTTTTTCTTATTAGAATATACGTTTATTTACTTTGGAGTTTGCAGTAAACTTTTTTCAGTAGCACGCATTTTCATCCACTTTGTTAGGAGAGCAACGATCGTTAACATTGCGCCTAAAAATGAAATGACCCCTAAAACCACAAGAACCATGAACCAGCTTTTAAAGCTTCCAATTCTATCTGAAATATCGCAGTCACAAATTTCAGTTTCATTTAAATTTAAGACTGAAAAATCCACTGGCCGCAAGGAAATTAATTTTGTTTCTTCGATTTTAATTTGCCTCCTTCGAGTGATATTGTGCGATTTTTTAATGAATTTGTAGGAAATAGTGTATGTAAATTCCTGTCCATCGAAGGATCCCTTTGAGCTGAAAAACTGTACCATTAAGGAATTTCCACTTGAAATAATGGGTACCTGTAACGAAAAAGTATACTATAGAAAAATTTCTATTTGAACATTGTTTTTGAACTTTATTTTTTAAACTTTAAATTTAAATTTACCTGAATGTTATTAATATCAGAGTTTGTTGAATCGCAAAAAGACCAGAGCATAAGATTATTATTTTCGTAAGCTCCATTGTAAATTGTAATTTCATTCCCCGTACAGTGAACTGACGGTTTAGTGTTATTTTTTTTCGAAAAGTCATTCGACTCAAGTAACGCATTTCGAATAATTTTCAATTGAATCGATACCTTCTCGGTAACTTTACCTAAAAATTTATAAGTACAAAATGTTCTCGGCGGATACCAGTTATCGACTGATTTGATTATTTCTCTCGACTTATCGGAGCTTTTAAAGAGAAATTCACAATTCTTCTCATAACTTGATTTAGTGGCTTCAATTTCCTGTAGAGTTAAGTGGAATCCATCGTGCATAATGGTCCCGTCGTTGCTGGCAAAGAACTCAATGATAATATTTCTTCCTCTTGATAAGATTTGAGGTATGCGACCCTCGCCACAAAATTTCGTGATTTCCAAAATTTTACCATTTATATTCTCCAGTAGGGCCAAGTAATCGCCTAAACAGTTCTCCCCTTGAATGGAATCTGGATTCGCACTTTTTGTAAATTTACTTGATTCATTATTAGAAGGAAGATTTTTATCTCTATTTTCATTGATCCCTTTTGGTAATGGACCGCTGTTGGAGTTGAATGGGTTCCAAACGCCGAATGATATTCTCTTTTCTTTAAAATGTCCTTCGTGTCGAAATCGATTAGATTCGAATGATTTTGTTTTGGTCCTGAGTTCAGAATGACGATGCCTGATGATACCATTATGTTTCAATTTGTTGCTATTTAAGTTTTCGTCAATTTTCAATGTGTTTCCATTAGTTTTCCTTCCTGGAGTTATTACTCTTGTTCTGGTAGTTGAGGCTTTCGGAACTTGAGGGCGACTTTCATTCTCATCCTCATCCTCTTTTGGCTTAATATTTATACTTCTTAAAGTTCGTATTCTGTAATAATAAAAGCATTAGTTTTTAAACATTTATATACATATTGAGGAATAGTAGAAATTTAGAGGAATTTTGTACCTTGCGGCTGGAAAATAACTTGACTTTGTTTCCAAAGACGAACTACTGTCGGGTTCGAAAAAGTCTTGACAGTTTTCTGTGTAGCAACCGTCTTGATGAGTGTAATTCATTAAACTGTAGAGGTCCTCAGAGCCGCCTATGCGAAATCTCCCTGTGCTAGATTCGAGAGAAACTCTGCATCTAATGCCACGAGGGTAGACGCCGGGATATCCTGGCGAAACTAAGCGACAAGTTCTTCGGTCATTTCGATATCTGCATTCAAGAGGACATTCGCTGACCGCGGGGCCAACGACCCCTCGATGTCGCTCATTTGCCAAACGCGATGGCAAAATTGAATATTGAGCAGAAAAAATTACAGGATTCTTCGCAGCGAAATTTGTCTCCGAATTCATCACTAAAGTCAAGTCGGGACCTCTTTTTAAAAATAACCTGAACAGACATAAAGGATAAGATTGTTATCTTACACTGTTAAGATCTTATTAGAATCAAATTCATTACCTGGTTGTATTACTCGTAATGTGTCCACAGTAGCGTCCAGAATCGTCTTTGAAAATGTCTGAATTTTCGAAAAATTGTATGTACGCTCCTTCGCATTTTGAATTCTTTAAAATACCCACTTGCAACCTTCTTATTCGAAGTTCAATTATCTAAGTGAATATATTCTTAATATTTATTAATGAACAAACTTTCAAGTTATTTATATATTTGATTTATATCACAAGTACCTGAGGATCCTTTGAAGGAGTCTTAATTTGAATGATACATTTCCCCATTCGTCCGGTCCATCTAATCCATCCAACAGAATTTCGAACCGTTCGATTGCATCCTACAAAGTAAATAATATTAATAAGATATAAGAGGGACGAATATATTTAAAGGTTCTTATCTCTCGTCTACTCTCTTATCGACTTGAATAAGATTTACTTGATTCGCCGCTAAACGACAATTTATTTTACACGTGTCCCCATAATGGGTTCTGCATAAAATAAATGCGTTTTGCAACACAGTGCATTGCATTGATAAGGTTACTTTTCGCAAATGGGGGAATAAATGTTTTACTCGGTTCATGTGTGACGTTACGCCGGATTAGACTCTATCACATATATATAGGGTTGGCCTTGTGCACGCTATATTTCTGGATAGAACGTTAATCCGACGACTTTTCGAGATTATGCCGAAGCCGCTCACTTTTCTTTTAGGGGGTGTTTTTGCCCGACTTAGTTACGATCAACGCCCTTCTCTTCTTAAATCCAAAAAATTATCCACATGATATGCTTGTTAAAAAGATTCAATGCCATTTTATTACATTTCTCATTTTTTTTTATAGTTTTCTTATTTCAATAGATAAGATGTGGATTTAGAGTTAAAAATATTAAAATAAATTTCACTTTTGATAATAATAAAGATTCTTCTTCGAGGCACGGCCAGCAATTGAATAAAAATATAGATTCTTTATCTGATAATTAATAAATAATGTATTTTCCTCTAAAAATATAATACAAATAAGTTTCTTATAAATTAAAATTTATCTGCCTATCAGAATAATAAATTAAAAAAATATTTAGCAGAGCGTGGTTTCGATCCACGGACCTCTGGGTTATGGGCCCAGCACGCTTCCACTGCGCCACTCTGCTATCTATAGAAGGCAGTCTCAAGTACCGGAGAGGAAAACTTGGACAGAAAATTATCATATTTCCTCTTGTATTTGCATAAATATTTACAATTGAATTATTTAATTTGAAAAATTCTACTAATTGTTAGTTAAAATTATTACTAGATAAATTATTACTATCATTTGGTGAACGACTTTTCGTCATTTTATTAGTAATTTTCTACTAATTCCTATATTCAGATTTAGAGAGTATATACTTTGAAAACAATTGATGTGTTTGCCTGTCCTAAACAATAAGCAAGTGTAAGTTTTCTGTTACTCGTCAAATAAAATAAAACACAGGGAACAAGACATTCTATAGCGAAATGAATATTCATTTGCTTCTCACTCTTCCGCGACGGGGTTTATACATGTAGAAAAGAGTACTTGAAATAATTAAGCAGTGCGAATACGTCTACATATGTAACCTCACGTTTTAGTATTTTTTCCTTATATTAATATACAGATTATATTTACGCTAACGTCGTAAAAATTCGAAAAAATCAATTTTCACTCATTTTTGTCAATTGCAAAAAAAAATTATGCGAGATTCAGTGAAATTTTACCAATTCGCCTTATATTAAAATTAGCGAAAGTTGAAGATTCGTATAAAAATTAGTGTTTTTCAGTTTTAGAAAGTATAAATACATATAGAAAACAAAATATACAATATAATTATGTAGCATATATTTTTTACCTCTCGTTTCAAGAAATGCGGTACAGAAATGAATAATCATAAAAATGAGATACAACACAACGTCCCATTTCATTTTCGTTATTCAAAATAATCTGAATAGAATATCGTGTGCAGTTTCACTTGTCGTCCAATTTTCTCTTCTCCGTACCCCTCATATTTTTGGTCCTCATAGCTTCCCTCGCAATTCTGTATGCGGCCAGGAAAAAAATCCCCTATTGCGGATGATGCAAAGCAAGAAGGTCGCGTCGACGTGTCGCAAGAATTAGGAGGGTGCTTATCACCTGGTAACCTGCAAAACAAACAGAGACCTGGGTAAACAGAAACAATAACACTTTCGTATAATTATACAGCCGTATGAGCCGTAATCTGGAGATGTCGGATAACGCGCCTGTCGCGCTTCAAAAGAGACTCGCTATTTTTCACTCAAATTTAGATGCGCTGCTATGAATATAATAAGTAGTCATTAATCAAATTGGAAATTTTAATATAAAATCAAAATATCAGAATATCTGATAAAATTGATAAAATATTAGTCAACATAATAATTTAGCCAATAACACGGTATCTTTGATATATAGAAGTTTCTCACTTTCGATATGTTATAAATTTTTCAAATTTGCAATAAACTTGATACAAAATATATAAATTTCTGCTTGCAGACATATATATGTATGCTAAAGTATATCTTAATAAAAAGGAGAAAACAAATCCCCACTAAAGAGAATAATATTTTTTACTTAATAGACTTCATAAATTTTGTGAAATCCGCATGAAAAATAGGTATGGGCACATGTGAACAGAGTTTTCTTCCCATATTATGCATGAAAGACATTCATTATAATAACAAAATGTGTATATGTTTCAAAAACTATTATATACAGATATTTTCTAAAAAATTTACTAAATTTAAATTTGAGTTAATTACGTACAGATTTTCTAGCGTTTGTAAATAAAAGATAAAAAAAAAATATTCTGATATACTTTAAGTATTTCTTCTTTTTTTCTCGCAGATAAAGTTTCCATCTAAAAAACCGTTAAAAAACTTAACATGCACTTCTCTGCATAAAAATGTATATAGAATCTATCCAATCGTGACCTGTTTACTTAAAAAAAACCAACAACTTTGTATTTTTATCCTCTGAAAAGATTATGAACTATTAGATTTTAAAAAACATGATTTTTTTGTAGTTGAAATTTTTGTTTCAACAAAATAACTTTTGTAAATTGTCAAAACTTATTTTTATATAAAAATGCATTGATTGACTTGTTTGCAAATATTTGTCATCGATTGACTTTTAATATTTGATCGACACAGTGGGACAATTTTGTTTAGTTTTTCATTTTTTTAATTCAAAAAATTGAATCTGTTTGAGGGAGCTAAGTATTAATGAAATGGTCACAAGTTAGGTATACTTGAGTTTCATTTTCTCTTTTTCAGGCTCGTCAAGAAGGTAGTATTTTTAGAAAGGTGTAGAATGTAGATATACAAATTTCTAACAAATGTCTAATTAGTTTACTAATTTCAGTTTATAAGTGGCTGAATGAGTGAGGTTGCGACTCTTTGAGATGAGGTCGTGTAGAAGCACTTAACAAATTGCTTAAAATAACCAGATCCATAAGAAATGTCTCCCCACCACTTTCACTCACGCTCTTTTTTTCTATAAACACAACTATTAACTAAATTCAATTTATATGTAACGTATGCTGATTTTTTAAAAAGTAGTAGCATATCTATTTTTTATTCTTGTCAATATGTTACCAGGATATTTTATAGTACCTATAATTGTTTTCTACTTTTCCGAATCGTTACGTTTTTTTGCGTATATTATCGAGGATTTTTCCAGTCTTAAGCCAATGGCTTTCATTGAAAGACGGCTTAAAAAGGAAGCTCTTAAAGCCTTTGGAATAATGTGCTTAAGGACCTCGGTTCTAATCACTATATAAAGGATCCGAAGAAAAGGCGCATTACCAATGAATAATGGAGAACAATTTATCCATCCATTTCCGACATACAAATAATATTTAATTGATACAATTCATACAATACGTTTTGAAAAACTAAATGATTCTTGAAATCTGCTACAATTATCCCCTTCTAAAGTAAAAAAAACCTTGGAAAAAATATTACTTCTTTAATATTAAAGATAGCATACTGTTTGAATCAGTCATATTCTATAGCTGCCGAATTTTCCATTATGTTTTTGAAATCTTTCAATTTGTAAGAATATTCGCACCACATACAGAAACTGATAATTTCATCTGGAATTTTTGCGATTCCACATAGTGTTAGTTGTAGCTCGAGGCAAAGGGGAATGTTTTCGTATATAGCTGGTTATAAGAACATGGGGTTTATAAGGGTTCAAACCCCAAGTGCCCCCGGATATGAAATCCAGGGACTTCTTTTTTAATTGTTTTATTCTTCACGTCTACGTGAAAAAGAGAAAAAGAGGAAGAAGAAAAATCACACAACAAAAAAATTGTTGCTATGTAGTTTAGTCACATGTTGGAGAAAAAGTTTCCCTCTGTTTTAATGGGGCAACTTTGTTTCCGAAGAAGGCAAGAAAGAAAGCTTCTCAAAATCTCTGATAATTAAAACTTTTGTGTATAGTTTTTTTTTTTTTTTTTTTTACTTTAATTATATTGAATATTTGTGCTTGGAATATTAAAGAAAGAATAAACTGTAGAAATATGAACTACTAAAATTTCACTTGAGATGTTTAAAGTAGGTGTGTTCAGAAAAAAGAAGCTTTTTCTGCCTTAGGATATGTTTTGTTATTCGTGTATACGTATTGTATAAGTAAGTGAGTACATGTGAATGATTCTTGAGCTTTTGTGAGTTTTTCCAGCTTTTCCTACTCTTTGTCAGAAAGGCCGACTACGAATTAAACGACGCAATTCTTTCTCGGTCATCTACCTTTGGGGAATTACTAGGATTGGAAAGTAACGTCACTTGCTTTAACTTGCTTTCTTGAAAAAGGGGTGAAACTTGGTACGCAAGAAGTAAAACCAAGGTATATAAATAGTGCGATGTGCTCGATGTCTCTTATTCTCAATTTAATCCACCAAATATCTAGATCAAAGCATGAAAATAGGGATTTTCCAAAGAAATGTGATACAATCAGAAATTTTCTTATTTTTTGCGAATCCTATTTTGAATTCTTAAAAAACATCGATTTTATCGCAAACAAGAATTAATCTAAGATTCGAAATAGAATTTATGTTTCTTTTTAAGAATATTATGTCCGCAGTAGCTGGCAGTAGTTTCTCTTATATCGATAAAGAAAGAAAATACGTAACAAAAAGATGAAATCTGAGAATCACCGCAAATGGATCTATTTTGTGGTTGATTAAAGATAAATTAAGATCTCAGGACACAATGCAGTTACTATATCGATAAGAAAAAGATGAAATTGAATTTATACATTACCCCCATAGAGCTGTACGGTTACTTTAAGTCTACAAAATATATTAATCAAGTTCAAAGTAACAATTATTTCCTCCTCACGAATCGCAATTTTTATCTATTAAATCCAACTTTAAGGTTATTAAAAAAATAAAAATTATTTCATTTCGTTGAATAAAATTTACTCGAAGAAAAGCTTTGGTCGTTTGAACGGTATTGTATTGTCTCTTGTATATGATTTTAATTCCTCTTATTTGATTCCTCTTATTTTAAGAGGAATATTCTCCACTTGAGAGTAATTCCTCTTAAAAGTAGAGAAAGTAGTCTTTTTTGAAGAGTAATATTCTTAATTTGAGAATAAAATGCGTAAGATGATTTTTCCTCTAAAAACAAGAATATTTTTTTCTGTGTAAGTTAATTTAAATGTTGAATAAAACAATAATCACACTACTATTGTCCACTAATATTTATAAATATTCAAATAATTTTTCGATTATAAAAATTTTAATAAATTCGTGATATTTTGTTATTTTAAGGAGTCTGACAATCTCGAAAGTAGAAGAAACCTATTCTTTGGTCAGACAACTGTAAAGCTAACTAAATCTTACTTTTACATTGCAAAAAATTAATACTTTATTCATATAAGATTAAATTCCTTTTACTTACTCCTTTCATTTGATTAAAATTAGTCCAGTTTGTTAATTTTGAGGGCCAACAATTCTGTCTATATTTACATACATTCGAATCCACTTTTCCAAATAAGCGAACTGCTAGAACAATAATCACAAATCTTTCACTTTTGTTTTTTCTTCCAATTTTAAAATTAACCGCACATAGTTCAGAAAGCTAGACAATAAAAATTATATTTTTTATCTAAAATTTTATTTTTAAACACAGAGGTTTGAGCTTTTGATTCAATGTCCAAAACATGAAATACTTTTTTGAAATAATAAAAATTAGCAGAATATTATTTTAAAATTATTTTAAAAAAGTCGTCCTTGAGAACTAAAATTTTTTTAAAAAGTTTAAAAATTTGCTGCACGTGACACTTTTCATTATGAGAAATTGCACGTGTCATGTGAGATTATTGCCCCTTATGAACAATTTGACAAATCTCCAGCTCATATGGCGTGTCGCGCACTACTGGAAACAGAGCTTGTTTCCACCATCCTTTCTTCTGATTTTCTCCCACCAGCACACAGCATCCATGTCTCAAATCTCCCATCTTTGAAATACGCAAGTCGCCTATAGTATAATAGGGTGCTTCAGGTTTCTCATCCCTTCCAATTTTTTTAATCTAGCATGAAAATTTTTATGAAAAAAGAAAATCTTTTACTTCCTTAATATTTATAATTCTTGCGGTTAAATCTCTTTCTGCTTTCACTTTATTCCTATAAAGAATAAATGCATTATATAAAGTTTTGTAAAGATTCTACTCCATATTCTTAAGATTCTTTCTGATAAATTTTTCAAAATTTCTAAACTCTAAATAAATGCAAATAGATCCGAATATATTGCAGCAACATTTTGCCTATTAAGATTGTGAAACTTGGATCAATGTTTTCAATGTTCCTCTGCAATTTTAGAGACTTTCTAAAAACACAACTGGTCTATAAAACTATAAAACGTCTCATTTTTAAATTATGAAGTATAAAAGTTGAAAAAAGTGTCTAAAATCTAAAGAATTTTGTATTTCATGGAAAATGTTGTGTAATATGTACTGGAAACTTTTCTACAACCTACATTCTTATTTTTTTATTGTCAACCAGGTGAACGTTTTGTCAAGCGGTATATACCTGCAGGTAAGTCCTCCAAGTCAAATACATTCAACCGCGAAAATAGGGAGGAGTTCGAGTGGTACTTTTGTCAGGATATTGAATGAGAGGTATAATATATATAATAAAAGAAAAAGAATTCTTGAAAACGAATGTTTTCAAAAAAAAGGAGAAATTCAGATTCGAATAGATGCATAACAGGGGATCATCGTTTCAATTCAATTCGATTTGTAGAGGAAGAATCTGAGGATGATAAATATTGAAAATTCAAGAGGTTAATTGATAAAAGTTGACTTATGATGATATGGTTCGTTAAATTTCGGCTTTTTAACAAAAAAAGGAAAAATGTTTGATACTGTATACTATAATTCAAAAGCGAGATGCTTATTCAGAAAGTATAATAAATATTATGTACAGAGATAAAAGAGGGAATTAATCATCGTATCGCGTTTGTCTTTCACTTTATTAATTTGAAAATAAACTTTTTCAACTCTATTTTTACTGTTTGAGTTATTTATCGTGAGTTTCATTATCATAATTAAAAGCTGAAGCCTTGCAGTTTCATATAATTCACTGAGTAATTCACGATTTCGATCAAATTTCACTGTGTTAGGTTTGAAAAAATTGATATTCTAAGGTTCTTCAAGTTTATAATTACAGTACATATATTAGGTAGGTACTTGCGGATCTTAAGAAATTAGTAACATTTTGTGTGTATGTAGTTAAATGCGGCTCATAATTCGAGCGTCACATCGAAGAAAAGAGCTATAAATCACGGCGCTGGCGAATCAGAAGCAACAGAAGGGTAACTGTCTCATTTATCACGTGCGAGTGAACCTTCTGTCTAGTTTGCAACAACCTTCAAATTTATTGCAATTTCTTTAATACTTTTTTGTTTCTTTCTAATTATTTTTAACTTTTATTTTAAACTCTCACCTATTTAATTCACCTTTTATCTATCCAAATTCCAAGTAGCAAAAATTCTCAAAAACTGAAATGTTTCTTCTGCATATCAAATTGAGACAAAAACCAAATCAGAAATGTTGCGAATTCGTTTTTTGTCTCAAGAATTCTGTATGGGAATATACAGTATCTTTATATGTATGTAATTGAGTTGTAGAAGTGTGTTAGAATAGAATATACTTAAAGTTCAATGCAAGAATAAGTTGGAAGACTTTTTATAAATCAAGAAGGAAATAACGATAAGTTGAAGAAATTGACGATTAATTTTGAACAAATGGCCTTGAGAGGAGCGTAATGCTGTGAGAGACTCGGGAGGAATGGGTTTGGCTTTGTCGAAGCTTGGAAAGAAAAGCAATAAATTTGCCACAGCAAATCGGACCACGATGCAAAATCTGTTTGGCAAGTGCAATAAAAGTACCATTTGGTGTAGCAGACACGGCGTTCACCACCCTTAGGACTGTGCGTGCTCCGAATATAATTTATTGTAGTTGAAATTTTCTGGAGGGGTCCCTTCGCTGGTGGTGCTGTAGGTATAACAACCCTTAAGTTACAGTCGTCCCTTACTCCGACGATCTCTTGTTTCTGTAAAACGAATCTTTACAATCTTTACAACTTTTAACCTCTTGATACAATTGGTTAAAATCGTTAACTTTGTTTATTAGGATTCAAACAGATTCAATTCAATTGCGGATTCTGTTTAACTTCATAGGTACAGCTTGTTTCGCAAAATACTTTTAACTTCTTTATGGCAACGAACTAGATTGGACTTTTCCGAAGAAACAGAATTTTTACATCAGTAAGTTTGTTATCAAAAAGTCGCAAAGTACGAATTTCATCGTTTTAATGAAGATTTAGTTTCTATTAATAAAAAAGGTGCATCTGTCCAGGGTGGTAATTGATGGTCCATCAGGGGACATTGCAGCTGCAGTGCATTATGCTATTCTTTGATCCCCATACACCTAATGATCGCTTGTTGTAGTGACTATTGATGACTTTTTGAAAATCTGTTCATTACAATCTGCGCAGTTCATATAACAATATATTTCTATGAGCAAGTAGCTATACATAATGCGAAAATAATTCCAATCGGAAAAATTTATTATCTTTGCAATAGATATTTTAAGTGTGAACGTATAGATGAAGTCAGTATCAACATTGTCGAATTGTCGAACTGTCGAACTGTCGACACGTACACAGATTCTCTAAAATCCCTTTTTTGGAAATGTTCGGAAGTTACATAGTGGAAATCGCATCGTAGTTTGAAGTGTTCCAATAATTCGGATCTCGTATTTCGTCGAAAGCATCCCCGCGTATATATTTTCCTCCTCAAGACGTGACTTGTTTGTACATAAGAAGGGGAAACCGCTATTATGTTATTTAGGTCCTTGAAGGTGTAGAAAAAACTCAAAATACAATATTTAATATTTTATTTTAGTATTGTCTTTGAATTTATAAGACATTAAGCGTATTTCTAAATTATTAACACATTATAATAAAATCCTCGCGATGAAACTAATTGTTGCAATAAGTAATGATTATTTCGTTTGAAATAAGCAGGTTGATTCTTTGAATTTCGGGGAATATTATTGTGAGGGCTGTATAAGAGGGCGCAATATGGTTCAAGAAAAATGACTACTCCGGAATTAGTTCAGAAATCAGGATAAAGAAACATGGTGTGCGTGTCTCGTGAAAAATGAGGACCCTCATATTAAGTATGTAGTCTTGGGGTGTTTCCTCTCAGATTATCAGGGGAACCAAGAAATTTCGCAAAGTCCACGTCCACCCACTGACATTTTTATTTCATATCAGAGTATATTGTTTTTTTTTTATACTTGCGTTCGCTTAGTTTTTTTCAAATAAATATTCTCCTTTCTTCCAATAAAATAGAATTCTTAAAATAGGCTAAATTTGATTTTTTAGGCAAAATTGGATTTTTTTAAACTTTTAGTTTGAAAAATATATCTATTAGTTACATGAATTGTTATACATTTCTCACGTTTTATGCAATGTTTAAAAAGTCTGATATGCTAGATCAAAAATAATCAATCTACTATGAAATTTAGGGAATGAGGAGTGTCTTAATGGTTTTCCCACCTGGACATATCAAATTCCCCTAAATTTAACATTTGTAACAATATGTTGTACTTATTGTTCACAAAGAAGGAAAAACTTGTCAGTAGACCTTATTTCATTATTCATTTGCTGAATTCAAACTGAAACTTTCCACAAAATTTTTTTATTACAATTATTTACAGCTGTGAGGAAATCTAGATTAAAGTACCAAATTAAAAAATGGATTAAATTTATGACAAAAATTTGGATTAATTTTTTATTTTTGATCTATAGTTTTGGTATCAATTTGATACTTTTAATAAGTTAAGTGTTATTCGGTTGAAAATAAAATTATAATGACTCTGCCAGTGTAGGATTTTAATTTATGAAAATAAAATAAAAAATTGATGTCGGTAAAATATGTAGGTATCTAAACTGGTTACCATTTGCTGGTAGACTAGAAACGACGAACAGTGAAGAAAGATATTACCTTTACCAACTGAAGAAACTGTACCTCCTGTCGTTAATATATCTACCATTGATCATTAACTTTGTTGTTCATTACTTTTATAAATTATAGACCACAATAACTACGCTTTCTCCATTCTATGGAGTTTTCTTTTTTACTCCATTCTATGCGTTAATCTCTTCCTTCCACTTTGTTCTATATACTCATCTCTAATTACTCTATCAAATTGAGACAAAAAACGAATCAAAATGTTGCTTCCCAACACTTTCGATTCGTTTTTTGTCTCAATTTGATATCCCTGGAAACACTGTGCAGGAGAAATATAACAATATACGCAAAAAAACGAATATTATGGTTTTCGAAAAATTTAAAAAGAAAACTGTTAAAACCTCTTTTATAAGTCTCTTTACTTCTCTTTTTAACTTGCTTTTTAAACTTTTTTAAAGAGTTTAAAATTGTTACTCGAGTAACAACGATAAAAATACATTAATAATTGATTTTTGGTTTATGCAGAGCTTTACGTGTAATTAGAACTTTGTATAAAATAAATTTATGTTTCAAAAACATTATTTTGGGACTAAAAGAAAATAAAAATTAGTAAAACCATTAAATAGTTAATAGTTTCGCTTTCATTAATAATGTGGAAGATGAACAGCAATAGTAGCAATTATTAAATCCTAAAAGAAAAGTGAAAATATCAAATTATCAAATTCTGAGATTGGTTTGAAACTTTAGTTATAAGTAACATATATTATATAAGATAACATTGACTTAACATTGACTTAACTAACATTATCTTAAATGTTCTTGCAAACTAATAATGGTCTCACTTTCATTTTAATAACGTAGTTAAATAATTAAATTATGCAACAGCCTTCGAATGAAAATGTGAAAAAAATGTCAAACATATGCGGGGTTTTGGCGCATAAATGCAGTACAACTTTC